TCAAAATTAGAGAAAAATGTTGATATTAGTAGTTTAGAACAAAAGGAAACCAAAGATGGCCTTGAACACACCTAAAAGAAGACGTACAAGACACAGAAATTCAATATGTACCTCATATTGACCGAGGGCCATTAAAGCAGAGACTCTTGCCTTTGTCCATTGGGAATCATGAGGCATCTGCATAGAGCTCCCAATTTCCCACAAAATGTTCAGAACCTTTTCTGCATCTTCAGGATATGCTTCCGCATCCATTGCACCCCATTTCAGAAGAAGACATACACTACAACATATTCATCAAAAAAATGGTAGTCACAAGGCCTAAAAGATACATGCACCACTTCAAACACCTCACGTGCCTGTAAATATGATTTAGGATATGAGCTCTGCTAACCTATAAGCAAGGAGAGAATCATGTTGGATGTTTTGAGCATACTTCTTCATGACACGCCACGCAGTATAGAAATCTAGATGGACAAAGCAGAAGTTACTAGATCAAATGTGAGGGAAATACAAAGAAATTAACTAATACAAGCAAGTATGAAGAGGGTACCAATGACATCGGCTTCACACAGATGGGAAAGACTCTGAAAGCCAAGTGCTCGAACTGAGCAGTCTTGGCTTTCTATACAGGCCTATCAAAGTACGAATCCAGTGGAAAATTTGAAGTCACTCCAAAAGTTTTAAAATACAGCCGAACAGCAATAGCAAACATCACTTGAGAAACTATACCTGAACGGACAAGATTAGGTCTACTCCCCTATCAGGGTGTCTCTTGCATACATCGTGAATGGAAGCAGCCATACTAATGCAGATATGTCTCTCTGAAATAAAGTCTATAAATCCTTTCGGACGTAACACCTCCTGAGTATTTAAAATAATAGTACCTTAGTACAAGTATGAGCAACCTGACTTCATCAATGTTAAACAAAATTTCACGGTGGTATATAATAGCTTACTTGCAGGCTTGGAAAGGCACGGTCATTGACTACCCAGGTCTCGCAAAGTAATCTAATGGCTGTAACATACAACAGACTAAAATAAACCATCATCAGAATTACTCATGTCAACTCCATAAAGGTTTGCAAATCACCACGTAAAGGTTCAAAACACGATTAAAAAAATGCATGATACAGAAGAAATTATCAGAAAATGGTGTACTGACCCTTTCGTATCCCTGTGTAGCATTGGTGTAATAGTCTGAACTACAAGTGGGATCATCACCTGTTGTGCAGCTAGTGATGGGAGCAACCCCAGAAGTTTTGACTGCAAGTCAAAGAAATAAAATGGGAACTAGACTCAAGGAAAAAGAAAGAGAGGAAACAAACACTGGGATTTGAAGATATAGACATGAACAGAAAATGAATGAGAGTAGTCTCACCAATAGACTTTGACAAGGAACGTCAGTTCGAGATAACAAGTTGCTGTAATATAGAACAGCTAGCAACAGCGGGACACTCATCTTAGGATCAATGCGACCAATAACACTCAAGGAATCAATAGCATCAGGTCCTAGGGACGGATGCATCACCAAGACACCAGCAACAGCACCAAGTAAAATAGGTATCTCTTGCGAAAGATGAAACGAAGCAGATAACTTTTTTCTATCCCAGAACCGTTCGGCATGTTCTCTAAGTAGTGAATTCCACGTCAGGGGTCCAGGATAAGTTTCCTGATTTTCTATTCCATTGATGTAAGCCACTCTGAGGAAGGAGGACGTGAAAGGTGCATAGTCATTCTGAAAAAAGAAATTCAAAGACTCAGTGAGCAATTTGACTTCACATTTCTTTTGTGAAATACTTTGATATGTATAAAAATCATAACAAACATGCTTATCTCTCATCAATCCTCAAAGGAGTAACCATTTGAAATAACTTAACTCATGAGTATATCTATGTAACTCATGAGTGTATCTATGTAACTCATACGAGAAAGATTTCCAAAAGAAAATAGCAGGTTTCTCTACAGGAACTAAACCTGAGGCCAGAGTTGCTGCATGAGCCTAAATACGACAGAGCCCACCCTGCTGAGTGGTGAATCTCCCTTACTTGTGTGGACCTCAATCTTTGGTGCATTTGACATTGTTACCAAGACATTTTCTACGATGGAAAGAACCTTACTTGCTGCTCCTTTGACTGATTTAGAAGGAGAAGACATCAGTGCGATGATAGGGAATAATAATAGAGGCTCCACGCTTGAACAGGCTGCATCTCTAACCGACAAGTTTTCTACAAAAAAAATTGAAAGTTTGAAAGGAATCAATCTCAGTCAACAGAAAATACAAAAAAACAAAAAAAAGGAAGCATAGAGTCATAGCAAGACAAGCCAAACTGACTGGAGTAAAGTAGCCACTACACTATAGACGATGAAACGAGCAAAAGTGTACGGACAAAAGTATGGAGACTCGGATTACCATTTTCACATTTCCATTTGAGCAGAAAAAGCAGGAACTTTAATATAGAGAGTTGTTCATGCTCGACACTGGACTTGGCAAGCATGAATACTAGCGAGAGAACCACCAAGGATAAGTCACGTGAATATGGTAAACCAAGGTCTTTCTGAACAGCTAACAAATGCTTCAAAGATTCGATCACAGGCTCTTGTTCGGTGTTTTGAACATTAGGAGAAGCACAAAGCAAAAGTACGGCATCTACTAGTTGCACACCGAGAAGATGAATTTCTGTTACTTCCTGCTAGTATAGATAATGAATGAATATCGAACAATGAGCACAAGTATTAAGATGAAGGCATGAGGCAATTAGCACATACCAATCTAGTTCCAACCAAGTCCCTCACAACCACAGTGTAGGCATCCACTAGAGTCTTGACAATGCAGCTGAAATTTCTGCTGTCCTGAATAATTCCAGAAATTCAGAACTGGGACCTAAAATCTCATCTAATTACGCGCATTCATCAAACTGAATGGCCTCGAAAGCTATCGATATCATCAAGCAAACCTGTATACTTACTTCCGAATTTCTTCCAGGGATAAACTTCAGGCAGCGCATAAGCAATCTGAATACTGGCAGTGCTTCGTGGCGGCATGAGCAACAAAGAGAAGCCATTGATGAAACTAGTTCCCTCGCAAACAAAGATGGCGATGAATCTGCAAATGGGATACGAAGTATTGTGAAATTCAGGAACGGCTCCAGAAATTCACACACTCCCACCATTCCCAATCGCCGATTATGCATCACAAAGAGTGATATTTGATGAAGAAGCTCCGTTTGCGTCTCCTCTCGGCTAGAAAGAATCTGCAACCAACAAGAAAGAGATTCATGAAAGACTTGTGAACTTTGACTCATTCCCACGCATCCAATGTGATCAACATACCCTGACAAACGGATGATTCTCCGTCGAATTGTGCTTCCAATTCCCATCTTTCTGTTCGTATCCGATGCGAATCAAAAACCCTAAACCCTTCACGAAGATCGAAACCAATTTCGGGTCGCAGCCTTCGAGAGCTGACTGAAGCTCCAGCAAGCCGCGGGAGAGGTCCAGAACGGAGTCTGATACTAATCGACATAGCTCACGAACGGATTGATCAACGACAGTGACGGATGCGGAAGTAAGGCAGAAGGAGATAGCTTCTCTTCCGGCGTCGGATTCCGAACCCAATCGCTCCGGAGCAGATCGTAACTTGGAGAAGACGGAAATCACAGCGAATCTCTGTATGGAAGGTTGAGGGACGCGAGTTTTCTCAAGTAACGTAGCGTACGAGGCCATCCCTTTGACCAGAGATAGATAGAGAGAGAGAGAAAAGGTAACGGCTACTTCGGTGGCGTGAACGGAGTGGACTGGAATTTTCAGGCGTTAACGGAGAGGGCTGAGGAATTTTTCAGCGCCGGGAAGGTGAAGTCCGACCAGCCGGCACTAGACAATGGGCCGTCTCAATTAGGCCCAATAAGCCTATATCAAGACTATATAACTGAAAGATTCGTCTAATGAGATGACTAATTGCAAGAGGTTAATAACTAACCGTGAAGATTCGTCCAGAGAGATGATTTCACTTCGAGTCGGTCAAGATTTTAGTGTGAAGATAGTTTCGAGAATGCAATTGACAAATATGTTGTGGATACGAAAAGGAATGTTGACAAATATGTTGTGGATACGAAAAGGAATGTTTAAATTTGAGAGAATGATAAGAAAAAGATCAAATTTTAGAGAGAAATTTGATAAGGCAAATCTATGAGTAGTGTTTCTTTATTAATTGTGCGAATAACGTTTACAAATCTGTAGATCCGTATTTATAATGCGTCAGTAACGTGATACACATAGAAAAAAAGCAAATGTGTTGTATCATTCTTTGGTCCACGGCATTTCTCTTAAGAAAAGTTTATTTGCAGTACATTACAGATTTGAAGTCACAGGAAGTCACCTAAACTAACAACAAGGGACTGTATAAGAAATCTGAATCTATTAACGTAGACAATTTTTGTGCTGAAACTGATGTCCTTGAGTTGAAATATATGCCTCCATAAACATACAAGTAAAATATATGATTGTGAGAATTTTTTGTTGGAAAGTTCACTTGGAATGGAATGGTAAATTTAAGATATTGACAAGTTCAACATCTAGTGATGAATACGAAGAGCAATTTGGAAGGATGTATACCGCCGATGCAGATAACTTAAGGAGTCAAATCTAGATTTTACAAAATGATATTGGGAGTGGTCCATGATATATACAAAAGAGGATTTGGACATTGCTGTGAATGAACCAACAGGTCTAGAACTGAAACTAAAACTAAAATTTTCATAAACTCGAGATTAATCTGAAATTTTGGTATGGTGTTTCTGATTAAGGAAAAAAGAAAGAAAAAAAAAAAAAAAACAGGTTTATTTCGCTTTTTATTTCACTGACATGGGTGTTTTTATTTGGACACGACAAAACGAAGAACGAAAGTACGTACACACATCGACAAAATTATTCTAGAAATAACAAAAAAAAAGTGGGACATAAAAGTAAAATTACATAATTGCCTTCCAACAGACGCCCACAGTTTATAGTACGGTCCTCCTCGTCGTCTTACCTCCTGGCTCGTTGGTCTCGAGGGTCACATTAGTGTCATGGGCTTCATGAGCCTTGTCCTGCACATACTGGCCCATCTCTTTTCCCTTCTGACCAGCATAGCCTACGGCGTCAGCCACACGACGCTTAGCGTAGTCCAATTGCTCCGGCACTGTTTCACTGGTCCCACGGAGGTAGTTTAGCACCCACGAGACTGAGCTTAGACCCGTCAGCCCAAACAACCCAGAAGCCAAGATTCCGGTCACAGCAAGCCCGATGGTGATGGCTGCTGGGACAATCACCGGACTGAAGAGAAGGAAGAGCGGAATGGAGACCAGCAAACCGATCACCGAACCGGCGAGAGTGAGTCCAGCTAGGGCTAACAGTGTGCCACCAATGGGAACTCCTGCTATAAGTGCCAAGACCTGCATGTATAGATTATGTTGATCTAGTTTAATTTAGTGTTGTTTATCTAATTTAGAACTTTAAAAAAAAATTGATGATTAATGTTAACAACTCAAAATGCTATAATTCCAACCATGCATGCATCTATAACCATATTTGTTTAGAAATCCTAAGAGTTAGAAAATAATTAATATGGACTATAACTTATTTTAAATTTGAAAGTCATGCTTGACATATAATATCCAATGTTTTAATTTATTATTACTTTAAAATTTTATATGTAGTTTGGGTGAGTGATCATAGTTAAAAAGAAAACACAAAATACTTGGTTACTGGAGGGGCCGCGACTCTGGTATTCAGCACCAGCACCATAACCATAGCCATAACCAGAACCATAACCGACATCATCATTGAACTGCGGCTGGAGATGAATACGTTTGTCACCACGGTCGACATGCACACCACGCCTATCCACAGTCGCCATGTCGATGATGTGAACTAAAGGTACTCACTAAGAGCAAAGGATTAACAGAAAAAGCTAGAGAACACAAAAGGGTGTATTGTATAAGTTGTTGTAAGAGATCGTGTATATATAAATGGGACTGGAATATATTTTTTGTAGTAAAATGGAGGTTTGGAGTGAAGAGAAGAGGACACGTAAGAATGTGGTGAAGGGAGGTGTGGCTTTGCATGATATCCAAGTTTCATTCTTTACCTGATCATCATCTTTTCATTCTTCTCTCCACCGAAATGAAATAAAAACAAACTAGACATTTGCTCTCACCTCGATGCATCCAGATGCACTTGTGTGCCAAAAACATATTTCCCTTTTAATTCTTTAATTTTCTTAATAGTATTTTTCAGTTTTAGTTATAATTTTTTTTTTAAAAATACTACAAGAACCCACTAAGGTTTTTTCTTTCAATTTGATCGGATCCACCAGTTTTATCAACAAGTTGTACCGCACAACTTATAATACTAAAATTTGGAGACACTTAATTGTGTTTTACTTAGCGTAGCCGCATGCAGTATGCGTTAACTATCAAGGATTCTATTAATATAGTTTGCTTTGCTAGTTTAACATGGATGATGCAGTAGCATAAGTAACGATAACAACCAGTGGCGAACTTAAATACCTTTTTAACCGAGTCCAACATTTCATTTCTTTTAACCCCAGTTAAGATCTCAAATATAGTGGTGTCAACTGTCAAAAGAAAATCATAATTATAACACTTTTTTGTTCAATGGCTAAAACAAAATTTATAATTTTTCCATCCCCTTATAATATAGGTCAACCAACGAATGATAGCAACTCAACCGAAGAACTCGAATGTGAATCGTGTGAAAATGTGTTTAAAGGTAAAAAGAATGTCAAGTAGATTGTTACGAATGATAATTTTTTTTTTACTGTCTTATCCTGATTTCTCTAATGTGAATTTTTTGAAGTTTGGTGATCAAATCGGACCTTTAAGCTACTTAACAATCCAGTTTCTTGCTTTCAGCTTAGATTATACGCCTCAAAAAAGCAAATAACCAGCACGACGAAAACTAATACGAGAAAACAAAAACTTGGTATATCTTGTGTCGATGCAGATGCTAATTATTTATGATGATGATGATGACTTAATTTGTAGTATATTCGAAGACCAGAAATTGGTTGATCGCTTTTATAACACGAGCACACTCATGGCCCAGTGGCTTTAGTTAGTACACCTTTTTTCTTACAGAGGTCTAATCGCATCAATCAATTTCGACAAAGAAAACGACGTCGTCCACGGAACAAGGCTTTTTCACTTGTTTCTGTTATTGGACCTTTCTAAGCTATTGGTGGGCGGTTTAGTGGGTCCACTGCTACTTGATAACGAGATGACAAAACTTCTCTCGCTTTCTGTTGGTCCACAAATTGGGCCCATATATGGCCCGTTTACGCTTTTTGTGTTTGCTCTTCGCCTTTTTAGTTTTTACTTTTTAGTGATGAATGAGATTGATTCAAGACTTGGATTTAACCTGTGAAAATATGGACCTATGGCTCAAATCGCAAGTACTAAAACAGTAGGATTTCTTTGGACGGGGACATTAGTACAACAGTTTCGCTGGAGTTTTAAATGATCACCAAGTCTAGTTTTAAAATGTAGAAAAGTCTAATTGTAAGAAAAGGTGTGAACTCGTGACAATAAAGCAATTCAAGATTGTTTTTTTGGAAAAAGAAAATCGATAAGAGAATAATAAGTATGAGAGAATTGAGGGAGAATGAGAGGAGAGGGAGGGAATAATTGAGGAAAAGTCTCAAGATGTGTGTACAATATGAGATGATATATCACATGGCAAAACAATCATATTTTCAGCAGTAGACAGTGATAGTGTAATAAATGAGAAATGTTATAATAAAAAAGGTTAAAATGAAATGATGGCTGCGAATGTACATTCTTGTAGGTACTGTTTATGAAACTGACCCATGTCTGAATATAATCTCGAAGCCGCGTGTCATGAAGTCGACATGTAAATGGAAGTCAAAATATGCATACGTCGATGTAGTACTTGTATATCAGTGACAGTGTATATAATGTCCGTTTATTACATTCATATATATTTATGTAGACATCTGACTGAATAATTTATTCACCCGACTAGATTCGACTTAAATAGGTCAACTAATTCCTTTAACTTGTCGTGATTTGTTCAAACCACAAGTGATGCAACATGCAGGAGTATTGAAGCACAAACATGATGCCTCTCATCTCATTGGTGCCTTGTGCAACGGGAAGAGCTGTAGTTTTCAGTATAGACAAAACTATATAGTAGAAGTAATATAAAAACTTTTCGTTTACCGGACTATTTACATATACGTACTTGAATGTTAGCAAATGATAAAAAGAAAATCATTATAAATCTTAATTCATCGAAATGAAAAGCTAGGAGTAAGTTTTTGATTTGATTTGTGTGAATATATATATATATATTTGGTTGTTAGGTTGCCGCCAAATGACAAGAAATAAAGATGGACCGACTTTTAAAAGAGATTCCCTACGAAGACATGTGCCTAAAAGAAGCTACTAAATGATGTTATTAGCAAATTGTGATTATCTATTTGAACCTTTTCTCAAGTCGACAGATTATAAAATCACTCGACTAACTTAGAATATTAGCAAAATGATGTTTCTGACCAGTGACTAGTGTGTGTAATCAAACAACCAATTATTAGCCTACTTTCCTATATATCATCCTACGAGATCTATTCAAAAGGATCGACATAAAATTTTATTATTTTAAATATCATAATACAGTATTAATATCACATCATTGACATAATATCACAATCGCCGAACGAACCTATAAAATGGTATTGCTAACAATGAGGTTCTTTAAGTTGGTTGAAATGCTACTAGTCGAACCGGCTTTGTATTTGCTAATTACCTTAGCACATTTAGCAATTAGCAAGTATTTTGAGGTGTTTGACAAAGAAAAAAAAAAGCAAGTATTTTGAGGTTAGGCCATGAATTCATAGCTATATCTATTTCTTATTCAACATTAACGAAATTATCATCTGACCTTACATGAAAATAGAAATACAAGTTAAAGTACACATAGGCATAAACTCATAAGTATATACATATATATGTACATACATGCATGTCCTCGTCGACATATATACATACGAGGATATATCTTCATCACTTCCATCACATCAACCAACCTCCCTCTCTCTCTCTCTTTATAATTCTCCGCCGCAAATTCTCTCAATAAGTGATGATGACTATTCAACTCCGTTGACCAGTCAACCCCTCCGTCCACCATAAGCCGACGTCGTTTCGCCACCAAGACAACTAGCGTACCTCATGAGATCAGCATTGGTCTCCTCTAGTTCCCTTTGCAGCCTCAACACCTGTCTTTGGAGCACAGAGATGGCCCCAACGCAGCCATACACTGGATCTTTTAGTCGTGCCTCCGCCTCGTAAGCCAGCGAGTTCACCGCGTCTTCCCTTTGATGCGGGGCCACTTCGTGGAGGATCTTGCTCACGTTGCTTGCCCCGAATATCCGGTGGACGTTCGCAAATTTTGTAGGTTCCTCTGGCGGAAAATACGGTGCGAATACGCAGTCTGACGTGCATTTCCGCCGGAGGAATTTGCATGCCGCGCAGGGTGAGTTTGTGTAGTTCGAATATGATGACGACATTTTTGCTTATATATCCACTGATTTTTCAGTTGCTAAAATGAAAAAAAAAAAAAAAAAAAAGAGAGGATGTTATCACAGATACATATTTTATTAGGAGTTCTTCGAAAGTTCAAGATTGATATGAATCTTGATTCTTGATCCACATCGATGTGTGTATGTGTCAAGATGTCTAGATGAAAATGTGTCTACGTAAACATATGATTTTTGTTTTCCATTTTGTGTTGGTAGGTGGTAATTAACTAGCAATAATTGTCTCTTCACCTATATATATGGGTACAAGACGTATGATTTTCTTAGACTTTTTATCCTCAAAATTCATTATCCTTAGAATGGTAACTAGAAATAGTTACGAGACGTATGATGTTCTTAGTCTTTTTTAATAAAATTCATTTTTCGTAGTGTTCTTACTGCATCAAAAACCGGTTACCATGAAATCCTTATTTGAATCTCAAACAAGTTTATATACATATATATCCTAGACAGTCCTTTAATTTCTACTCAGGTATAGTTTTACATAATATAAGTTCTTCGGACATTAACCCTTAAACTAATCTATAATATAAAACATACTACATATATATGCACAAAATGTGAAATCTAAGTGTATTGGTGCATCTAACACACGGTAAGATTATGAGAAGTAATATAACTAGGAAGTAGCTGTGATTAAACATAAACAAATACAGCTAACTCTGGTTTATATGAATATGAAGAAAATGGGTGTTGCTAATGCTAATATTAAATTCGGATTGAAGCTAACTCACAATGGTATTACTTTTAAGAGTAGTTGTTGTTTAGATCAGACAGGATCACGTACTTCTCAAAGATTATGACATTCAATTCACATGTGACATTTTGTATAGTATTTCTAGAGAAGGTGGTATACGTACATTTTCATATATATATGCGCCATCAAATTTGGTGAAAAAAACAATGCAAAATCGAAAACGTTTTCTTGGAAAACTTTTTATAAATAATTTTCTTTTAAATCGAACAAATCAAACATTCTTGACCACACATTTTTGTTCTTGGCGTTTAGTTTAGCAGTTTTTCCTTATTTTATCCTCGATCATAGCACTCTCTGGTTATCTGACTCTGAGTTCTCCACATCTATACAACATAGATAAATTGGTTTCATTTCTTAAATCTATGACCTAATTATTATTTACTTTAAGGAAGTGTTTTCAGTATTGTTCCTTCACTATATAAAAGAAGTTACGAAATCCAGATCTCACCTCAAACTGTGTAATTCTTGGTAAATAAGGCCGTCAACTACAAATTGGTAGCTCAAGAACAGTGATCAAATCTCCATGATCTAAACTCTCTAATAATATATAACAAGTTAACATTAACAGTACCGTTTATATATATATTATGCAAGTATGTGTGTATTGGTATACGACTCTTACCTCTAGATGGAGCTAGCAACGAGATAAACCTTCCCCTTGATATCTTCTCTGAATGGTTTAATCTTCTTTGTTTCTCTCTTGTATCTTAACTATAAGGAGACATGGTATAACCCCAAGATGATTTTCAATTATTCAGATTCTTTTGTTATTTTTAGTGAGGAAACCCTAGTCGGAGACAAGGAGGAGTCTCTAATTAAGGGGAAAGATAGAGAGAGAAAGAGAGAGAAAGGGGCAAAAGGCATTTTTGGTGGTATGAGAAAAGAGAAAGAAGATGTATATAATGAGATTGCAAAATGACAAATTGGCCTCAATTTATTGAGGACCTAAAATAGTGAACTAAAAAGGAACAACTCTGACCGTGGCAAGTTTTACTCCATTTACTGTAAATATCTTTTCAGTAAATTTGTAACAATTTTCAATTGAATTTGAAGATAATATTTTCTTTTGTGTAAGTCAGTAGCTAGTTTTGGTAAACAAAAAAATCACTAGCTAGTTTATATGAATTTTTCTTACAAGGATCGAGTGATAGTAAACCAACATATCCACGTTTTCAAAATGTGGTATGTTTTTCAAGGTCTGTCGGAATCCAAATTGGAATAGCCCTCGTACCATATCAGATCCTTTAATTTCAATTATCGATTGTTTGATACTTGAGAAGAATTTAATAGCTAGCAAATGAGGAAACATACTTTTGGTGGTTTCGTAATATGATATCATGATACTTTCTTCATAACAATGACCAGGAATCAAAACATGAATAGCTCTTCGACCAATTTGGATTCTTTAACTTCAGTTCCGAGGCTTAATCGATCTTTTTTTTACTTACTTTGACCTTTCACAAGGTTTGTTATCCCGTAAAAAATAAAAATATGTCTGTTTGTGAAGTCTTCTTTGGTCCACACTTCTAAATAATATATTGTTTTAATTTAGTTACAGAAGGTTTTTCTTGTCAAAAGGTATAGTTTCAGAAGGTTTCGGGATACAAACTTACAACGATATTTTTTATATAGATATATAAAGTACAAACTTACAAAGATACCAGAACTGTTGAGGATCTGAGCAAATCCGACATGTGCCCTGTCATTTTGTTTTATTGAATTTAACTGTTAACATATAACCCCTCCTCATTCTACTGTTTATCTTTTTTTTTTTTGTTAAAGGACTTATTCTACTGTTTATCTTTCTGAAAACAATTACTAACTTTTATATTCCAAGTGCTTTTAAATAACAAAAACGATTAGTGATTTACTAATGCATTATTGTTTACCAAATTGTATAAGTGCAATATTTGGTAGCATGCGCGTAGATTATACCAATGATTAAATGAAATAATGAATAGAAAATTGGCTACTTTTTTTTTTTTTTTGCTAAATCAAATTTTGGCAAGCAACACTTTACGTATGTATCTATATAACGGTACTTTAAGTATTTCCAGTTTCCTGACTAGATTAGAGTGTATACATATACATCATATCACATATATGTATAGATCTATGATCTATCATATATCAAATGTAGGAAGAAAGTAAATGAATAATATGAAACTGGAAGAAAGAAAGCGGAAAAAGCACATTTCAGATCTAAAAAAGTATATTACTAACCTCTTATCGTATACATATAAATAAGCCAATGTGGGTCGACAAAAAGAGAAGCCAATGTGACGTCCAGAAAATGAAGAAGCCAAGTGCGTGCGCCATCCATCAAAAAGAATTCATGTATGTGCATGCACCTAGAACTACAAGTCGGTGTCGTTTCCTTATCAGTTGGTCAACATTTGGAGCTCGATTCCGACCTTATCTTTTCTTTTCTTTTTTCTTTTAAACATGAAAAAATATCAGTTGATGCTACTTATATGAAACATTCGGATACATATTTTGAAAGGAATTTTAAAAATATCTCAGAAAACAGATTTCATAGTTAACAAGAGTTTAAGATATGATCAATCCAATTTACTGGGACTACTTTTGAGATTAATTTATATCTAGCATGATTTCAAATTTGTATGAACCCTTAAACAAAAGGTACTTATGATTTAGTAATCATAGGTTGGGAGTTTGTGGATTGGTTGTTGAAGAATTGTTACATACGGAAAAAATGTCGACGGAATTATTGCATGTCAAGTGTTAGTATGACCACAACAATCATTAGATATGCACAATTATTTGATAAAAAAAAATATAATTTATTAATGCACCTTTTTTTTTCTTATTGCTTTATATCTATACATCGAATATATAATTATTTTAGTGATGTCCAATCTTATTTTCATTTCAGTTCTTGTTTCATTCGTCTTCTTTTGTTGGTTTATCTAAAGAAATCAACAGAAGAATATAACTGTAACTGAATATGGTTTCATAACTTCGTCAAAGAAAAAAACTTAAAGAGGTTTTTGTATTGGGTCTTTTTTGTTTGCTTAATTAAAATGACATTTTCAAGATCTTAATTTCAACTTTCATATAGGGAAATCCGTACCATTAAAACGTGAAACCTATTACCTATCTAACTATCTTGCTATCCATCGAGTCATCATAACATGTTCTGCTTGCTTCTCTATGTTGAACTTGAACTGGCATCCGTACAGTGCATTTTGTTTGGCATGATGTAACATTGTGTTTGATTGGGCCTGATAAAGAGTCAAAACTAATCTTCTTCTTTCGGCCCATGATATTTTCTGTTTGTGCTCTGTTTTGACTGTTTCTTCAGTGCATGTTTCATTCATATGGCTTACATCCCCCTCAATATGGTTTGACCATTTGCAGAACGTTAGAGACATACGCAAATGCGAAAAATTAGGATATATGGTCGTGTAAGACAAACATTTAATTTCATACATGAAATGGGACAACATCTAGTTATTAATAAATGTTATAATATTCGTCTGAATTAATAGCTCTTGCCCTAATCCACTTTATGCAAAATTTCCAGATACAACCTGAATCTAATAAATCTTACAAGTTTCTGTACAATAATGTTCGGAGAAAAAAAGAGATTACGGTTTAGGGAGAGACAAGAAAGTAATCTCTAATGGTTCGCCTTTTGACAGAGGAAGGAGGGTTTAAGACAGAGGATGGACTGTTGACGGCGGTTTCTGGTGTTCTCTCGCATACTTTATCTTCTTCTAATGATGATAATGATGATAACGATGATGATGATAATGATGTTTTCTTCTTCTGACTCTCTGGAGTTCCGATGATAGGCATTGATTGGTCATCTGATGAATGCTTTTGGGGACTCTCAGGTTCGTTGTTCATCTCAAGTCTTTCTTTGACTTCAGTATTTGATAATGCTGTTACTCTGCGTTTGACTCTAGACGCAGATGCTGTAGCGTTTGCGTTTGAGGAGCGGCTGTTCTCTATATTCCATAGTCGAACCTATGTATGAACAGGCATGAAAGTCAGTCAAAGGCCAAAAGGCAAAAACAATACACTAAAAATCTAATGAAATGTTTTGTTACCGTGAAATCATCTGAAGCTGTTGCTACCATCCCATTCTCTGATGGACACCTGCACAAGAGATATCGCAAACGGTTTTAGTTATTATCATCGAATCAACTTGTCAAATAGTTGGATGCAGTGAAGAAACGAAATAGTTAAGGCTCGGTGAAGTGGAGTTACCAATCTACTGCGCTAACTTCAAAGTCATGGCCTTTCAAGATTGTAGGATCTACTTGAGGCTTGTTGACCTGAAATTGCAGTGGTTCTTATAAGCATGGATAACTCTAGAAACATTGGTTTAATAGAGAAATTCAAGCTAAGTGACAGAGAAAATCAGACCTGCCATATGTAAGCGTTACCATCGCTTGAACCGCTCAAAATGTTTTCACCATCAGGACTAATCATTGTCTGCAGTGCAAGATTTCGATGTTGAGTGAGCAGGTGAATTTTTTTTATAAAAGCAATCGGTTTGTGTGATTGAAGGGCAAATTGTGAACAAGGCATTATTACCCTGACGAAAAAAGAACCTATTCGGCAACCGGAGAAAGATTGTACAGGTCCTTTGTCAAGCTGCACTATGTTGTATAGATAGATTCTGCAGCAGATTGTTGAAAAGGAGAATACCTATTTGGTTAGATTGACAAAGACTTTCTCATAGACTTTCTCTAAGAAAAGTTTATGAGTGAATATTTAAAAATCAAACCTATTGTCCTTGCATGAAGCTGTGAGTAAAGTTCCACTTGAGTCCTGGGACAAGGATACTATACCATGTGCTCTCTTTTCCTGCAACCACCACAGAAAGAAAAAATAGGTTGCAGATTTAATCTAGTTTCCATTTGAACCGTTTAGCGCCTAACTCAAATCAAAACCATTAAGAAATAACATGGGATATTATCTGAGTCTAAGAATAGGAAGCTTAGCTTACGTTAGTGTTTGTTGGGTCTGACTGTGGAGATGCTTCAGCAATAGGAGCTTTCAGCTTTCTTGCGTCCCAAAATTTTAAGGCGCTAAGAAAATGGAAGAAAAATAAGCAAAGGATGTAAACAACATTGCTATAAGCTCTATGGAATAGCACTTTTACATGAACCCAATTAATATGTGTAAGTACTAAGTACCTATCTGGTGCTCCAGCAGTGGCAATTGTGATCTCGTCTTTGAGATAAAGCACAGAGGTGATGCTTGATGCAGCAGCCTGAATACATGAGAAGCCATAAGCGGAGAAGATAAGATGAATAGGTTAGGAGGGAGAAGTCACAAATTAACAGGAGTAAAACCTTGCGACGTCTGATTCGTTTTGAAAGAGGAGATAGATGAGCTCCTTTTACCATACCAGTAGAGCTGTTTGAAGGCCAGAAACAAAATAAATCAATATAGTTTTTAAGGAAAAAGCCGAACTTCACAAGCTATGATTAGACATAGGACTTACTTGATACTATATCCCCCTTTGTGAGAGATACTTTTACATCTTAAATCCCACAGCGCAAAACATCCATCTCTTGAACCAGAGACAAGAAGATCTGCAAACAGCAAAGAGTTAGAGCTATCTTGATGGGAAATTCAAAAATACCAATTAGCAGATCAAGAAGAGAAATTTGCAAGAAACAAACCAGAATTTGTTGGATGTGAACACATTGATTTCACTGTTCCTGTGTGTCCTATAAGAACTCCAGTACACTTATTCTCCTCAACATCCCATATTTTAATCTGCATCCACGTTAATAGAGAAGTGTGAGCCGTAATGTTGTTCCTCGCAAACTAGTCAATCAAAAAATTTGGGTCACCACTTACAGTTTGATCACCAGAAGCAGTCAGAAGACAACTATCATCCTGCAAATAATTTTGTGATAAGTTCACACAAATGAGCTCCTCAAAATTCCATAAAATATTCATGAACCAAACATATACAGTTTATGGTATAATCCCAAGCAAATGGCGCACCTTGATCCAAGACAGGTCAAAGACCGCATTGTGATGAGCATCCCAGCCACGAGATCTGGCTCTCTCTACACATAATTCCATTTGAAAACAAACATAACTCAGTATCCTATTCATCCCAGGATAATTAGGGTTATCAAACGGGAACGAGACAATACCTGTATTCTCGTCGTGAGATGCAGAGGAGGCAAACTTCTTACTCGAATTGAACAATCCCACATAGCCATCTTCATCTGACACAGCGAACCAATGGGAGTTCCTGCTAGCCTGTACGTTTAAAATAATCGTCAATTCGAATTCACAGAAGATAACAATTGGGATATAATTTTATGAGAATTCACTAAATGCACAGCAGTAATCAGAAATTCCAATCGAGTGTTGAGATTAGATCTAGAATTGAAGTTACATTAGCAACCAGAAGGAAATTATTCGGTAGGTTTGACTATACCTTACAAAAGGAAACGGCCAACGGCGGAGTACGAATCCCCTCGTGGTCCACAGAAAAGCCGGCGATTTCTCTGCAAATCAGCTCGGAATCTGCGAAGTACGGTCGCTTCCTTACTGGAACAAACAAATAAAACGAGCTTAGGAAGCTGAAACTCGTCCAACTCGTCAATTATAGAGCTAAAGGATCGAAAGACGCAACGCATTTGAGAGTAAACTATAGATATACCTCGAAATCCGTTGAGCTCTCTACGTCCGATGTCGAGGAAGACGGATCTAGATCTGGAGTTTTCCATCGGAGATTCTCAGCAATCGAGGGAGAGAGAGAGAGGAGAGAGCAGCGGCGGAGAAATGAGAAAATGAAGATTTCGACGGGGGGGAAATGTTAAAGATCTGGAAACCGGCGGGATTAATCCTAGTTTCATCGTTTTTTAGGCGGTGTGGGTTTCTCTTTGACGCGGGAACATAAATTTTTTCCCAAAAACTCAAAAATGTATTCTTTGACCAGCTTGTGGAGCGAATAAAGAAAGTTCCGTAAATAGCGTCTTCTTAGAAGCCCATGAATTGCTGTAAAAGCCCATTTAGTTTGGGAGAAGGCTCAAATATGTTGGCCCAATTGATTCAGAGATCAGACGAAGAAAGTAGCGGGAAAAAGAGCCGTTGTGACTAAATTCTAAAAACCGTGGCGCCAAAAAAAGTTGGAAAGAGTCCTGCACGTAAGTTTTCCCGGGCAAAAATAATTATTGATTTCCGATTTTACCCTCTCCTCTGCTTCACTAAATAAGCTTCCTCTGAAAGCTTGGCGCTTCACTTAATTCCCGAGGAAGCAAGCCATTAATTTCCAAAGGCAGACTTTTCTTTAAAAGGAAGAATTTTTCGCAGACTTTTCACTCATTCCTTCTTCTTCCTCTTCGTGTTCTCATTCATCCACTTGAAAAGGTCTCTTCTTCTTCTAAATTTCAAAAACACCATACGAGTCTCTCTGTTCCTCGAATTCTCCGCAATCCTTAGTTGATCGGAATTCTGTAAGAAGATGGGGTTTTCGAAGAAGTCTCAATTCGGGATTTCTGTCCGGGCTTCACTGAAGCCGGTGAAGACGAAACTTATAAAGTTGGAGAGAGAAACAGAAGTCGAAGAAGAACAATTCAGTGGTGGCGAAGGATATTGCTGCATCACGCCAAAGGCGTCGGAGAAACTGAAATGTCCGCCGGCGCCAAGGAAGCGCCGACCGGCGTTGAAGTGCCGGAGCAATGTCGTTGTAGAGTATTTGGTGCCTCCTTCAGATTTGGAGACGGTGTTTGTACGACGCTGTTAATGAAAAAAGTTATTGATAGAGTTTTAAGTTGGCTTTTCTTGTTCTCAAGTCATCATTATTGCAGGAAAAGAAGCTTCGATTATAAACTATAAAAGATTCTTTAGTTACAAAATATTAGGGTGTTTTTGTTAATTTGTCTTGAGAGGGTTTGATCTTCATCCATTTGGTTGTTGTACTTTACTCACCAAATTTTATTGTTAAGGATGATGAAAAGATTTGTGGTATGTGTTCAATTAAAAAAAAAAAGTTGTGTTATGTGTGTTTATTCATGATTTTTAAAAACTATCAACCAATATCATGAGTTTAGAAAACCTGTTAACATATTGAATTGCAAGAAAATTATTTTTTTTTTTTTTTAAATGATCGGACTTCTACCAAACTTCCACAAGAGTATATTCTTGTTTGATCTTAGACACATATGGCATATTGAAGTCTATTAAAGCATTTGGGCCCATTTGTTGCATCAAGTTTTTGAATGGTCTCATCATATATAATTATATTCAGTCCAATGATTGTGGCTTTGATAAAAGACCATGTTGGTTTTAATTACGGAACTACGCCGAGGAGTTTCCGAGTTTGCAAGTGCAGAGTCAGTAACATGCGCCGGGAGAAGGCTGCCTGAGACGAGGAATTAAGAAGCGCAAGATAATAAAATGCGCCGGAGGATGACACCAGCCGTCGTCCACGTGATGTTGCCGGGGAGTTCACGTGCGTCCATGTGCGGCTCTCGGTCGTAACTTCCGCTTAATTACTCGTTGGTTTATCTACCAAACACTCAAAAAATTGTTCGTTTCCCTTTTTGCGTTTTCAATATTTATTGATCTATTAATAATAACTTAAGGATTCATCCACAGAATGAGAATTAGTGGAAATTAGACAGTTAAAGTAAGTAAATAGTGCTATCATAAAATCATTTTCAGTGGTTCAATGCACCAGCCAACTCGAATTCTTAGGAGGACATGTCTCGTGATAGAAAATAATTCTATTTAAATCTACCAACAAAATTGCATTGGTGCCATTAATATATAATGATTATGGTCCGTGTATAATTGCATTAAAAAATGGAAAGGCTTTGTCTGTCGCACATATTTTATACTACTTCAGTACAAAAATTATTAGTTTTTGTCTTTCCTTTTGTTTTTACGCACATAGAAAAATATTCACAGTTATTAAAGTGACCCAATCGCTTAATTCATATTTTAAAATTTTGTATTACAGATTCGTCGAATATGTATATGACCATAATTAATGTGGCCCTTAAATTTGTTTTTATGGCCCTACTATTAAATATAGTACATTAGTACTACATGCCTAAACTTTATAGCCTATAAATAACAATACATTACACGAAAATTCATACACTACGAGTGTATACTCTAAGATATATACAAGCGGCTCACTACTTGATTACAGTCATTACATAAAAAACAATCACCAAAAACAAAACAAAAATATTTTTTAAAAATGCAAAGAAATACGAAACATTGCTTTTGAGGGAACATCGCGAGATCGAGAGTGTAAAAAGTTGCTTAAACCTTTCCCATTAAACGACGAACAGATTTTCGACTTTCTTATTAATTCTCCTTTTCCTTCCTCATTCACCTGAAGAAAAAAGAACCTTAAAGCACGAGAGAAATAACAAAAGCGGCAATATCTTTTTCTGTAATCGATTAAATCTCTTCTTCTTCTCCTCTCTCTCTCGGACATTGATCGGATCAGATCTTGAATAACTCGTCAAAGAAAAAGAAAGATTTTCGATTCGACGTCAAAAAAGCTGCTGGTTACTACTCTACTCATCCTCCAGTGCAGAAGAAGTAATTCCTTCAAACCAACGACTGATTAGTCTATGATCAGGTGTTTATCTCTTCACCCTTCTTCTCCGTCTACGCAAAATTTCTCGGAACTGCTTATTTTTGTATGGGAAATTTTCGCGGGAAAATAAAGTCGAATCCTTTGTCTTTCTCTCTGCATTTTCTCGGCGGTTGATTGAGTTTACGCAACCCAAATCACTGATGAAATTGAGTATCTGATTTGATTTAGACGAATCCTGTTATCGTCACCGTAATCTTTGCTGGGTTTCCTTTTTCTGAATACACATCGTATCGCCGCCATTAACAGCGACTATCTTCTTTCAGGAATTGTGTCGAACACCTTCAATGGATTCACCAGTCGATCGCGTTGGTTCATCATCGTCATCCAAAACCAGAATCCCTCCAGCTAAATCCAAATGTTCCGTCACATCTTTCTCGATCGACTCAAGAGACGGAGGAGGAAGAAGCTCCAAGAAATCGGAACCGCGATCGAAGAAGAAGACGTCAACACCAAAAGAAACAGAAACTTCCCCTGAAGTTCTAAGCCGTTACGAATCCTCTTTATTCACCGCATCTCAAACGCCGATCTCGATCATACGGACGAAGAAACAACCGGAGCCGAGGTTTTACCCCAGCCCAACCAACACCTTCTACACAGCACCGCTCTACTCAGAAGCCAAGCAGAGCTTCACGAGCACGGACCTCAGCGACTGCGCGAGCACAATCGGCGTCGGAGGCATCGATCTGGAGAAAACAGGCGTATCGACGTACAGAGGAAGCACGGGGAGCGACGCGAGCGACGAGAGCAGCTCGAGCGGTTTCAGCAACGCCGGCCACAAGCCGCACAGGGCTAACAACGACAAGCGATGGATCGCGATCCAGGAGGTTCGATCTCGGGTCGGGTCGTCTCTTGAGGCGAAAAATTTCAAGCTGATAAGACAGCTCGGAGGCGGCGACATCGGAACCGTCTACTTGGCGGAGCTGATCGGAACGGGAGCGACTTTCGCCGTGAAAGTCATGGAGAAGGCGTCGATCGCGGCGAGGAAGAAGCTCGTTAGAGCTCAAACGGAGAGAGAGATACTCCAGTGTTTAGACCACCCGTTCCTGCCTACGCTCTACTCGCATTTCGAAACGGAGAATCATTCTTGCCTCGTCATGGAGTTTTGCCCCGGCGGTGATTTGCATTCTCTCCGGCAGAAACAGCCCGGAAAATACTTCCCGGAACACGCCGCTAGGTGATAATAAAAAACTCACCTTTCATGGATTTTTGCGGTTTCTTAGTTTAATGTTTTTCGTTATTGCTGAAAAAAGTTGAGATCTTTGCAGGTTTTATGTTGCTGAAGTTCTTTTAGCTATGGAGTATCTACACATGCTTGGGATCATATACAGAGACCTCAAGCCGGAGAATGTGTTAGTCCGTGAAGATGGGCACATAATGCTATCAGATTTCGACCTCTCCTTAAGATGTGCGGTCTCTCCGACGCTAGTCCGATTCGCAGCAACGACGCTTGAGTCCAAGAGCTCGAGCTACTGCATCCAGCCGGCGTGTGTAGACCAACCGGGCTGCGTTATCCAGCCAGATTGCAGCCAGCCGGTTTGTTTCACTCCTCGGTTCATGTCAAGAAGCAAGAACAAGAAGAAATATCATAACGAGACAGGACGTCAGGTTAGGCCGCTCCCGGAGCTGATGGCTGAGCCGACTAGCGCGCGGTCCATGTCTTTCGTTGGGACGCACGAGTACTTAGCGCCGGAGATTATCAAAGGAGAAGGTCACGGAAGCGCTGTTGATTGGTGGACATTTGGGGTGTTTCTCTACGAGCTTCTGTTTGGGAAGACTCCGTTTAGAGGAGACGTGACGAGGACGACGCTGTTTAATGTGGTTGGGCAGCCGTTGAGGTTTCCGGAGCACCCGAGTGTGAGCTTTGCGGCGAGAGACTTGATCAGAGGGTTGCTGGTGAAAGAGCCTCAGCATCGGTTGGCTTATAGGAGAGGAGCCACTGAGATTAAGCAGCATCCGTTTTTCCAGAGTGTTAATTGGGCTTTGATCAGATGCACCAGTCCACCTCAGGTTCCTCAGCCGGTTGTAGTCACGGACAGTGGTCGGAGTCTTCGTCGTGGTCAGGGTCATAGTCAAGGGCATGGTCATGAGAAGCCGCCTACTCCTATTGTGGATGTGAAGCCTGCTGGTAATTATTTGGAGATTGATTTCTTCTGATTTGTTTCTTTTTCTTTCTCGTTTTTTGGTTCTCGTGATGTTCCGGCGTATCAGCCAAACTATATGATGTTTTTTGCTTTTGGGGTTTGTCTAGATTTTGAGCTCTTTCTTAAATGATTTGACTGTTGTTGTTCTTCACATTATGGTGAGGTTGTACCTAATATTCAAAACAAGTTTCATTTTCATGCAAATATTGAAATGTAAATTTAATCACCAATGGATGTTTTTCTTTTCCAATCGCAAATAGATTAATGAAACTCTTTAATGTTAGCTAGGAATGTGACGAATGTTCCTCTCTAGTATTTCACCATTTTGTTGAAAAGGAGTCTAAAAACAAAAGTTTTTACTGAAATGGTAAATAAGAGCTTTAAAAAATGATTTTCATAATCTAACAGTCGGGGAAGTTTACAGGTGTCTGTGAATACGTGTGGTAGTATCCTTGATAAATTTAATTTAGAAAAAAAAATCAAAGAGTTTCTTCGTTTCATTAAAGTAAACGTCTGTGACCGAAGCAATTTGACGGACGAGTATATTGGTAGGTGTAACGGAGCAAGCGAATGACGTTTCCCTTCATGGAGCTGTGGTTGGTAAAAGGCTTATGTCACCAACCAGTCACTTTAATTTCAGGCCCAATTTGCGTGGGTACGGGAGGGACGGTTGTTCAGATGCACATAATTTAGGAAAACGATATAAACGAAGTTTTCCTTGCTCGAAAAATAAATGACAACGAAATTAACACCTCTTTCATTTCGATCGCTTCGCATCTTCAACTCTCATTCTCTCTCTTCTATCTGCTATTGCGAAACCCTTGATTTTGGAGGAAGGAAGAAGACGCGGTACTCTTCAATGGGGGAAGTAGAGAACGTTAACGCTGCTGCTCCGGTTTCGGAAGACGAGCTGTATGGTTTTAAACGGCCGGAGATGTACACTGATGCTCTCGCCGGCTCCGTTGGTCCGTACGGCCGCCATGTTTTCCTATGCTACAAGAGCCACGAGACCTGGATTCCTCGTGTCGAAGCTGAAGGTCTTCCGCAGCGTTTCGCGAAGGCGTTTAAGGATCGCAGAGCTGATTTACCTGAGGTACATAAACGTTTAGATTTGGCTTTTCTGGTGTGAACAGTCTTAATTAGTTACTGAATGTTGAGCGTTTATGTTGTTGTAGACGAAGCTGACGATGTGCGGTGGAGGTGAATCGGACGGAGATGTGTTGATTTTCCCGGAAATGGTCAGATACAAGTGAGTTTTCCGATTTTCCAGCTAGTTTCGAATTCGTGCTTGGTAGTTCGATTTCTGGGAACAGTCACAACTGATTGATTTAGAAATTGTAGATTCTCAGATTCTAAGGATTTTAGTTGTAGAGATTATGGTGTTATTGAACTCCAGATTTGGATCTGAGAAGCCGTTTTGCAATCGTTTTGTTGATATGCGTTTGTGCTACTCTCTTAATGGTGTTTCCATAGCTGCGTTGTTTTTGTTCTTGTATTTCTCTGTAGATCTTGGTTTTGCAATCCTTGTTAAACTTTCTCTTCTCGTTGTTGTTACCTTAAGGGCGATTAAGGATACAGATGTGGATGCTTTTGTGGAAGATGTGCTTATCAATGGAAAACCATGGACCTCTGGAATTCAGGAAGAGTTATCAGGTTCCTTTGTGTTTGTTTGTGCTCATGGTAGCCGTGACAAGAGATGTGGCGTTTGTGGACCAGCTCTAATGGAGAAGTTTGAGAAGGAGATAGGCTCAAGGGGGCTTTCAGAAAAAATCTTCGTTTTGCCATGCTCTCATATCGGTGGGCACAAGTATGCTGGCAATTTGATTGTCTTCAGCCCTGACTCAGCTGGAATTGTATCTGGCCATTGGTAAGAAAATGTCAAATCCAAACTTGCTTGAATAAATCTGAAAAGAAATTGAAGTGTAGTATCTTATGCATTAGCAAACAATCTTACTACTATGCAGGTATGGTTATGTGACTCCAGATGATGTGCCTGCAATGCTTGATCAGCATATTGCAAAAGGAGAAATCATACAGAACCTTTCCAGGTCTGTTTTTCAATTTCCTGTTTCTAGCTTGTTGCAGATACGTCTCTGTTAAAACAGCATTACATGTACAAAAGAATTTCAACACTGACATGGCATCCATGCTTTTAAATTTTACACTCGATATATACCTTAGTGTTGGAACCGAGACCGTCTAGTAACATAGGACTAGGAGAGAGCTTTTTATATGCTAAAGAATGTTGCAATTCCGTATTATTTCTTACTAGTATGATACTGAAACGTAATTGCTAGAATCACAGTCATTAAGTTTATGTGTAGAGACATCGAATGGTAATGTATAATGTGTACTTTGGCCGTGGTTTTTGTTTTCCAAACTATGTAGCTCATGACTCTTCACTCACTCAGTTTATCTTGAAATGTTGTTTTCTTATTTATATGAAGGGATCTTTCAAGCTTCTGATTTCTTGAATGCTTAGGCTCATTTCAATGCTGTATATTTGTTTTCATATAGCGACATCGTTTAATCAAACAGTTTCTGTTTCAGGGGTGGGATGAGACTAGGACCCCAGAGTGAGGAAGCTGAGAAAGTGGAGAAGCACAAAATCCCAAACGGAAACGGCGTGGTGGAAAGCCAACCTGTGGAGAAGAAGGAGTTCACAGGAGGTTGTTGCCAAGGTGCAAACGGAGTTTCATGTTGCCAGGAGCAAACTCCAGAACCAGTCAAGAAAGAAGGATCCGTGAAGCGTAACTGGTTCAGGTCGATAGAGAAAGAAGAGATCTTCTTGGGAGCTGCTGTTGTTGGAGCTATCGCGACCATAGCCGTGGCTTACAGCACTTACAGGAGGTCAGGTTAAAGAAACCACCCTCTTCTTTTACCTTTCAAGGAGAGAACTTACACAACAAAGTATAAAAGCTATTATTTGGTAGCCATATTATAGCTGCAGTAAAGGAAACACAAAACATGGAGGTAATAATCTTTTGGAACCACCTAACCATCATTTGGTCTGGCTGGGTAATCGGTTTGGCAATACAAGAATTGGGATTTGAATAAACTACATATTATAGCCTTTTCCCCTGAATTATGTGTGTTTGTTTATTTTGTTCAAATCGGTTTAGTTTGTTTTAATATGTTAACACTTGCAATGGATATCATCAATCTTTTTTAGTTCGATTTATATATGAAATAAACGGTTACTGAGTGGCTTATTTTAATTGTACCGGCCATTGCAGTCAGGCAAGGCAATCACAGTTTCTCAATTAGTTGTTCACGCAATCCAGTGTATAGTTCTATACAAAATGAAACCAAATAAAACCATATACAATCTGGTTCCAGTTTGGTTCTGTGTTTACTTGTGTGGATTCAAATCATAATCGACAAAATAATTACTATATATAAATAAAAGGATAAAAGATGAAGTTGACTAAAAAGATGAAAATCTGCAAAGTACAGAAAGGACGGTCGTAATAAAACGGGTCCTACCTATCTCACTCTTGTTTTGGTTCGTTACCTCACCGACGAGATTTTCAATCGGACGCTTTTCAGTTTTTGGTCATATTTTAGTTTTTTTACAGTATCATAAGTTTAAGATAAGATAACAAGAGCTCTAGAATTCATATGAGTCCAACTAAAGCTAGCTCCAACCAACCACCCCACAATCTTCGATCCAGTAATCAATATATTGCTCCGTGCACAAAACAACAGCGTTTGACCTTAAGAAAAACACGTATTTATAATTCACGTACATTTACGTATTTTACTGTGTTCAAGTCAACAATGGGAGAAACGATTATAAAAAAAAAAGAATCAATACGGTAGAATTGTGGTAAGTTTTTAATTTATAGAAGCAATGGCTTTAACAGGAAAATACAAAATCTATCAATACGGTAATAACTATCAATGTCATGTCCTATCCATCTAAAAAAAGATTACAGATAATCAGTCACCTTTTACACTTACGTCTCTATCTAACTACACATTTTAATTTTAACAGAACATTAAGGAGTAAGGACTCTCAATCATATCCTATGCCTATGTGTATTTTGAAATGTGTTCCGATCATACTTTTTTTGCCCAGTTAAAACGATCTCTATTATCTGATCCGATTCTTTTTTTTTTCTAGATGAATTCAGTTCCCTTCTCGAAGGAGCCACCTATCCCTAATATATTAAAAGAGAAAACACTATAAAATAAACCTTTGTCTCATGTGTTATTAACAGAAATGCCATGCTGATGTGTCAACACCAGGTTCACTTTCAAGGTTAGTTTTAATTAAGACAAACATTACTAGACTAATTACATGTTATGCCATTCATATTTGGTTAGAGAATGAAATATATATGATTAATTTAGTCAGAAAAATAATTATTAATGAAAATTATTTTCTTTCAGTTTCCTTATTTGGTAATGACGAAAATTTATTTATTAGTCAATCAATCAGTAAAATATGGAAAGTTTTATTCAATTGTATTATATTAATTGTTTAAAAATTAATTTATTCATCTATCATTTTTGTTTAGCTTTACTTTCAAGAATAAATTATATCATCACATCAAAATATTTAAAAAAGAAAATTAGTTTTTTTTACATATGCTATGGTTTGAATTTTTAAAAATGAAGCAAATCTCTAAAAATGTTAAATGTCCCACATGATTATATTTTGGGATAATAGTTCAAAAACCTATTATAAAATAGGATCCAAATAATGATCAACCATAATCACAAATAGGAAAGAAAAATTTACCATGTTTGGAAATCTTTAAAATTTCTTTTATTCGATTTAATTTGATTTTAATTGAATTAAATAATTAAATCGTATTTTTAATATTTTGGTTTGATCAAAATTTTAAACGTAATAAATTCTAATAACTTATCATATAAGTTAAATTATTTTAGTTATTTAAAATTGATAAAAACATAAAATATATATGCCATTTTATATTTATCAAAATATAAAATTATTTTAAATGTATTAAAATTTAATATATATGTGGGTTCGGAAAGGGAGAAACTGTTGTTAAAGCAAATGTTAGATTACCACACTGTAAACGATGACAAAAATCAAACCAGGCAAATGGAAACCAAGAGCTCAAAAAAATATGCATCACTCAAAATTTCGTCTAATATAAATTGATTTTTTTAATTGTCTAACACTCTATGTTCCTAAAATTGTATGTAAATAGACATCTTTTAATAAAATCAAATTGAGAAAATATCATCCCGTGCAAGGCGCGGGTCAAACTCTAGTTGTTTCTTATAAGCTCACTGAAAAGCGTGAAAAAGACTTGTGGGTGTGCATCCGCGTCTGTAAGTGTTTTCTTGGGGAAAGAAAGAGAGAAGCTGAGGACATTTCTTGTCAAACTCACTGACGCCTACGCGGAAAAAGCAAACTACTTTCGATTTCTTTAATCCTCAATTTTTCTTTTCCTCTGAAAAGCCAAAAACTTTTAAATTAAAATTGATAACATCTTTAACCAAACGAACACGAATCATCAAATTTTGACCATTTCTCCTTCAGTTCCAGTGTCAACTTCAGTTCTCTTCTCCATTCTTCTCTCTCTCATATATCTCTATCGCTCTCTCAAATTCCCACCCTTTTCCGTCCATATTTTTTTTTCTTTCTTTCTATTAAGAAACCAAACGATTGTTTTCTTTTGTCTAGTTGAAATTTGGATTGTCGTCTTCTTCTTCTGGGTTTGCTTTATTCTGTATTCTCTATATCGTGGGAATCTTTGATTTCGCCATATCTTTTCCTAAAGGCATCTTCTTTCTAGTCTGATTGTATAGTTTCCAATTCCGAAATTTTACTCAAGCCGTAATGATTGATTAATAATCAATCAAACAAAAGGGCCCGACTTTGACAATTCTCTCTGTAGCTAGGGTTTTGTGCCTGAGAGAAGAAAACAATCGAGATTTTGATTTTCATCTGTGGGAAATGGGATCTGCAAGTGGGTTTTACTCAAACGAAGAGTTCGAATTGGATCCTAAATGGCTCGTTGATCCTCGTCATCTCTTTGTTGGTCCCAAGCTCGGTGAAGGTGCTCATGCCAAAGTCTATGAGGGAAAGTAAGCTTTGACTTCAATATCTAACTCTGATTTTATGATCCTAAGAGAACGAAAAAGAAGTAAAATTGTCTCGTTTAATCCATTATCATTGCAGAGAGATTTCAAAACTTAGTTTTTGAGCTTAAGACAGAACCATTTGGCTTTTCAATCTTTTTTATTCACAAGAACTGTTGCTGATGAATTTATGTCTTACTAAAAAACTTAGCCTTGAAAAAAGTTATCTCTTTCTGTATGTGAAGCATAAGAAGATGATTGAGTTATATTCTCTGCATATATCTGTTTCAGTTTGATGATTGAGTTAAAGGATCAAAGAATTGTTTCTGCTTGCATTTAGTCCTAGTCAAACACTTACTGGTCTAATCTTTGTACTATTACGTGTTAATCATGAACCATTATCCCAAAATAGTATGCTTTCTTGTAGGTTCTCTGTTTCTGCAGAGATTTTTTGGAAGTTTTGAGAAGTGTTTGAGTGATTGATAAATGTATTATTCTTTGTGTTCAGGTATAGAAACCAAACGGTTGCTATTAAGATTATTAAAACCGGAGGATCACCTGAAGAGATCGCCAAAATAGATAGCCGGTTTGCGAGAGAGATTGCAATGTTGTCTAAAGTCCAGCACAAGAATTTGGTCAAGGTATCTCCTTCTTTCTCTACCTCTTAACCATGTTCATTTTCGCTAACCGAGAGTTATCGATTTATAACGTTTGAAAAATCGGTTTTTGTATAGTTCATTGGAGCGTGCAAAGAACCAATCATGGTTATAGTAACCGAGCTTCTACAAGGCGGTACATTGCGTAAATATCTAGTGAACTTGCGGCCAAATCGTTTAGACATGCGTTTGGCTGTAGGGTTTGCTCTTGACATTGCTCGCGCTATGGAATGTTTACATTCCCACGGAATCATCCACCGTGATCTCAAACCAGGTAAGGAACAACAAAAAGTTCCCTAACTTGTAAGCATATATGGAAAACTCATGAGCTTAGTATTGCATTTTTTGCAGAGAATCTGATCTTATCAGCAGATCATAAGACGGTTAAACTCGCTGATTTCGGTTTAGCTAGGGAGGAATCATTAACCGAGATGATGACCGCAGAGACCGGTACATACCGATGGATGGCCCCTGAGGTTACTATTGATTTGATTTTTACTACTACTAAACCTTTTTGTTCTTGTAAATTCTGTGTTTGTTGTCTTATCGAATGTGGTGAATGAAAAACAGCTATACAGTACGGTAACGTTAAGGCAAGGAGAGAAGAAACACTATAACCACAAAGTAGATGCTTACAGCTTCGCCATTGTCTTGTGGGAGCTCATTCTCAACAAGTTACCTTTTGAAGGCATGTCCAATCTTCAAGCTGCCTATGCTGCTGCTTTCAAGGTACATATATACATAACTCAGCTCTCAAATCTCAATCCATGTAAACCGATTCTGAAGCATAACCGAAATAGCTGATCTGAGAACCGAAGAGCATCCTTGTATGGTTATAGTTCATTCATTTTTTTCTTCCTATAACTGAACCAAAACAGAGTCTGAAACGAACAGAAAAAGAGAAATTCGAGCTATTTATAGTAACTAAACCATTTGTAATTTGGCTCAAGTCCGGTTCGGTTAGATGCAATTTCGGTTTGGCACTCTTCTTCTCTGCATTGTGACTCATTTGTTTCTTGTTTGTTATGATAGAATTTGAGGCCAAGTGCAGAAGATTTGCCAGGGGATTTAGGGATGATTGTAACTTCTTGCTGGAAAGAAGATCCTAACGAACGGCCAAACTTCACGGAGATTATTCAGATGCTACTCCGTTACCTTTCTACTGTTTCGCCGCCGCAGATTGTTCCTCCTCCGGTTAGACGAGTTTTCTCTTCGGAGAATGTAGTTTTGTCGCCGGAATCTCCGGGAACTTGCTCTCTGATGACTGTGAGAGACAAAGATGGTTCTGGTCAGAGTGTTAACATTGCTGATTCGTCAGAGAAAGCAACGAAAGGAGGCTTCTTCTTCTGCTGCTCATAGATAATGATCGGTTTATATGGTTGTTAATCTGTAAATGAAAACGAGAGGGAACTGTATGAAAAATGTTTATGTATTTATTTCTGTTGTATGAATGATAATAGCTTAGAATTTTAGATCACAACAGTAACGTGTTCAACGAGAAAATGTATTGGTTTTGTATATCCCAATCAAAAATTATTCAACTCCTGTATGATTTTTGGTTTCTTTCAGGGAAATGAAAGGTTGTGGAAATAAAAAATAACGCCGTTGCCGGGGATCGAACCCGGGTCACCCGCGTGACAGGCGGGAATACTTACCACTATACTACAACGACTTTGTTGTTTAGTGTGGAGAAAGACATGATATATATATATATTATATGATTAAGGATCGTCTTCTAAAACCCTGAAACCCTTACGGGACCTTATACAGATTCTTTCTCTCCAGCTCAAATTTTTGTTGCCATTTCTCTTTGTGCTACTAGCTTCACTTGCAGAAGCCAAATGTTAGCGTCAAGGAGTCTCTCGAGACATTGCTCCAGAACTTATAAATGGTCTTTATCGTCCCTCCTTCAATCCGATTCCTGCAGGTAGTTTCAGATTCTAACTCTACTCATCCCTGATCCGATTCTCTCTATGATAACTATAATTCATCGAAAATCCGTCTCCCAGATTTGTTGAAATCCCCAAAATTTTATAGCTTTTGTGTGCAATTGATTGGTTTTGCTATAATTCGAGTTTTGAGAGCAATCGTGAAAATTTATGCTCTTGCTTACGTTCTTTTATCGATTCCGATTGTGAAGGAACCTGGTTTTGTCATCGAATCCGGTTACAAGCAAAGTGATGACTCAGCCTGGTAGCTCAAATGAAGGCAATTCAAATTCATTTCCGCCATTGATGCATCAAGTGTTCAAGGGATGGTCTCGAGCTATGTCAACATCGAGAGGACAGAGCATGAGAAGCAAAGTGGAGAGTAGGATGCGTAAAGAGTCTGGTAAGACTTTGAGAGAGATCAGGAGAGCTAAAAAGCTGAAGAAGAAACTCATGACTGATGAAGAAAGACTTATCTACAACCTCAAAAGGGTATGTGTATATATATGCTTCATCAAAATCAATCACTACTTGTTTTGTTGAAAGTTCGAGACTTTATGTGTGATTGTTGAATGTTCTTGTTGCAGGCAAAGAAGAAAGTTGCGCTTCTGTTGCAAAAGCTAAAGAAGTACGACCTTCCTGAGCTGCCATCTCCGGTGCACGATCCCGAGCTTTTCACACCAGAGCAGGTCCAAGCGGTCAAGAAAATCGGTTTCAAGAATAAGAACTACGTTCCTGTTGGTGTTCGTGGAGTCTTTGGAGGAGTGGTCCAAAATATGCATATGCACTGGAAGTTTCATGAGACGGTCCAAGTTTGCTGCGACAACTTCCCAAAGGAAAAGATTAAAGAGATGGCGACCATGATAGCGAGACTCAGTGGTGGAATAGTCATAAACATACATAACGTAAAAACTATTATCATGTTCCGTGGTAGAAACTACAGGCAGCCCAAGAACCTAATCCCTGTCAATACCCTCACAAAACGGAAGGTAAAGCATTATAAATCTTTTATATAAATGTTTCAGATTCTTGATTCTTCCTTAAATTTGAGGCGTTTCTGGTTATAGACTGATACTTTAGTTGATTTCAGTATTAAGAATGATACTTTAGTTTCAGATTTTAGTGCTATGGTATGAACAAGTATATATGTTTTGCAGGCTTTATTCAAAGATATAGATTTCAGATTCTTGATTCTTACTTAAAAATTGAGGCTTTTGTGGTTAAAGAATGATGCTTTAGTTGATATCAGTATTATGAATTAGACTTTAGCTGAGCTACACTATCTTTAGGGTCTATAAATCATTTGTGTTGTAGTGGTATGGTATGAACAAGTATTTTGTGTTTTGCAGGCTTTGTTTAAAGCGAGATTCGAGCAAGCGCTTGAATCACAGAAGCTGAACATAAAGAAAACAGAACAGCAGCTGCGGCGAATGGGTGTTAACCCGGAAGATCCTGTTGCCATGGCTAGTATCCAGAGAGTGGCGTCAACGTTCTTCAATGCAATCGACAAGAAAGAAGGAAGCCCTTATGTCTTCCATGGAGATAAGCAACAGTCAGGACGAGGGCCTAGCGTTGGAAATATAGAAGAATCAGAAGAATCAGAACCGGTTGATGAAGATAGTGACCAGGAGGAGCTAGACAGATTCATAGCCGAGATAGAGGAGGCAGCAGACAAAGAGTGGGAGGAAGAGGAAGCTGCGGAGCAAGAAGAATCCGGTAGGATAAGGTATTGGAACCGAGAAGAGTTTGCAGGGAGAAGCAGAGGACCTGAAATGCGTAGCTATGGAGACTCAGGAGGTCATGGATTTAGAAGGAATGAAAGGGATACACGTGGCCAGAGGAGATCCAACGATAGTGATGATGACAGTGATCAGTTGGATTCTGAGGATGATGAAATCCCGAAGAGATTTGATAGAGCAAGACCAGATACGAGAAGACAAGGAAGGGATTTTCAGAGGAGAAGCCCTGATCCTATACCTAGAGCGAGGAGTGAGGAAGATGAGTTGAGTGATCTTGATAACACAATGTGGGATTCGGGAGATGAGGATGATGCACCAGCTAATTATATCTCGAGCAGTAGCGATGGGGACGAAGATGGAGACAGGACAGTATCAGGCTCGAGATTCAGGAACAATAATAGTTCAAGAGATCATTCAAAGACGAAGAGTGGGAAACAGAGGGATGAGGATTGGGATAGTGATTAGAAATGAACATGAGGTCACAGAGTTTCTTTTTATTTGTCATCATCATTGGTTTCTGAGTATTAAATGAGAACTGAAAGATGTTAAAACTCTGGTCTGAATATTGAAAGCTGAAGTTTCTGTTGTTAGCTTCGATTTGTGATGATTCAGTAGAAGACGAAGAAACATGATAATGCTCAAGCTCTCTTCACTGCATTTACAGTGGCAAATTCAGATGATGTGTATGGAAATAAAAAGATGGTTATTTTCAGCCAAAAGTTGTCAATTTTTGTTGTTGTTCAGTTTCACCTATTTGCGTTACAAATTCGTACAAGTTTTTGAGATTAGCTTTTATCACAATATACGTCTTCCACAAGGTAACAATCTCCTCTATGAGGTCAAAAGAGAATCTGTTAAAAGCATATTAGTAGCACAAGCTACTGAAGATAACATATTATAGTTTTGAACTTGAAAGCAAAGGCTTCCTTTTGCTTCTTGATTCATTGCTAAGTTGGCATTCAATAGGTAATTCATCAGCATCTTCTCAGCATTGCTTGACCCCAAAAATACCCTTAAAGAAAGAAAAGCTCAGAACAGGTTGTTCTGAACAACCCAGAATCTGACAACACCAAAACTTAAACTTGAAAAGAACTAAACTTTTTTGCAGACAAGACATGGAAGCAAGAAGCTAACATTTATGTCATTCTGAGACAAAACTGATGAGCAGCCGATATTAGATCAGAACAGATAAAATGAAAAATGGATAAGAATGAAGTCATTACTGATATAACCAGAACAACAATGGATAAGAAAATGTCATATATAAACAAATGGATCCTGAAACATCTATGCTATTAAATCAGCCTTAGGCACCAACATTCTCTTCCCATTGTCAAAAAAAAACCTGGGAAGTGTTGTGCAGCTCAAAAGTAAAGCTCCTTTTTTCCTCACAAACCCTCTTGTATCAAAAGAAACTCATGTAAAAAAATCCTCAAGAGCCCAACCAACTGAATCCAGCTTACACATTCATGACGTTTGTTTTTTCAATTCCTCCTTTTCCGGCCAAAAGATTGCACCTTTCATCTCAAGAATGATGGCCATGGCTTCGTTAAGACTATACAAGAACACTTTCAATGTGTTGTTCATCATATAAACTCTGTCTGGCTTTCTCTTACGCAATTACCCGGTAACAAGTACTTGTAATACTCAGCCTTATCAAGCAGGTACGAAGGCAAATGAACAGCTGAATAAGACCTAGGCACAGGTCCCATTTTCCCAATCATCTCCCTAAACGTATGCTCCTCAGGCAACATATCAAACAAATTCGTTCCTCTGCATATAACATCTTGAATCCTCTTCGGATTCAAGTAATGAGAGAACCTCACACGGTCCGAGTGACTATACGCTTTCATCTTGAAAACAAACTCGCTTATGTAACGGAAACAGAAGCTGCAGTGCCATCCAGAATCAGACAACATCACATCGCTCTGTCGGAAATGCGCGTACCGAGTCTTCCCCGGACTGTACCGGTGCACCGACGCTCTCCAGCTCTTGCTGTCGACGTAGTACTCGAAAGAGTACAAGTAGTTCTTGAGCTGGAGGTGAAGCACCGGAGGAATGTCGTCGCACCATCGCAAGAGATCGATCGTGTGAGCACTCGGGATCTCGTCGACGTCCGACATGATCAGAAGATCGTCCTCTTCAATACCGGCGATTCTAAGAAGCTTATCTAACGCAACTCTCTGGTAAGCTTCTTCCACGAACGGGTTCTCTCCTTTCTTAAACCGTCCTCCGATGGTTCCGTACGTTAGCCGCGGCTCCACGAAGCTAAACCGGTCCTTGTTGGACTTGAAGACGAACGGTTTGGGTAATCCGGTGAAGGTTGAGTTTGATTCGAGGAGGACGAACTGTGTGACGTAAGGGTAAAGCTCTTTCCAACGGACGGTTAAGAGATCTTTCTCGTTGCTGAAGAGGACGGCGTCGAAGACACGTCTTGGTGTTTCTCTGATTTTCCAGCCGTGGAGAGTGCAGAGGGATTGCATTGTTACGTTGTCGTTGTAGTAGTGAGGGATGGTTTGGAACGGCTTTGGAGGTGATTCCCAGAGCGGTCTGAAGAAGTAAGTGAACTTTTGGCCGTGCAAGTAGATTGCGAAGATTGCAAATGGCATCAAGAGAAAGAGTAGCAAGTATGTTCTTAGGTCGAAACCTCTGAGAACGCATTTTAGCCTTGACATTGTTGCTGCTGCTTTTGATCCCTGCAGGAAAAAAAAAACAATTCGTAAGATGAAACAAAACACCATTTTCCGGAATAATCAACCTATAAAGACAAATCATTATAAATTTTTGAAAATCAAATATCAAACTTTATATAAGTGTACGAAAAATTCAAAGATCTTTTCAAGGAACAGAAACAATCTGGCCAATTAAAAAATTAGTTTATATCATAACAAAAAAAGAGCTTTCATAATTTTATTATCAACAGTATTATTCGATTTTCGATCAGGCGATTAAAATTCTTCGAGAGAATTACATAATCATAACAAAGATGTCGTATTTTTTTTTTTTTTTTTTTTTATAGAGTGCGAGTTTCTCGGAAACGAATTTTATATAATTCGATTTCTAAAGACGAATAATATAATTTCAAGTGTGTACGAAGAACAAACCTGTCCACAAACATCGTCGCAGATATCATCCGTCTTCTTCGAACTGTAGTATCCATCGGACATGATTTGACTTGGAGAGCAACAGAGGATTCGTCTTCTGTTTTCGCCAAGATATCGTATAAATCCCCAAATTAAATACCCAGAAAACAAAATATCTACAAGAAAAAACCAGGAAACGGAAATTTAGGAAATTTAAAACTCCTCACGAATTATCGGCTTCCCGGAAAACCTAAAATGCCTTCTTTTTTCTCCCAATCTTTATCTATGAGAAAAAAAAATTGAATTGAATTACAGAGTCTTTTAAGGAATAGAATCTCGTAATCCAAAAAGACAAAAAGGCAATAAATATTCACTAGATTTTCTTTCTCATTTCTCCACAGGAAAGAACAAAAAATTATTACAAATGAATTTTTTTTTTTTTTTTTGACGTCAAAACTCATGTAATATGTGGACATATTACAAATGAAAATTAAGTGCGTTTTTAAAGGTTTTCGTCTTTTCGAGTCTTTCGACATTTCGAAGAAACAGTCCGTTTCATTCAGCGTACAGGTTTTTTTTTTGAAAACGCGTTAAAACCGTTGGATTGAAACCTGTATGGGTAAGAAATGAAGAATCCTACGGTTGAGGTTAGTCGACGCGTGTGGGTTACAAACGTGACTCGACGATTTATGAATTTAACGGCAAGTGCCAGCGCATCATTACTGACGACAATGAGATCGTTCTCTCTTTACGGTTTTTTTACTTAGAAAACGACACAGTTTTCTGTTGTCCAGACAAACCGCAATTTTTGGATTAGATGTTAGAGCAAGAGTCATGAGGAAAAAACATCTGTGATGATAAATCAAAAAGAATAGAGAGAAACAGATCAAATTCGATCTTCACTTCACGGTTTCAAATTTCGCATAGAAAAAAAATAACCATCTCAGTCCATGTATATGTTTGTATAAATCGATAATACAAAACCGATCTTGTCATTTTGTAGACAAGGATTTGACTAAGAGAATCCACCAAACTAAACATCACAAATAATTGTGTGGTACAAATTTTTAAATTAAAGTTGAATATGCACAAAAGACATGTGCTATCTTGTCGTCGCTTACGACCTAACCGATGAAAAGAAAAATCATATAATCAATCTAAATCATCCAGTTACATGTAAACACATGTGGATGATGTTAGTTTATATTTAAATTATGGTGACATTGTGTTTTAATAATAATAATAAGGAGAGTAAACAGTCTCGAAGACGTGCGACGAACATGCCTCATCCCCAGCGATGTAGTAGTACCACTCATATTGGATTTATTTGGAGACTTCGTTTTCAAAGCATATTCGTTTATTCCTGATACAGTATTAGTTGTGATCGTTTTCGTATCAATGTTTGGCGTGAAAAAAGGCCCAAACTTTTGAACTTTCCTAGAATGTGTGAAAACTGAATTGGTCTTGCATTCTTATAAACAAGCTAAGATATTCTTTTATAAAAGGTTACACTACAATCTCTTAACGTTTTTGTTTTAAAGTTGCGATTAGTTTTCTTTTGAACGTGTTTACGTGTACGTATACGTGTGTGTAAGGGATACAATACATTTTTATGACCAAGCTAAGTAAGTTTTTTTTTCCATTTTTTTTTAGAACCAACAACAAGTAAGTTTCTCAAGTTCTATAAATAGTTATATTGTGCGTCAGTGTGTCCTCTGTCCACCACTCAATACGTTTATCTTCCACTACGGCACTACGACACCGCAATGATGCTAATAAAACCATTACGGATAATCGTTTTTTTAAATTACGTGGAACATTTTTTTATGGTCGGCCATCTTATTATTATCACTGACCCCTCCAATTGACGGATAGCAAATAAAATGTCGCATCCGGATACAAATACGTAATCATAGAGCTTACGTGCCAAAGGTAAACGCAAGTTTTAAATCGTGTTTTCTTTACTTCTTTCTTTCCAAGTCTTTGTTACTAACGACGTCTTAATCGACCATTATCATAAACATATAAATAAGCGACTGTATTCAACTCCGTCTCTTCTTGATTGGTTCAATTCAAATCTTATTTTCCGACCACTGAATTTCTTTGACCATGCTAGTTGAGTGACGTTATATTTTTAATATTTTGTTGTCAACTCTACAAGTAGTGTTTATTTTTGAATAGTTAGGTGTGGTGGGAATTATTTGGAGACAAATTAACGACCTCTTTAGGTTAAATCTGGATTCATTGAAAGATAAAAGACGGTAGGTCCTCTAGGTTAAGGATTTAGCTACTTGGAGAATGGTCTTGAGCAAGCTTGTTTGTTAGGTTTTAATACAATTGAATTAAGTAGATAATTATTTTTTCTTAATCCAAAAACAGTGGCTAATATTAAGAGTCACCGGAAACACTTCCGTTGAAAATCTCAATAGTATCGCCGTGATCAACACGGTGCGACCGAAAAGACCGATCATCATCCATTACATTCTGTTTGTATATAAAGAAGTAACCTTCTTGAGGCAGACTTAACTGGAACCTCTGTGGAATCTTAGCCAGCTCTTTCCTCAGCTCTCCAACGTTATCGCCAGCGTTCACATCCACTGGAATCTTCCTCGTCCCGCATTTCGGCAACACCATTACTCTCAGCTTCTTCGCGTTGTTGTTGTTGTTGTTGTTGGTCACCAGCATCGTCGCAGTTGAGTCTTGATGGCCGTTAGCCCGTTAGTGACCTGTTCTGTTGAGTTTGGCGGTGGAGATTGATCGGTATTGAAGACTTGATTGTTGCGGTTTTGGTCGTTAGAGGGAGAAGAGACGAGAGGCTGGAGACGAGAGTTGTCAAGATAAGCTTGCCTTGAATTGTTTCCCTCTTGAAGTTGTTCATAATCTTCCAACAACTCATCAAATAGGCTCTCAATTTTTTCATCCAAAATTCTATCAAAATATTCATCAAAATAATTATCAAACTCATCATCTGATGAAGAGCTATGTGAATAATTATGAAGAGGAGTCGACATTTAGTATATGAGATTTGTGCGTAAGTGTAAGATTTTTAGGATGAAAGTGAACGTTTAGAATATCAGATTCATGTCATTTATACTCGATTCCTTCCTTTACTTTTAACTTTAAAGTAACGTGAAGAGATTACTTGAGAGCATATATTCGATTTTCTGGTTTTTAACAGAGATTCCTTATTTCGATTTGATCGTTGCTTGTGCAGAGTTTTTTTTTTCTTGTGCAGAGAGTCCTTTAGCTACCAGAGATATTCCTTAATTCGATTTCTTCTGCAAGAATTTCTTCACGTTATTGATGTTTTGTTTTTTCTTCTGCATTCGATTTGATCGTTGCTTGTGCAGAGTTTTGTTGTTTCTTTTACTTTCAAGTTTCAAATAGTAGAAGACTCCTCTTCACTTAATTTCAGGCTTAATCCCATTATTCCACTACCACCACTACCAAATTAAATTATTTTATCTTATTTATTAGTTAACCTGATAGTTGAACAATATAAACATAAGCCCATTGGAGTTAAATGGCCCATATTTGACAATCTTTTAATCTCTCTAATGTCCATTGGGCTCAATGGGACTCAGGAGCTAGTTTTGGTGCGGGCGTGAGCAGAGTACGTCATCGACCTTCTTCTTCCCCAATTTATAGAGAAAACAATTTTCATCGCGACGATCGGACGGTTTATCAGCTTTCTGACTTTGCTTGAACAGATCGCTCACGTGAAAAGAGAGAAAGAGTCTGTGACGGAGAGATCGCCGCGATCTGTAGCTGTTCATTGATTGGAGGATTCGTCTTCTCTGTCTGATCTTATCCGTACTGCATACTCTGTAAGCTGTTCGATTACAGCCATTGCCAGTTATTTTTCCCCTATGTGTGATAAAATTCGCAGTGATAGGGTTTTGTAGTTTGCTTCTCCGTCTCTGTTTTGGTTTGCATTGTTTCTACTCCATTTTTTTGTTTAAATTTTCTCGATTTATGTTGTTTCAGGTGATTTTTTCTAGCTTAACGAGATAATGGATTTGGCATCCCGTTACAAGGTGAAAATTTTCTCTGGTTGTGTTGTATCTTATCGAGCTTAATTCAGCTGTTAGATTTCCGGGCGATTAAAATATTCGTGCTTTTCGTTTTTTGGGGATCGAATGCATTTTCGCCTTGAGTTTATCCTTTTCTGGGTTTTGCATTGGCTCTGTGTCACTTTTGATATGATATTTAGAGAGTTGACTACTAGTGTACTAAACATGAAAGTGGCAGAGAAATTGACATGTTGTTATGCTATTTATTTTAATAAGAGGATTACAAAAATTTCCGGTGTTAATGCTTGTTCTTATCTTATTTTGGGAACTTGTACAGGGGGTTGTTGGGCTGGTATTTGGCGACAATCAATCTTCAAATGAAGACAGGTTCACTTTCTTCTCTTTTACGTACCATATCTACTACTGACTGTAAGTATTCGAGAAATTAATCAATGAGGATTGGGTTTTTATTTGGTGTATTTCCGTAGTTACATTCAACGGCTGCTGGATCGTATAAGTAATGGTACCTTGCCTGAGGATAGGAGAACAGCTATAGTAGAACTTCAGTCTGTTGTAGCAGAAAGTAATGCTGCTCAACTGGCTTTTGGAGCATCCGGTAAGTCTCTTTTCGCTTCTATGTTATGCGTCGATTGATTGTGAGCTCAAATCAAATATTGTAACTTACATTGTGTCATTTTCAGGATTTCCTGTAATAATGGGCATCCTAAAGGAGCAACGGGATGATGTTGAAATGGTGCTCTATCTTCCTCTTTTGTATGTGTCTTTTAGGTTGTGCATATTGCTACGTCTCCTACCTAACGCACTCTCTTTACGGAAATGTGGCAACGCTCGTTTGAAGCAAAGCATTGAAAAATATGGATTGTATTTTTTGTTTTTCTAATTAGTATCTGGGAGAGTAGCATTTTTAACTGTATTTTCTTAGTCTTCGTAAATTTTGATAATTTAGAATCAGAATAGGTCCACCAGTCCAGGGGGGCAAATCAATAGAAATTGGGAGGCGAAAATTTATCTGAGTGTGGATTTTGGTCTAGCATGAGATTATTAACTAAAAATTTTGCACTTGTGAACGTCTTGTTGTTTTACCTTTGGAATATCTAGAGTTTTTCATTGAATTTCTTGTGGATGTTACTGTGTTGTGCTATTCTTCAACTGATAGTTTTGTTATCTGTCCAGGTTCGAGGTGCCTTAGAAACTCTTCTTGGCGCTCTAACGCCAATCGATCATGCAAGGGCACAGAAAACTGAAGTCCAAGCAGCTCTTATGAACTCTGACTTGCTCTCCCGTGAAGCTGAAAATATCACTCTTCTTTTGAGTTTGCTGGTTAGTGTCTACTCTGTTTTCGAAAAAAAATATTTCTGTTTTGTTCGGTTTTTATGCATGCATCATATGGTTTGCTGTCCTGGTGGTATGGCAGGAGGAAGAAGATTCTTATGTTCGATATTACACTCTTCAGACTTTGACAGCTCTTCTTATGAACTCTCAAAACAGGTATATATCTTCGGAAGTATCTCTCTGTCATCTTTCTATCTATAAGCTGTAGATATTTTTGCTGACTGTCTCTTCAGGTTGCAGGAAGCTATTTTGAACTCGCCTCGTGGTATAACTCGACTCATGGATATGCTAATGGAAAGGGAGGTATACAATTAATTTTAAATTGAATCTGCATGATCTTGCTGTTGGTATGCTTAAGAGTCAACCTCGAATAGGAGGTTATGAGATAGTGAATCCTTAACTTTATTTTGTTTGGTATTTTCCTTACAGTTCATCCGGAACGAGGCTTTGTTGCTTCTTACGCACTTGACACGTGAAGCAGAGGTGAGGCCTTCTGGTTAAATTTGTAACTGTTCTTTTTCTGTCTCCTGGACCTTAAGCAGCCATTGGATCTGGTCGATCTCACTAGATGATTAACTACTTGTAGGAGATCCAAAAAATTGTTGTCTTCGAAGGTGCGTTTGAAAAGATTTTTAGCATCATCAAGGAGGAAGGAGGGTCAGATGGCGCTGTGGTTGTGCAGGTGACTTGGAGCTCGTTTTTTATATATAGTAAAGCACTTGTATTCTGTTAATAGTTTGGCATTTGAAATATTGAGTAAATATTATTAGCACTTACACATCCATATGTCGTCTTCCTGCAATGTTTTGCAATAACTTCAAACATGCATTGGGGTTGCTTGCTGATGTTTAAGTTCAACATCCTTTTACATGGATTTGCACTAATTATGTTCTATCTTTACAGGACTGTCTGGAGTTGTTGAACAATCTTCTTCGCAGCAGTTCATCAAATCAGGTTCAGAAGCTTTGTTTCTCGTCTTGATTTTTTTTTTTAATTTCATTTACTTGATCGGCACATAGGTTGATATTTGAACTTGTACAGATACTACTAAGGGAGACCATGGGGTTTGAGCCGATCATTTCGATTCTAAAACTTCGAGGGATTACATATAAGTTCAAACAGCAAAAGGTTAGATCATAGAGTGCTTCCCACGGTTTGGATTTATTCTACCAGCTGGTGCAATTTTGCTAATCGTTGTCCTCCTGAATGAACAAAATCCCAGTAGACTGTTAATCTACTTAGTGCACTGGAGACAATCAATATGCTGATCATGGGAGGTGCAGACACAGATCCTGGAAAAGATTCAAACAAGCTGGCAAATAGAACGGTTTTAGTTCAGGTTTGTTATGATATATAAATGCTGTGATTCTTCATTGTCAACTAGTTCATGGAATATGTTTCTTATTCTGTCATTTTTAATTCATTTACAGAAGAAACTGCTAGACCACCTACTGATGTTGGGTGTTGAAAGCCAATGGGCGCCTGTTGCTGTTCGCTGCATGGTATTAAAATCTTCTCTAGTCTGGTTCTATTTCCTGTAGCCCCCTTCCCTTTCTTTTTATCATTTATATTTCATTGTTATATCAACATTCCCATTCTGATTTGTGCAATAGACAATAAACCGGAATTATTTCATTTAGGTTCTAGAATTCTACTGTTGAACCTTGTTTCTAAGTTGAACATGGAACTGCATACAGTGCTCCATTAGTAGTTTTTTTTCCTAGAGATTGCAACTGTAGTATCAAGGCATCTGCTGAGAAGTTGTCTGAAGTCCAAGTTTCTTATTGCTGTTGCTTTTCTAGTTACAGTAAACTTAACTTTCTAACTGGGTCTTTTACTTTGTGATTCCTTGCTGTTAGACATTTAAATGCATTGGAGGTTTGATTGATGGACATCCCAAGAACCGTGATATCCTTGCTAGCAAAGTTCTTGGCGAAGACCGGCAAGTAGAACCTGCACTCAATTCTATCCTCCGGATTAGTTTACAGACGTCTGATATTGAAGAGTTTGTTGCAGCTGATTACATTTTCAAGACGTTCTGTGAGGTTTGAAAATTTTCTCTTATATTTCTATTTCAAAGTCTTAGTCTAATGTGAGATTGCAAATTCTAATATCACATTCCCTAAACGTTTTCAGAAAAATCTCGAGGGTCAAACAATGCTAGCTTCGACTTTAATACCTCAACTACATCCCATGGCCCGAGATCCTCTAGAAGATGATGTTAACATGTCATTTGGAAGGTGTCATCTTCTTTTCCTTTCTTGTACAGCTTTCACAGTTTTGTTTTGAAGGGTTCTCATGCTTCATTCTCATCCCGATGTTGCATGGTCCTTTAATTTTGAGCTACTTCTCATGTATCAAAAATTGACTTTTATCTTATGTGTCAGTTTGTTGTTACGAGGCCTTTGTTCTGGTGAGGCTGATGGTGATCTTGAGGTAAACGTGTTTGCATCTTTTGGTTGGATGTTAATATAAACGTGCTGTGGAACTTAATCTATTTATTTTAAACAGACATGTTGCAGAGCTGCGAGCATCCTTTCCCATGTTGTGAAGGACAACCTTCGGTGCAAGGAAAAGGTAATGAAGTCATCATCACTTCAACCTTATGTTTTTTTCTTTGTGCTCCTGCATTGGCTGACTTTATGTAAATTTCAATAGGCTTTGAAAATCGTACTTGAATCACCTATGCCTTCCATGGGAACTCCAGAGCCTCTCTTTCAGAGGATTGTCAGATACTTGGCCGTTGCTTCATCCATGAAAAACAAAGATAAATCAAGCACATTGCGGGAATCATATATTCAACAGATCATTTTAAAACTGCTTGTCACATGGACTGTTGATTGCCCGGCTGCAGTTCAGTGCTTTTTAGATTCACGCCACCACCTAACGTATATGCTCGATTTGGTAGCAGATCCAGCTGCAACAGTTTGCATAAGAGGCTTGGCGTCTATCCTACTGGGAGAGTGCGTCATCTACAATAATTCAAAAGAGAGTGGTAAAGATGCTTTTGCTGTAGTTGATGCTGTGAGCCGGAAGATGGGGCTTACATCATTCTTCTCGAAGTTTGAAGAGATGCAGAGCAGCTTCATCTTCTCTCCTTCCCAGGGACCTCCACAGGGTCATAAACCGATAACAAGAACAGCCACGCCTAGTGAAGCCGAAATTGACGAGGCAGATGCGATGCAACAGGGGAATGAGGATCACCCAATGCTCCTGTCGCTGTTTGATCCTAGTTTCATAGGCTTCGTGAAGAGCCTTGAAGGTAGCATTAGAGAGAGAATCGTGGACGTGTATAGTCGGCCAAAAAGTGAGGTGGCTGTAGTACCAGCGGATTTGGAACTGAGGAGCGGAGAAAATGAGAAAGACTACATCAACCGCTTGAAAGCCTTTATAGAGAAACAGTGCTCGGAGATTCAGGTACGTGCCTTTTTCTCGAACTAGTTTATGATACTGAGTAGAGTATAACAAAGAAAAAGTGTATCTGATTGATTGCAATCAAATGACGTAAAATATTGGACTCTTCACAAGTAACATGAACCTTAAAAGTAGATGGGGTGCTAACGGAGTTCTGGTAAAACATTGGGATTAGGAAGCACCAAGTTTCTGCTAAGATAGGATTGGGAGGAGGTATTAGGTTTTGCTAAGGTGGGATCATGAAGAACTAGGACTTAAAACGATAATCATACAATAGCTCTCCAAATTTATGTGATATATATGTCAAAGGTTAACCGAGAAAAAAGAAATTCTTATTGTTGCATTCTGTGTGTTTCAGAACCTTCTTGCTCGGAACGCTGCTTTGGCAGAAGACGTAGCCAGCTCTGGAAGGAATGAGCAATCTCAAGGATCAGACCAGAGAGCAAGCACAGTAATGGACAAGGTCCAGATGGATAGCATCAGGCGTGAACTCCAAGAAACGGCTCAGCGTTTAGAGTCTGCCAAGGCCGAGAAAGCCAAGATCGAGACCGAGGCATCGAATTACAAGAACATGGCAGGGAAACTCGAGTCAGACCTAAAAGGGCTTTCGGACGCATACAACAGTCTAGAACAGGCGAATTACCATCTTGAGAAGGAGTTGAAATCGTTGAAAGGAGGAGAAGATCCGATGGAGTTTCCTGATATAGAAGCGATTAAGGAAGAGGTGAGAAACGAAGCTCAGAAAGAGAGCGAAGACGAATTAAACGACTTGTTAGTATGTTTGGGGCAAGAGGAGAGCAAAGTGGAGAAGCTAACAGCGAGGCTGATAGAATTAGGAGTTGATGTTGATAAGCTTTTGGAGGATATTGGGGACGAGTCTGAAGCTCAAGCCGAATCTGAAGACGACGACCATTAAACAACAAGTTGTTTGTTAGAGATCAAATCCTCTCAGAAGGTAATCAATCTTCAAAGCATCATATAAGTGTCGACTTCTTTGTGGGCATCTATGTCTCTTCGTGGAACTTTGTACAGTGGTGGTTTATTCGATCGATGTTTAATAACTCTCCTTTTAGTTTTGAAACCTTTAATTTATTATCTGAAACATGTTTGTTACAATGTTGCAGATTCATATACGTTTGACAATGACTCAACTGTGATTTTAAGTTATTGTGTTTCACATTTTACTGTGACAATCAAACACGCAATATGCAAAGATAGTTCAGTTATGTGTTTACTTAAAATATGCAAAGATAATTCATGAGATAAATCTGGATTTTGGTATGAGAATCAAAAGAAAATTCAATGGAGATTCGGAGATTTCACACATTCTAGTGATTAAATTAGATACATTGTTGAGTTGAGACTAAGTGCCTAACACAGGGAAACCACTCTACAATTCCGACATTATACTACAGAGGAGAAGAATTTACGGTTAATCGGCGCAGAGCGACGCCATTAGATCCGTCGGTGAGCTCCATACGGCAAGATCAAATAACGACTGCTTCTTCTCCTCTTCTTCCAGTCTACAGATGTTTTCTGCAACTTCGCACAGGTTTGAGATATCGTGAATTGCCGCTTCTTGTGCTTCTACCTGCAAATTTCAAAAATCCCATGAAAATCATATTCTCATCGAATTCAAAAATCAACATTTCACTTAAAAAGTAAAAAACCCTAATTACCGCAAAGAGAATTTCGTCGAGCAAAGACGGCGGCGGTGAAGCATCTTCTCCACCGTGCTCTCGAGCTCCTTCTCTACCACTACACTCTGGAAACGAAGTCGTTTCGTCCGCATTTAACCTCTCTTCTCGCTGCGGCGTTTGAGATCGATCTGCCCTAGCTTCCATAGCATTCAAGCTATTCGACAGAATCTCCCACTGCTCGATCTCCTTCTGGTACTTTCTTTTCAGCTTCAACAGTATTCTCTTCTTCCGTATCCTTCGATTCCGCTCCTCGACGGCAGGATCTAGCTCCGGATCCGGCGGTTTGGAATTTTCTCCAGCGCCGGCGTCCTCCTCTGAGTCGGAGATACGGCGTCGCTTCTTTCGTTGGTAAACGAAGCCATCGTCGTTGCAAAGCTCCCAATCTTCGTCTCCGTCTGTGGTCGGAATTAGTGGGTCCATCGGCCGCTGAATTACACCGGAGCGGGAAAATTTTCAGCAGCGATTTTGATTTGCGAGAGTGTTGGAGGGACTTGGATTTGTTTTAGAAAATCTGCAAATAGAAAGATTAACAGCTCAGTCTCGTGTGGCCAAACTCGGGATATCATCGTATGAGTTTGGGCCGTAAGCTAATTGTTTAAGGCCCGATATAATATTTTATAGGCCCACAATGATAACTCATATATTTTTTTTTTTTGACAACGCAATGATAACTCATATATAATTAGCAGAAGATGAAGATACAAAAGTCTATTGCTAATCCTAATTTTGTGTGTGTTTTGCACACAAACAAAAAAGAAGTCTTGTGTAATTAACTTATTCTTTTGTAAAGTTGATTGGTACATTGATGTCAACTTTTTCTATTAATAGTTTTTTTTAGTTTCGTTTTCTGTAGGGTAAAATGACTTTCTACTTATTTAATTTAAACGAATTAATAAATGAGGAAAATTTGGCTGTTGGAGTGTTGGAAGAGCAAAGATTAGAAAGTATAGAAAGTCAAGAAAAATCGCATGGAGACAAAATATGAGCAGAACAATCGATATTACTGATGTGTAAATTAGACAAAGACTAATTAACTACTCAATCTACACGATCTAGCATTATGTATAACACGTTATTCTCACCCAACCGCCATGAAAATGTAATTAAATAATTTTACAATCAATTTTGTCTTCCCTTCTTGATCATATACTTTGAATAATCTCTACTTTATTTAGTGATATTATTTTTGAAGTATTATTTGTGATCAAACCCAATTATAGAACACAACTTAGACCAAATTTATTTGAGATTCTTGGTTTGTGACGTTTGTCCACTTCCTCGGTGTCGTTGAGCACTAAGTATCGAGAGGCTGAAGCATTACGGGTAGGCCGTACTGCGGATAAAGATTGAAGTGATCAACCGGCGCGTGCTTATACTCGCTGGAGAGGCTAAACCTAAACCGTTGAAGGATCATAGTGAGCACTGTCTTGGCTTCCATCATGGCAAAGTTTTGGGCAATGCAAGCTCTCGGTCCGATTGAGAACGCCAGGAGAGCGTTTGGGTGATTCGCGGCTTGAGAAACGCCGTTTTCGAATCGCAGAGGGTTGAATTGTTTGGCGTCTTCTCCCCATATGGCCTTGTCGGTGTGCATCTTCAGAAACGGCACGTATACGCTCGTGCCCTTGGGGATCTCCAAGTGTCCTACCTTCATGTCTTGTGTTGCTTCTCGAAACATTTTAATCACGGGACCGTATAGACGAAGCGACTCCAACAACACCATGTTCATCTGCAAGATGAAATCGTTTTAAAACATTCCTTTTCTTCAACCGCAAGAAACCCTTTGAAAAAATGTTTAAAACAGTATTACATACCAGTTTGAGTTTGGAGAAGGTGTCCGAATCTGGGACCTTGTCTTTACCACATTCTTTGAAAACCTCTTCTCTGAGCTTCTCTTGCCAATCTTGATGCAAGCTCAGTAACATCGTAGTCCATGTCAATAGGATCGAAGTAGTTCCTTGCCCTGAGAAGTAGAAAGTCTTGCATTCTTCTATGATCTCATTCATGCTCATCTTTTTCTCAGAATCGGCAGATGTTGCAGCTTTCAGCATGATCCCGAGAAGATCGTCTCCATAGTTCTTGGATTTCGAATTAAGCCTTGCATCTATGATTATTTTGATGGATTTTTTCACTTTGTTGTCGAGCTTCCATAGCTGAAGATTGGTAGGCGTAGGAAGATACCTTGGAACACAAGAAAAAACAAGAATCTTCAAAATTTCAAGAACATCTTCGTGATCTGAATAACGAATTTAGCTGACGATGTTGTAAACTTACTTGCTTCCGGGAATGTAGACTTTAGTGAGAGAAGTAACATAAAAGTGCTCAAGCTCTGCCTGTGATCTAAACAATTCGACTCCTTCGGCGTAACTGCTTCCAAACGCAGTGGTCGCTATAACATCGCCGGTCAATCTATAGAACTCTTTTCTGATCTCCATCTCCATCACATCTTCACCAGTACTCTGTTTTCTCCACTCCTCCAACATCCTCAAAGTGCATTTGACCATCAGTTTCGTCATGAGCTGACAATTTTAGCAAGTTATTAATTAGACTCTTCTAGTTCGAATCAAGATGAGAAGTAATAATTTTTTTTTTTTTTAATATATAAAAAAAAACCTTGAGCCGGTCCATGGAGAAAACAGGTTTCAAGATTCGTCTATGGCGAACCCAATCATCACCTTCGATAAAAGAAAGTCCTCTACCGAAGAGAATGAAGACCTCCGGTCTTGTCTTTGGTATAGCAGAGAAACCGACCTTGCTCGACAAGATCTGTTTCGCTAGCTCAGGATCTGAGATGCATATTGTCGGTTTTGTTCCGTTCCAGTAGAGAAATGTTTCTCCTAATATATCATAAGATCACTTGTTTCTTAAGCAAATTCTCATCTAAAAGAGAGAAAATAATTTGGAGATGATGGAGAGAAACGGCACCGTATTGAGATATCCATTGGTGATAATGAGGAACCACACGAGGGAAGATATCGTTGGAGTTGGGATCGAGAACCGAAAGCACAGATTCTTTCTTCATCTTCTTCATCTCGGGGAGGTTTCCGTACAAGAATCTGTACTTTGGGCCTGAGATTCCTTGTTTCTTGAACCTTCTTGATAGCATCCATGGCCGCAGCACGAGGATCCAGAGAGCTTTCCATATCTTGGGAACAAGAAAGGGAAGAAGAAGGATTGCTAAGAGATTGATCGTGCTCAAGAGTTCCATTAAAGGAATACAATCAGTTTAGTAATCTTTTTCTTTTCCGATATGAATCAGCAGCACATCTACTTTCTTTTTTGTTCTTTTCCTCCAAAAGACGATATTTATTAAGAATACTAAGTAAGAACCATACAATCATACATAGGTTTCTCCGCGTCTACCACTGGCCTAAGCCAAGAGGGGTACTACAATCTGGATAAGCATGGTAAACAGATCACATAGAGACTACTCTCTTGGCGATTACATCAGCACAATTACTTGATTAATTGTGAGAAAAGGCTTAAATGTGCACAATAAAGAAGAAGAGAAAAAAGCTTAAATACTCTAGTTGTCTATTGAAATTTGGAAGAACACACTAAAAGGCAATCATATAAAATTGGTTTGCAACAAAAACAAATTGATCTTTCTTTGAAAAAAATAAGTTTGCGTTTTAGTTGCAAAATAAAACAGACACTCATTTTATATTTCTTCCTAAAATTGATTGCCAAACTCTTAACAAAAAATTGGAAATCCTATAATATTGACAATTGACAATACATATATATAGTTAAGATTTAGAGAGGACAATATAAAAATCACGTGAAATACAATAGTCTAGAAGGTATCATCATCGTATCGACTCAATGTGAGCTGTCATGACTTGGGCTAATATCATGAGTAATGATTCTTTCGGGAGTAATGATTTTCTGATATTTATTTTTTTATCAAGAGAGAAAGAAAAAAAACTTGCATGTTGAGACTTGAGGATAGGAAGAGAGAAAGACAAGAAAGTAAAAGCCAAAGAAAACTCACATGAAAGACAAAAAACTATGCGGGACAATCGATAGCACACGTGGTGTTTAAATTAAGCAAATGCCAACTACTATGCATTAATAATAATATAATATAGAGTAACTCGACATAAACTATTACAACAAGTAGTGGAATCGATAGCACACTAATACAAAAATCACATGACATTTTGAGTCTTACTGCATACTAAAGCAGAGCAACATCAACAATATTTGATCCATTATTACACGAAACAAAAGTACCATTCCCTAAAAATCAATTTGCATAAATTCTCATCCACTTATTTTAACCGCAAGCGCCATTGATTCAAATGGTGGATCTAAAAGGACAGTAGGACACGTACGATCATCCTTTAACACACCTTGTATGGGACAGTGGTTTGGAATGCGATGCTTGCGACCAATCGTGCCTCAATGGCTACCATTGCCATACCTGCGAGTTTACTCTTCACACGAAATGTGCTTTTATTATCAATATACTCGAGACATCCGAGCTTCCCTCTCATGAAGGTCATCGTCTTAAGCTTCTCACGACGGGAGCTCCTGATCACACCGACCCTAAATGCCATCTCTGCGGTAAAAACACTAAGCGCCTTCTTTATCATTGTTCGGTTAGTATTTAGTAATCTCAATTTGGACATCGAGTGTGTGGTTGATTCCATGTTTCTCAAGCTCATTTGAATACGTCTTGGCACAATCATCCTCTACTCATGCTTGATGTTGGTGATCATATGCTATGCGTAGTTTGTGGCCCTCCAGGAGAATATGGCTACTGTTGCCCTCGCTGTTGGTTGACGGTTCATGAAAAATGCGTCTCTGTATTTGGTTCACCGGAGTTGGATCATCCTTGTCATGCAAGACACTCTTACTGACGGATCTCCTGGTTATACAAATCAAGAATGTAATATATGTGGATATGACACTGAAAACTTACTCTATCATTGTGAGATTTGTAAGTTCAACTTGGATATGGTTTGTGCGATTCAAACTCCTCCACCGGGTTTCTCTTTCGAATATGAAGGTTCATGAGCATACACTCACACTCATCGCAAGATTGATCTCCTTCGTTTGTGATGCTTGTGGGATGGAAGGGGACCGTTCTCCTTATGCTTGTCTTCAGTGCGATCTCATGTTCTTCCATCAAGACTGTGCTTGTTTCCCGCGTGTCATTCACGTCAACCGCCATGATAACCGTGTTTCTTACACGTATCCTCTTGGTGCTGGAGAATGGAAATGTGGGGTTTGTTGGAAAGAGATTGATTGGTCATATGGGGCTAATTATTCTTGTTCAGATTGTTCTGATTACGCTATTCATTCACTATGCGCAACAAGGGATGACGTATGGGATGGGGAAGAGCTTGATGGAGTACCTGAAGAAGTTGAAGATATTATATAATAAGCCATTCAAAGTGAATGATGACAACACAATAACTCATTTCGCTCGAGAACAGATTCACCCCTCAGTCTCAGTGGCGAATGCAGGATTTAACTAAACTGGGGTCAATTAATCAATTAAAATATGAAAATATGTTATATGGGGTCATGGTGGGATTCGAACTCAGGTTTTATGGGTTCATAGGGCATATTTTACCAACATAGCTACTGGTTTTTATGGGAATCCCTAATATACTAAAGCACAAATCACTCCACCAATGGCAAAGTGACATGTGTACTGTTTAAAGCAAAATAAATTAATCCTTCACTTAATAATAACACGTCACAATTTCCACCTGAAAACAATTAATAATTAAATGACAAAATAAACACATCGTAAAATAAACTGTCTTAGGCCTATAACTAAAAGTTCGATTGAAATATTTTGGGTCAAGCAATTTTGTTAATCGATTAAGCTTACATCTATACAATTAAAAAAAAACGAGATAATGATTAAAATAAATATTTATATATCAACGGTTTCAAAACATTCCCACGAAGCCACCCACTATCCTCTTTCTTCGTCCACGATCTCATCTTTCTTATACTCCTGTAAATCTCTGAGACCTCTCATATTCGACAAAAAAAACAACAGCAGAGAAACCTCCAATTGATTCAAAACAATAATGAAATCAGGGAAATAGCATTAGTTAATTGAAGTTATTTTGACAAATGATGTTAAGTTTTCTAAATAGAAGGATTTTAACATTATTTTGCAAAGTGACATTAAGTTAACTAACCCATCTTATAAGCTCTCTCTTCAAAATACTTATTTTCAGTTAGATTTAGTGTGTTTTATTTAAGTGATGTTAACAAACTTAGCATCATTGAGTGTTGTGTTACTTTTGCGAGTGACTTTAAATTGTTAGAATCATTTTTAAAATGATGTGAACCATGTTTTAAAGTAACGTTAAATCCCTTGTTTTTTGTAGTGTGTCGGGAGCCAGTGAGTAGAGACTTCATAGTAATATCCGGCGAAAGAAGAAAAAGAGGGAGAAAGAGAGAGTGCATATACAACAGAGACGCATACGTGGTAGAATGCATGAATTGCTATTGATAAAAGGTACAAAATTTCCATAAAGAAACGAGTTAATGAACGAGAAGTGTGTTAATGTTTTATTCATCTCATTCTCATAAGTCCAAGTTAGTTCTTTTTTTTTTTTTTTTTTCTGAAATCAAAGTCCAAGTTAGTTTATACACGATTCATAGTTATTGCTTTTATTTGTAGACAAACCCGGGCATTACCAATTTGTATGAATATCCCTCGCCCATGGCCTCTCTCTCACTGGTATGCTATCTTTTTCTTAGATTGTTCATTTCTGCTTAGATGGTATTTCTAAAATTTAATTTTATGCAAATATGTCTTACAATCTCCTTCTGTTTTGTAGACTAAACCACTGAAAAACAAGCAAAATTTATGGATAGAAAAAGAAAGCGCAAAGAAAGTAGAAGACGTGATCAAAGCCAAAGGCAACACACACAAAGTGCTTAGAGGCTGAAAAGATACTGAAACAATGTGGAATCCAGCAGAAGATGAAGTTCATTTTTGTTATAGAGCATAGAGTTTGTACTTCTAAAGAAGATGAGAAGTAATTCTACAAGTGTTTCTCTTATATCATCATGTTTTTTATAGCTTTTTTATAAAGCACAGTCTTTGATTTAATTCATCTTCATTGTTTGCGTAAATCTTTTTAGTACTATTTATCTTTAATTGATCTCATCTTCATGGTTTTTTGACGTATAAAAATTATATATATTTTAAATAGAATTATTAACAAAATAAATACAAACTAAATGGATGAAATATAGTATTTTTTAATGTATTGATATTATGATAGATATTTGATATATGTATAACTGCTTCCAACCAAAAAAAAAATTCAGATAAATCGATTACCATTATCAACCACTTTGTTTTAAGTTTTAACACATTTACTTCCAAATTTTATGTCCATGTAATCGTCGATTACGGCTATATTATCCAATTTCAAAAATCTATAGACAAAATATATTTTTAATGAACTTTTGATGAAAATGTAACATTATAAATTAATGAAAGTAACATTTAAATGAAAGAGAATTTGATCCGTGCGTATGCACGGGCAATAATACTAGTTCATGTACATTTTAACAGTTTTTAAAAGTTAAACGGTGTCATTTGACACCGTGTCCTTGAACGTGGATTTGCCACTGGTCTCAATGTCTCACCACATCAGCGCCATGTCACTATTAATTTTTTTTTTGTTTTTTTTAATCAATTCAGAACCTTATAAAAACTGTGCAAGAGCAAGTGCAATGGAGAGTTTATGGATATCTACAGCCCAAAGTTAAAGAAAAAAGGAAAAGAAATAATTATATGGCAAGGGGCAAGCCAAAGCTCAGATCCGATCCGTCTTTCCCAAAGAGACCGTGGAGACGTGTCTAAAGGTGAGTTCTACACATATCATCACACGATTGATCAATTTTTTTAATATATTTTTTTCCTCCAAAAATCATCTATTTTAATTATTCCCTCCGTTTTTTTTTTATAAATTTTCTAGAATTTTCACACATATTAAGGAAAAGCAGATTTTCAATCATTAATGTATTGATTTCTGCAATAAAACAACTTTTTATAATTTTCAACCAATAAAAGTTTAACAAATACAATCATTGTTTCTTGAAAACTGAAAAAGTGTATCAAAAAAGTAGAAAAATTATCTTTGTGAAACAACAACTAATATCTAGAAAATCCATCTTAAAAAAACGGAGGAAATACTAAAAAGCCATATGCAGTCTTTTCGTTGTACATGCTCTAAGATGCTCTAAGGACTAAGAACATTTGCATTAGAGAACTGTGGATGGAGCTCCAAACATATTTGTTTAACGAATTTTTTATATTAAAAAAACAATTTTCATAAAAACAAAAAGTTGGCGAATCAGATACTGATAGTTTTTTCTCAGTTCTATAAACTACTCGCGGAGAAGTGAGAACTGATTCTGTCAATAAAGCTTGCCATGTTATTAATTTTGTTTTTCTTTTTTTGTGTGTGTAGAGTTTCTCTAATGTACGTGCTCTAATAAGTGTTCTACTTTTATTTATACTTAATTTAATTATATTTATAAAATATATTAATGAAAATATATCATATACTCCCGATAGAATTTTACCATTGTAGATGCTCCCATCATACGTTGACCATAAAAATATAAAAAAGATGCTCATCATACTATCATTGTGAGATCTGAGAACACACGTCGGCAACAGATATCAAAGATTGATTTTTTTGGGAACTAGAAACTTATACTCGAAGAAGATTGAAAGATTACAAGGTGATTTGGTCTCGTCGATGAGTGAAAACAAGAGAAAGCTGAAAGTCAATTCTATTGCTTAGGTTTTTTGCAGCTAATTTCAGATCCTTTTCCCGAAATGAGGGTCTTTATTTATATAGTGAACAGAGGTCGGCTTCTCGATGAATATCTTACTTTCTGTCGAATTGGAAAACGTTTTCTTGTTCTTGATTTCTTTCCATTCTCTGAATCGGCATGAGCCTTTCTTTACATTTTCTCAAAGATTTTGCTTTTTTTTTCCAAAACTTGCCATTTTGCTGAGAAGGTTAGGGTTAAAATCGGGCTGAATCTTTACGATATTACTAATTGTAATGGATTTAAGAAAATGTGCTAATTTCACCTCTAACAATCATCATCGACTCAGTGAGATGTCATGACTTTAAAAAGGAAGAAAACTTGCATGTTGAGTATTAATAGAGAAAAATACCAGAGAATAAATTAGTCGAAGAAAACTCGCATAAAAGAAAAAATTGAAGATTAATTTAAGGTGAGCAAGCAGTCAGTATATTGTTTAAATTAGTAAGATGCTACGTGCTAACTACTTTTTTTTTTGGGTTCAAAATGTTAACGTGGTAACTACTTGCTCGCCAGTTGTATTACAATAGATTTGTTGACGTAAATATTATATAATATAACAAGTACGTAGCAGCAATGATTAAAGTTTACGTTATAGAGGAAGAGCGATATCGTCATATCGATCCATAATACACGAATCAATTACCCAAATATCTATTTGCATTCTCTCCACCTCTAATAACCGCAAGCGCGATTGATATGGTGACCCTAGAAGGACACGAACATTCGGTAGGATGCTATGGCAGTTATCGTGGCTTGGAATGCGATGCTTGTGATCGATCGTTTGATCGCCATGGCTACCATTGCCTTGAATGCGATTTTGTTGTTCACACAAAATGTGCTATTGTGTTCAATACACAAGAGACAATATTATCGGAGCATCCTTCTCATGTTGGACATAGTCTTAAGCTTCTCACGACGGGGGCTCCTGGTCACACCGATCCAAACTGCCATATCTGCGGTAAAAACACTAAGCGCCTTCTTTATCATTGTTCCACTTGTAAACTCAATTTGGACATCAATTGCATGGTTGATGCCATGTGTTCCCAAGCCAAGCTGAATATGCCGTGGCACTATCATCCTCTACTCATGCTTGATGTTGGTGATCATCTGCTATGCGTAATTTGTGGTCTGCCAGGCGGATACGGCTACTGTTGCCCTCGTTGCAGAATGATGGTTCATGAGAAATGCGTCTCCGTATTTGACTCACCGGAGATCACTCATCATTTTCATGCCGGACACTCTCTTAAGCTTCTTACCCAAGGAGCTCCTGAATACACGGATGCAACATGTCATGTGTGTGGAAAACATGTTGGGAACTTTCTTTACCATTGTGATATTTGTAAGTTCAACTTGGATATGGTTTGTGTGGTTCAATACCACAAACACCATAAACTCATACCAGTTGAACTTTCAAATATGAAGGTCCATGAGCATACACTCACACTCATCCCAAAATTGATCTCCTTCGTTTGTGATGCTTGTGGGACGAAAGGCGACCGTTCTCCGTATGTTTGTCTTGAGTGCAATCTCATGTTCTTCCATCAAAAATGTGCCCATCTACCACGTGTCATTAACGTCAATCGCCATGATCACCGCGTTTCTTACAAGTATCCTCTGGGCCGTGGAGAATGGAGATGTGGAGTTTGTTTGGAAGATATCGATTGGTCATATGGGGCTTACTCTTGTTCTGATTGCCCAAATTACGCTATTCATTCAAGATGCGCAACAGGGGATGACGTATGGGATGGGGAAGAGCTTGATGGTGTACCTGAAGAAGTCGAAGACATCGAGCCATTCAAACTGAATGATGACAACACAATAACTCATTTCGCTCATGAACATAACATGAGCCTCATCAACAACGACGGCGTTGCTTTGGAGGAATTGTGTAGAGCATGTGTTCGTCCCATAAGTTCTTACAACACATTTTACAACTGTTCGGATTGCGGTTTCATTCTCCATGAAACTTGTGCTAATCTTCCTAAGAAGAAACGACATTTCCCAAGCCCAAGACCTCTCACTCTTTACCACAATAGATATGCTACCGACACAACATGCGGTGCTTGTCTTCAAATGTGCTGCGATGGATTCATGTATACTGATGGAGAAGAGACATTTGACTTACTATGCAGTTCGATTACTGTGCCTTTTATCCATGGAAGTCATCCTCATCCTTTACTCTATTACAATAAACGTGCTTATGGTGAGTCTAAGAGATGCCAGAGTTGCGGCATTGGAAGCAGTCTCGTTCTAGGCTGTATGAAATGCAATTATTATTTGGATTTTCGTTGCGCCACTCTGCCAGTAACGGTAAGGCTTGACAGGTATAATGATCATCCACTCACTCTTTGTTACGGTGAGAAGGCAAGCGGCAAGTATTGGTGTGATATTTGCGAAGGGGAGACAAATCCAGAGAATTGGTTCTACACCTCTGATTACGGAGCCACTTTGCATGTTTTCTGTGTACATGGGAATGTTAGGTACGCCAAACCAGGAGGAAAGATCAAGGACGTTGAATTGTGGTTTAACAATACATCTTCACGACCACTTTGCAAGAACTGTCATTTCCGTTGCGCAGCTCCTTTTTTTCTTACTAAGGGGAACGAATTATTTTGTTCTTATTATTGTTTGCTACGTATCCGAATGAGGGCGTCCTCGATTAGTTCGATTGTTATACGTCCTCCATGGGTATATATGAACCCTTGAAGACGTAACATTCGAGTTTGAAACTCGTGTATTTGATTGCTATTTTGAGCCTTTTATTATTTGAGGTTGAATTCATTGTTGTTGTTCACCAAAATAATGAACCGATTGACAATCACCTGCTTGCATTTTACATTACACGAAGACATGGCCGGCTTCTTTATATCAACTTATTTTGCAGACGTTTTTCCTCAAAAGACTATTTGGTTCCATTTTTATTGGTTTAAGAAGGGTTCAAGCCTATGTTTTTTCTTTCTTTATCTTGTTACTTCTCACAATTTTTTGTCAACATCCTACTTGCACTTTGATAATTTACAATTAAATTATTAAACATATTTTCATTTCCCATATCCTGTATTGTTACTCGTTAATTTTGTTTGTTTATAACCATTCACTCATCAACTTCCTTTGACCCTTTTTAACAGTCTTATAACTATATAAGATACAAGTGTGGTAAAAAACTTAGTGAGCATATGATTATTTATTTGGAGATAGATGTATATGTTAATATTTTGGTTTATATTGCCAAACTATATGTAACACATTTTAAGACATTTTGAATATATGATATAGCTAAGAAAAGAGAAAGCATAAAAAACCACGTAAAGTAATTATTTTTGTATGATTAACTAATCTCGAAGGCACCATTATCGACTCAATGAGCTAGCTCTAGCTGTCATGACATTCGTAATTCCTATTGTGTATGGACTTTGTTGTTGCAAATCTGGTTGTTTCTGAAACTCTAGGGTTTGGGATATTAAGTTCTGAGACGATTTTCAATGATTGTTCTGATTTGATTCATCTTTGAATCTAGATCCAATTATATAAGAGGGATATATACGAATTACGAATATGTTTCCGTGACATGTTTTTAAATCTCCAAGTTTTTATGCAAGCGATGAAAGACGATAAGAGCGCCGACGATAAGACACACACATTTGACATTTGGTACTGTTTGGTTTATTCTCTTTCACGTCCTATTGGATCCTTTAGAGACTACTAAAAGCGCTGAAGATGAGGCGCACACACATTTGATCCTTCATATTTTTCATCTTATTGTATGTTTTAATTTTCTATTCATAATCTTTTAGTTATTGTTTCATTATCATAGCTCTATTGGTGTGCGTGGAATTGTTTTGCTTACATTTTGGCTTTTATAAACGGTATTGTGCTTTGCACAAAAAAAAAGCGGTATTGTGTATTGATTTCTTGGAAATTACAAAGTCTTGTAACATTAAGGCACTCTTCTTTAAAAAGGGATTTATGTAAGAAATGAGAAAAAAAACCACGTAAATTATCTAATTTTGTATGATTAATTAATCTCGAAGGCACCATCATCGACTCAGCATGAGCTAGCTGTCATGACTTTTGCTTCTATCTTTGATGATCTTGATTGAGACAATGAAATTAATTAACATGGCAGACAAAACCTGAGCGGATCAATTTATATTAGTGCATGTTTAAATTAACAAAGACTTACGACGTGCCTTCTAGTTGTATTAATAATTAAAGATTTGTCTACGTTAATAGTTAATACGTACTAATTGAGTCTAGTATAACAACTAGCATTGATTGAAGTATACAGAAGAACAACTATCAATACTTATCCAAAATGACACCAAACAAAAATGATAAGAAAATGCAATTACCCAAACATCTTTTCATTACCAAAAATAAAAACATCCTTTCATTCTCACAGGCCAGTCATAACCTCTAAGAACCGCAACCGCCATGGATACGGTGATTATACAAAGACAAGACACTATCCGACGCTAAAACAGTCGTAATGGTTTGAAATGCGATGCTTGCGGATGAATCGTATCGCTCATACCTGAAATGTGTTTTTGTTGTATATATATGTGTATAAATTTAAGTTCCGATCTTCTATATGGACTTTAGCTGCGCCACTCTACCATTAACGGTAAGACTTGACAGGTGTTGATGATCATCCACTCGCTCTTTGTTCCAGTGAAAAGGCAAACGACAAGTATGGGTGTGATATTTGTGAAAGAGATACAAACCCACAGGCTTGGTTCTATATTTGTAAAGATTGTACGTGGTGTCAGTTTGTATGTTTTTTGTGTGACTGGGGATATCAAAGTATATTTTGTTCTTTTTTGAGCTGGAACGGTTGTTGTGAACCGATTAACAATCATTTTTCTACATTTCACATTACTTCAAAATTATGAGATGATTGTACGACTATTTGTGTACCTCAAGCAGATAGCCTCCAATTTCATTACTTATTTTATTTTCTATCAAATTCACAATTTACGTAAAGGCGTAAAGCAATACATCTTTTTCGTTAGATACGTGAAGCAAGTAGTACGACAAAAAAAGGCGTAAAGCAATAAAGCCAGAGCTCATTACCTGCTTCACGGATGGAGCTTGGTGTAAGGACACCGCCATTAGTGGATCGGGATGGAGATTTGTGGACTCCACCGGGAGGCCATTCAGCCGAGAGATTCGTCTCATCCCCATTGGTAGCGGAAGCCCTCTCGATCCGATCTGTCTTGAACCAAGCCTTAGAAGAAGGCTTCTCCACCATCCTCGTAAGACTTTGTGAGAGCCATCAACAACTCGCAGGAGAATTTCAAAGAGATCTACGGTCTCCTTTTTGATATTCATACTCTTGCATCGCTGTTTGATTCGATTTCCTTCCATTTCATCTCTAGATCTGAAAATGTCGTGGTCGATTCCATCGCAAAAAGATCGCCAAAAGTCGTTTGGTTGATTTAGTTTCAATTCGGGACCCACTAGTATAGTTGTTGGTTTTCTTTAGTGAAAAATTAAATGTTGTCCAAAAAAAAAATGATCCTAAACACTAATCAATTCTCCCTCTGTCCCATAATATAAGCTGTTTTGACGTAATGTATCTGCAATTTTTTGGATGTATCTGGATGTGTTGAGTACTTGCTTGTTGAGTATTAAAAGAGAAACCATAGAAAAATAAAGAAGTCGAAGAAAACTAACATAAAAGACAAAATTTAAAGAGGGACAGTCCATAGTGTTTAATTAAACAAATGCTACGTGCTAACGACTTGTTCACCAGTTGTATTAATGCATATAATAATATAACAAGTACGTAGCGTTGATTAAAAGTCCTGTAAGGCAATACTGATCCATTATTACACGAAACAAAATTTCAATTACCCAAACATCAATTTCCATTCTCTCCACCTCTGATAACCGCAAGCACCATTGATATGGTGAATCTAAAAGGACACGATCATTCTCTAGGAAACATTGTAAATTTTCATGGTTTGAAATGCGATGCTTGCGATCGATCGTTTGATCGCGATGGCTACCGATGCCTTACATGCGATTTTCTTGTTCACAAGAAATGTGTTTTTTTGTTCAATACACAAGATACAATATTATCCGAGCACCCTTCCCACGTTGGACATGGTCTTCAGCTTCTCACAACAGGGGCTCCTGCTCACACCGACCCGAAATGCCACATATGCGGTAAAAACACTAAGCGACTTCTTTACCATTGTTCCCCTTGTAATCTCAATTTGGACATCGATTGCATGGTTGATGCCATGAGTTCCCGAGCCAAGCTGAATATGCCGTGGCACTATCATCCTCTACTCATGCTTGATGTTGGTGATCATCTGCTATGTGTGCTTTGTGGTCTGCCCGGCGGATATGGCTACTGTTGCCCTCGTTGCAGATTGATGGTTCACGAGAAATGCGCCTCCGTATTTGACTCACCAGAGATCACTCATCATTTTCATGCCAGACACTCTCTTAAGCTTCTCACCCAAGGAGCTCCCGATCACACAAATCCATTTTGTCATGTGTGTGGAAAACATCCTGGAAATTTTCTTTATCATTGTGATACTTGCAAGTTCAACTTGGATATGGTTTGTGCGATCGAAGACCACCATTTGCATAAACTCACACCAGTTGCTCTTTCAAATCTGAAGGTCCATGAGCATACACTCACACTCATCCCCAAATTGATCTCCTTCGTTTGTGATGCTTGTGGGACGGAAGGCGACCGTTCTCCTTATGTTTGTCTTCAATGCGGTCTAATGTTCTTCCATCAAAAATGTGCTCGTTTGCCACGTGTCATTCACGTCAATCGCCATGATCACCGCGTTTCTTACACGCATCCTCTGGGTCGTGGAGAATGGAGTTGTGGGGTTTGTTTGGATGAGATTGATTGGTCATACGGAGCTTATTCCTGCTCTGATTGTCCTGATTACGCTATTCATTCACTATGCGCAACAAAAAATACCGTATGGGATGGGATAGAGCTTGATGGAGTACCTGAAGAAGTCGAAGATACTGAGCCATTCAAGATAAATGATGACAAGACAATCACTCATATCGCTCATGAACATAACATGAGCCTCGTCAGCAAAGATGGTGTTGCTTTGGAAGAAAGCATCTTAATGTGTGGAGCATGTGTTGGTCCCATCGGTTCTTATAAGACATTCTACAACTGTTCTTCGGATTGCGGTTTCATCCTCCATGAAACGTGTGCTAATCTACCTAAGAAGAAACGACATTTTCTAAGCCCAAGACCTCTCACTCTTTGCTACAATAGAAATGCTACCCACGCAACATGCAGTGCTTGTCTTCAAATGTGCTGCAATGGATTCATGTATACTGATGGAGGTCGGAAATTTGACATACTATGCAGTTCGATTACTGTGCCTTTTATCCATGCAAGTCATCCTCATCCGTTACTCTACTACGGTAAAAGTTCTCATCGTGAATTTAAGACATGCCAGGGTTGCCGCATTGGTGGAAACATTCTCCTTGGCTGTATCAAATGCAATTATTTTTTGGATTTTAGCTGTGCCACTCTACCATCAACGGTCATTCCTGAGAGGTATGGTGATCATCCACTTACTCTTTGCTACGGCGAGAAGGCAAGCGGCAAGTATTGGTGTGATATTTGCGAAACAGAAACAAATCCAAAGACTTGGTTCTACACCTCTGACTACGGAGCTACTTTGCATGTCTATTGTGTACTTGGGAATGTCAGGTATCCGAAACCTGGAGGAAAGATAAAAGACGGCGTTGTGATGGCGATTAACAATACATCTTCACGACCACTTTGCAACAACTGCCATTGCCGTTGCGCAGCTCCCTTCTTTCTTATCAAGGGGAACGAATTATTTTGTTCTTATTATTGTTTTCAACGTATCCAAATGAGGGCGTCCTGGATCAGTAGGAATGTTATACGTCCTCCATGGGTATATGAATCTTGAATATGTAACATTCGAGTTTGAATTTGATCGGGTTGTAACTCTGTACCATGTTATTATATAATCGAAAACTTAAAATTGTAGAGAAGCTTGAAATTTCATTATAGTACATATGATTGAACAATGAAGAATGATTTATCTATATTCTCCTCCGGTTTTCTCGTAACAATAATCTTTATATTATTAATTGAAAAGTACGTTTATAATCAATAATCTTTATATTATTAATTGAGAAGTACATTCTAATGTTTGGATACAAGAATTAGAGAAACATCTATTTGGATAGAAGAATAAATGGAAACAAAAGTTGTTTGGATATAAGAATAAGAGAAAAATCTATTTGGATAGAAGAATAAATGGAAAAAATTGTTTGGATACAAGAATAATAACTTAAAATAAACCGATGGTTTAGAAAACTTCCGTTTTCCATCTCTTAAAAATCTGCAAAAAAAAAACTTAACATAATCTAACGATAATTCCAAATCAATAGAATATGCTTTTTGGATTTTCGGGTTTTTATAGACAAGTTCGGGTTTGGGTGAAAATCTGAGACATAATTTTATAGAGATATATATAGAGATATAGAAATTGTTCGGGTTTCTTTGAAAATTTCTGTTCGGGTTAGGTTCAATTTTTTTTTTCAGTTTAGGGTTTTCCGGATTTTTTAGATTTCTGGTTTTCGGGTTTAGATATATTAAAAAAATTGAGTATTTTAAAATTTTGATTAGGTATTGGGGTCGGGTTCCGGGTGAAAAAGTTTCCAGATTTTTTTTGTTCAGTCAGGGTTTTCGGGATTTTTTTGATTTCGGATTTTCATGTTTAGACCTATTAAAAAAGTTTGGGTTTTTAAATTTTTTGATTAGGGTTTTTTGTCGGGTTCGGATTTAGGGTTTAAATTTTCTACACAAAACAACAACGTCACACCGCACAAACGTGCGGGTACTCTACTAGTAACATATTTAAGGAGGATCAATTTAATACATTGTAATGTTTGGATACAAGAATAAGAGAAAAAGCTATTTGGATAGAAGAATAAATGGAAAAAATGTTTGGATACAAGAATAATAACTTAAAACAAACCGATGGTTTAGAAAACTTCCGTTTTCCAGCTCTTACAAATCTGCAAAAAAGAAAACTTAACATGATCTAACGATAATACCAAATCAATAGAATATGTCTTTGGATTTTCGGGTTTAAATTTGTTTTTTTTTAAATTTTAATTCGGGTTCAATTCAGGTTTCTTTTAAAGTTTTTTTTTTTGGTTTTTGGGTTTAGTGATATAAAAGTCGTTCAAGTTTTTTAAATTTCTGAATTGGGTTTTTCTAAACAAATTCGGGTATGGGTGAAAATCTCAGACCTAATTTTATAGATATATAGAGATATAGAAATTGTTCGGGTTTTTTTGAAAATTTATGTTCGGTTTGAGTTCGAGTTTTTTTGGGTTCAGTTCAGGGTTTTCCGGATTTTTTGGATTTCCGGTTTTCGGATTTATACATATTGAATTTTTTTGGGTATTTTAAAATTTTGATTAGGGTTTTTAGGTCGGATTAGGGTTTCGAGTCAAAAAATTTAGAGTTTTTTTTATTCGGTTCAGGCTTTTTCGGGATTTTTTGGATTTCAAATTTTTGGGTTTAGACATATTAAAAGTGTTTGGGTTTTTAAAAATTTTGATTAGGGTTTTTGGGTCGGGTTCAGGTTTAGGATTTATATTTTCTTTCACAAAATCGCAACGTCACACCGCGCTGATCCTCTATTATATTATTAATTGAGAGGTACATTGCAATGTTTGGATACAATAATAAGATAGAAAAACTGTTTGAATATAAGAATAGAAGAGAAAAAAGAGAGAAAAATTGTTTGGATATAAGAATAGAAGAGAAAACCTATTTGGTTACAAGAATAATAACTTAAAACAAATCGATTGTTTAAAAAGAAATAAACCGAACCCGAATTGATTGAATAATAAATGCGGGTCCTCTACAATAATTTAAAACAAACCGGAGAATGATGGATAGATACCAATCGAGTCCGGGTCTATCGGGTGGTGACTTTATACCCATATAATACTGAATGAATTTCGGTATTTGGTCGGGTTCATTTAGGTTCGGGTATGTTTGAGTCCAAATCGAAAACTGAATATTACAGTCACATATTCCGGTTAATAATCACCCGAAAACCCAAAATTATACTCAAAAACCCAAATAATTTCCAAAATCCCGAAATATATCAGTAATTCAGTTTTTTTTTTATATGTTAAAATTTTTTAAAAACAGAAAATATATCTAAAACCCAGAAAAAAAAAATAAAAAAACCCAAAAAAAAAATATATATATATATATATAATATTAAAATTAATCTACAGTACCCATTCTGTTAAATGATCGGGTTAATATCAAAAGAAAACTAAATTTAAAAGATGAAAAAAAAAACATAATTCTGCGCTGCTACTGCATGGGTAGACTACTAGTATGATATACAAACAAGACACAAAAAATTGACTAAAAGAGAGAAGCAGAAGAAGAGGTTAATTAATGAATGTGCTTATTCTCTCGTTACTAGACAGGAGGAGAAAACATATTGTGTTCTCTTCCAGAAACACAAAATGAAAGCAAAGAGAGTGTAAGTTAGAAGCATTCCTTTAATTTTTTTACCGGTGAAGCCGTGAAGAAGCATTTTTGTGAGCAGATGCTTCAAAATAAGCCTTTTCTGCATCATCCAATCTATCTTGGAACATCGTCCATTCTCTCCTACACCTTTCCCTCACCTGCAATAACAGATCAAATTTGACATATCTTCAAGAGTACAAAACTACAAATGCGAGAGGATACTATAATCTATTATGGATGAAAAAAGGACTACGGATTAGTAGATTAATTCATTCATTCTTGTATTGATATTTACCCCTTTCTGGTTGTTTCCCTCGCTCTTGTTGTCCCTGTCAAAATTTAGATGCACCAAAAAAAAAATGGAATAGTAACAAGTCTGTTCAATGTAATGCATTTACATCACACCGCTAACGTAATAAAGATATAATTATTACTCCCTCTGTTTCACAATATAAGGGGTTTTGGAGTTTTTATTTTGTTTCACATTATAAGGGGTTTTAGATTTTCTAGACAAAATTTAATGTGTTTTTATTATTTTTGATTATTTATATTCTTCAGATTATCTTGTCATTTGTTGAAATGTTTTGGAATTGATAAAAGTACAAAAATTAAATTGCTTCTTAAATTGTGTGCAAAAACTTTAAACCCCTTATATAATAAAACAGAGGGAGTAGTTAGTTGTACTTAATGACTGAGAATGCATTTACATCACACAATACAACTACTCACTTTCTCATTTTTAATTTGAATGAATAAAAGAGGAAGAAAACTTGCATGTAGACTATTAAAAGAGAAAATATAAGAAAATAAAGAAGTCAGAAGAAAATTAAACTCCATAAAAGACAAAATTTGAAGGGGATAGTTCATAGACCATAGTGTTTAATTAAATGAAACAAATGCTACGTGCTAACTACTTGTTTTACGTGCTAACTACTTGTTTACCAGTTGTATTACTATATATTTGTTGACGTACAGATATTAATGCATATAATATAACAAGTACGTAGCGTTGATTAGAGTATACAGAGGAAGGGCAATACTGATCCATTATTACGCGATAAAAAAAGTAAAATTACCCAAACATCAATTTGCATTCTCTTCACCTCTGATAACTGTGAAGAAGATAACTTGATGATCAAGCTCACGTGATTCTGCCAGCGTGGAAAGTAAAGACTAACTATGGTGGAAATAAACCAAACCATGGTTAAGTTGCTTTTGGACCACAATCAGGGGTAACGGCTTTCTGCAATATAAAACAAGCTTAAGTCTGTTTCTGCCTTTAGGACGACCTCAGTCTGTTTGTGCTCAAAAAGGAAAGTCCACGCTTCTGCTAAGCTAACGGCGTTTCGGAGACGTTAACACGGCGGCTTGTGTAGCACAAGAAACCCTAGTGTGTCATCAATATAAAAGGACACAAGGGGCAAGAGAGAGAGTTACGAGAGACTTGAGATAGATTTAGAGAGAGTGTTGAGAGAGAAACTTTGAATAGCATAAACAAGTGTTCATTGTGTTCTCTTAGACAAGAAGATAACAGAGTAGTGTCTAAGTACTAGTGAAGGGTATTAGAGTGACTACTTGTATCTTCTTGTGCTGTAAACTCTCTAAATCTAGTGGATTCCGAGGTGAGTCTCGGCCCAGACGTAACGACCCTAGTTAACGGGCGTGAACTGGGTAAACTTGGTTGTGTGCTCTGTTTTTCTTTCTTTCCTCTGTTCTTACACAAAGCTCTTTCTTCTTCTCTGTTTTCACAACAAACGTGTTCTGTTCTTGGTGTGTTTGGTTCTTATCTTGAGGAAAGTCGACGCCTCAAGGCTCTTAGATCCTAACATATTGGTATCAGAGCCAGGTTCATCCCTGGTAGTGGCTTGGTGAAGCTCGTGCTTGCCAAGAGCCATGTCTTCGGCAAGGATAGAGGTGGAGAAGTTTGATGGTCGTGGAGACTACACACTGTGGAAAGAGAAGCTAGAAGCTCATCTAGACATTCTGGGTCTGAGTGCTGCTCTGAAGGAGACAGTCACGCTGAAAGAAAGAACTTTTGATCCAGACCCGTCGTCAGATGAAGATACAGAAGATATCAAGTTGGAGGAAGCCTTAGAAGAAAAAAGGAAGAAAGCTAGAAGCACCATTGTTTTGAGTGTTTCAGATCAGGTCCTGAGGAAGATAAAAAAGGAGAAGACTGCAGCTGATATGCTCAACGCTCTAGACAAACTCTATATATCTAAAGCCCTCCCAAATAGGATCTATCTGAAACAGAAGCTATACAGCTTCAAGATGTCTGAAAATCTGTCTATTGAAGGAAACATCGATGAGTTTCTTCATCTTATAACAGATTTGGAGAGCACAAGTGTTGTTGTGTCAGATGAAGATCAAGCCATTCTCTTGCTGATGTCGCTTCCAAGACAGTTTGATCAACTGAGGGATACTCTGAAGTATGGTACAGGACGCAACATCCTAACTCTTGATGAGGTTATTGCAGCCATATATGCAAAGGAGCTGGAGTTTGGGTCAAACAAAAAGAGTTTCAAAGGTCAAGCTGAGGGTCTGTTCGTGAAAGACAAGAACGAGACCAGAGGGAGAAGTGAGCAGAGAGAAAGGGGCTCAAAGGCAAATCGATCAAGGTCCAAATCTAAGAGTAAACGAGGATGTTGGATCTGTGGTGAAGAAGGCCACTTCAAAAACACCTGCCCCAACAAGAATAAAGCTCATTTCAGATCAAAAGATCAAAGCCACAGTAGAGGAGAGTCCTCTAACGGGAAGAGCAATGTAACTGAAGCAAACAATGTAACTGAAGCAACCGGTTTGTATGTGTCAGAAGCTCTATCTTCTACAGACATACATCTTGAAGATGAGTGGATCATGGACACAGGCTGTAGCTATCATATGACGTACAAGAGAGAATGGTTTGAAGATCTGGATGAAGAAGCAGCGGGTTCAGTCAGGATGGGGAACAAGACCGTGTCCAAGGTCAAAGGCGTTGGAACAATCAGACTCAAAAACGAAGCTGGTCTAAGCGTTCTGCTCACAAATGTCAGGTACATCCCTGAAATGGATAGAAATTTGTTGTCTTTGGGAACCTTTGAGAAAGCTGGTTACAAGTTTGAGTCAGAAGATGGTGTTTTAAGTATCAAGGCAGGAAGTCAAACTCTGTTGACTGGAAAGAGATTTGATACTCTGTATTTGCTGAAGTGGAAACCTGTTACAGAGGAATCTCTTGCTGTAGAGAGGAGACAAGATGATACAGTGCTATGGCATAGAAGATTGGGGCACATGAGCCAGAAGAACATGAACATAATGCTGAGAAAGGGTTTACTAGACAAGAGGAAGGTGTCTGTGTTTGAGACGTGTGAAGACTGCATATATGGGAGAGCTAAACGAGTTGGTTTCAACATAGCTCAACACGACTCAAAGGAGAAGCTAGAGTATGTTCATTCTGATCTGTGGGGAGCTCCATCTGTACCATTGTCTCTTGGTAATTGTCAATATTTCATATCATTTATTGATGATTACTCAAGAAAGGTCTGGGTTTATTTTCTCAAGACAAAAGATGAGGCGTTTGAGAAGTTTGTAGAGTGGGTCAGTCTGGTGGAGAATCAATGCGAGAAGAAAGTGAAGACGTTGAGGACAGACAATGGACTCGAGTTCTGCAACAAGATGTTTGATGGTTTCTGTGAGTCAAGGGGAATTCAGAGACATCACACTTGTGCTTACACTCCTCAGCAAAATGGAGTTGCAGAGCGCATGAACAGAACACTCATGGAGAAAGTAAGAACAATGTTGAGTGACTCAGGTCTTCCTAAGAAGTTCTGGGCTGAAGCGACTCTTACTGCATCTGTTCTTATCAATAAGACTCCGTGTTCTGCAATCAACTTCGACATACCAGACAAGAAGTGGTTTGGAAAACCACCAGGATACAGCTACTTGAGGAGATTTGGCTGTGTTGTGTTCATTCATATTGATGATGGAAAGTTGAATCCAAGGGCTAAGAAAGGGGTCTTTATTGGGTATCCTCCTGGAGTTAAAGGATACAAAGTATGGCTGATGGAGGAGAGAAAGTGTGCTGTGAGCAGAAATGTTATCTTTCAAGAGAATGAGGTTTACAAAGATCTGTTGCAGAGAAAAGATGACATTACTGTGGAGGAAGATGATCATTCTGGATCTTATTTGGATCTAGATATTGAAGCAGATGGAGATACTACTTCAGGTGGAGACTTTGGGGTCGTCAGCAACACTCCAACATCACCAAGCCCAAGTCTGACATCACCACAAGCACCTGAGAGCAATGACAGTGCAGAGATTGAGATAAATCAATCACCTCCAAGCTATCATCTGGTCAGAGACAGAGACAGGAGAGTAATCAAAGCACCAAGGCGTTTTGATGATGAAGACTATTTTGCAGAGGCTCTGTATACTACTGAAGATGGGTTTTCTGTTGAGCCAGATTGTTACACTGAAGCAAAACTGGACTCAAACTGGGAAATGTGGAAGCTTGCTATGAATGACGAAATGGAATCACTGGTCAAGAACAACACATGGACTGTGGTACCAAGACCAGTGAATCAGAGGGTTATTGGCTGCAAATGGATCTACAAGTATAAACTTGGAATTCCTGAAGTAGAAGACCCACGTTTCAAAGCAAGATTAGTAGCCAAAGGGTATGCTCAAAGAGAAGGAATTGATTATCACGAGATCTTTGCTCCAGTGGTGAAACATGTATCTATAAGGATACTACTTTCGATTGTTGCACAAGAAGATCTTGAGCTGGAGCAACTTGATGTCAAAACCGCTTTTCTGCATGGAGACTTGAAAGAGAAGATCTACATGACACCTCCTGAAGGGTATGGTCAGATGTTCAAAGAAAATGAGGTATGTCTTCTCAACAAGGCTCTGTATGGTTTAAAACAGGCCCCAAGGCAGTGGAATGAGAAGTTTGACAACTACATGTCTGAGATTGGTTTTGTAAGAAGCAATTACGACAGTTGTGCATATGTGAAGAGTTTGAGTGATGGTTCTTTGATGTATCTACTCATCTATGTTGATGATATGCTTGTGGCTGCAAAGAACAAAGAAGCTATTCTGCAGTTAAAGAAGGATCTCAGCTCAAAATTCGAAATGAAGGATCTTGGAGCAGCAAGGAAGATTCTTGGGATGGAGATCACTAGAGACAGAGCTGCTGGTGCTTTGTGGTTGTCTCAAGAGGGTTATTTGAACAAGATCCTTGAAACTTACAAGATGGAAGAAGCAAAATCTGTAACAACACCACTTGGAGCTCACATGAGGATGTGTGCAGCTACTGAAGCTAAGCTGGCTGAAGATGAAGAATACATGAAGTCTATTCCATACTCAAATGCAGTGGGAAGCATCATGTATGCCATGATAGGCACAAGGCCTGATTTGGCGTATCCTGTGGGGGTCATAAGCAGATTTATGAGCAGTCCTGTCAAAGATCATTGGTTAGGAGTGAAATGGGTGCTGAGGTACATCAAGGGAAGCCTAAAGACGAGGCTATGCTACAAGAGAAGATCTGAGTTCAAGATAGTGAGTTATTGTGACTCTGATTATGCTGCAGACCCTGATCGAAGAAGATCCATTACTGGCTTAGTGTTTACTCTCGGTGGTAACACAATCACCTGGAAATCTGGTCTGCAACGAGTTGTTGCCCTTTCAACAACAGAATCTGAATACATGTCATTGACTGAAGCGGTTAAAGAAGCAGTGTGGTTGAAGGGTCTTATGAAGGAGTTTGGTTATGATCAGAAAAGTGTGGAGATCTTCTGCGATTCACAGAGTGCCATTGCGCTCTCTAAAAACAATGTGCATCATGAAAGGACGAAGCACATTGACGTGAAGTATCACTTCATCCGAGATGTCATTGCAGATGGTGATGTTGAGGTGTTAAAGATATCAACCGAGAAGAATCCGGCTGATATATTCACCAAGGTGTTGGCTGTGAGCAAGTTTCAGGCGGCGTTGAACTTGCTACAGGTCAAGCCTGAGTAATAAACTCAGGGAATCCGAGACTGGAATCCATGTAACTCTCAAGGTACTCTCTCTCTCTGTTATGTGCAGGAAATGGCTTGTTCTTCATGTTATCTGGTGGAGATTTGTGAAGAAGATAACTTGATGATCAAGCTCACGTGATTCTGCCAGCGTGGAAAGTAAAGACTAACTATGGTGGAAATAAACCAAACCATGGTTAAGTTGCTTTTGGACCACAATCAGGGGTAACGGCTTTCTGCAATATAAAACAAGCTTAAGTCTGTTTCTGCCTTTAGGACGACCTCAGTCTGTTTGTGCTCAAAAAGGAAAGTCCACGCTTCTGCTAAGCTAACGGCGTTTCGGAGACGTTAACGCGGCGGCTTGTGTAGCACAAGAAACCCTAGTGTGTCATCAATATAAAAGGACACAAGGGGCAAGAGAGAGAGTTACGAGAGACTTGAGATAGATTTAGAGAGAGTGTTGAGAGAGAAACTTTGAATAGCATAAACAAGTGTTCATTGTGTTCTCTTAGACAAGAAGATAACAGAGTAGTGTCTAAGTACTAGTGAAGGGTATTAGAGTGACTACTTGTATCTTCTTGTGCTGTAAACTCTCTAAATCTAGTGGATTCCGAGGTGAGTCTCGGCCCAGACGTAACGACCCTAGTTAACGGGCGTGAACTGGGTAAACTTGGTTGTGTGCTCTGTTTTTCTTTCTTTCCTCTGTTCTTACACAAAGCTCTTTCTTCTTCTCTGTTTTCACAACAAACGTGTTCTGTTCTTGGTGTGTTTGGTTCTTATCTTGAGGAAAGTCGACGCCTCAAGGCTCTTAGATCCTAACAATAACCGCAAGCGCCATTGATATGGTGATCTAGAAGGACACGTTCATTCTGTAGGAGTAACTGTAGTTATCTGGTTTGGAATGCGATGCTTGTGATCGATCGTTTGATCGCCATGGCTACCATTGCCTTGAATGCGATTTTGTTGTTCACACAAAATGTGCTATTGTGTTCAATACACAAGAGACAATATTATCGGAGCATCCTTCTCATGTTGGACATAGTCTTAAGCTTCTCACGACGGGGGCTCCTGGTCACACCGATCCAAACTGCCATATCTGCGGTAAAAACACTAAGCGCCTTCTTTATCATTGTTCCACTTGTAAACTCAATTTGGACATCAATTGCATGGTTGATGCCATGTGTTCCCAAGCCAAGCTGAATATGCCGTGGCACTATCATCCTCTACTCATGCTTGATGTTGGTGATCATCTGCTATGCGTAATTTGTGGTCTGCCAGGCGGATACGGCTACTGTTGCCCTCGTTGCAGAATGATGGTTCATGAGAAATGCGTCTCCGTATTTGACTCACCGGAGATCACTCATCATTTTCATGCCGGACACTCTCTTAAGCTTCTTACCCAAGGAGCTCCTGAATACACGGATGCAACATGTCATGTGTGTGGAAAACATGTTGGGAACTTTCTTTACCATTGTGATATTTGTAAGTTCAACTTGGATATGGTTTGTGTGGTTCAATACCACAAACACCATAAACTCATACCAGTTGAACTTTCAAATATGAAGGTCCATGAGCATACACTCACACTCATCCCAAAATTGATCTCCTTCGTTTGTGATGCTTGTGGGACGAAAGGCGACCGTTCTCCGTATGTTTGTCTTGAGTGCAATCTCATGTTCTTCCATCAAAAATGTGCCCATCTACCACGTGTCATTAACGTCAATCGCCATGATCACCGCGTTTCTTACAAGTATCCTCTGGGCCGTGGAGAATGGAGATGTGGAGTTTGTTTGGAAGATATCGATTGGTCATATGGGGCTTACTCTTGTTCTGATTGCCCAAATTACGCTATTCATTCAAGATGCGCAACAGGGGATGACGTATGGGATGGGAAGAGCTTGATGGAGTACCTGAAGAAGTCGAAGACATCGAGCCATTCAAGATGAATGATGACAACACAATAACTCATTTCGCTCATGAACATAACATGAGCCTCATCAACAAAGACGGCGTTGCTTTGGAGGAAAGCATTGTGTAGAGCATGTGTTCGTCCCATAAGTTCTTACAACACATTCTACAACTGTTCGGATTGCGGTTTCATTCTCCATGAAACTTGTGCTAATCTTCCTAAGAAGAAACGACATTTCCCAAGCCCAAGACCTCTCACTCTTTACCACAATAGAAATGCTACCGACACAACATGTGCTTGTCTTCAAATGTGCTGCAATGGATTCATGTATACTGATGGAGAAGAGACATTTGACTTACTATGCAGTTCGATTACTGTGCCTTTTATCCATGGAAGTCATCCTCATCCTTTACTCTATTACAATAAACGTGCTTATGGTGAGTCTAAGAGATGCCAGAGTTGCGGCATTGGAAGCAGTCTCGTTCTAGGCTGTATGAAATGCAATTATTATTTGGATTTTCGTTGCGCCACTCTGCCAGTAACGGTAAGGCTTGACAGGTATAATGATCATCCACTCACTCTTTGTTACGGTGAGAAGGCAAGCGGCAAGTATTGGTGTGATATTTGCGAAGGGGAGACAAATCCAGAGAATTGGTTCTACACCTCTGATTACGGAGCCACTTTGCATGTTTTCTGTGTACATGGGAATGTTAGGTACGCCAAACCAGGAGGAAAGATCAAGGACGTTGAATTGTGGTTTAACAATACATCTTCACGACCACTTTGCAAGAACTGTCATTTCCGTTGCGCAGCTCCTTTTTTTCTTACTAAGGGGAACGAATTATTTTGTTCTTATTATTGTTTGCTACGTATCCGAATGAGGGCGTCCTCGATTAGTTCGATTGTTATACGTCCTCCATGGGTATATATGAACCCTTGAAGACGTAACATTCGAGTTTGAAACTCGTGTATTTGATTGCTATTTTGAGCCTTTTATTATTTGAGGTTGAATTCATTGTTGTTGTTCACCAAAATAATGAACCGATTGACAATCACCTGCTTGCATTTTACATTACACGAAGACATGGCCGGCTTCTTTATATCAACTTATTTTGCAGACGTTTTTCCTCAAAAGACTATTTGGTTCCATTTTTATTGGTTTAATTTTTATTGGTTTAAGAAGGGTTCAAGTTCATTCTCTTATCAACCCTTTTGGTTAGTCCCGGGAGGAACGCACCGAGGTGCTACAAAGTGGACTCATTCTAAGAACTACACACCGCCTATTCCGAGTTTGGAGTGCCTTCCGACTAATGCCAGAGGGTAATCAGGCCGCATGCATTTCTAATTACCAGGTAAACCAATTGGACCTAGGCCCAACTGACAGACTTCCCACACAAATGTGATTTTGTTTCCAGGGAGGATCGAACCCGGGTCTGAGAGTTTCACCCTTCACCAAGGCTTCCCCTTACCACTGGACCACAAGAGTGTGGGCGCTCTTATCAACCCTAGTTTAAAAAAAAATCTTGTTCCCACCATTGTCTGTCAAACATCCTAGTTCCACTTTGATAATTTTTTTTCCATGTCCTTTTCATTCGTCTACAATTAAACATATTTCATTGCCCATGGGATATAGCTAATATTATGAAAAAGTGATATAGCTAAGAAAAGAGAAATAAAAAACCAAGTGAAATATCTATTTCTGTATATGATTAATTAATCTCGAAGGCACCATCATCGACTCAACGTGAGCTAGCTGTCATGACTTTTGCTTCTGTCTTCGGTCATCTGGATAACTGGATTGAGGCAATGAAATCAACTCTTTTAGAAGTAAACTTTGCTTGGTAAGAGAAAATAAAGAAGTCGAATAAAACTATCAGGCAGACAAAACCTGAGCAGATAAGCCGCGGTATTGGTACATGTTTAAATTAACAAAGACTTACAACGTGCCTTCTAATAAATAAAATTTATTAAAATTAAAAGGGGAAATAGTGCAAAGATTAGGAGGAGGTAAAGAAGTTTGAAGAAATGTGACATTGCAGACAAATTAAGCAATCGAGATTAATGTCTTTAAATTAAACAAAAAGTAAATACGGGGCCCACTAGTTCCATTCTTGTAGCTTGATTTGTCAGCGACAATATTAATGTATATGATAATATAATATAACAAGTAACATTTTTATTTTTTGAAATGAAAGTAAAATTTCCAAAATTTATTCCAACTAAAAAAACTGCTTTTACATCAAATGCAACATTTGTGGAGAACTATTAAAGATAAATATAGTTATCAAGACAAGATTATGATATGCCGGGGTTGCGGCCAGGATTGCAGCATGGATGGATCCTATAAGAAAAAAAAGAGTACTAGGTTGTATCAAATGCATCTTCTTTTTGGAAATTTTCTAGCTTGTATCAAATGCAACTGTTTGTGTACCTCATGCAGCTTTGGTTGTAGCATGATACATCATACATTTGTTTTTTATGCATCTTATTACTTAACTCTCATGTCCTCAACTGGTGTTTTCTGCTGATTGCAGCTAATCTCCAGTTTGTTTTTTCTTTTTTTTTTTCAGTCTCCAACTTCATTTTTTTTTTTTTTTTGTGTGGGTGATATGATATGAGAGACTAAAGTCTCCCACCTTTATTCTGTTAAACAATACAAACGTTTCAAGGGCATTAATATCCTAAAACATTATCTTCTAGGATTGAGTCCATACTAGAAGGAACTAAAGGCAAACTATGAAAACCCAAAGAAACACTGAAAGCATAGTTAGCTAGACTATCCAGTCACTTACAATTAAGCATAACCGTACCAGGAAGGACAACAGATATTAGAGCACGCTTAACACGGACGCTTAAAGCAGCGCTTAGCACAAATTCAGCATTTAATTAAATCAAAATTACGAAAAAAGCAAAGCTCCGACGCTTCAATAAGCATTAGAGCATGTGCAATGGAGAGCTCCATACGGAGCTCTTTAAACTTATTTTGTAATAAAAATATTAACTTTTTAAGTGTAGAGTTTTGGTAAGAATTTAGCCTCCACAATGGAGAACTCACTGGGGGTTCTTTAAAACATGAAACCTTTTTTACTTCATCTTTAAGTTTCTGTCTTCCGAGTAGACTTCGTCGTCTTAACTTGAGACTTTGTTCACTTTAACTTTCTTCCCTCTACTGCTAAACATGTCGTCGTCTTCATCTTCATCATCGCTACAACGAGTTGTTATGTTCGGATCCATAACCTCTGCAACCAATTATCCATTGCTTGAATCAACGAAATCTATCAGATGAAGAGCAGCTCCGTTGTAGTTTTCACTAATGTAACGACCAACCACAATCAGCGACTCAGACGCATCCTGCAGATGAACAAAGAAACCACAAATTGCTATCAAAAAGAGTAATCGACGAAAGAGGAAACCTCACAAAAGCAAAACTAATAAAAACCTTAAAATCCTAATCCTATTCAGCTTTGAACGGCATCAAATGCCGATTGAAATCATGGCTATGAACAATCTCTAAGAGAAACTCCTCGCTGTAGTTTACGCATATCCCATATTCTTGCCTGAAACCATATAAACCAAGATAACAAAAATCTGTTAAAAAGCAGTTTTTCAACAGAACTCAGATCAAGATGATAGCAAATGACTTACAAAGTGGTCGTAGCCTCTGTAGATCATCCCATGCTTGTAGCTGGAACACGCATCGATGTAACAACACACGTAAAGACACAAATCAGAGTACAGTAAGAGAAAGCCTCTCAATTTGATGATAGAGCAGAACTTGAAGAAGACTAATAATTTGTACAAAGTTCAGATTTTTCCACAATATCATACAAATCCGGATTAAAATATCACCATGACAACAACTCACTTATAAGTTAAGGAGAGATTTACAGCAAACAAATCAATATGGTTTTTTGACAAAACCCAAGATTGAGAAAATCAAAAGCGAAAACCAATCAATAGAAACAGCCGAGAGAGAATATCAAAATCAAATTTCTCACTGGAGTCCGACATCATGCATGTAACTTCCAGGCTCTCTCGAACATCGATCTCGACTCCAGAACCTTGCCGATTCGATTCGGCCGTGGATCCAGAGGAGACTCTGTTTTTTCTCTTCGCTCTAACTCTTCCGCGCTCGATCTCGCCGTCGGAGAGACTGCCTCGCCGGAATGGATTGATTGTGGCAGATTAACGGAGTAACCAAGAGAAGAAGACGAAAAAAGCTGGATTGATTGATGAGGAGAACTGGAGAAGACGAAGACGAAGAAAGAAAAAAAAAATCTCGTCAAAAAAAATTATCGCGAGCTTTGTCGTCACGACAAGTAGAGAGTAGAACCGTCTCCACAGTCTCTGCCGGGAGAGACGTATCTGGGCTTTGGACTCGCCACATAAGTAATTATTTTCAATTTTTCTTTTCTTTTGGGTTAAAGAACCTGTGACAAACTGTCCGCTGCACTTGCCCTTATAAGCGTCGGTTGCTTCATGACACGTGGCAGTCTCCGATTGGCTGGAGGTAATTAAGAACAAAAATATGTTTCTCTCTCCTCATTTCTTCTTTTCCTTTTTCGCTCTTCTCTCTCTCTTTGATCTCAATCTTCGTTGACAAATCGAAACTTTCGTCGATTTCGCTCACGAAATTCACGAAATCAGTCAGAAATCATGTCTCCGGTGGGTGGGCGTTCGTATTCATCATGTGTTTATGAGAAGCGGCGAACAATATCGTGCCTAATCGGCGAAGATCAACCAATTTCAATCAAAATTGTTCTGGATGAAAATGTTAGTTCTGATATCATGTTCGTATTTAACTAGCAATCCTTGAATCAAATCTGTTAGAGAAGATCCGTATAAGCCTATTGATCAAGGTGTCTTATCCCAATTCCAAGTTGTGAATAAGTTTAAGAAGCTAGCTCTTAAGGTAAAAGTAGAAGAAAACATTTTGCCATTTTTTTGTACTCTGAACCTCAGATATTTTATTTGTGTGTCTGGTTTGCAAGTGATGGCGGAGAGTCAACCGGAAGAGGAAGAAGGAAAGAAAGAGGGAAACTCACTTATGAAAAACTCAAAACTAGGATGAACAGACTTGGGTATAAGCTCTCTGAAAATGAAGTACATCGAGTTCATGTTTGTGACAATGCATAGACAGGACTGGAGTAAGATGAACTTTTGTACAAAGTATTCAAGTACTTTGGTAAAGATAAGAAAGGGTAAGGTAATGAATCAATCTCCATGGATCATAATTTTTTGCCAAGAGAATCAAAGATTCAAGTATGAATTGAGGTAAACTGTTTAACGCTAATATCAGACATCAATGTGAATGGCTTGTTACGATAGGTTCATAACAAGGAATGAAATGGAGGTAGCCATGAAGGAGCATGGTTTTGAGAAGTCAAATATGTCAAAGCTTGAAGCTTTCATATTTCCAGTTTCTACTCAAGGTTTTGTGAAGATATTTCCTAACGATCAGTACGGAACCAGTAGTCAATCTTCATACGGTTTTGAAGATCTCGAATCCAGCTTTCCAGATATTCTTTCCGTTCTCAAATCCAAGGTGTAGTCCATCAGCAAATCGGTTTCAAAGATGACGAAAAATCTTTGTTTAAAATAACTTTTAATCTTTTATTTTAAGCACCCTTATAAGTGTCTCCCATTAGAGAAGGCAAAACATGTAATTTTTAACAAAGATGCTTACAACAACTTTTATATTATGATATTAGCTAAGCACCCTGTTAAGCATTCTTGCATTAAACATGCTCTTACGCACCGATCCCTGTATTGAAAAAACTCACTACCAGCTCCGAGTCAACTTCCACTTCTAATCTCACAACTCTTTTCTCCCATGCAATATGATCCAACTTCATTCTTTTACTTTCTATCAAGTTCAAAACTGATACAAAAAATAAAAATAAAAGGAAAGACATATTAATGGTATACGTGAAGCATGGTAGTTTTATATTCTGAGTTAGATACGTGATGCAAGTTGACATATGGCACTCATAAATAAAAACAAGTAGAAGAGCAGAGATTAGAAAGTTAAGAAGTCAAAGAAATCTCACATGGCAGACAAAAACTTGAGCGTATTAATCGATTTTATAGTCTTAAACTAAACAAAGAAAAAGACATATTAACTACTAAGTGCCAACTAGTAGTTGGATAGTCAAGGTCAATATTAATGCATAGAATGCAAACAAGTAGCGTTTTATTAAAAAACTATGTAGAGAAGAATACAACAATATTGGATCCATTAGTACACAACATTTAAATTGCATTCTTCTCCATTTCTGAGAACCGCAAGAGCCATGAATAAAGTTGTGTCTCTGCAAGGACACGAGCATCCTCTGTCCCTCGTTAACAAGCGTGATGGTTTGGAATGCGATGCTTGCGATCAATCGTATCGCGATGGCTACTTCTGCGGTGAATGCAAGTTTACTGTTCACAAGAAATGTGCCTTTGTGTTTAATACACAAGAGTGTAAGGGTTTACATGGCCACAAAGAGACATTGTTCGAGCATCCTTCTCATGTTGGACATGTTCTTAAGCTTATCACAACGGGGGCTCCTGATCACACCGATCCGAATTGCCATATATGCGGTAAAGACACAAAGCGCCTCCTTTTCCACTGTTCCATATGTAAACTCAACCTGGACATTGATTGTATGGTTGATGCACTGTGTGCCCGAGCCTGTTTTAATATGCCGTGGCACCATCATCCTCTACTAATGGTTAATTTCAATGGTTGTCTACAATGCGATTTCTGTGGTTTGAGATTCAACAGTGGCTACTTTTGCCTTCGTTGTAGATTGATGGTTCATGAGAAGTGCGTCTCCGTGTTTGACTCACCGGAGATTAATCATCCTTGTCATGCAAGACACCCTCTTAAGCTTCTCACCGAAGGAGCGCCTGGTTACACGAATCAAGAATGTCATCTCTGTGGAGATGACACTGGAAACTTACTTTATCATTGTGATATTTGTAAGTTCAACTTGGATATGTATTGTGCGGTTAGGCATCCACAGCCAGATTCTCTCTCAAACCAGAAGGTCCATGAGCATACGCTCACGCTCATGCCAAGAATGATGTCATTCCTCTGTGATGCTTGTGGAGTGAAAGGCGACCGTGCTCCTTATGTCTGCCTTCAATGCGATTTCATGGTCCATGGAGGTTGTGCTGCTTTACCACGTGTCATTCACATCAACCGCCATGATCACCGAGTCTCTTACACGTATCCTCTTGGTCGTCCTGGAGAATGGAAATGTGGAGTTTGTTGGGAGGATATTGATTGGTCATGCGGGGCTTACTTGTGTAACACGTGTCCTGGTTATGCTCTGCATTCAAGATGTGCAACAAGATACGACGTGTGGGATAGAATAGAGCTTTATGGGGTACCTGAAGAAGTTGAAGACATTGAGCCATTCAAAGTGAACCAAGACGGCACAATAGCTCATTTCCTTCATCATGGTGCTGACCTGAGTCTCAACAAAGGCGGTATTGCTTTGGAAGAAAGCATCTTGTGTGGAGCATGTGTTCTTCCCATTGGTTCTAACACGTTCTACAGCTGTCCCTATACCAGTTTCGTTCTCCATGAAACATGTGCTAATCTTCCCAAGAAAAAGCGACATTTTCTAAGCCCAAAGCCTCTTACTCTCAATTACTCCGATGTTTATTATGTGAGGTCTAACAGATGTTCTGCTTGTTTGCAACATATGTGCAAGGGGTTCGTGTATGAGGCTAATCATTCTACGAGATTCGACTTGTATTGCAGTTCGATTACTGAGCCTTTCACACACGGATGCCATCCTCATCCCTTACTCTACATCAAAGTGGATCATGATGAGATTATCAAGACATGCCAAGGTTGTGGGATATGCGCAAAAGAAATGGTTCTAGGTTGCACCAAATGCAAATTCTATGTGGACTTTCGTTGCGCAACACTTCCACTAACGGTGAGGCTTGGCAGGTATGATGATCACCCACTCACTCTTTGCTACGGTGAGAAAGCAAGCGGAAAGTATTGGTGTGATATTTGCGAAGGAGAGACAGATCCAGAGACTTGGTTCTATACTTGTATGGATTGCGGAGTCACGTTGCATGTTTTATGTGTGTTTGGGGATCTCAGGTACGCCAAAGCAGGAGAACAGATTGATGACGGGATTGTATTGGCGTCTAACAGTAGATCTTCACGACCAGTTTGCAACAACTGTCATTGCCACTGCCCAGGACCTCTCACTCTCAAGAATTGTAACCAAAACGTATACTTCTGTTCTTTGTATTGTGTCGTTAGTTCCAAATATTCGTGGAGGTGGAACATGACTCATCTCAGCGTCCCTCCATGGCTGAATCAACCCAGTACTTGAAGATATTACATGGCAGTGTTCAAGTTTGAAACTAAGCTATTAGATTGTAATGTTTTTCAGCACTTATAACATGATCATACGACTGTTATAAGTATAAAATGGTTTTTTTTCGTATTACAAAACTTTCATATTCTCAAATGGTGTTTTCTGCTGATTGTATCTATCCTCCAACTTCCTTCTTTTATTCTCTACCAAATTCAAAAATTGATGCCAAAAATTGGGAACAACATATTCGTGATAACGTGAAGCAAGTTTAACACACATAGATAACCATAGGTAGTACGACATACGAAGAATTGAGCTAAGACATTAGCTTTTTATTTTTGTACAGCTCACTGTATACTTTCTACTATTTTATTACTTAAAAGAAAACAAGAAATTTCTATAAAAGCTTGAAATTTCACTAGAGTTGTAATTGATATAAGTGAAAAGCAAAAAAATGTTTCTCTATATTATCCTCCGGTATTTTCATAACAATAATATGAATTTAACAGGAAGAAGAAAAAAAAAAAAAAAAGAAAAAAAGAAGACTAAAAGAGAGCAGCAGAAGAAGAGGTTAATGAATGTGCTTAAAATTCTAGCGTTAGCAGACAGGAGAAATCACAAAAGGAAGGCAAAGAGAGTGGAAGTTAGAGCGAGACAGTTCCCTTTTTATGTTTACCGGTGAAGCCGTGAAGAAGCATTTTTGTGAGCAGATGCTTCAAAATAAGCCTTCTCTGCATCATCCAATCTGTCTTGGAACATCGTCCACTCTCTCCTACACCTTTCCCTCACCTGCAATAACAGATCAAAGTCGGACAGAGTTTTATCATATCTTCAAGAGTAAAAGTGCGAGAAGGATACTATTATCTATCTATCGACCGATTAAGATTAAGGATGAAAAAAAGACTAGGGATTAGCTGATTCATTCATTCTTGTAATCAGTATTTACCCCTTCCCATGGTTGTTTCCCTCGCTCTTGTTGTCCCTGTCATTTTAAGAAAAACTGAAGATTAACAAGTCTGTTCAATGCATTTACATCACACCATATGACTACTACATGATTAACACAACTACTCTCTAAGGTCTTGAAAATGCAGGGGACTAAGTCCAATGGAGAAGTTATGTTACATGAAATCCTAGAGCAGTCCAAAAAGTGCATAATCTTAGTTTAGTAGCTCAGAAAATAAAGTAAGCAGGGATTTGAGAGCATACTTGATTCCCGAGTGAAGGAACACCTTGATGAATAATCCATTGAGCATCCACAACTCCTATTTGCTCGTGAGCGCTCTACCAATTGCAAGATTAATGAGCATGTAAGACGACTGTGTATAGAATCCATGAGAGAGAGAGAGAGAGATATCTACATGTGCATATGAGTGTGTTCAAAGGACGTGAATTTGCATACCTGAACACATTTTCTAACTGCAAAGTCCAGACCCCATCCATGAATCAAATCGTTCTGCAGTTACAAGGTAGCAATTGGAGTTTTGCTAAAGAGAAAATCTTCTGAGTCCAATAAACAAAGATAACTGGTTCTTTTGCGTACCTGAATCATATGCCAAACACAGCGCCATGCTTTACGGGAGAAAACAGGAGCCATAATCTCGACGAATCTGATTGTGGTTTACATAAAGCATGAAAGATGCAAAGATTCACTCTCAAATCAATCTTTCTGAGATGATCATATATGAAATTCTAAAGAACGTATACTGATAGGTAAGTAAAGTAGCATACGCTGCGCAAGGAGGTAAGTTTGGATCACTGCACCAGCCATTCCTCTCCTCAGCATGCCTGCAAGAAAACATCAGAGGAGGTATGGAACGTGTTAATCAGTGCAATGGTAGAGAAAAAACTTAGGAACTTTATTATCTATATTATCCTAACTTGTGGACTTCAGTGTCGTCTCTTTTCTTTGTCATCTCCCAAGTGAGCCCTTCATAAGGCTCTAAACCAGGCTGTGAGATTTCCAAACCATGTTTCTTCACCACTGCCAGATATCTGTCAAAAGAAACTAAATCTTCATAACCTGGAATGGCCAACTTTAAGGAAACCAAAGCTTTCAAAAACATACTTTTCTGCATCAAAGTGTTCCACGCCAAGATCCTCGTCCCATATAAAGATATATTCATAAGGAGCAACTATGTCCGGATGAAGAAACCGCTTTGCATACCACCTTCAAGGAAAATTCATAGATTTTTTAAAAAATTTGTCACTACATAGAAACTCTTACTTGGAGGAAGATTCCTACGCAGGAAATTATAAGCTAACCATTTCGTTTGTTTCCGAATGCTCACATGAATGGCTCTCTTAGACCATTCGAATTCTTCCCATTCGCTCGCACGACCATCATAGTGAAACAGCATTATAGTGAAGTTATCTGAGAACTGAGAAATGTAATGTTAAGCAATGACAAAAAAAAACGAAGAAGGAAATATGTATGGGAGGCAGGAGGATACCTTCTTCAACGCAGCTTCTATATTTTTCCTCTGATCATAACCAACCGTAAATGTTACTAGATACCGCTGCTTGATTGGTAAATCCTGCATGCCATACCAACAAAATGTGACATGATCTTGAAAGCCATACTGATGTAATACAAGCCAGGAGATATCAAAATTTACAGACCTCATTAGGGTCACCCCACAATCGTCGGAGGTATAAATCAGATTCAGATGTGACTATATCAGGAGGTAGCCTTTCAGCACCACGGGGGTTAGTAGGAACCCATATCTGCAATACCTCAAAAGTTACATCACCAATTTCTTTTATTAAAACCATAGAATAACTAATAAGCAGTGAGTCCCAACCTTAGTGTCATTAAAGCTATAGGGAGGATCAGGAATGTCGTCTTTCTTGACTTTGAGGCCCTTTGTGGAAGACCAAGAACCAAACAGTCTTTGTCTAGATATGTCTGAGTACTTTTCTTCAATGTATGCTAGATCAATCGAAGGAAACAACGTGGACGGAAGATTCATCTAACCATTGTAAAACAAACCAATGATGACAGACATAACCGAGTTTAAGCTGAATGGGAAAAGGTATAGACATCTTTATTTCTATTTTTACCTTAGTTAAGGTAATGGTTGGGAAGGTAATACCCATAAGGAAACCAACTATAACCCCGAAAAAGGATGTTAGAAGAAGCCTCATCATTTGGCTTGGTCTTCTCATCTTTCCACTCTATCCCAAAAGAGAAAATGCACATGACTTCAGAATTCAATACAGATGAAATCAGAATGGTTTACTAATTCACGTAGAGCCTTGACAAAATTGGTGTACCTACAGGTTGTTAATCTGATATCTACAGGTTATGCAGGCTTCACTTTGTTTGCATCGTTTCGATTCTTTTCAACTACATAAAGACAGAGATACAACAGAGTAAGAGAACATGATCAACTTAAGAGTTAAGAACACTCAACAGTGTAGCCCCCTCACTGTCACGGAGGAGCTTTGTAAACAATTCACTCAGCAGTATAGAGCACTCACAGATCAGAAATTCAATATCCTAAACCAATCCACAATAGCATTGCTAAGAAAAAATAATTACAAAAGCAATTGTACCATTTCAGTGGATACTGGATAGCTATCAATTGTTCCTAATTCAACAATCCATTCTAACAAATTCTTAAACAGAAAAAACAAAAATTGCTTCTCAATACCATTGTTAACTCAAAATTTCAGTATGCACTCAAAATTCTATTCACGGGAACAATTTTATCACCCGAATTGAACATTATCACGGACAAAATTCCTGGAAAGCGAAGAGCATGGGACCACATACCGAAATGGAAAGGAAGAAAGGGTCACACAGTTTCACGGTCCTGTCTGACTATTGGCGACAGAGAAAAACACCAATTTCAGAATCGGACAAAACTCAGAAACTTATAAAGCGTCGGTCACCATTAGTAACGGAGCAAAAACGGATTCCGCTTCAACGTTTCGAGATCTTCAGCTTATGAAAACGGAAATGGTCCACGCTTTGTCGAAATTACTGCAGGGAAACGGCAAATTCGGCAGCTCAAAAACTCGGAAAAAATTGTAATTCTTCGACGAAATGTCAGTGAATCAATCAAAAATACCCAGGCTTTTTACTTCGTATTGATAAAGGCCCATTAAAGGCCTAATGTATCTGAAATTGGGCCTTTCATTCAGACCTCTTCAGAAAAGGACATGTGACACACGTGCCCGAAGCAGTTAGGGAGTTATAAACTGGCAAAAGCCACCGTTAAGCTAACCACGTGGCAGCTAAACAGATAAAATTATGGTAATCATAATTATTAAATTATATGAACATGTCTATTTAGAATATTAAAAAATATCACACATCAAGATACACATATGTTTTTTTTGTCTATCTTAGTTTTTAATTTTTTGACTAAAATAGTACAAGTGTAATCAAAATTTAGTATAACTTTGATCTTAAAAGGTTTTCATTGTTTAAGTTATAGTTAAATATCTTTTTTAGATAAAATAATAGATGCAAGTGTTAATAATGTAACAGGTTTTATTTTTTATCTGTTTCAAATAAAAGTTTAGTTAGTTTCCAAATCGAATTTTAAGATTAGTAAGATTGACACCACTTAAGGCGCATAAAGGAATATATTAGAAAAACTTTCCCTTTCGACGCAACGACGTCGTACCACTCTTGAACTGACAAACAAAAGAAAACAAAAATACGACTTGGATTTCCCCATTTTGAAAATAAAAATTTTAAAAACGAAAAGCTCAGATCTTTTCTTCCTTTGTTTCTGAGATTTTCTCCTCCTATGTTTCAACATTGAACTCATTAATTAAATGTATTTTTCTGTTGGAGTTTCCAGCAGAAATTGAAACTTGGGTGGAATTTTGAATTTAGCTGATTTTTCTGGGTTTCTTTTCGGGGCTCGTGTCGTGGGATTTTGCAGCAGCCTGAGCACGATGTCATCATCGCCGGACATTGCCGGAATCCTGGAGAACACGAAGGAGCTTGATCGGTTAAGGAAAGAGCAAGAGGAAGTTCTCGTTGAGATCAACAAGATGCACAAGAAGCTTCAAGCTAGTAAGTATTTTCCATTTTGAACCAAATTGTGGCAATCTACTACCCAAATTTGGAATGATCTGAGACATGTTTCGATCTTCTTCTCTTTATCGTTATTTCAATTGGTTTTGATTAGTTATGATTTTTGATCATTTGGGTTTGGATCTTGAAGTAATTAACGAAGTTAATTAGAAAAGTTATAAAAAAAATTCCGTTGTAGACTACATTAATTCAAATTAGACGCTGGTAAATTCGAATTTGTTGAATATGATTATCTTACCAAAAAACCAGATAGAGACTTAGGCTCATTCATAGAAGCTATGTTGTAATGTAGAAATTTAACTTTATGTATAGGATTTAGCCAATTTGATGGTTTTTCCTTTTGACATTTGTTCTTGTTTGAGGAATCTTGATTTGATGGATTAAGAGACTTGTTTGAGGAATCTTAATTGCCTCTGATTTCATAATTAGAAAGTATCTCCACTTCGGATTCGATTTATCTATTATGGAAACAAACTAATGAGAATCTGAAATTAGCTAATTCTTGAGTGTTTAGAATCATGTTGGTGAAGCTTATTTGAGCGATGGCTTTTGAATTTAGCTTATCTAGTTGGTAATTTATGTGGCTGACTCGTGATTGTGTTCAAATGCAGCGCCTGAGATAGTTGAGAAGCCTGGTGATACTTCATTGTCAAAGCTTAAAAATCTGTACATTCAAGCAAAAGAGCTTTCAGAAAGTGAAGTAACGTAAGCCACATTTCCTTTTAACTGTTATCGAATAGTACAAAAGTTTTTGAATGAGTTACAACTAAACGACTCCATTTTTTTTTGTGCCAAAAACAAAATCTTCTGAACTGATTTGGTTTTAGAGCATGAATCTCTAAAGGCTCTGTTTTTGATGCAGCGTTTCAAACATTCTGCTTACTCAACTGGATTCCCTGCTTCCATCTGGACCAACTGGGCAACAACGCAGAAAATTAGGTATATACTTCGACTACCATTTGGGTCTGTAGTGTTTTACTCTTGTGGGAAAGCAAAGACTGGATACTCTTTTTTGAGTCTCAAAACTTCTTGAATGATTTGTTATTTATATAAGAGGGATTAAGATTTTTTTTCCGATGCTTGTAATGATATCACATAAGTGGCAGAAGGCAACGATCAGAAGAGGAAGAGAATGAAAGTAGATACCGATGTAACAAGAGTTTCTCCTTCCATGAGAAACCAAATCGAGGCATATGCCAGTCTAAGGGGTGAACAGGTACACACAACAGCTACTTCTTTCTTTTGTGTTGAATCACTAAAGTCGGAAATCATTATGACATTTTTTCTTTACGTAGGTTGCTGCAAGAGTCACAGCCGATGATGCCGACAAGGATGAATGGTTTGTGGTGAAAGTAATTCACTTTGATAGAGAAACAAAAGAGTAAGCTTTTGGAGCCTTCTAATAAGAATCTCACATTTGGTGATTTTGAAAACCTGTCATGAATCTGATTGATGTTTGGATTAAACCAGTAGATAGCCATTAATGATGCAATTCTGTATATGTTTTCGTTTTAAAAAGGCTCAAACTTTTTGTGACAGAGTTGAAGTACTCGATGAAGAACCAGGAGATGATGAAGAAGGAGGAGGCCAGAGGTAATTTTTATGAAAAAGAACTCAGAAACTTTTGCAATGATCATGTGACTAACTTGCTGATTATTCTTCTTGTAATCTTTCAGGACCTATAAACTATCAATGTCATGTATTTTACCGTTTCCAAAACGGAATGATCCGTCAAGCACACAAGAGTTTCTACCAGGGAAACACGTCTTAGCTGTATATCCAGGAACCACGGCACTTTACAAGGCTACTGTTATTAGTACCCCACGAAAGGTTAGCTTTTTGAACGCACCATTTCAGTCTTGATTCAACAATGTAAAAGGGAAAAGAAAACTAACCTCTAGATGCTTAAACCTGCATGTGACACATCCCATTACAGAGGAAGTCTGACGAGTAAGTTCATCCACACTTTTGTTAACTAATTAAGCATTTTTAGTGAAGATATAAGTGTTCGTATTGATGGTAAATTTCTGATCACACCAGGTACTTGCTAGAGTTCGATGACGATGAAGAAGACGGAGCATTACCTCAAAGAACAGTGCCTTTCCACAAAGTGGTAGCTTTACCAGAAGGCCATCGCCAGTGAAGCGATTTCAGACGGTTACATTGAAAATAAGTGGCACTTCATGTTTGTTTCTTTGAGGCCTAAAGCAAAAGTTAAAAGCTGTTGACGTTGACTGAAGAATAAATAACGTAAGTTTGTTTTCTATTCATCGTTGGGGAAAAGCTCCTCTAGTTTAGCGTAATGTATGAATGTGTGTATATATAAGATCATGTTGAGTCGCAACGTTGAACACAAAAGAAACTCTTTTATGTTTTTATGAAATTTGCATTTACAAGTTTTGGAGGAAAAAGATATAAAAACAAAAATTAAGAAGAGTAAAGGAGAAATTGGGGAACAAGACGAGCAATTAAATAGTAAACCGTCTCTATTGATATACCAATTTAGATCACCCCGGTCCGGATAATTTAAATGGGCTGTACCTTAAACGGTGTCGTTGAGACTCGATGGCAAGCCAAGGCCCAAGGGTATATCTGACCAAACAGAGCACAATTTCAACATTAGGGTTTATGATCCAAGGTCTCGTATAGCTCTCTTCCTCTTTTTTATCCTCATCGTCGTCGTCTGCAACTGAGCTTCTCCTCCTGCGATTAGCTGGTTAAGAAACTCATATTTCCCAAATTCGTTTAACTCTCTTTTAAAGTTTTGATCTATTATCTGAGATCGATGTGTTTGTTACCACCAGATTCAGATTTTGGGACAAGAGCCGGATATCGAGTGAGGATGAGGCCGATATTGATGAAGGGGCACGAACGTCCCTTGACGTTCCTGAGGTACAACAGAGATGGCGATCTGCTATTCTCCTGCGCCAAGGATCACACTCCCACCGTCTGGTTCGCCCATAATGGCCAACGCCTTGGAACCTACCGTGGTCACAATGGTGCCGTTTGGTCTTGCGATGTCTCCAGTAAGTCTCGCCGAATTGATCAAAAATCTTTCTCCTTTCCACTGTTTTGAGCTGATTCATATGTAATTGAGTGTATGAATAGATTCAATTGGATATTGTTGATAGAATTGCTTTTGTTTTGAGTCTTTGGATTGGTAGCTGAGTTTTTTTGGGGATTTTGAATGTGGAAATTTAGGAGACTCGTCGAGGTTGATAACTGGTAGTGCTGACCAGAGTGTAAAGCTGTGGGATGTGAAAACTGGAAAAGAGTTGTTCAAATTCAAGTTTGGTTCTCCGGCGAGGTCTGTTGATTTCTCTGTGGGAGATAAGCTTGCAGTGATTACAACTGATCCATTCATGGAGCGTACCTCTGCTATTCATGTGAAACGCATCTCGGAAGATCCTGAAGACCGTAAGTTAATTTGTTTAATATAGATTAAATAGAAAAAAAGTTTTAGGCTTTGTTCTTGTATGTGTGTGAAAAGGGAAACTGTTTTGATGCAAATTGTGCAGAGGATGGTGAGTCTGTGCTTACCCTTCAAATTCCTGATGGGAGGAAGAGGATTAACAGAGCTGTCTGGGGACCGTTGAACCAGACTATTGTTAGTGGTGGTGAAGATGCTGTTATCAGGATCTGGGATGCTGAGGTAATTGAGCTTTCCTTTCTTGTTTATCAGTTTTATATTTGAAAACTGGAGTTTTAACAATGTCTATTGTTGTTGCTAGACGGGGAAACTGATCAAGGAATCAAATGAGGAAGATGGTCACAAGAAGACAATCACATCGCTCTGTAAATCAGCTGATGATTCTCACTTCATAACTGGTTCACTTGACAAGACTGCAAAAGCATGTGCTCTTCTCGTTTTTTTCTCTTTTATGTTGTTTCAATGCTGTGCAGTGTTGTTATATGTTTAGGTTATTGATTTCTGATAAGAGTGTTCTTGTTTTGTTGATTGTTTCAGCTGTGGGACATGAGGACTTTGACTCTGATTAAGACTTACACTACAGGCGTGCCTGTAAATGCTGTAGCCATGTCTCCAATTCTCGACCATGTATGTTGTTTGTAATGCTTTAAGAAATTTGAAATTGGATTTCCACAAAATAAACAGGCCATGAATGTTTCGTCTTTGTGAATGTTTTTCTGCTCTCTCTCTCTCTTAGGTTGTGCTTGGAGGTGGTCAAGATGCATCTGCTGTTACAACCACTGATCATCGTGCTGGAAAGTTCGAGGCTAAGTTTTATGACAAGGTTAGTCTTATATAATAAGAGGGTTTTATTTTAACAGTTGTAACCAGGAACGTGTATGTGATATTATCGTGTTTGGTATAATGATCTTAGATTCTGCAAGAGGAAATTGGTGGTGTGAAAGGACATTTTGGACCTATAAATGCTTTGGCATTCAATCCCGATGGAAGGAGGTAAATGAACAATATCTGATGGATTGATACAATCTTCACTTGATGTGTTCTTTTTTGCTCTTGGCTTTGTTTCTGATTTTGTGAAATTTAACTTTTCAGTTTCTCAAGTGGAGGTGAAGATGGTTACGTGAGATTGCATCACTTTGACGCTGACTACTTCAACATCAAGATTTAGATCGTTTTTGAAACAAACCTCTCATCGATCCGGATTTTGTTCCTCTCTTTTTTTTTTTTTTAACATTCTCATAATATTTTGATCATGCAAAGATACGAAGCTTTAGAAGTTGTTGAACCTTTAAATTTGTACTACATTTCAGACTATTTCCATTACGACTTTTTCAGTTTCAGACTATTATTAACCTGCTCTGTTTACACATTCCAATGAGTACGTCTTCCCTTCTATATTACATACGTACTACGTACAAAGTAGTGTGCCTTCAAATATCAAACACAATTAAGAAAACAGTAATAATAAGTGCTACGGTAGTAAAATAGATGATCCGAGGATTTTAAGCGAAACGGTGTCGTAGCGATGAAATGGTGAAGGTTATTTCTGTCATTAAGTTCAAGATTAGGGTTTTGGTCCATATAATAGACACGGTGTAGCTTTTCGCCAATTCCTGTCGTCGCCAATTACTGCTTGCTGATTCTTCTACATCTGGTATACAAATTCGTCTTCTCTTTTTATTTAATCGTATCTCTCTGTTCACTGTTCAAGTTAGAATGTTTGGAATCGCTTCATGTCGATATCTGTTTGGATTCAGTTGGTAGTTAATCTCTGCTAGAAGAATTCTTGTATCTCTACTCCTCCTGACAACTTGATACGAGTTTTGAGATCAAATTTGTGTTGTTGTCTGGTTACTGAAGCAAGATTGTACATTGTCGTTTCTTATTGTAGCACTTGAAAAGCTTTAGAATCTCCAAAGATGCAGAACGAAGAAGGTCAAATCACTGAGCTTTACATTCCAAGGAAATGGTAAATTCTACTACTTATCTTCTTCTTATTAAGGAATCTTTTAAAGAATTGGTTGAGTGAAAAATCTGACAATTTTGCCTGTTTGTTAATGGATGATGTCTGCAGTTCAGCGACAAACAGGTTGATCACTTCAAAGGATCATGCTTCAGTGCAGCTCAACATTGGTCATCTCGATGCTGATGGTATCTACACCGGCCAAGCCACCACATTTGCTCTCTGCGGTTTTGTCCGTGCTCAGGTTTGTCACCTTCTTCTCGATCGAAATCATTGTCTAGTTTTACCCTAGATCATGCTGTGCTATAGTTATAATTTAAGACCAACACTGTTTTGGGAAGATTGTTGATGTTAGTTATAATTTAGGACCAACACTGTTTTGGGAAGATTGTTAATGTTTGCTTGAAACGATGTAGGGTGATGCTGACAGTGGAATCGACAGGCTCTGGCAGAAGAAGAAGGTTGAGACAAAACAACAGTAAGAGCAAAAAGCTTGTCTTTCTAGGCTGTTAAGCTTTGTTGTTCCCTTTTATGTGGATGTGAACTTGTACCTGGTTTTTCTTTATTCTGCAATGATAATTTGGTTTTGAAAGACGGTTGCAATGCAATGAGATGGTCAGTTCTTATTTATTTTACCTTGAAATTATTAGCTTTCTTGTTGTGCCAAAATAAATCAGTAATATACACACAAGTATAAGATCTGTGATTAGAAAAATTGTGTGTAGATATATAGTGCAATGTGTATTGGATAGAGAAACAAAAAGTTTAACAAATATTAGCAAACTAGAAAAATGAAGATCTATGAAAATCGGGATGAATCATATATGGTTGATGAGAGATGGATTGGCTTGGTTGGTTACTGAGAGATTAAGAACCTATAGAAGAGGACAGTTTGAGATTTCCAGACCAGGTTGATATCTTTGAGTTAATGTAATTGTCTGTACCAAAGTAACGGTCTGCAAACTCTCCCATTCCTGGAATCACACGCGAGTCTTCATTCAGTGAAGCGTCGATTTCCGAAGTCACGATCTTCACCATTGGATACTTCTTGCAGAGCGCGTGAATCCCTTGTGGTGCCTGCGGTTTTTTCAAGTGTTAAACAAAACATTGGTGACCGAGAGAGAAAATTCGACAAAGAGGTTTTGTTTGGTTTTACTGCTATAAGGTTGAGAAAGATGATATGTGATTCTGGAACTCCCTTGCTTATAAGCAATGATATAGCTTTCACTGCAGAGTTTCCTGAAAACAACACTCTGGAAAGGTTAGGAGGCATTTATGCTACAACTGACCCGAGAAAATGTAGCTTTTTGTATGTGTTATTACTTATTACTATTACGAACCTGAAGCTAGAACAGGGTCAAGTAGGAAGACATGTCTGCTTGAGATATCTTTTGGTAGCTTCTCATATATTAACTGCAGGAAACATCATTCATATGGAAAAAAACCACCGAGCAAGATGTGAAAGTAAAAATGTGTTCTTAGGAAAACGTAATCAGACCTGACGACCATCGTTATTCTCTCTGTGGATGAGAATTTTACCAATCTTGATTCCGTTGCAGCAGGCTCTTAGAGCATTCTCCATGCTTTCTCCACTGTTTAAGTACGGAAACATATACGTATCTACAAAGTAGTGGCACAAACTCAAAAAACAAAACAGAACAGTTGATGTAAGAAAATACCTTCTGATAACTGAGACGCCACACAATCTCTTGCAGTAGTCGACTCCAGTGTACACTGACCCTGTTCAGTATCAAAAGATATTAAATTTCTAATCCGTTTGGACGAGAGAGAGACACAAGCATTACCTGTTGGAGTGGTTATCTGTTTCTCAGTAAAAGGAAGATGACCAAGTCCATGTTCCACAACCTGAGACAAAAACATACACATACACTCCAATCTCTTATCCTTTTACAAAACCTATCGTTAGTGAAACCAATCTTTGTTCGGTAGATTTTTACCAGCCGAATCAATCGGTCAGCGTAGAAGACGAAATCGTGCTTTGTGGTGTTAATGTCGCGGATAAGAGTGTGCATTCCTTTGATCTGGAAGGTAGAAGAAATGATGAAGATGTTCGGATATATCTTACAGAGATTGTGCTGGCACAGCTTCGTACGGATATGTTGCACGATGAGATCAATCGCAACATCATTGTCTCCTCCTCTAGGAATGATTATATCAGCATATTTCATCGACGGCTGGATATATTCATCAAAGCTCGGCTTCACAAACTTCGTATACTGAAAAAAAAAACACAAAATTCGAAAAAAAGATTATGAAAATCAAGAAAACAAGATCATCAACACAATCAGATTCACACTGACCTGTTCAAGAACGTTTTGGATGTTTCTTCCTCTCTCGACTGTATCACGCTGTATTCTTCTTGAGAGACGTACATCAGCATCTGATGAGGACAATAATATCTCAGAAACTCGGAAGAAGTGAATTCATCTAATTAAAGCTATGAGGATGGATATACAAACAAACCTGTGTCGACGAAGATCTTCATGTTCATGAGATCACGGACTTGAGGATCGTGAAGAACAAGTATTCCTTCTAAGATGATTACGTCAGCGGGATTAACCGGACTTGCCGATTCGATGCTTTTGTGGATTTTGAAATCGTAACTCGGGATGTTCACTGGCTCTCCAGATCTTAACTTCTCCATACACGAAAGCAGAACCTCCGTGTTGAATGCGTCTGTGTGAAATTAATTAGCCATATGATTCAAACCAAAAACCGTGAGAAGCAAATTCGTCGAGTGAGGAAGGAAAAGAATTCTCACCAGGATGATCGAAATTGTATTCGCGAGCGTTCTTCAGTTTTTCCTCGCTGAGCGAATGATAAAACGAATCCTGCAAAATCATTTGTTCTTACGTCTTAGATTCGTGAGAGAAATTGATGGGAAAAAAAAAACAGATTTGTTGGTTTAATTACTTGGTTCACAAGCACGACGCGTTGATCGTGTAACTGAGACATGATCATGTTGCAGACCGTCGTCTTCCCGGAGGCGGTTCCTCCGGCGACACCTGAATGAGCAGATCGACGATCAGCGGAATCAATTTTGAAAATCGAAGAAAAAGGATGATTAATCGCGGGAGAGAGAGACGTACCGATCACGAAAGGCTGTTTAAGAGGAGCCGGAGCTGAAGGGTAGATATTGTCACTGATCGAGCAGTGATCTCTGTCGCCATTAGACGATTTCTCCATCTTCTTCGAAAAGCGGACTCAGGAAAATCAAAGAAGAAGGAAACAAATCCGAAAAATCGAAATAATAAAGTGAGTCTCGCTCTTTAGTAACCTCAATAGATAAAATTTTAAGATACATACACTCGTCTTCATATATATAGCTATGTGCTTAGGTTTGCAGCTGATGTGTATGTTTAGAGAAATAAGCGGGAACCAAAACACGTCATCCTGAACCCAAAAGCGACGCCGTATTGTAAGCCTTGTTGTTCCTAAGAAAACGCATGATCTCATCAGTGCACGAGCCACAGGAAATTTGGTAAACCAGGGGGTACGATTTGGGTTCGGTTTGCAGAAACTAACGTTGAGTTAATAGTTTAAGGAAAGTTCTTTTCATAGATTCAAAACAAAGAAATGTCTGACGATTCCATTTTGGATGAGTACCATGATTCGAATGATCCTTAAACATTGGTAAAAAGGCAAGACTGGTGTCTCACGCACACTAAGATACGTCGCTTGGTGGAGATTCTCGAGAATTATAGCAGAGACTTGATCATCATTCATTCCTCCATATCTTCACCCACTTCTGTAATCTGAACTCGCTCCATCAATGGTGTGATTTTGGTGAGAAGGACCTCTGTTTCCAAACAAACCAAGAAAATGATGTGAGACTAAAGTCAACAACAGGAAGACTTATTAGCATGTTGTGTGTGTTTGATCAAAGTATAAGAGAGTGTGGCTTACCGGTTTTCTTGGTGAATGAATAGCCCTTGCTGCTGACATAGGTTCTTGGGTTTGGTTCCATGTAATTCCTCAGATATTCCTTGCCCTCCTGTGTTTGCCAATAACATTTTAAGTAACAAGTCCAAAAGCAACGATAAAAGACGAGGTCATGTCTATGAGATTACAAATTACGAGTTGGTTTTGTAGATTAATTGTCACGGAGAAGACAAACCTTTGTGATGACGCAGATGTCGACGTTGCTACCACTTCCCAGGTCATTGAATATACCCGAGCATATGGCTTCAGCGACCAGCTTCACTCCTTCTTCCCTCTAGACGATTTTGTTACAAGAAATCAATTAGATTAGAGGAAAAAATATGCATCTGGAAGTTGAAAAGATGAATGTGTTTGTTTACTTACAGTTAGACCTTCTTTGTACTTTGCCTCAAACACGGACATAGCAGCAAGAGAACCAGAACCCATTGTAGCGAATGGTAGAGTATCGGTTGAACCGTGTGGGTATATCTGTGTATAAGACAAATAGTCAAATGTGAAATGAATAAACAACAAACAAACAAACCAAAAAACTTACAGCTGAATTTAAAACTTACAGTATGAAGATGAGGTCCAGTGATATCAACTCCACCAAGCACAAGAGCAGCTGAGACCTGACCTTGATAGCTGAATGGAACTTGAGAAGTTAGGTAATCTGTGTTTCTTTATGACGAGTTTATCGACGAGATAGAAGAAGTAAATTACCTGAAAAGATGCTTCTTGAGAAGGGTCAAAGCAGTGATAACCCGAGAGTCTCTGCCAGTCTGGTAACGGTGCAACCGCAGCTGCGAGCTGACCATATCTGGACAGTGAGAAAGAAAACCAAGATAACTAAGCATCAAGTTCTGAATCTGCCACACTCAAAGTTAGAAAGGAGATACCAGTTACTGCTTCAGTGTCAGCAGCGGTTCCTGCACCACAGCAATAGATGTTGGGTGCCATGTAATGGATCTTCTCACAGTTCTTATCAGCAACAATGGGTCCCTCAGTTGCCCTGGTATCGGCTCCTAGTATCACACCGTCCTATTCAAACCCGGAATACTGAAATCAGCATTATATAGCTTGCGCAATCATTTACAATAAAAACATAGTGAGAACACAAGAACACAAACACCTACACATGTTTAATTGACGTGCTCCAAACTACACTGTAGACAGAGAGGTAATTAAAAGCACCACTACAACGGCACTAGGCAAAACGTACTTGTTGATGAAACTTCTAAATGACACCCACAAATGTTTTGCAGGATACAACATAACAGTCACATTAAGTAGTGCAATCTAGTTGCTGTGCATGTAGTACTGAAAGGGCTCCTTCTTAGGCCTCAACTTATTGACTAATCGGATTCTAAATACATCTCCACAATACAAAAACCAATGCATCTTAAAAAAAAGTATCGAAGTCTATCTCATTTCCCCTAAAAGACTAATAACCAAACAGTTCCATGACTAGTAAAAGTTACCATATCATATCTGAATATCAATGTGAATGAGGCTAGCAACAAAGCCTCTATATATACAAGAAACTATTGGGAGTATAAAAAAAGCAAACCTTGAAAATCAAACCGACGATGGTTGTTCCAGTCTTCAGGAAAGAGGGAGCTTTAAGACCCTTTTGAATAAGCATATCATTTCTCTTGCACAGATCGAAGCTGAAACCACCCTTTGGCGGAACCTCTACGGCTGACTGAGACATTCTTCAAATTGACCAGTCTACAATAACAGCAAGAGTAACACAGCATTAAACGATTACCCAGAAAAGTTGTCACATACACTTAGCTCTTTTTCGAAATCGTCAGAAGCAATTTGGGGGTTTAGGGATGGATTATGGTTCATCCAAAATCAGAGAGACTACAAAAGGAAAACTAAGATTCACATAGTTAATACTAAATCGATTTATCGAAAAACCAACAAAAGCGAATCCAAAAACCTTCGGATCGAGCAGTGAAATCGAGTTAAAGTCACCGGAATCCAGAAGAGAGATTTGAACACTAGGATTGCGAGAGTGGACAAGACAAAGAGTAAGCTCAACTTGCAGAGTAATTTACCTCGACGATTTGCTCGAATCGGAAAATTGAAGACGAGAAGAAAGAAAGAGCTGAAGCAAGAACAAAAAAGACCCGAGAGTTTTCTTCTTCCCCAATTAACCTTTAGAGATTACAGAGACCAACTTAACAGAGAGGGGTATTTTTGTCTTTCAATTGTTAGAGACCCAACTTTGAGTTTCAAATGGGCCTATAAAGTGAGCCCATCTGTCCATACTATATATCCATACTTTCATAAGAATCATCTTCAAATTGAATCCATTTCATGTGATGATGCTTATTCATGGATGTTAAATCCTTAATTTCGTTTTGACAATACACACGTTGCAGAGGGGGAAGTTTAAACATCCCCTGTCGTAGAGGTAAAGTTCGAATAATAACATAATAAATGAGTAATGGCCTATTTGACACATTTGGATCACTACCTCTTCAAAACCAATTTTGTAGTTAAACAATTCCACAAGGTTAGATCGTCCTTAGCAAATGTTATGATATCTTTATTCAAGGTATTGATGCAATGCAACCAACGGACCAACACCCCGATTAGGTCTTCAATCTTTTGATAGATCATCAAAGTATTACAAAAACAGAATCAATGACAAAGCCAAACCAAAATGATCAAGAAAAGAAGAAAAAAACAAATATATTAGGCCAATAAAAGACTAGTTCTGTTTGGTCCGCACCAGACTGAAAGCCGGTCACATCATCCCTAACCATATATACAGCCTATGGTAGCTAGAGATCGAGCTTACGGGCATTGTTGACTGCTCCTACATAGTAATGCAGCCTCCATAGATTTACGTTGTCCTGCTGATGAAACACACAGTTAGTTCGAAATGCTGTTCATGTTCCATGTTCCACTTTAACATAACCGAGACAGAAAATCTATTAACTATAGATTGTGTTTCATACCGAGTTTTCCAGATTGACTGTAACTTTGTCAGAGAAATCTTCACCAGATGTTATGCAATGATCTCTTACTATTTCTATGATGCGGTCGTGATCTCCCTTAGGTAACTCCTTGATTGATTTCATAAGCACACGCTTTTCACCGCGAGTCATTGGTCTGTTTTAGAGTTAGTTAACGAAGACAATTCAATTTAATAACCAACTAAAAAGAAAGAGACTTCTCTCAGATCACACATTTGCACACTATACCTGCAAGTGGTCACGACATCGTCAAGGAGTCCCTCCAGTTTCTGCTGCATATTCTCCAGCTTTCAAAACCAAAACCAAAAACATTAGCATTTCTCTTAAAGAAGGCTATGGATGTACATCTATCTTTAATCTTTCCTGCAAGCTAGAAATGATCATGTGGAGCAGATTAAGGAAAGTCGTTACCTCTGAAAGCAGAATGTTTGTATGAAGGGACGTTTTTCTCTTGACAAGATCAGGGTCAGACTTCAGAAGCAATTGTATCTCACCGTCCTAAAGCAACAGATTTGCGTGAGACACCTGTATATCTCAAGCAAGAGGATAAAAAAAAAAAAAAAAAAAAAAAAAATCATAGATATAGAGTAAAAGAGACATACGCTCTCTCCTCCAGATTCTTCAGGACCAACCGGTGAGGAAGAAGGACATTTGTTCCCCAACTGTGAAATTAGGTATAGGTACATGGAGCATACACGTCGCTGCATCTGCAAATTGAGTTGGCATCATATTATATACTTTTCTCATCATTACTAGTGTAAAGATATCAGAAGTAATGAGTTTTTTTTTTATGTATATACCTCGTCAACTTCTGGAGTTAGATTCTTGACGCACTGCCTTAACAAGACATTCAGTTTATCTTTCTTGACATTTGACATAGCAGATCCTACACCGCTGTTAGAATGCCTCGTAGTGACTTCATGGTTTGAGGTCCTCTCTTTTTGAGACAAGAGCTTAGCTACTTGAGATCTGTAGTTACTAAAAGTGTCTGGTCTGACCCTATGTGTTTCAGATGAAAGAGGCGCTTCTGCTGCTCTTTTAGGCATAGCTTTTGATAGACACTGCTCTATACACAACAGAGCTCAAAATCAATGGAAGCACACAATATGATTCATCTATTATCATACATGGAGACCTTACTTAATCTATATGATTTCATCTATTATCAAACCATAACACACACAAAAACTTGAATCCAATATGTTTATGAGCAATGTTAAGTGGGAGCTGGAAACAAAAAAAAAAACATGTATAATTCCAAGTGTGGAGGATGTTAACTCTTCAAAAGCTCTCTACTGCAGAATTATTTTGAACAGAAAATAGATATAAACAGAACATATTACTCAAAATCGTATTCACGAAACGAAACCCTGGATTTTCCAATCCAAAATTTTAAAAGTTGCAGGACTCATGGATTTTTCTCTGTAGAATCGGAAGGAAAAAATTCGAAATTGCACACGAAAAAAAAAGAGAGGGGAAAGTAGCGAACCATTGGACTTCCACTGAGATATGATATAATCGAGACGACGCTCAAAAAAATTATATGCCGGGAGTAGAAATAATGAAGGGAGAGGAGAGATAGAAAACTCACCAGGAAATTACGGCGGCGGGGATTGTTGCTGATAATTGGATCGCTGAAACAGCCGGCGTTTAATTTGAAACGATGGGGAAAGCCGAAAAGGTTAAAAACTCTCCATCACTTCACCAGACCAAAAAAAAATGACACCCAACTCCAAAGCACATCGGAGAGGATGTTGAAAGGACGCCGACGGAAGCAACAAAAAAAAAAAAAAAAAGTTAAATCGAACACGTGTGTTGTGGGCCCACCACACCACAAAGCTTACGTCAGCGATGGTATACTCTGGAGCATTTTTAGTATTTGATTGGGCCTTCCAGTTGAAGTTACTACGGGTTTATCTTTTCTTAGGCCCATTTAATTGAACATCACTCCACACTCGGATGTTTAAAACGAAATAATCATGACGTCTTACGCTTAGTTTTAGTATTACATGAAATTGTACTAACTACTACTCCATGAGTTGAATAAGAATATGACAAGACAATAGTCACGTGTTCTCTTGAAAGTTGAAGTTACCATCACCACATGTTCTCTCTTTTACTAACAAAAGATGAAACCAATGAAATTTTAAGACAAGTTCCGATGGACCCGGTCAATCAAAACTTCGGTCAAATCTCTATAGTTCCTATAAATTACGACTACTTTCCTCGTTAATCTCTCAAAAATCTCTATTTTCGTTCTCTTTTAATTTTTCACCGTAACCATAAAGAGAAAACACAAAAAAAAATACAAAACGTAACTAATTAAGGAATTACCACAAAACATCACTCATTTACTCAAAAATGACAATGACCTTTAAGCTCCTATCTCTAGCCGTCGCGGCCTTGGCCGTTACCGTCGTTTTTGCCGCCGATCCTCCAACACCGGCCAACGCACCCAAAAGCTCAGCCACTCCTTCTCCCGCCGCATCAGGATCACCAAAATCATCCGCCTCCGCCCCAACCCCACCGCCTACGGCTTCTCCTCCGACCACTGCCAAGAAAAACTCCACCGCTACTCCAAGCGTTTCCCCATCTTCAGGTGGCAGCGCCCCCGCAAAGTCTCCCAAATCTTCGTCGGCCAAAACTCCCGCTTCAAGCCCCGACTCAAGCTCTGGCGATAGCTCCGAAGGTCCCACCAGCGACTCTCCCTCCGCCTCATCTCCGCCAGCTCCGACTCCAGACATGTCTCCGACGTCGTCCGATGACGCAGGAGCCAGCGACGGCCCTGAAGCTGAAGCTCCGGCGGGAAGAGCCTCATCGCTCGAGATCTCTATCTCCGGAGCCGTTATCGCCGCAGTTGCATGGTTCTTCTTTATATGATCGAAGATTACTATATTGGATTTCATATTATACATTTAAGATTATATTATACGTTTGATACTTAATTTTTGTCTGTTCATTTAAAAAGGTTCGTACACACTCCGGTTCAATTTTTAACACGTTAAATTCGTGCATAGTACGGAGGTTAGGTTTTCATGTTGTAATAAATGTTTAGTTTGTGTTACTTATGATTAATTAATTATGTAACCTTTAGTCGTTATATCAATACAACCATTCAATTATTATGGTTCATACTTCTTCATAGGGTCCTTTTAAATTAATTAGGATACCTTTTTAATTTACACATCCATTTTCTAATATTCCTTGGCTAGTAGTGTGAGTCACATATTCTAACGGACAACAATACGGGAGATCCATAGCAAAACAATTTACCAAAAAAAACATTGAGAAATTCCAATTAATTATTTGTAAGAAGTTAAGAACTATATATACTTATATACTACCTTAACCAAATAAAAAGTAACCAAAGAATAGAATACAACACATGCAAAGGTAAAATATAAACTAAAAACGACCAGTTAGCTACTGGTGAATATTTTTTTTTTTTAACAACATTATTGAATGACGCTAAAAATACACTAACAATATTCTAAAAGTAGTTGAAACCATATTGCATATATAGAGAGAAAGGGACACCTCATGTACTCAATCAAGGTAAAAAAAAAGGAGATATAACCGTAAATAGCTAGAAACTCACCTAATAACTGAACATACATCTATCTCCTTTACAAATTGTAAGTTTAAATTCCCAATCTCCATTTCCCCTTTCGCTTTAGTTATTTTCCAAGATTTAATCGGTTTGCTCTCTGAAACTGTCAAAGAGCAAACCGATTAATCTAAAAGATACATATCTAACACAAATTTAAAAGTTACATTCAAATATGGCGAGTCGGTTTTTCTTCGTCTTCCTTCTCGTAATTTTAGCAATCGCTGATGTAACCTTAGGAGCTGAAGCAGATAGATCTCCACCTACCGACAATAAATCACCAGTTGAAAACTCTGCAAAAGGTTTGATAGAAAGTCTTGGTCCGTCTCAAGATTATCCCGACTACGAAATCCCTAAAGAACTTGCACCAGACGGTGTGGAGGTGGTGGAGGATTACGTGCCCATTAGCCCGACCGGGGTACAAGAGAATGTTAACATGCTTGCACAACCTGATGCGGACAAGAATGCCAAAACCTCGCCATCTAACTCCGCCTCTAGATCTTCCTCAAACGTTTTAGCTGTTGTTGTTGTGGTTGGAGGTGCCAGCTTATTTTTCTTTTGAAACGGAGATAAATGATGTCATTTGGATTAACCATATCCGGTGCAATATGAGATATTTCTGTATTTGTGTAACATCCAATTTGATTGTGACTTTTTTTTTTCTTCATATCATTCAATTGTGGACTGTTTACGATAGATACTTAATAAATTTACATTTGCCACCAATTTAGAAATAACACAGTTTCTACATTTTGTTACCTACTAGCAACAGAATTTACAGCTTCAATTTCTACACCTACAACATAAAGTCACGATCCTTACCAATCGGCAAGGTATGTGCTCTCCAAGAAAATTGGACGTAAACAACGTTCTCTTTCACGTGTGGCCGACAGCTTTATGTTGTTCGTGCATTTTTATGTAACCCAAAAGATCAATAGAAATTTCCCACTTCGCGATTGGCTGGACAAAATCATTCGAGACAAAAAAAAAATAATCATTATAATTTTGGATTTTATTCGTTAATTAATCAAACAGTTCCAGTTTCCTGTTTATCATACTTGTAAAAAACCAGCCAACAAATTTGTGCCCCAAAATAAAATTTAAATGGATATCTAGCTTCAAATTATATTGATATAACATTTGAAATTCATCTCTGGCAAATGTCTAGAGACACCGCAGACGCATTACACTTACAACATTAAAAACTTCGGGAAAAAAAAACTCTTACCATTCGTTAAACAATACGCACCATTGCATAAACAATGATCTATTAATTGTTGTTTTCCTCTCTTAGTGATTTCATTATAATATCATATTTGATTAAGTTAACAGCGACGACCACGCCGACAACTAAGAGTGCCTGCTGTCGTTGTGATGGAACCCACAAGAGACGATGGCCTTGCACTCAAACTGGAAGCTCTTGCATAACTTGACGGAGATCTGCCACCAGATTGGCGGAAATAAGCTCCGTTCAACAACATATCCCCTTCCGATCTCCAATTCCAATCTCTCCATTTGCTTTCGGGTGCATCCTCATGTTTTGTAACCTTTTGTTGAAACATATAAATAAAGACATGTGAGTATATATATACATTAATGTCACATTTTTATTGTCTATATGAGTCGTGCATGCACACTTTCAAAATTGAATTCGAGTATACGTGACATTAACAACAAACCACACTAGAGTAGATATTACGTTGAAAATGGTCACGTACGTTACCATAAATAACTTTAAAATAATATTTATGGAAAAAGTCACAACAACGACGTATATATATATGTACCTCTTTATTGAATCGGGTATTAGGAGCGAGAAATCTATTGCCTTGGCTGTATATCGTTGGAGAAGCACTTCCACCGATTGCATACATTTCCCAGTGAGTGTAATCATTGTTCACCACATGGAAATACCCATGCCTGCACCTGTTTATTATAACCAAAACCACCTAAATATTAGCAACGTTTTAAACCAGACGTTAACTAACATTTTCATTCCGATAACTCTATGGGTAATCCAAAAAGTGCCCCTAATTAGTTTTCTCGTATCTATTTTAATTCATCCATGCATCTGCCCAAATCAAATATATTAGTACAAAATATTTATCAATTATTTACACACTCAATCTTCATGGAAATAAATAATACTTCTTTAACCGAATAGATGAAATTGAATATTGCATATAACGAATGACCGACACTTGCTTTTTTTTGTATAGTTTAGTACTTTATTGCAACCCATATCACATTTACTATAATATATCTTCAAGATAGCGATCTGATCGATCGTGACGGTAGTGGTGCAAAAAATCCCATTCTCCTTTTGTTGACTTTTTGCATACTTTCTATAATGTCAAGCTTTCACATGTAAAACTCTTTATACGCGTGCTTCGCAATTCGCATGCAAGCTTCTGTATATGTGACTATTATATGTGTGTGTGCGACGAGGGTGAAAAGGTAAACTTCTTACCGTGGCATCCTTTGGACGAGCCCTTCTCCGAAATGGTTAAACGCAATGGTGACTTGCATGTTCTTGTCCTGCGTATAACTATCGCTATGCCCTAAAAGCATGACCTTGTCATGGTGCGTCATGTGGTTGTTCGATATGGTTATAGCCGTCGAACCATGTATTGCGTCTATGAGCCCATCATCACAGTTCGACAACGAGCAATGGTCGATCCACACGTGTGACCCTCCAAATATAGCCACCGCGTCTCCATCCGATGGGACCCACCACCCGGTGTGACGTGGACCATCTCTAATCATACCACCTATAAAACATAAAATACACAATTAGAATGTTTTATTTTTTTACATAAACAAATAGTTTGCTCTATTAGTATATCAAAACGTTTAAACAAGTCTAAATTATTTAGTCATTATTTTCGTCTTACCTGATCCTGGTTTGCAGTCATGGATGTTAATGCCGTGGATGATGATGTTAGTTGCATAGTGAATCTTAATGCAAGGTCCATCGGTTATGTGAACACTTGCACCTCTACCATCAAGGGTCTTGAAAGATGTGATGATGAGCTCTTTCTTGAGCCTAATGACCATATCTCTCTTGAAAATGATCCATAATGGTTCTTCTTGTGTGACCGCATGTCTTAGTGTCCCGGGTCTAGGGTTTACTGGATCATCATTGGATGGATCCGTGACCACGTAAATTCGGCCATCGCGACCTCCTATAGCGTTTTTGCCAAAACCGATAGCACAATCGGCTAGCCTTTGGCGGTTTGTCTCCCATTTTTGATCGCACCGCCAACAATCATCAATCGGATTCCCGGTTCTGCATGATAGGTAGGCCAGGCTCCTCCTTGACGCATTGAATACACTCCTACAAGTAGATAACAAAAAAACCGACATATTAAATTTAAAATGGATATAATTAAATGTGAAACATATCATTGTGGTTGAGAAAAAAATGGTGGGGGCACAATTGGCAAGCTATATAACACTAGGCATTATCAAGGTAGTAAAAGAAAAAAAAAACACTATAGTGTCAAATATGAACACTAGGCACTATCAAAGTAGTAAAAGGAAAAAAACACTATAGTGTTAAATATGAACAATATTCTTTCTTATAAAGAGTTTTCTTGATTTTAGATGAATTCAATGAAAATACAAATACATGAGTGAGTAGTTCACAGAAACTCCATTGATGGGAAACTATTATGGGAACCAAAGTTAAGGATAGCTTTTTTCCTGTAAGGGTTCTCTTAATCAAAGCTTAGTTTACAAATATCCTGATTATTGGGAATTGCAAATCTGTAAATGTGAGAGAAACTCATAATCATAAATGAACGGAAAAAAATGAAGGAAAGACAAAGACATTTATGGAATCAATTGCTACATTTTATCGTATTATCGGATTACAATAACATTTTGTAATTACAGAGCAACATTGTTATTACAAATTTGAATCTACTATCATATCCTCATTTTGTATTTAACGTACCTATTGACCTCGTCAACTACTAGATTCGGATCTTGAGCATACGGCAACGAACTCGAAGAAAATGCAATCGTGTTAGCAACTGATAGGAGAAATATAAAAGTGTGAACAAAAGGATTATTAGAATACGAAATCATTGTTCAAAACAGAAATGAGAGAAGAATATCTTGAGAGAGAGAAGTTTGTGATTGGTGATGTGTTGAACCTTGTTATTGTTGGAAATTATATAAAGAGGTAGAGGAAGAGAGTGTTCCGGGAGTGAAGGCGTGATTTATTTTAAATTATTATTGTGAGATATAATATACTTTTTGTCCAAAACTCTATGGGACCTACGCTATCGTAATTTCAGGTGAGCAAAACAAACGGTTAATGTTGTGAAACCGTTAATTGGGCTTAGTAGTCAAAAGCATTTGCAAAAAATCAACCATTTTGACCTTGCAAACGATGCCAGTTTTGTAGTATTTTTGGTTTCCCTCGCATTGCATTGCATCGTTTGTGTTTTAGACGGATTGCCTTTGTAAAAGTTAAACCTAAAAACCGGTAATTGAGCATGGTAGTCAAAAAGTAACTGCCTAATGTCAACCTTTTTCACATTGAGTACGACGCCGTTTCTGTATTTTTTGTCCCCCTTACATATACATTTTAAAAACAATTTGTTTATGACATCATAGCTGGTGTTGTGCTGATGATTGTTATTACAAATTTGAATATAGCTACATAGGATATTTCATCTATAATTTCTTCAGGCTCAAAAACAATATTTAACTACGTTACGTTCTTTTTGTGTGTTTAGACGAGTTCATAATATGTTGGTATTGGAGCTGCTTGAGAATACATAGCTCTCTATTAATTAACTAATATGTAGTGTATAGTTCATAAGAGTCTTAAAAATGCACCTATTGCGCATGCACATATAAAGGACGCCCTAATGTAGTAATAGTGGATTAGTGGTATTAATGTTCATGTATATTCCCTAAAAGTAAAAAAGATATTTTACGTAATTACGTCTCGATGTAAATTTATACGGTGGTTATGAAGTTGGAAAACCAGTCTTTCTGGTTTTTGGTTTGGTCAAGTGTTGAATTGTCAATTGCATAGTGCAATTTGCATTAGATCTTGAGTTCAAGATGGGCCATAATTTAAAGCCTTCATAACAGGATGCGTATTATTAGAAAGCTTCGCCCTCTAGAGCTCTGTTCCAGTACTTCTGAAAGCCCACTAAAACGACAGATTTGCTAGCTAAAAGGTGTTCGCTAAATATAGTTGATCGAGCACTATCGTGCCACTTCAGTATATTATAATATATAGCATGAGATTTGCTGAATCACGTCGGCTCCAAGTTGCCATCAAATCATTATGTGGAAGTTACAACTTTTGTTTGTTTGTTTGCAATTATCTTCTATCACCAATTTTAAAAGTTTAAACCGTGACATGGTGGATGACAAAAGAAGAATTCTCACAGCGGAATTTTGCTGGACAATCCAAAGAGACAGCTATATGTAATACAAATCTCTGCCATCCGTAAATCAAAAATAATCTTCCATATGTATTATTAGCAATTTAGGAGTATAAAACTACAATTCATTCCCATGTTTCAAAATATAACAAAATAACAAAAGGAAGAATCTTTGAAAAACGAATTATTTTTTGGTCCCCAAGAAAGGAATCAACAAGTGTGCAATCATCTAACTGCCCTTTAGTTTAAAAGTTATATTAAAAGCTAGTATTTGGCTAAAAGTTAAAACATCTATCTGTAATCTAATGACCAAAGATTAAAGGAAGATATTTAAAATGGATAACAGCAAAGGAATATAACCGAAAATTCATTTATTTTTATTTTTATTTTATAAAAGAGAGATTATTATTTATGGTTTACGGGATACCCTAACGATTTATTTCTGGTTTATATTATTAACTGTTTCTTTCAATATTTTAGTTAGCATTTAAAGTTTGTTTTTTTGTTTATTTTTTAGTAACAAGTTTGTTTTACGTAACTATATTAAATTAGTAGAGGTCAAAAGTATATAAAAAAAAAGTGTAGAGTTAGTTTATATAAGCTTTAGTTTCCACACATTCACCCATAACATTTTATAAAGCGAAACGAGAAGATTATTTATTAGAAAATTTACAAGAAATCAACACAAACGTTTTTAAAAATATATAATCTGCCTTTTCTTTATTGTTTTGTTCCCGATTTAGAATGGCGTCGTAACGCATGCATAGTGCCATAATTTGATAAAAGCAAAAACGAAAGTTAAAAGGAAACTTAAAAAGACCAAGTCTTGAGACTTGTCGAAGTAGTTCTTGTTTGTTAATCAAGTTTGTTTGACTATTCTAGATTTCTAGTATTTGTCAAAACTAACTTGACTGTAACACACATTTTAATTAGCGTACTTAAACAGTTAAACTTAAGTCGTAATTCATTTCAGAAACCAATTAATTATACAAACTTTAATACCAAGAGATTTTTCTCTTCAACAAAAAGAATTTTTCCCTGTCAACGAATCAAGACTTTAAGACGAACTAATATTAAATCACTCAGAATACTTTTCTAAGAAATTTCGTTATATATAAAAAAAAAAAAAAAAAAAAATCCACATTCCAGAACAAAAAGGTAGCCGTCACCACAGTGTTCGTTTATTGTTGTCCGAACAATTAATGAGATATTTATCTGATCATATTAATAAATATAACATGATTTGTTTAACTGCAAAATTTTCGGCATTTTTTTCATGACGTCTCGTTTGATCTTATTTCCTTTGACCTCTATCTGTAATTTTAGATATTCGTTAAAACATCCTTCTTTGGTTCTTCTTACAGACTTTTCAGACAAAGAGGTCAGTTCTTGGTTCTTGTGCTTTGATTTTAAAGTTCCATTTATCTGATCTCGGGTGTGTATATCGAGAAGCGAACAGTTTCTTAACCGCAAATCCCTGCACTTAAATCTGTGAAACCCACGTGAGACTTTTAAAGCTGCATCAGAAAGAGATTTCATTTCATTTTGTTGGTTTAAAACCAATTTAAAAAAGTTTTGAGTTGCAGAGAGCTTCAAGGTTTCCCAAAGAAGGAAAACTCCAACTCTTGTTTACTTCTTTTTGAGTTTAATGAAGTCGTTTTCTCTGCTTCCAGGACTCCAAATCAATACAAAAAAATTGGGTATTTTAAGAAGGAGGCGTTGACTGATTCTCGAGATGGGTTTGTGTTAGATTCGTGTGTAATTGAAAGATTCAATTTAAAATGGAGCCTCCAGAGGGATTTCGAGCTTCTTTCTTGCAATTCTTACTATTCCTTCCTTATTTCATTGGCTTGCTGTTTCTGGGTGTCATCAAAGGTATGAATTTGGGAGTAAATCTCTACTTCAGATTTTAACATTGCTTCTATCTTTTTATTCCCTTTTGGATCAACACTAAAAGTTCTGAACTTTACGCCCAAGAACAATCAATTTCTTCAAGACAGATTTCATTATGGTTTCTTCTGGTAAAGAACATAACTTACAGTGGATTTTGACTTGACTTTAGTTTGTTTACTTGATTGTTCTTTATACTGGTAACTGTAGAGCAAACTGAGTTTCTGAGCGTTTAAAGTCAAGCATTTTAATTTTGTTTACTCCCAATTTCTGCTTCCACAGTTTGTGGAAATGTATGAATGATGGAGTTCTGTTTTCATCTGTTAGCAAATTCAACAACTAATGCATAAAGTTGTTCTTTTTCATTGTTGCTTAGGTATCGTTTTGTGTCCACTCGTATGCCTCGTTGTGACTATAGGCAACGCCGCAGTGATACTAAGTTTTCTTCCCATCCACATTGTTTGGACGTTTTATTCAATAGTCAGGTAACTAACTAACTAACTAACTCCTCTGCTCAAACTTCCATTTCCTTTTGTTATCTCTCTCGGCCTTAAAGACTCTTTGTTACTTGATTCTTTTCAGTTCCAAACAAATAGGACCGATCTTGAAGCTCTTCATATGCTTATGTCTTCCTGCCGCAATCATCCTCTGGCAAATTCTTGGTATATTAGGGAGTCTTCTTGGAGGAGCTTTATATGGTTTCTTCTCCCCAATATTCGCCACCTTTGACGCCGTTGGCGAAGGCAAGCCTTACCCGTTTTTCCACTGCTTTTACGATGGAACTTGGAGCACCCTCCAACGCAGTTTCACCGTTGTCCGCGATTTCAAAGATGTTTGCTTTCACTCCTACTTCTCGCTCATGGACGAGCTTAAAATATGTTGTCCTGATCGCAAATACTATGAAATAAGGTATGTTCATTCATGAGCTTACACTGTCTTTCTATAGCACCACCTTACAGTGTCTCTATCTATCTGTCCTCAGGTTACTTCAGCTTCCAGGGGCTTTGGTAGTTTCATGTCTCGGGATTCTTGTTGACTTCCCGGTGATCTCACTCGTTGCCATATTCAAGAGCCCTTACATGCTGTTCAAAGGATGGCGCCGTCTGTTTCACGATTTGATCGGACGTGAAGGTCCGTTCTTGGAGACAATGTGCGTCCCAATCGCAGGCCTTGTGATCTTGCTCTGGCCTTTGGCTGTCGCTGGCGCGGTTATTGGCTCGGTGGTCTCTAGTGTCTTCCTCGGTGCTTATGCAGGAGTGGTCTCGTACCAAGAATCATCGTTTTACTATGGACTCTGCTTTGTAGCTGCGTCTCTGTCCATTTACGACGAGTACAGCACCGATATACTTGACATGGATGAAGGATCTTGCTTTCCGAGGCCAAAGTATCGGAGAAACGAAGAGGGGTCAACGGCGTTTTCAGGTCCTATAGCAAAAGTAGGCTCTCTCAAGAACAAGGGTTTGACAAAACTGGAATCAGTCAGAGTCCCTATGATTGATATTAAGCCTCTTGATGTAAGCAAGCACAAAGCTTATAAATATGGTAAAAATGGAAACTTTTGGCGTTTTTGATGACTTTGATGTCACTGTTGAAATGTTGCAGCTTTTGGTGGGTCTGTTTGAGGAATGTAGGAAGTTTGGAGAAGTTTTGGCGGGAAAGGGACTGATAAACTCGAAAGATATAGAAGAGGCGAGATCTAGTAAAGGCAGCCAAGTGATCAGCGTTGGCTTACCTGCTTATGCACTTCTTTATGAGATTCTTCGCTCTGTCAAAGCAAACTCTGTTGGCTTGTTACTCGGTAAAGTTTCGTTCTTTTTTGTTTGGTTTCACTCTTGAACCAGAAAGAAACCAAGAAAATCGATTAAAGGACATATTTTTGGTGTGTAGGTGATGGTGTAACTGAATTAACTACCAAGAACCGACCAAAAGATGCGTTTTTTGACTGGTTTCTGAATCCGTTTTTGATACTAAAGGAGCAAATGAAAGCTACGAATTTGTCACAGGAAGAAGAAGAGTATCTCGGAAGGTTGGTTTTGCTGTATGGAGATGCAGAGAGGCTAAAGGACTCGTATGTTGATTTCGTCTCTCCTCCTCTCACTGAGCGTAAAAGAGCCGAACTTGATGCCTTTGCTCGCAGGTAAAACAAAAACTACAAAGTTTTCGATTTGGGTTTTCCAAATTTGGTGTCTTTTTCAACGTTTTTATGTTCTTGTGTTCGTTAGGATTCAAGGGCTAACGAAAACGGTGTCAAGGTATCCAACGTACCGTCGACATTTTGTGGAGTTAGTGAAGAAACTATCGGAGGATATGGTTGAGAAACACGGCGGTCCGGTTAAGGACGAAGTGTCTATAACAGAACCGCCTGCTCCGGTTAAGATATTTACTCGGATATTCAGTAGTCAGAGATCGTTCAGAAGAAAAGGGAGTGTCAATGGATCCGATCAAGAATCACGAAAGGGTGTCTCACTCCCAAGGAATGTACATATCGTTTAAACACTGGAATTTGTGGATATTTTTGAACTTAAAATCCCTTCCATATAAATGTCGTAAAGATTTTCAGTGGAAACTCCAACAATCACTATTGGGGCGTATGAAAAATCTTCACATGAAATAGTTAGTATATAGAACATTATCATCATCCAATAGACTAACTTCATACACACATATTGGCTTCAAAAAGTGCCCTCATATGCGTGAATGAAGCGAATCCATTGGATAAGGACATGTTCAATATACTCACTATTTGCTGAAACTGAATCCATGCACGACTGAAAATAAATAAAATTTAAATGATTGAATGCACAGATGGAGTCTACGAGTCGCACCAACTTGGATATATCTTTAATCTAGTTATGAAATATGGAGAATATAGAGCAGATTTAGATAAGTTTGGAAAATTTGTGTAGTTAAAAAGATGTTGGTTTTGATGGTGGAGAGATAGGATCAATGATACGGGGTAACTTAATTAGGTTAAATTGATTAAATGTTCTTATTTTAATGTGATGATAAATTGATAATATCCTCAACAACAACTTATTCCTCAATATCTAAACATGAAACCTAAACATGTTCATATCTTTGAGTTTTTTGTTTTGTTTTAGAGGATTACTGAAATCTATCATAAATCACATGTTTCTATTGTTTTCGATAATGAAATAGTTTATACACATATATCAGAGTCATTTTTGAAGAAGTTTACTAAGGATAATGAATTCATGAAAATCGTTGAATTCATTATCTTAATGAACCTCTCCAAAAAGTGACCCTCATGTGTGTGTATAATGCTAACGATTGGATCATGACATGTTCAATATACTAACTATTTGCTGAAAATGAATCCACAACTGAAAATAAATAAAATTAAAATGATTGTATATATGCACAGATTGAGTCTACGAGTCGCACCAACTTGGATACCTTAGATCTAGTTATGAAATCGGGACAATATAGGGCAGATTTAGTTAAGTTTCGAATATTTGTGATTTAAAAAAAGAAAATTGGGGACATTAATGTGATGATATACCTTGTGTCGTTTCCAGTGATAATATCTTCAACAACAACTTATTCCACATTCCTAATGGTTTTTTAGGGCTAGAACGCTAACTGCATCGCGACGAAGAGAATGAGTGGACCATGTTTATAACAATTTCTCATGGGATTCCAGTGTCAGAAGCGGAAGTGAATAAACTCTTATGAACGAATATGAAGAAAAATGTGTTGAATGTTTTTTTTCTGCAAGAAAAAAATGGGAACTCCACCAATAGTGACTGTTGGACTTCCCATTTTCCTCGAGCATAAAAATGTTCTTAACACAGTTTTCTACGAATTATTCCTTACAAGAACAATTCACCTATGCTTTCGACACTAAATACCCACAAGAAAACATTAAAACAATGGTTCATTCATTCTTTTTTCACGATAGTGTTAATGTTTCAGTCGCAAAGACCATTGGGGATGAGGGGATAAAGTTGTTGGGAAGAATATTTGATGTGGAAACCGAGAATGTTGAATGACAGACAGAGTTTGGTGAAGTAGTAAAAGGTGATGAGGGAAGATGTTTGTGAAGGATACACAAATATCAGAAGTGATTGATTTCATTTTACACTAAAACCGTGCGTATATATAGGAGAAAATGTAGAAAATAAATTAATAGGAAATGCATAAGAGAAGATATACACGAAATGTGATATAAAGAAACGACATCATACATAAAAAAATCTGTACTAGATAATTACAAGTTTAATATGTGCAGATGTAAAAACATTGATTTGTATTGCACGCAAGGAATAAAGAAACGTGACAAATTTTCACTGGCCACCTTGATTAGAACAAATCTTTGTAGTCCAGTTATAGTTAGACGTATAGAGTAAGAATGTTTTTTTCTACAGATTTCAAATCCACTTAGCATGTATAATTTAATTCCTAATTGCAATAGAAACATATCAACCCATAAACTAATTTTTCTTTTACCTTTTAGTTTAGAGGTGGATATGTTTCAACTTTCAACATGCAATAGTCCACATCACATTGAAACATACCATAACAAACTTAAAAAGTGTTAACGGAAAAAAACTTCACAAAGTCTTCCTCCTCTCTTAACAAACGGGACGCAGTTTCTTCTTTTTTACATTAGGCGAAGACATCCAATGACATAATGCCACGTGTTAGATAGTTCGATACACATCTCGAGACGAGCACGCGCCGCTGAAAATATCCAGTGGTGTGTTCGCCACGATTGACCAAAGTCGGTATCCATAATGAACGGTCAAAATGATCCTAAGCGTTACTTGTCCAAAAGATCTACGGCTCTTCGACGTAGATGAAACTGAGCCTCACATTTACAAATATGTACACGTAGGCAATCTCGTGTGTATATGTATACTATATATTATTCCCCTCCCATAATCGTCAATTTCGGCTAATTTCGAGTTATTAGAAATTGATTATCTCGTCGAAAAATATAAATACTTGAATTAATTTTTCGCTCTCACTGTGTGTTTCTCCGTGAAAATGGCCTCCGGTTTGATTGCGAGATTGGTTGGAACGAAGCCGTCGAGATTAACCTCCGCGGCGAGATTGATCCCGGCGCGATTTACGTCTACGGGAGCGGAGGCGGAACCAAAAGCTGCATCAGGCGGCGGAGGATCGAAATTGAAGACTTTTCAGATCTACCGATGGAATCCGGATAACCCTGGGAAGCCTCAGCTTCAGGATTACCAGATCGATCTCAAGGATTGTGGTCCGATGGTTTTGGATGCTCTGATTAAGATCAAAAACGAGATGGATCCGTCGCTCACCTTCCGCCGATCGTGCCGGGAAGGGATCTGTGGCTCGTGCGCCATGAACATTGACGGATGCAACGGGCTCGCTTGCTTGACGAAGATTGAAGACGCAGCGTCTGAGACGACAATCACGCCGTTGCCTCACATGTTCGTGATTAAGGATCTGGTGGTGGATATGACCAATTTCTACAACCAGTACAAGAGTATTGAGCCGTGGTTGAAGAGGAAGAATCCGCCGTCTGAGCCTGGGAAGGAGATTTTGCAGAGCAAGAAGGATAGGGCTAAGCTTGATGGGATGTATGAGTGTATTCTTTGCGCTTGCTGTAGCACGTCCTGTCCCAGTTACTGGTGGAATCCTGAGTCTTACCTTGGCCCTGCCGCTTTGCTCCACGCCAACAGGTAAAGCTATGAAAAAATGATAGTGTTGTTGCTGATTTGTTTGGAGAATTGCTTGTTGAACAAAGGATACAAAAGTTGGCTCTTTTTTGGGAATTAGTTGCAAATTGGAGGATTAGGAACCTTCAATCTTGGAATCTGCTTTCAGAATTTGCATGGATGGTTTGGAAGATTCGTTCATTCGAGTCTATTTTGCTATATCTTGGTGTCTGCAATCTCTTGTCTTTGTTGAAATGGCATATTCATTGTTTTGGTTTGGGAAGCTGAGATAAAGTTTTGATCTTTCGATGTGTTTGTAACGGAGAGACTTGTTCACGTGTGCAGGTGGATAAGCGACAGTCGCGATGAGTACACTAAGGAGAGACTTGAAGCTGTTGACGACGAGTTCAAGCTATACCGATGCCATACAATCTTGAACTGTGCTCGGGCCTGTCCAAAGGGTTTGAATCCAGGCAAACAGATCGCACACATCAAGCAACTACAGCCTTGAAACTCATCATTGGCTTAACCTTTGAAGCTAATAATCTTTACAAAATCTTTGGAATTTTCAATTCATTCTTGTATTGCCGTTGCCAAATATTAGTGCCTGAAACAAATCTATTTTGCAAGTCCTCCCAAGTAGATGAGCTTTGTGGTTGTAACTTGCTGAAAAATCTCTCTTTTAAGTAATAAAACTCAAGGAAACTTAAATGGTTAAACTTCATCTACTTAGCATCTACTCTTTTTGTGTACCATCTGCATTGTCTTTTATAAAAACATTTCATGTACTTGTGTCTAAACATGAACACAGCGTGAGAGCTTAAACATAGCTTAGCCACAGAAAAATATCACATCACTAATTTGGTGGTTCAACTTCCATGTCGTATGATTGACTGCGTAAGTATAATAACTGCAAGTAGTGGTAGACACAACAAGAAAGATGTCACCGACAACAATAGCTCTGTTCTTGGTCTCCTTCGTCATTACTGGCACATCAAGTGATGTTGCTCCAGCAGCCAAAGAGTTTCACTTCTTTCTGAGTTCTCATGAACATGAACAGCCTCAGTTTTTAACTGTGGAAGGTAACATAGCTTTGAATGCCAGTTCTAGAAACAAAGATAAGTCGTGAGAAATTTAGAAGATGCTCATGTGCTTGTAGTTTTACATACTTTTTGCTGTTTCTTCGTGTGCAGGGTGCAACAACGAATGCAAAACAGCTTGCTGTAACTGCGACATAGAGCAACAGCCTCCAGTCTGTGTTCAGTGTTGCCGGATTTGAGCCATGAACTCCTCAATTGTGTCTCTTGTAAATGTGACATAGAGAATGTAGAAGATTAAAACGCAAAGTCAGAATGTAAAAATTTGTTTTTTTATTGGTGAAACAGAGGAAGCTAATGTACTTTTATTACACATGAAAAACAGAGATCACAAAAGAAAAGAAAAAAAGGAGAGAAAGATCTCAAAACATGGACTCTATATAGACTCAGGTCTCAACACCCTGAAACCACCAAGTTTTGCAGCCTGTTCATCGAATAAAAGTATGATCAGAGGCAAATATATAACATTTGAATTGATTTTAGAGTTTTAGCTCATCTACACCAAATACACTGTCTATCATCTTTAGAAACATCAGATAAACTAGCAAACAACAATTTAAGAGGAAATACCTTTGTGTCCCTCAGAGTCTTTGGTTTGAAGTAAGTTTCTTTCTCTGCACTAAAATTGTCGTTTTGGTGATCAGTTTTTTTATGTTTGTTACAGCTCGATTCAGTTGTTAATGACTTGTGTCAAGTATATACTATAATGTCACAAACCTGAAAATTTTAATTCATCACTCTGTCATTGCCTTATCATTTCTATGATCTGTTTTTTTTCCCCACAATGGCAAGATAAAATAAATTCTCAAATTATTTATCAGTTGCACGTTATCTACAACAACTCATTGACTTGACACACAAACTACTCTTCTGGATGTTACGTTTTGAGTTTTTTTAGTTATTTCTTGGCTTATATATCCTTGAAGCTAACCTCCAATTCACAATCCTTCTCTTTCTTTATTTTCTTCTTCTGTTAAATCGACGGTCGAGAGATGAGACGAGAACGTCGGCAAAATGCTGTAGTCAGGACTTACCGGATTCTTCCACCGCCGCTTAACCCAAGGCTGGTCAACTCTTCGACTTCACCCTCAACCGCCGAGTTACTTACCAACTTGCCATCGAAAGCCACCAGCCATTCTAAAGCTAATCGGAAAATGTACCCTGGTCAGGTGCATTGGCTCAGATCAAACGACATCGCTTCATCAAGCTACAAACTGCTGACGTGGCAGGTATTAACCGAACCCGTTTCGAATCTCCCCGGTTTATCGGATCTTAACGGTAATGGCGACGACGACGATTGTGAAGATAAAGGAGGAGATGAAGCTGATGAAGTTGAAAAGATGGTGAGAGAGAATGGAGATAAAGAAGATGGTGGTGGGTCTCATGGTGATGATGAAAGTATGAGTTTTTACGATGTGGGGATGATGATGAAGATGATGGAACATGTGTTAAGTGACGATGAAGAAGATGGTTGGTGTTTCGTCTGAAAAAAAGAAAATAAATCATGATGTCTGTCTCTTTCTCACGTGGTTTTGCTTTTGCTTTTTCTTTTGCAAGTGACATGTAATTTGATTAATATTATCTTTTACGTAACAGCTTTATATCAACAAGAAGCAATTCGAAATCAAGATTCAGATTCAGATCAAATAAAGTAACTGGAGTTGTTCTTCATTACATAGTAGTAGACACAACAAAACAAAAAGATATTTCCAGTTTTTTTCATCTTCATCTTCTTCCTATTGCACTCAGACTCATTCTTTAAACTGGTGAAAAAAAAGAGAGTATTAATCGGTGCCATCTACGTAACGAAATTGCTGTGTTTCTTATCACTAAAAGCTTGAGCTAAAGATCTGAGTTTACGACCCGAAATCATCGATCGATCCTTTTATTCTCCCCATTTTTGCCATTAGTAGACTTGTGTAAACGTTTCCTATGTTCCACAGAGTTTCTTCAAAGATGTTTGTTATTCTTTAAGCTTCTTTGGCTCCCTTATCATTCTCTTACAGTCTTTGGCTTCAAACAAGAACACAAAAACTGCTTCTTCTCGGTCTTTCTCTGCACAACAACACACACAAACCAATAAATGAGAAACATCCTTCTTTTCATGTGTTCATGAGATTTCAATTGGAAAAAACTAAAAATCTTTACCTTTTTCCTGCTCTGACTCTGATCTTGAGTTTTAGAATTACCCTTGAAACAGCTGATAGTATAACAAAAGAAAAAGACCATAATCAAAACCAGACTAAAGATCAATACAATACAATGCAAGAAATCAAGAAAACACATAAGAGTTTATGACTTACCTCAAGAAACTAAATCTCTGGCGGTGAACCGGTTTAGCTTCATTCTTCTCTAAACTCTGAGTCATTGGTCTTTCGCTGCATTTTACAAACAATCAGAAAAAAAGTACATAATTTGCAGACAAGATCTGTGTGTGTTACATAGAGAGAGAAATCACAATTCACAAACCTTCTTTTCTCAGGCAAAGCAATCTCCTCTACAGGTTTTGGAGGGATTGTTTTCTCAAGAGACAATCTAAACACCGGTTTGTTCTTGGTTATCGATCTCCTCTTTTTCTCCTCCTTTTCACCAACAGGCAATTCCTCTTCCTCTTCTTGCTTCTCCTCCTCCTTGTCATCATCAACACCAATCAAACCATTTTCCTTCTGTGAATCCTCTTTTTCTTCCAATTCATCAACCAATGATACATCATCATCCACAACAAGGGGTTTGTTATCCGAAACAAGGACAGCATCATCAAGCCGAATACTTTTCCTTCCGGTTTCTTCGTCTTGTACAATATTCAGAGGAGGCTGAGTTTCCAAAGCGTGAAGCAAGACTTCGGCAGGCGTCACGGTCGGCTGTTCTTGCGTTGCGGCTTTCTTGGCTTCGGCTATTCTCTTGTAGTGAGCTTCGAAGAAAGCTTTCTTCTGCGCAACGGATCCAGGACGAGAGTACTTCTCTGCTTCCTCAACGTACTTCTTGTGTGAAAAGCTTGACCATTTCCCCCATTCCAGATTCTCTGTCATGAACTTCCCAAATGATATCGATTGGCTAAGCGCATGGATCGCGTTATCCTGCAAAAATCCCAACAAATTTCATCAAAATCAATCGGTGATTTGTGCTCAAACTCAAATTTGAAAGCTTTCAGTTGAATCTAAGCCATAATGAAAGTTTCTGAGAGATTCCAACAAATCCAGAAACGTTCTCTGTGCATTCAATCGCAATTAAAGGAATAAACTTTAGAAAATTGTTCATGATTTCATCAATTTTTTCTTTTTTTTTCACAGTTTAGCTTGGAAACTAATTTGTTATCTATCTGTGTTTAATCAAAAACGAAACTTTCTCTTCAATTTTCCAGGAAAATCCTGGCGACGAGAGAAAGATATCATAAAAGGTCAATTCTTTCTTGTTGGAATTCATCAAAAACTTATAAACAGCTGAATTTCCCCGGAAAATGAAAATTCAAAATCAGAGAAAATCAACAAATCGAAGAAAGTTTAAAAATTTACCTCATGAGAATCGTTACGGGTAATAGGAGCTGCGAACGAATACGAATGAACCAGAACAGCAGATTCACCCATTTTCAAGCTTCTAAAGCTAGAACAAAAAAAAACCCAGAAAATGGAAAATAAAAGGAAAAAAATTTAGAGGCTTTTGAATTTCAGCTTCAGAAATGTTTTCTCGTCAACCAAACGTCTCTCGAATTCAAAATTTTGAAAGAAGAAATATTTCTCTGTCGTTGAAAGGAACTCAGATTTTTTTCTCTCAAGCTGCTAAACACATGGTGTGGTGGGGAAGATCTGAAGAATATATTTTAGATCTGGGTCCCACGAAGAAGAAGAAGATAGAATCAAACATAAAATAATGAAAATTAATTGGAGAAAGGTTTTTTAATTTTTTTTGAGGATAGGAATGAAAATGGGATTACAAATTATAAAACTTTGAAGAAATTATTTTTTTATGTGGTCAAGTGGTTGAGAATTGAAGCGAAAGGGAAAAAAATGTTTTCTGGTGAACCTTTTTTTCTTGTGGGAGAGGAAAAAACTGAGAAAATCCGGAAACTCGGTCTTCGCAACCGATTTTCGAGTTCTTTAATATTTGAAAATGTTTTTATTTATCACGAAGCGTTTTTTTAAGCTATTTTAAGAATGTTTTTATGTAATTAATGGATCAGAAAGAAAAATTAAAGGGATAACTATATGTTATTACCAAAAGGGCGAGAATTAAGAATTAAATCCACAATTTCATGGGTATATAAAAGTGAACGTTAGTTATGTTTGTAACGAGGTATTACTGTATTAGAATGTCTTTAAGACCATATATTTTTTTCAGTCAGCCCGCCATTTTTTGAATATTCTGACATAGAGTTATAAATTTAGGTAATTCGATGATCTTAAGAAATTATGTTATTTGATTTATAAAATTTTCAGGATATCATTTTAAGTACTTCTATATGTTTGAAATTCAAATGAAGTCTCATACGAAATGTCTTGCTGTGGTGTCGTCCGAAAACAATCTGTCTTTTTGATAACGATAAACTTTATAAAAAAAGACATATAACGATCTAGATAATTTTCTGGTTTGAACATTGAAATGTTATCTCAATGTCCTACTCATTTTTTACTAATTTTGTTATTACATGCATAATAAGTTACTGTTTAGAAATCGATTATCCCTAAAGATCTCTCGAAGATCCCGAGTAATCTAACTCGGTAAAACAATAGTTCATAAAACACTGCAGTTGAATTAACAATAACGTAATTGAAATGGACATTTCTCAACAAATCTTAAAGCATCATTTTTTGTTTTGTTGTAAGTATCTTCCAAAACGTCTAGATCATTGTACCAAATTGTTTGGAAAAATAAGAGCTTATCAAATGCTTTACCTACCTGCATTAACAATTTTCACCAAAAACTATACCACCATATCCATAGTTAACATCTAATAATCTTCACAACTTCTGTATTAGAATTGGTTAGTAATTTGGTAAACATTTGCATCAATACAAGCAATATTGATATATGTATCATGGTTCTCTAATTTTCTTGTTATCCGGTATGCTTTGGACAAAGCGAGTTGAATTGGTGGTTTCCAAGAACATTTCTTTTTCAACAATTTTATATCAAGTCGAGATAAATAGATGCAAACTTCACAAAAGTTGTACTAATTTCATATTGTATCGAAAAGGTAAAAAGATCGCTAACTAAACAAAAATTTTAAGATGCCGTAGTATTGCTATCATTATGAACATCTTTGTTCGAAAATTGTTGTAATTCGCCTAAAACAGTACTAATATATAATTGTACTGTAATCACTTTCTTTATATATATATTTAAGTTTTTCTTTGGATCGTTAGTGGTAATAACTAAAAAGTAGATGAAGCAAGAAGTATCAACGTTGGTGTGTATAACCATTTTAGAATATTTCGTAGCACAAAAAAAAAAACAGCTTTAGATTGCAAGTAATCTTCTCTTAGTAGTTAGTACAACACATTACACTTCAACCATCACTGAAAGCAACACTATTCTTTTCTAATTTCCACATACAAAGGTTTGTTTTGCCGTCGCTCGTCGGCTACAACATCCAATGACCATTAACGACTAAATCTTATACATTTACAGTCGTTAGTCTATCGATACGTTTAAGTGATAATGACAAATTTAGGAGCAAATCTATATGATATTTATGAATAATTGTTGACAAAGAGAGAACTCTAGAATTACTTCTTCGGATACACGATAGTAATAGCGCTGACAAAAAAATGTAAATTTTGTAAGAAATATTTAGTTTTTAAAGTTTACATGTAGAAAATGTCAGATAGCTCCAAGTATTAAACTAATTTGACATAAGAAAACGATTTGACAATGATATTTTTGATATCGACAAGCAAAAAATATACTATAACATAGCGTTTGATTTACACTATTAACATAAAAAATTACTTAGATATTTGCTTTAATTAAAAAGAAATACACGTTACGAGACTTCACGTTAAAAAAAAGATTATTCTTGTTTTTTACTATATTTTTAGTGTATTTGACGTTTGGCAGAATATTCGTGGTTTTATAATCACGTCTAGTGAGCCCAATGTATTGTCGTCACGCGAGTCACGCCTAATACGGTCCGAATGTCTCGCACGTGCAAGCACCTGTAAACATGCATATGTTTTTCCGGTCCAATCTGATGCGAAAAGAAAACGCCAATCGGTACATGTTTTCATGTACCAATTAATTTGTCCACTATTTTTTTTTTTTTCATTAAAATACATTGGCTAGTTGTCAAAACATAAATGTAATTTTGATTCACCTGTATTTGTGTTTTTGTAAAAACACAAATTGCAAGTGTTCACAAGAAACCACTGAACAAATTATTTTGATGATACAAGTTGGGATAAATTTTCTTTACAAAAATATTAGTTTGGAAAGCAACCAACAACAGTAACTCTGAAACAAGACAAGGAGATTCTATTGTTTCTGCACAAGAAGAATCTAATCAAAGACTTTGGACAAAAGTTAAACAGATTCATCTCTTTCTGGGAGGAGGAGGTTCACGGCTGAGATGATGCTTCTGAAGAGTCCTGATATAGTTTCTCATGAGGCCAAACTTATTGCTCCCAAGCTCGTAGAAGTAGTCCCATGGATATATCCCTGTTCTATGCAAGTCATCAAACACTAACCTGAATCCTCAAAAAAACATTCAACATTAAGTCACGAGAGACAAAATCTTTATGATGGCTAACTTATAATGGTTTGTAAGTACCTCACCCCGTAGTTTCCAACCGGTTCTGCAGACATGATTCCAACATACCGCCTTCCAGATATCACCTGATTAACCCAAAGATAAATAATCTATGTTTGATTAGTCACACAGTTAATGGACTAGTAACCATACGACAAAAGAAGTAAAGCAAGACTCATTGCTAAGATACTTTGAAATTGCATTTCTAATAAGAAAGCATGTACAGAGGGCTAGTCAATAAGAAGATAAAACATCATGACTCGTTACTCCGCATCCACAGAAATCAATATCACTGCAGTGGTTAGACTTATACAGTGATACTTAAAGAATGCATATACTTAAGACTTCTAGTATATGTTGTTACAAGAACAAGGAACAAGATGTCAATATTTTCACTGGACTAACGCAAAAAGCAAAAGAGACACACCAACTACACTTGATTTACACAAGAACCCATCTAGAACCAGTGTATAAGTTGGAGTAAGAACAACAAGCTAATGGCTAAGAACATCTGGTCCAAAAACAATAAGCCAAACACACAAAAACAAAGCATCCAATGCTAATGTACTAGCACTCATACGCACCTATAACATTATTGCAATCATCTTTTCTGAGAGATGAGCTAAGACAAGATATCAAAAGTCTATCATCCTCACGCTAAAGATTTGTGAACTAACTAATTCACGCCATCTTTGATGCATAAAGAATTTGACCAATTACCTTCTCACCACCGATTGATCTGATTTTCCCATCAGCAGCTGGACTATGGACTCTCAGAAACTCCGATGAGAAATTGAATTTGGTGCCATCTGCATACTCTACCTCAACCTTCAAATAGGGAATATTCCACAAAGTCAGATCCTAAAGAGTATCTAAAACAAAAGATCTAACCCAAAATTAAAAATCTCGAAGGATATGTAATCGCCGAGCTTTAAAATGTAAACATAAGATTGAAGAGAGAAAAGAAATACAGCGAAGCTTACGGTTTTGGGAGATACAATAGAGAATCCTGAGAGTTTTGGAACAATGACATCACTTGTGCCATGGACTCGCCGGCTTATTACTCTCGTAATTGCCAACATTTCTTGTCCCGGCGGGAGACGACGATTCTGGCTCCAATCATCTCACTCTGCTGAAAGCCCTAAACGTACTTTATTGGGCCTTTGGAGTTTGGGCCCAATCATCTCGCCCATCTTTCCTCCTCGTTTGTGTGTGTGTGTCCCATATTTCTGTGGATCCCGAACTTTCAAAATTCGACCAATTAAACCACCTACTTTCGCGTGGACTGACAAATTTATGTTGACTTTAAAGCTTAAAAGTCAAATTAGTCGCATGGGTGACTCACCGGTAGGGGCCGCGGGGACGTTACAGATTAGCTCTGTGGAATGGGACTTTTGTGTTCGAAATTTTGAGACATTAGGATAGTTTAAGGGAAAGCGAAAATGAAGTAGGTTATTACTTGTGAGTAATAAAATGAAGGTTATTTGATCAATTTAACATGTAATATCCGGTTACGTGCGCAGTGCCAGCGCTTAGAAGGAAATATTATGGCAAAACGAAAACGAAAATGAAAACAAAAATGAAGTATACAGACTAAGGAAACAAATAATCTCAGCGACGCAGATAATACGAGTCAGATCTAATCCTAGAGGCGCATTTGAGTCGTAGTACGATTGAGCCAAACGCAACAACATTTGTCAAAAGAAAGTCACTCAGCAATAGTGATATAAAATGAAGATAAATATTCATTACGTGCTACATGCATTAACGTTACTCACAAGTCGAAACCCCATAAGATACAACAATAAAAAAAAACATCAATCGGGGTGGGACATGCATACTCCTACTGAATTAGATACTCTTAAAGGAAATACTGATGAGGCTCAGACTTGGGAATACCTCTCTTTGACGCAAAGCAGCATCTTTTCTGCAGCATTGAGAGAAAGCACAGTTTAAAAACAAAAGTAATTATGCATACACGAAAGGAAATCAAAATCAAGAATAGGCTTTACCTTTTCAAGGGTTCTGTGAGGCAAACATAATGTAAACATAATGTCAGTTAAGTTCTTAAATCAATAGCAATAAGAATTGACACACCAATTAAAAAATAACTTACTCTCGGTTATTCCAGTGCTCATGCCTTCCCATATCCATGCATGTTCTACCACATTGGCATAACTACATTTTGAACTTCTCCCAGCAGCGACAAATACCCTATAGCCATAGGCTTGAAGCACTTGTACTGTTGATGTGAAATCAGAATCACTTGTAACCAACAAAATGTTTCGAGCAATTGTCTGCTAAAGACAAGCTTCTGAAATTCTTGCAAACAATTGTCAAACGGTATTTCGTTTGGGTACGGTCTGACATTTGAATGTTGAGTCACAACATTGCAGTTTGTGGTTACACGGTGTCGTTTGTTTGGGTGCATGGATCATACGGCAACATGATTCACATAAAAAAGCTCTATTTTCTTTGATAAAGTCAAGTTCCAAATTCCCCAGTTATTTTGATCACATAAGAACAAAGATTCTGATTATTAATTAAAAAAACCAAACTAACCTTCTAGGAACTTCATGCAAATCAGGAGAGGTAGAGACTGTTGCTTGATATGTGCAACCCATCGCTCAACACCTAAACCATAACATGGTTCTTGATTTGTACTATTGAAGAAAAAACTTGTTTCTTCATGTTGAACAGAAATTGCACAGATGGAAGGTAAGATAATTAAAATAAAAACCATTAGTTTGATATAATTTCTCATTTGTTGTCAACGTGAGAATATTAACAACAAACCATCTAAACCTCAGAGTTTAATATGTTTTTACCTAAAAACTAAAAGAGAAATTTATTGTCAATTTTCATGAAAATTGGGTTAACTAATTCATGAATATGATTTAGATTTTGGGGTTTAGAGTTTAGATTCAAACTTAAAATTTTAAGGTATCAAGGTTTAAAGTTTTTTTACTCAATATATACAATTTAAATCTTGAAAATTAACACTTTCAATATTCTTTTAATTTTGCCATGCTAAAACCATCAAACACAACACATAGTTTTTTTGTTTTTTTTTTGTAAATACAACAGATAGTTCAAGATCTGAAACGTCCCTAAATATTTTATATTGGGCCAAACTAAAAACTATTTGGTGAATTGTATATTTTTTGAAGAAAATGAGAAAGTGGGTGATCATTGGTTCATATCTTATATATAATTAGAGAGTTTTCTCTCCATCTAGAGTGTCCACATTATCAATTTTAAAATTAAATTATAATTAAAATACTCATTTAATACATATAAATTTATATTGATTGTTACTTTAATTTAACATATAAACTACAATTTCAGTCAAATATAAAAAATCTGTGACCAGAAAGAAAATATCAAAATTATTAGTTTAAAATTAAATATTCTAAATTAAATTGTATTTAATTATTAAATACATGTTTCTTCATATTATTTATATATTTCTATCTTACACTTAAATCAAACTAAGAAAAATACAAAAACAAAATAATTAATTAATATAAAAAAGTAATAACTTCGTGTTAAAAGTTAAAGAAGTTTACAATATAAAATGAAGATGAACTAAAACAATATTGAAATCAAAATAGTATATATTGCTTGCTTTTTTATTCCAAAAATTGTATAAAATTATCCTATTTTAAAATATTATAATGAGTTTGAGTTAAACAATTTAAAATATCATTTAACTAAAATAGTCAAAAGCTAATGAGAAATTAGAATTAGAGTATTTAAAAAAAAAATTGAATTCAAGTTATTATATGTAAATTTCATTGCAATGAAAAAACATGAAAATATTAAGCATTGTGATATGTTTGTTTTAAAAATACAAATTAAATTTACAAAACAAACACAATAGAAAATAATCAGTGGTCATCATGTTTAGATGCTACCGCAACAAAGTAAATATGTAAAAGGTTATACATATTATGCTCTCCTTAGAGTCAACTAAATTTTTCTATCTTTTCTCTATCTCTATATGTAAATAAATTTACCAATAAAATTAGAAAACTCAGTTGAGTCCAAAGACACGTACGATTTGACTTATGGTCTGATTTTTTAATCATTGCTAATTTGTTATGCTGATCCTAGCAAAATTGTATTGTTTAGATAAATATGAAAGCCTAGACGCCAGCGATGTTTTGAGTTTTGATATGTCATATCTCTGTATAATAATGTGCATGCCGGTCGCGTTATCAATATATACTATTCTCTCCGCTTTATAATAAGTGTCGTTTTGATTTTTCAGTTACTCAATATATTTAGATATATATGGATGTATTAAGACTCAAAACACATCCAAATACATCATTAAATAATATAGATTCATTTTGTCAAAACGACACTTATTATAAAACGAATGAAGTACTAATTACTAAAAAAAATCCTCATTTTTGTTTGACCACAAATATGATTAGTTAATTAATTGGTTGGATTTGCGTTTAAACAAATACCCGACGCACATGTTTTTGATAGATATTTTTTTTTTGACAAAACCAACCCACATGTTGCTTGCTATTGTCTGTTAATGTGAAAAAATGTCAATGATCCTTACGATATATAATGACTTATTGTGTTAAGCATGTCTGTAAAGTAATAGCCTACTTGCATCCACGATTAACCACGTTGGGATTAGTTTGTATTAATTATGATCCTCTATGAGGAGACCCATTCCTGGGTTTATGGATCTCTAGTTCTCTACTCTCTCTTCGTTGCTATAAATACACATAATCTAGTGTCTTGTAGACTTGTAGTTCCACACAAAAAGTTCAAGAATCATATAAGAAATTAAGAGAAAAGTTAGATATGGTCAGCTTAAGGTTTACCGTAGTTGTTGTTTCAGTCCTTTTTTTCGCCTTCCTTGTTCAATCGCCCACAGGTAACTAAAATCCCTACTTACGCTTATATTCATTTTCTTTTTTGGGGTACAACATGGAAAATAAGACACAATGTATGGAACAGGAGTGAAGGGGGCCGAATGCCAATCTAGTATCCAGCCTTGTCTTGATCGTTACGGTGATCAGTGCGACACAGCTTGCAGAGTAAAATATGGTAATAAGGTGGTAAGAAGTAAATGTCAGTTAGATATTATCGTTGGAACGGACCTCGTCCTTACGTGTTACTGTACCTATAACTGCTGAAGAGGACGAAGGAGCCAAGAGACGGTAACCTTAGCGGGAGAAAGTCCAGGTTACGAAGACAAAAGAGTCTCGTTTGTGATTTTCTATTTTATGATTTCTTTGATTCTGCAAATAAACATGTTCTATCTACCCTGTTCCTAGTTTGTAGGATCAGAGTAAGGCACGCTACAATTTTTAATTTCCATTTTATTCTCTATTTAAGAAACTGGTATATGTGATTTGGAGATAGTTTTGTGACAGCGAAAGAAAGAAAGAGCAACACCGAAACAATTCTTCTAAGAAAGTGAACACGAAAATGCAAATGTATAAAAAAGGAAGACTCACAAAATCGATGTATCATGCATGGAAGGCAATAGTGTTGTTGTGCCTCTCTGACTGTGAGATTCCAGTAGATCTGATTGGATCCTGCCTCTCGGGTCTCCACGTAAAGCCTGAAACAGATATAAACATCAGATCAAGGAAAAAAAGAGAGAGAAAGACAAGCAACAATATAACATCAATCGTTCTATGAATCAGGTAAGAAAAAGAACAATTCTCAGACTCTCTCAGAACTTAAACTGCAACCAATTTCCTTTAAGTTGATGAGAATGATTCAAACAGCATATGGTAATTGATTATCTATTATAAAACTTCCAAGCAACGGAAGTCTAAGTGAATCCGAGAGGAATAAGGATGCTCAAGTTAGGTTCACCAACTCGCATGGGGTTAAAATGGACGGAGTGAGTGGCGAATTATTTTCCTTGAGTTTCATCTATAATAAATATATTCTCACCGTTTTAAATTAATCGTTATTTTGAGAAAAATGTATCTGCAATTGTTTGAATGTATTAAATTCAAAACATATCTAACTATATCCAAATAATTGCAGATACATTTTTTTAAAACGTCAACTAAATTGAAACGAAGTGAATACCTCTCAAATAAATAGTAAATACATAAAAAAAATATGTTAACGGGTGCAAATACTCATCATTTTATATTTACTATTTTAACCATATCTACTTTTAGCTGTCCTCTTTCCATATTCGTTTTCTTTTTTCTTGAGAAAGATCAACTTTCCATATTGCAACAACTTTTTGGGGCCCTCATGATATTTACCTCCATTTTTCAACAAAAAAAACAAACAAAAAAGTCTATTTGATTTGCCTACACTATTCCCTCACCCACACGGGAAACAGAAACATTAGTAATATTGTCGTTATATTAGGGTTTATTCTAGTAAAATATATTGGTAATTGAAAACTGATTGCAAAAGGACGAAGACAAAACAGTTATGACGTCGCTCAACGTGACAAGCAATTATTAACAATTATTCTAGTGAATTCCAATTTTATTGATATCACAGGACCCATACTAATTTAATCATGGAAGCTTTTTTTTTTTTTTTTTTTTTTTTTGTAACATCTGACTTTATTAAATAGTATAAGGATAATACAAATAGTTGATCAGCCATTCACGAGGACATAAATAATGCATACATAAAAAATTCGAATCATAAACAAATTTAGACAAAATCATGGAAGCTTTATCAATGCCAATAATGGAACACCGGATAATTTTATACAGTATATATTAATTACGGAAAAATAGCATTTTAAACTGTGAAAGTGGCACCCACTGATTTTTAACCATCAAACTAAATAATTTTGCATGTTAAACGTTCACTTTGACATGTCTGTGTGCACCAACATTTTTTTTCGAAATCAGGTGACAAAATCCATTTTTCCGATTACGGTAAGTGGTTTTCCGCGCCAAAACGGCCGACCACTTTCAATTAATTAAAATGTAATTTTGTAAATAAAAATAACAAATAAATTTAAACTCCAAATTAAATTAAAAACCCAAATCAAATTGCGGATTAAGGCGGTTTCTCAAAAACACAATACAAAGAAAGAAAAGCTTTACAAGAGGAGAAGAGGGGATTGACATATGCGTTGGATTCATCTGTTGCATGGTATTACGGGTCAAGCTTCTCACCCACAGATGTCAAAGTGAATGCTTAACATGCAAAATTATTTAGTTTGACGGTTAAAAATGCCAATTAAAAAGTCTGAAGATAAAGTGTCATTGGGTGCCACTTTCATGGTTTAAAATACTATTTTCCTATTAATTACACTATTTCTAGCTACTTAACTTTCAACTTTCCATGTATAAACGACTTGTTGTTAGCGAATCTCTCATAATTGTCTATATATTATCTATTTGCACATCCCTCTTCACTCTCTCTCTCTCCCACACACACACACACACACAAACACAGGTAGAAGATGGATAACCTTGAGTTATGTGAAGCAAACGACGCTCCTCTAACGCCCATTACATTCTTGAAGAGAGCTTCTGAATGCTATCCCAATCGAACTTCCATAATCTATGGACAAACTCGTTTCACTTGGACTCAGACCTATGACCGTTGCTGTCGTCTCACCGCTTCTCTTCTCTCTCTTAACCTCGCCAAGAACGATATTGTATGTCACCTTCTTTCTCTTTTTTTTTTTTTTTTTTTTTTTTTTTTTTTGTTTCTAAGAGCATCCTCATCGCACCATTACAAGAGTGAAAAAAAAGAGGAGGAGAGAAACGGTTTACTTTTAAAAATTTTACAAGGCTAACGACATTTGTCATTGTGTGATTCGTTAAACTGTTTTCATATTTAAAAGTTAATTATACCATTAAACTATATTAATATGATAGTCTTTCCATGATGGCGATGCTCTAATTTTTATTTGCATTTTTAACTGACCGTGCCAAATTTAATAAAATTAAACAGCAGAACCACATGCGGACCAGTTAGTTAATGTTCCCTCACCTTATTTACTTGTTGAAGAAGGTTTTACCTTCTTTTAAACTACTGTCCGGTTTGATTAAAGCATGTGAGTTTAACCCGACTGATACGGATCATGTTTTTCTGTTTTAAAAATTCAATTAAATATTGTTACCTCTAGAACTTCAATTTGATGCTTCTCCAAAAGAGCCTAACACATGATACCAATGTTGATTTTAGGTATCAGTTCTGGCCCAAAACATACCGGCCATGTATGAGATGCATTTCGCCGTTCCCATGGCCGGAGCAGTTCTCAACACTATAAACACCCGTCTCAACGCAAAATCCATTGCTGGAATCCTTCGCCATGCACAGCCCAAGATGTTATTCATAGACCGAAATCTTGAGCCTTTGGCTCGAGAAAGCCTCCAACTACTACCACATGAAGACTTAAAACAGATCATGAAGGTCATTTACATTGACGAGAACAAGAGTTCGTCATCCAAGGAGTTAGACTATGAGAGTCTCATCCGTAAGGGAGAACCTACGTCCTCTTTGGTCGCACGTATGTTTCGTATTCAAAACGAGCAAGATCCGATCTCGTTGAACTACACGTCAGGTACAACGGCCGACCCGAAAGGTGTGGTGATTAGCCACCGAGGAGCATATTTGACCACTTTGGGCACGATTATGGGCTGGGAAATGGGGACCGGCCCGGTCTACCTTTGGACTCTGCCTATGTTTCATTGCAATGGATGGACTTTCACGTGGTCAGTGGCTGCGCGTGGTGGCACCAATGTGTGCTTAAGGAACGTGACTACCCTGGAGATCTTTAAGAACATAAAACTGCATGGCGTGACGCATATGTGTTGTGCTCCTACGGTCTTCAACATTCTTTTGCAAGGAAAACCGCTTGACCTATTAAATAGGTCTGCCCCGGTTCAGGTGCTTACTGGAGGTTCATCGCCTCCAGCTGCTCTTGTTAAGAGAGTTGAAAAGCTGGGGTTTCAAGTGGGGCATACCTATGGGCTAACAGAGGCCACTGGTCCAGCTCTCTTTTGCGAGTGGCAAGACGAGTGGAACAAGTAATAATTATTATAACGAGTTTATAACTCTTATTCCAATCCAAAATATTCTCTTATTACCAAAGAACAAAACAAAAGAGAGATATATTTATAATTTATAACCATGTCCAGTAATACCGAGATTAGTTTCATAGTTTTATTCTCAATTGAAACAGATTACCAGAGGATAAACGAATGGAGCTGAAGGGAAGGCAAGGTGTTGGCATGTTAACCCTAGGTGAGTTTGACGTGAAGAACACTCAAACTGAAGAGAGTGTCCCACGCGACGGAAAGACGATGGGAGAGATTGTCATGAAAGGAGGCAGTATAATGAAAGGGTATCTAAAGAACCCTAAAGCTACATTGGAAGCGTTTAAACACGGATGGTTCAACACGGGAGACATAGGTGTGATTCATCCGGATGGCCACGTGGAGATCAAAGATCGTTCCAAAGACGTCATCATCTCAGGAGGTGAAAACATCAGTAGTGTTGAAGTCGAGAATGTTCTTTACAAGAATCAGAAAGTGCTTGAGACCGCGGTAGTGGCCATGCCTCACCCAGTGTGGGGCGAGACCCCGTGCGTGTTCGTTGTTCTAAAGAAGGATGAGAAAAATCAAGAAGATCTTGAAGATAAATTGGTGACCAAAGAAGAAGACTTGATTAAGTATTGCCGTGAGAATATGCCACATTTTATGTGTCCGAGGAAGGTGGTATTCCTTCAAGAGCTCCCAAAGAATAGCAACGGAAAGATTTTGAAGTCTAATCTGAGAGACATTGCTAAGGCTTTGGTTGTTGATGGGGACAATGCCGGTTCCAAGAAAGTTCAAAGACGCGGTGATGATTACGTTAGGTCCAGGCTTTAATGGTTACATAGGCATCGATATATTAATATATACTACATGTGTTTGTGTTTGAATTTGGTTTGATATTTTTTTTGGTATCTGGACTCTGGAGTTTATAATTCTAAGACATATAAGAGGATATAAATTACAAACACTGTTGCTTACGTTATAAAAGAAAAACAAAACTGCAAATAAAAGCGGTGAGACTTGCTAGAATAGAGAGCTTCTTTGCTAAAGGATCGTGCAGCACAATTTGTGGTGAAATATTTGCTAATAACTTATTTCTCCCCTGTTATTAGTTTACATTCATCATCTTTTTCTTCTTTTTTTTGTTTTTCTTTTCTGTTTTAACAAAACTGAGTTTTAACCAAGTCTTGGGGTACAATACTGTGTCACAAGTCTTTAACCATGTGGTAACTCAAATAAATAAATAAACAAAACTTTGAGTTACCACATGGTTAAAGACTTGTGACACAGTATTGTACCCCAAGACTTGCCCAACTCTCTCTAAACTCTCAAAGACAATTAAACGAGTTTGGGCTCACACAAATACAATAATCCATAAAATCCATAAAACCCGACTTGAGCCAAACAAAATAAAAGAGAGATTGAGTTTAGGACAGGCTTGACAGCCATCAAAACATGAAACATAGAGGAAGGAAAGAAAGGGACGATCTTAGTTGTCCATGTCCAACAAGTTTGATCCGAAATTGCAGGGATCAAAGGTAAGAGAATTCTAATATATATAGAGAATTAAAAACAAAGATTAGTTTGATATAATCTCTCATTTGTTGTCAATGTGAGAATATCAACAACAAATTAACCATCTACACCCTTGAGTTTTAGTATATGTTTTTACCTAAAAGTCTAAAACCATCAAACACAACACATAGTTCAAGATCTGAAACGTCCTAAATGTTTTGTCTTGGGCCAAACTAAAAACTATTTGGTGAATTGTATGGTTTTCCATAGAAAACTAGAAAGGAGATGATCATTGGTTCGTACCCTCCTCATTAATACTGGTCCAACTTTAGTCAACAATTTAATTGCTTATTTTATCTTCGGTTGATTTTAATAAATTTTAGGTAAAAAAAATACTAGTAAGATTTTCCTTTTTTTTTGTTTTTCCCGTCATACTAGTAAGATTTTCTGAAACTCAAATAGTCAAATGTGAAGTAAAAGAAAAATATAACAAAGTATATTCTAGTATTTCGTTTTCTTAAAAAAGCAATTAAATTGATCGGAGACCAATGGTTTTTTTACGCAGCCGGCTTTCTTTCTCGTTCTCCAAATTCGTGTATTTCCTTCATATTTTAGAAAAAAAAAATTAAAGACAAAGATTTTTCATTTTTCAAAAAATATTTTGTATTTACGTTTTTTCTTCCTCTTAACTGAGGAACAAAATAAAAGAAAATATATAAATAACGAAATTCAAAGTTCAATTCTTCTATTGAATCGTCAACTATCTGTATTCTCGTATGCTTGAGTAGTAGAAAAAAACTTACCTTTTTAAACTGGAAAAGAACTTAGAACATAATCTATATTCCAATTATCGACGTAAGGCGCCGGCGATTTCGGCGGCGTGGGAGATGAAAACTCGTAGGAAGCTCGGTGGTGATTGTGGTGGCGACGTCCTTATTTCATGGCGGAAGTTTTTCTGGTTTGTGATCCTGTTTGTCTTCTCCTTCGTTCTCTTCTCTACCATGTTCATCTTCAAAGGTAAATTTATGATCGTAACGGTTTTTTTGTGTGTGGGAATTCAAACGATTTACGTTTTTCAGAAACTGAGAAAAAAATAATTTTAGCAGGGAAGTTCCGTCCGGGGATACGTTCGACGATAAGTTTCTCAAAAGCGAGGCCGGTTCTCGGTGAGTCTGTAACGCTTTCTCCGGTAGTTTCAATTCGTGAAACGGTAAAATTACCTGAGCAAACGCTGGTTTTCCTAAAATACCCTCAGTCTCTTCAGTTATTTACCAAGGAGGATCTCGTTTGCGTTTTCTCCGCCGGTGGCAATTCGCCGAAGCATTGGAAGGAGCATCCGACGGCCGTGGACAGCGACAAATTCGGCGGACAGATCGTACGGTGCCCTGGAACGCCACATGGCTACACCATTTCGCTTGCCATCTCGAGATGGACGACGGATGATCACCTTCTCGCTGGGCCCACTCACCAGTGGGATTGGCTAGTTTACGACGCCGTGATCGACCACGATACTTCCACCGTGGTTTTCGTCAAGGGGCTGAATCTACGACCGGGAAGAGTTGCTGACGTGTCGAAATTCGAGTGCGTGTACGGCTGGGATTTCGCGAAACACAACCGGTTAATAAGATCAGACGTCATCTCAGCCGCACAAGAGATTATACGGTGTAGAACACCATTGGCTGTGTTAGACGGCCCAAAATCAGCCCATGGGCCTGTTAAAGTCTCGGTTAGAATCAAAGGAGGAGGACCCGGGATGCTTCCTTCGATAGCTCAACCGGATCGGACTCTGGGTCGGATCATTCACCCGCCAAGAAAGAAACCGTTCGAAATGTGCGTTTGCACAATGACGCGAAACGCAGCCGCGGTTTTAAGAGAGTGGGTGATGTACCATGCCGGGATCGGCGTTCAACGGTGGTTCATCTACGACAACAACAGCGACGACGACATAATCGCCGAGATCAACGATCTCGAAAGCCGTGGCTACAACATCTCGAGACATTTCTGGCCGTGGATTAAGTCTCAGGAAGCCGGATTTTCCAATTGCGCGATCCGAGCACGGAACGATTGCGATTGGATCGCGTTCATCGACGTCGACGAGTTCTTCTACATCCCCTCAGGCCAATCCTTAACTAGCGTCATCAGAAATTACACTGCCTCCGATGAGATCGGTGAAATCCGAACGCCGTGCCACAGTTTCGGCCCGTCGGGTTTAAGAAACCAGCCTCGGGATGGAGTCACGGTGGGATACACGTGTCGTGTAATATTGCCGGAGAGACACAAGAGCATACTCAGGCCGGAATCGATGAACGCGACGCTGATCAACTTGGTGCACCATTTCCATCTGAAAGACGGATTCACGTTTGCTGACGTGGATAAGAGTGTTATGGTAATTAACCACTATAAATACCAGGTTTGGGAGGTCTTCAAGGAGAAGTTTTACCGGAGAGTCGCGACTTACGTGGCGGATTGGCAGAACGAGGAGAATGTCGGGTCGAGAGATCGGGCACCCGGGTTGGGAACCCGACCCGTAGAGCCACCCGATTGGGGCGAGAGATTCTGTGAGGTTAGAGATACAGGGCTTAGAGATCAGGTGTTGGCAAAATTCAAGGATAATAAAACGCAGCTATTGAAGTGGGAAAGAGAGGAAGACGAAGTTAGAAGTAAAATGGGCTCATGGGCCCATAATACGATAGGTCGAAAGATTAGAAAAACAGCTTAGTGTTAGTCATTGTTTTGCATATTTTCTTTTGTGGAAGATACACATCGGATTTTTTTCATGTAGTTTTGGTAAATTAGTGAAGTAAATTAGGCAGTTTTAGTATAAAAATGTGAAGCAAATAAGGAAGATATGATAAACGTAAAAAGAAGAAAGAAAATCAAATGTCAAGGCCCAAGGCCCAATTAAAAAGATTAGCTGTTGGAAATCAAGATTTTCAAAAGGAAAAGAAAATCCGACCGTTGAGATAAATATTATCTTCCTCTTCCCGGAGCGTTTCCAGGACTGAAACTGAGATCTAGAACCCTAAATCCAGAAAAAAATGGTGAATGAGACACCATCGAAAGTTACTATCGATCGCTCAGGAAATGGATCGAAGGAAGCGTCGATCACGAGGCAGAAGAACAGTGAGAACGCAGAGATTTTCATCAGCCCGAGATTCAAATCGGCGGCGGCTATGGCGGGTTGGGATGAGGAGGATCTGATACTGGCTAGCTTCTTCGTAGATGATACACCTGAAAGAATCTCTTCAAAGCGGAGACGACGTTCCAATTTGTTGTTCAAAATAACCCCAACTTCTTCTGGATCAAGAAGGTAACCCAAAAATTCGATTTTCTCTTTAGCGTTCTTCGGATTTTGAGAAACTGTGAAATTTTGGGTGTATCGATACATAATTCTGAGAACTGGGTTTATTGAAATTTGTTCAATTTTGTATCTTTTTGGATTCAAGGAAGCAGCGGATCAAGCAGAGTGCTATTCCATTACCTGTTGTTGATCTTGAAAAAGTAATCAGACAAGAAGGTACTTTTTGTTATTGATCATCTCATATCACATTTACATATCTTCATCTTAAAATTAGACATAAAGTCAGTTTCGCTGACGTTTTCTGATCTGTTGTGATTGTAGAAGAGAAATCTGCAGAGAAGAAGAAAAAGAAGAAAGAGGTAAAAGGAGAAACACAAGAAGAGGAGATGAGAAAAGGAAAGGAAGAGAAGATAATTTCAGAGCAGAAGAGCTCACCTCCTGTTGTCCTTCCCTGCATAGACAAGCTTCGAGACGAACTATCTTGCGCGGTATGAATCTGAATCTTGAGACTCTTTTGTTTCTGCTAATTCCTTGATTAGTGTTCTAAAAACTCACTGTTTTTTTGCCTTTTGTTTCTACAGATTTGTCTTGAGATTTGCTTTGAACCAAGCACTACTTCTTGTGGGCACAGGTAGATACTACAACACACTCACCATACCGTAAAAAATGTATTTGTATGGTGAATTTGGTACTGAAATGTTCAATTTTGGGTCTGTGTAGCTTCTGCAAAAAGTGTTTGAGGTCTGCGGCGGATAAGTGTGGAAGGAAATGCCCTAAATGCAGGCAGCTAATAGGGTAAGTAAAATCAAATTTACTAATGAGTTTCGGATTGAAAGCTTTGAAATTTTGATCTAAGAATGCTCTCTGTCTATGCAGAAATGGAAGATATTGTACGGTTAATACGGTTCTTTGGAACACCATCCAACTTTTGTTCCCTAAAGAAGTCGAAGCACAGAGAGCTGCAGCTTCTGCTAACTTGAATGGCAAGGAAACGCCGAGTCCTAGAAACCCTAATCAGAGGCTAAGAGGAAGAAACAGAGAAACGGCGGTTCAACAAGAGAGGTTGCAAAGAGAGGACCTTTCGAGATTACTTGTGTCTGAAGAGAGAAGTGAGAGAAGGAATAATAGAGCCGCGGGTGTGAGGCTGGATCAAGATAGGGATGCTGCATTAGCGTTGCGGTTACAGCGGCAAGAATTCGCGTCTGCGTTTGGCGTAACCACCACGGCGGCAAGAGCAAGTTCTTCTTCATCGGCTTCTTCTAATCTGTCGCTGGCAAGAGCTAACCTGAGAGCTATGGCGTCAAGAGCTGTTCGACGACAAGGATGATATAATCATTTATTATAATCATCATCATCATACACTTTTCTGTGAAACTGATGGATTGACCTAGACCTGACTCGGATCTAGACAAAGCCACAACAAAATTGTTTGTGTGTAACACATTGTATTTGACACCTTTCCTACTTTTCTCCAATTTATATAATCTCTTTAGAAACCAGATGATGGATACAAAATGAGAGCTAAGATATCTGAGGTCAAGACAAACTAAAGATTCAGTAAAAATGCTAAAGTAGTCTCAATTGATTTAAGCTATATTTTTCTTAAAATCTTACCGAACCAAACACGGAAACCAACAAAAAGAAAACTGAAGTATCGAGACCTAAACAAGTTCCTAGGTTTATCTTTCGTTCTTTTAGCTTAAGTAAACGAGTTCCTAGTTGACGAATGGAAACTGCAAACAGAGATGATGAATCTGCAAATTTTATTCTATCACATACCAAAATAATTTGGCTCCACGTCCTTCTTTTCCTATAAACCACCTTTTGAAGTTCTTAAAACGAACTTTGACTTATTTAGCGTTTTATTTCAACATAGATAACACTATTCTGGCTAACCTGTACATCGAATGTCGTCATAATGGCAAGGCAAATTTACGCATTGATCTATAACGAGAGTTTTGGTCGTTTGTCTTAGGTTAGGACTATTTCGTATTTATAAAAATAGAGAAATTCTACTAAACGAGCCAATTTCCTTCTTGCCCACCATTATTTGCTATAATATTTTGTGGGACACAAATCCCACACTCAAGTATTTAGAGTGAATGAAGAGATGAGAAAGAAATAGGTATAAATCTCACAATGAACCAAACAAGAATAAGAACTAAGAACACTCAAATGGATTTATATTGATCAGAAAAGTGTTTACAAATAGAGTTCGTAATGCGATAGCTCGTAAGCGTACAAGAGGATTACGATGAGTAAAAGATGAGTAAAAGATGATCGCCTCCTTTAGCCCTAGCTGCCTTATATATCCCATCGGACTCCCAACTCCAGCGCGAATATCGTTAGCTCGTTCTCCGGATCCTTCGTGATCTTCGTCGAACGATCTCCTGGTTTTCCTCCACGTGCTCACCTTATTGTTTTGCTGGGAGCTGAGACTGAACCTTTGGGCGAACGGGCTTTCGCCAGACGAACTATAGAACGGGCCCAATAAGACCTTTTTGTGGACCAGATTTGAGTGTCAAATCTAGCTCCAACAATAGCCCCCCAGCCTATTGAGCAAAGTTATGAGCTTGATAGGCGAAAGATAGAGAAAAGGTTAAGAATGGGTTTTGGGTTTTATACTAAGTTTTTTTTTCTGAGCAGATGTTTGCTTGTGCAGCTATTCGTTTAAGTGCGAACGATAGCTAGAGGATTAGGTTTTAGACTAAGTCCTTTTGACCACGAGCAGATGTTTGCGTATGCGGTAGTTCGGTTTTGAGACGAACCAATGTTTGAGGATTAGGTTTTAGACTAAGTCCTTTTGTCCGCGAGCAGGTGTCTACGTGTGCGGTAGTTCGGTTTTGTGACGAACTAAGGTTGCGCGAACTGACGAACTCATTTGGGTTAGTCTGGCCAGACGTTTTGGAGGATCATTTGATGATCCGAGTTCGATAGAAAGGATCGTTTTAAGAGATCTTTATGTAGTGTTTGTTCGTTCGCGAGAGTTCGACTACTTGTTGGTGAACTTTGGTTTGTCGAGCTTTTGTTGGAATAGCTCGTTGGATATAACTTGTTATGCGAACTATCGGAAAACAAGATACAAGTCATATAAATGAAATTGTTTGAAAAAATGTGGTGGCTGAACTCGACGATGAGCTGCCTACGTACCCCGTCGGGGGATCAAGCCTTGACGTAGTTCGATTGTTTACGAGCTGGGCTTCGATGGATGTTTGGATCAATGCCTGGACGGCTGCTTCCTGATTCTGAGTTTTCTCAAGCAGGAGATCGAGCATCCTTCGAATTTCTGTTGTTTCGTTCGGATCGGTTCTTGTTTGTCCGAACGAATTCGTTCTAGGGCGGCGCGGCCAGTTGAAGTGCATGTGATCGTTAGATCGGCCTTCTGCTCGCACCCAGGTGTATGGGTTACCCCCGATGGAGCTGTCAGCGTTCGGGTTCAAGTTACCCGATCTGGTACGAGCTGTTGATGCGTTCGCACCGGGAGCTCGTCCTGTTGGCGCAGGTTCGCCGGTGGCTGGATCTGTTGATGCATCAGGGTTGAGATCAACGTGATCTGATTCAGATCCGGTTTGTGGTGCTCCCGTAGGAACTGCTCCGGTTGGAGCGGAATCGTTTGCTCCCGTGGGAGCTACTCTGGTAGGAGCGGACTTGTTTGCTCCCGTAGGTGCTTCTCCCGTGGGAGCGGAATTGTTTGCTCCCGTCGTGTTTGAAGGGTTTGAACCTTTCGGAGTTGACGGAAGCGTGGATCTGTGCTGTCGCGAGTGGATCCATTGGCGTTCTAACTGGCCTTACTCCGGGCTACTGAGTTAGAGATTTCTTTATCTTCCCCACAGTCGGCGCCAAAATGTGGGACAAATCCCACACTCAAGTATTTAGAGTGAATGAAGAGATGAGAAAGAAGTAGGTAGAATCTCACAATGAACCAAACAAGAATAAGAACTAGAACACTCAAATGGATTTATATTGATCAGAAAAGTGTTTACAAATAGAGTTCGTAATGCGATAGCTCGTAAGCGTACAAGAGGATTACGATGAGTAAAAGATGAGTAAAAGATGAGTATCGTTAGCTCGTTCTCCGGATCCCTCGTGATCTTCGTCGAACAACTCGGACTCGATCTCCTGGTTTTCCTCCACATGCTCACCTTATTGTTTTGCTGCGAGCTGAGACTGGATCTTTGGGCGAATGGGCTTTCGCCAGACGAACTATAGAACGGGCCCAATAAGACCTTTTTGTGGACCAGATTTGAGTGTCAAATCTAGCTCCAACATATTTCTGACTTTTAAATTCAAATTATGAATTCTGCATAAAATAGTGGCTCCCAATTGATGATCCATTGGCTCAATCCTCAGAATATTTAGAGATTAACCAAAAGAAAATAAACTTCATGTTCGAGCCTTCCACATGTCATATTGTTAAAATAATAATGTCAACAATCAAATACTATAAAGAAATGCTGCCTTGAGCAAGCTGGAGAAAAATGACTTATTATATGACTTTTTTTCCGTAAAACAAAAATGAAAAATCTTTACGCCAAAGGTCTGAGAACTTCTCTATATAAAACCCACTTTCAACAATTCATTTTCACAACAAAAACACAAACCAATTTTCTCTCACATTCATCAACTTTTACAGAAGCGCAGCGTGTTTCAACAACAAGATGGTGAAAAAGATCTTTGTTCAGATCACTGTGGTTTGTCTTGTGTTGGCGATGATGATTGCCATGGTCTCGGGTCAAGAACATGAGGAGCACCACGAAGGCGACGGCCACGACCATGCATCAGCACCTGGACCTTCCTCTAAGAAACCAAGCTCCGCCGTGTTTGTTGCCGCCGATATGTTCACCGGTTTGGCAGCTGTCGCTTTCTCTCTGGTCGCTGGTTTCATTTACTGAGTTCGTTACTCGTTATATATATTTTTTTTTTAATGACTCTTGTGAGTTGTGTCTCTTTATTTTTATTAATTTTATCTTCCTTTCTTTATATACCATATTTGTTTCTCTCTTAATTTGTTCATCAATTTTTTTTCCTTTGTATGTGTTCAAACTGTTATTATAAACAAATATCTTGTACGACGTGTCTGTTTACGTTCGTTATAAAAAAATGAACAAAAGAGAGTTGACTTTGTGCACACACAAGAAAGAGAGAGTTGACTTTTCATTAGATTACAGATATTTACTCATCAATCATTCGCGTTGTAACTAATAATTAATATTTGAATTGCTTGTGCGCAATTTTCTAGAGTTTAGTAACAATTTTTGTAACATACTTCTTGAAGAGCCGACTCAAACTGAGATTATTGGTGGCACTAAACGGATAGGTCATGATAGTTTGTTTGCATATGTTTGCGTTAGGCATTTCTTGTTAATTATGATGATTGCTCTCATAATATGGAAACGCGTACGCATGCAAATGTAAACCCATAAAGGATATGAGGTTTGCATTACGTAGTAGCTGACTGAAGCTAAAATGTGAGGTTAGGGTTTCGTCCCTTTAGATTACTAGCCTATATCGGTTACTTAAGTTTACAACGGGCAACGAAATTTGAGAACAAAAAAGAGAAGAAAAAATGGCAGGCTTTCGCCCTAAACATGTTACTCAAATATGCATTTGTACCATCTTTATTATTCGTTATTATTATACGTTTAACATATTTAATAATAGGATTCTAGTTTTGGATAATGAAAATTTAGTTTTGATCATACGTTTTATGAATTTCATAACAAAGAAACATCTTGCTTCAGTTTGAAAAGCTCATCAAGTAATGCTGATTGTTTATATTGTAACAAACTATTACACGTAAAATATAAGAAGCGGTCGGGCTAAAAGGAAAACTGAAACGAACTCTAACCAAAGTGAGATATCTTTCGATTTGACTTATACGTTCTATTGAAAATCCAAATTATAAAACCGAAAGGAAGGAAACGGAAATTTGAGATAAAGTTTATGTTTTCTTTACTTGATAGACGTCAAACCGATTAACTATAAACAAATTTGTCTCGGCCATATTACAAAATAATTTGGCTCCACGTCTCTATTTTCTGAAAACATATAAAATATAAAAATTCTTAGCATTTCAGTTATTTTAAAATTGTTCTTTTTTTGACAAATATACATAGCAGTATCTGTATTGTACAATTGTCATACCCGTTCGTCGAATGTCGTCATTATGGCAATTGCCCTATATATCATTAGTGATCTTTTGAACATAAAAGTATGTCCGAGCCTTCCACACGTCATAGTATAAAAATACCCGTGAAAGTCAGTAATCAAATACTATAAAGAATTGGTATTAAAAATAAAAATAAAAACCCACAGCAATATGGTTCAAAATTCTCTATTTAAGCGCACTTTCACCAATCTTAACATCACAACAACAACACACATATCCGAATCTTCTCGTTTCAATAAACCTATAAATCGCAGTGTTTTCAAAACAACGTCCGACAATGATGAAGAAGATCTTTGTTCAGACCACTGTGGCTTGTCTTGTGTTGGCGATGATGATTGCCATGGTCTCGGCTCAGAAACACGATGATCACGACGACCACGAGGGTCACGAAGACCACCCACCTACAGCAGCTAAATCACCAAACTCCGCCGTCATTGTTGCCGCCGATATGTTCACTGGCTTAGCCGCAGCTGCCGTGGCTCTGGTGGCTGGTTTCATCTATTGAGTTCATAACTCGTTATTTCATTTTTTTTAAATGACTTCTTCGAGTTGTGACTTTTTTTTCCATCTTCTTTTATTGTTGCCACATGTGTTGCTCTCTGAATTTGTTCAATCTTTCCTAATTTGTGTGTGTTGAAATTGTTAAAATAAAAAAACGTCGTGTGACATGTTTGTTTACGTTTGTTGTAATGAACAAACCGGTGTTTTGGAACGTGAAATTCGTTTTGTTCGTGAATCATTTACATTGTAACTACTATATCAGCAATACTTTCACAATAATATGTAAAAGTGAAAGTTATCAAACAATGTAACATATGGTTGGTGAGCCGATTAAAAGTGAAAGTGTTGGAAGTGCTCAAGATGTTAAACGAATAATGTATAACAGGTGCTAAATGCTAATTAAACTATTTATCACATTTTTTGTGCTTGTTTTAGTTACATCAAGATTCGGTTTTTATATCAGAAAAGTAAAGTACTTTTAACCGAATTAAAAATACTTGATTTGATCTCAGACCGGACTATTCGATATGATTTGGATCAAACGATCGAGAAACGGTCTAAAATGCACGTACATAGAATGTTGTCATAATGGCTAGTTCTAGTTGTAATAATATTTAGAAACTGACCCAAAAATGGCGTCATCGCATACTGTAATCAAATAGTATACGTCCGTGTATATATAATATTATAATTACATCTTGAAAAGTATATTTGTCGAAACTAGCCCGTAAATTATATTCCCTCCATTTTAAATTAGTTGTCGTTTTGGAAAAATGTACCTGCAATTATTTGGATGTATATGGATGTGTTTTGAGTTTAATACGTCCAGATAATTGCATATACATTTTCCCAACAACTAATTTGAAAGGAAGAGAATACATAACTTCACATTAATGATTAGATTCACTTATACTAGAGTTACAGTTTTTTTTCCCATAGTTCTCAATTCTCATATTACAAATTAAAGTATTTTTGTTACAAATTGTAATGTTAATTTATTCGACCTTTTCTTAATCTAGTAGTGTATAAGTTTTTCTGTTCTTTTTTATTTCTTCGAAAGAAGGCTTACGGATAAAATATGATCGTGTGTTAGCCAATGGACTTCTCTTCAAGGCAGAGAATTGCCCACCATGAACTATGAGTCGCTTTCAAAACTTGCAAATCTAATTAAAATTTTGACTTTGTTGTGGCGTTTGTAAATCCAAAATTTTGCAGCAAAAAATATTGCCTAATTGACGATGGATTAGCTCTTCCATTTCTAAAGTAAAGATGACAACTATTTTTATTTATTTTAAACTAATGTGAAAGTCAGAATATGATCAAGAATCACTTTCTTGATCCAGACGGCAAACAGATGGAGAGCACAATGCACAAAGAAATAAAATGATAAATATTTTCAAATTATCTAATAGCCTAATAGTCGCAGTAGTGATTTATAATTTTCTTTATATAAACAGTTAAACCCCTTTTCAAAAATCTAGTTTCTACAACAAAAACACATCCTCTCCTCACGTTCATCGACCGTAAGTGTAAACAAAACAACGTCGAAGAAAATGATGAAGATGACTTTGGCTTGTCTGGTGTTGGCATTGATGATCGCGATGGTCTCGGCCCAATACGACAGCGACAACGCAAACACACCAAGCTCCGCCGTCATTGTTGTCGCCGATATTTTCGCCGCTTTGGCCGTAGCTATCGTGGCTCTGGTGGCTGGTTTCATCTACTGACTCGTTCGTTATGTTTTTTTTTATTACCTGTCACTCTTTTTCACATATTTGTTTTGCGACTCTAATTTGTTTGATTGCTTCGTGCATGTTGAGAAGAACTTAAAATGATTATTTTGAACTGATGATTTGTTTTTCTGGGGGTTCTCTTGATGGATTTACGTTCATTTGTTGTCGATTTGATGTAAAATTAAAGCTCATAAAACCTAAGCATATATGATATATATTATCTGATAAAAAAATGGAACTAACCTAAACCACAAAATTTATCATAGTATCCAGGTTTGGAGCAAGCGAGCCCTTTGAAACATAAACAAAGAAAATACAAAACAAACAGCACAACAAATAAACACAACGAAACCAATTATAATTGATGTTCTTGGAGAAGTTTGAAACCGCAACAAAACTCTTCTCCAAATTTCATTTATGAAATCCCTGATTGACCCACCTGACCGACTGAATACAAATTACGGTCATTCAAACGTTTAAGGGGGTCAGGTAAGGATTTTCTGCTTAAGGAGCGGTCATGACCCGCGAGCTACAAAAGCTCAGTTTCTGTGTATTCTGCTTTTGGTACGGAAACGAAGGTCGTTTCTGTTCAACTGTGAGATCTTAAGGGTCAAAGAGATGTAGCCTAAAGCAGCTATGGCGTAGAACACTTTGTATGGAGCCAAGTCTAGTCCGGATAAGACGCAGTGGAAGCCAGCGAAGAGATAGATGTGCTGGGGACGGAGTTGGTGTCCCGCGAGAGACGGGAAAGAGCGTAAGATGCTTGACTCGGGTCTTGCGTTCAGTATCCCGTGGAAGATTACACCAACGCACAGAGCTGAGTCACCAAACCAAGGGAAGCTTTGTCCCGTTCCAATCCGCTATGAGAAAGATACCATTAAAACATCAGCCTTGGTTTTGAATCTAAGAATACTCTTATTGTGAACATGAAAAGAGTACCTGGAACCAAGCGGCAAGAGAGGGTACGAACATCAAAGCTGCAAGGAGATGCAATATTAGAAGGCCGTGCCTGTGGTTGAAGATGTCTGCTTGCGTCTCAACAAATGACTTTTCAGACAATTCCCCTGATAAGGGTTCCTGTCTGTTTGAAGGATGTCTAGTTTTACGGTCGGCTTCATTTTTCTGATCGACTGATTCCTTCCTCCTCGATGCAGTCATGATACTTCCATGAAACCAAAAAAAAAAATGACCATTAGCTACAATTGCCTCTTGCTGATTTCTGATTCATGATTTTCTTTATATGTATCTGAGTTTGGAATTTTTTCCTTTACAATATTGAAAGACAGAAAGATTGCTTACCAGCACATGGAATTATGGCAAGAGAGGGCATGAGAGGCGAGGAGAACAAAAAGACCCAAAGCCGGATGAACAAAGGACACTAAGGTAACCGCAACTAGTGTCATAACAATTGTTGTGTTGAGCTTCAGAATTCGGATTGCCTGCTTTCAAGAAACAGAAGCTCACTAACTCATTCTGATGATAATACTTAGCCAGTAGAAGATGCTAAACTAAGAGCATATGTTTTATTTGTTAAGCAAGGAGTCGGAGAAAGATGGAGCTTTTGAATTCTATTGATATTAGATGGCTTTAGGTAAAGTATAGAAGCGAAAAAGCAAACCTTTAAACAGACGAAACTGGAAGCAAGTATAGAAAACCAACGAAGAAAAGCAAGAGAATAGTTTCTTTCCAAAGCTTGGCATCTGCGTGTTCCATTGACATTTGTTCAATTATTACTGCACAGAGCTGAGTAGTTTTACATTAAACCAAAACAAATGTGATCAAAGCAAAGCCCTTACCTTGATTTAACAGTGGTGTGGACGAGGGCAGACGCTTGGAAGACAAGTTTGGAGAAAATAACTAAAACACAGATGATAGCATTGGCCAACAAGTAACAGATCAACGAGACCACTGTGAAGCTTGTGAGGGGAGGAATTGGTTGACCCACTAGGAAGGGGTAGAACAAGGAACCTAGAAGAGTGAAGGCAGCAAGAAGCAGAAATGGAGATGGAAATTCTAAGTTGTAGTCAACAGCAGACAGCAATGGTGGCACAGATAGTTTGTGGTCCCACTGATTAGCTTGCCGCATGAGAGCATACAATATAACGACAAATGAGAAGCCAACTATCTGCAATATCAGATTTTACATGAAAAAAGGTTCAGTCACTCATAAATACCTCGTATCCAGTTTATGGAGCACGCTGCTATAAGATGCCATAATTGGCATACTGTGAATGCATATCTGATGCTCAAGAGATAGGAGATAAAGCCTACCTGAGGACCGTATATAAGTACATATCTAGTGGACATGGCAGATGCAGAGACATGAACGCTTGCGGTGTATGAACAATGAGGGTCAACCTGCAAGAAGGGTCAGGAAAGAGAAAAACACATTTGAGTTTTCTGTTCCAGTGAGGATAACAGAGACTAGCTTTTTGTAAGAAACTTCTGACCAGTAGCATAACAGTCGTTTTCTCAGAACTCTGAGAACTCCGAAGAGCTGGTGAAGAATCAATAACTATCGTCTCACTGTAGAGATTTGGAAACACGTGAAGTCCAGAAGCAGAATCCCAGGCAAGGGCAACAGGTGGGAAACAACGCAATTTGCAAAGCTCTGAAAATCAACAACGTGTGGTTAATAAAGTAAAAAAAAAAAAAAGTAATGAAGATCAGAGTTGCTCAGGGGAATGACAAAATATTTAACAACTAAAAGAAAGATCTTTGGATTCAAGCAAGAGAGAGTTTTGAAAACTTACTATCCTTGTCCAAGTCTCCTGTCTCGCCATCTGGTAGACCAAAAGTGTTAATTCCACATCCAGCAGTTTTCAGTGACAGTGTTATGGGCAGTAGACCTAAGCTCATAGCAAACGAAAGATTGTACGCTAGAGGATGGTCCTCCATCAGAAATATCTCCTGCACAAAAGTAATCCACAACTGAAATCAGTTAACTACTTAACCAACGGTTTCACCATTTTTATTTCAAAACAGTGGAGATGCAAAGGAAGAGCATGGCCACTTTGAAGAATGATAACCTTTTGCCAGTAAGTGGATAAGAGCATCGACTGAGATGAGACCTCCATGGCGCCTTCTTTGGGATTAAAGAACTGCCCTACTGCCATAGAAACCGCTACAGGAGGTTTACCCGAAACTGCCTGCGAAAGGGAAGGTCTCGTTTTAGTTATACACTTTAGTCATCTGAAAACTGCTGAGATTTTGAAAGAAATCAAAGGTATCTAGGTGAGGAAAATACTTCGCGAGGCGCAACTGAGATAGTCAAGAATCTGAATCCTTGCATGTCTTCAGGGCCTAGCATCAGCACTGCAGATGGGGGAGCTTGCTCGGTCTGACTCCCTGGTTCCGACTAATGAACATACACACAAAGGTTAGTGAAAATGCTTATATGATCCTCCTTCCTCTGAAAATATGAAGTCTAGATGCGCATATGAAAAATCCAGTATATATCACCTGTTTTGGTGCGGGGCCTGCCGGAATGAGAACCATCTTTGACGTAACTTCCACAACCCTTTCACAAACCGGTTGATTTGAATTTGATTTCTCTTTCTCAGGCCATAGATGGAGTCTTACTCCAGAACAAGGCGCAAGATTTGTAACAAAGATAAAGTGGTTCTTTCCATTTGACCCCTAGAGTACAGAAAATGTGTCATGGGAGCTCGATACAGGTATAAAATAACATGCCTAAGTGATACCTATCAGCACAGACCAATAATTCTGTGTCCAACCAGCGCCTTCTCCCATCCATTGCCAAAATTGTAACAGTGCTTGTTTGTATGTACAGGTCCCTATCGAGAGCATCATCCCTCCAATCCAGGACACATGTAGAAGAAATTTGTGATTCAGAGCCTGGATAGATAGACGGCACAATGTTAAGGTCGTGCAAGAGAATAACATAGCCCTGCAAGATATATTGACACCTAATGAAATCGTTCTAGTATTTACTAATTGCCTCAAAAATTATTTCATGATAAGATACATCTAGCTTTGTATATTTGTATCACTTGACAACGTAATCAAATAGAGGCTTATAAATTCTAATCCTCAAGATCAGAAAAACTTCTAACTTCAATACATACATTTAGCGCAGAGATGGAATTAATACCCTTTGAGGCCAACATGGGCAACTCATGAGAGACTTTCATGGGTGTCATTCCATTGAAACTTTGTGCTAATGCACTTTGAAGCATTCTGGTCAAAATCCAAAGTCTCGTTTGCCTATCAGAAAATGACTGGCCACTTTTTGAGTCCACCAAACTAAGAAGCGTATGTGAAACCTGCATGAGATGCGAATCGTCAAATTCGTTGAACATGGCATTTTCCAGAATATAAACAAGGGAATGTTTACCTACTTGAACAACCAATTGGTTACACCACAGAATAGCTTGATGTTCCATTGACAGCCACACATTTTTCATGCTTGTACTACTTATCATAAAGCCATGACTTGAAGGGACAATGCCATCAAGTGACTCTAACTTCGATCTAACCTGAGGTCAAAGGGAAAATGTCTCATGAAGACATTCAAACCTCATCCTAGTGGAACTAAAATTCAAACAAAGAAAGCACCAGGGCATAAAAGAATGGAGCAAGCAACAGAATATTTTTAGACCTGATAGTCATTGTAGCCACCGGAAATCGATACAACAACAACTCCAGAGAGTAATGGGTCAGACACATAACTTCCCCCAGGGGATGTTTGCACTTCATACCCTTTTTTCCATTCTCGATTCACTTGAGCAAAGTAGTGGCCCAAGGATGGCTGCAATGCCAGAGGAGGTGATCTGGATTGAATTAGATACATAAAAACCTAACCATATTGTTTGGCGAGTAAAGTTTGTTACGCATGGAGAGAACTTACTGGTGCGGACTTGAAAGTGTTAGAATCGTTTGCACGGCTGATTTCCGCAAACAAGGATGGACTGCAGCAGCTCTGGCGACAAAACCACCCATAGAATGGCCAACCAATATCACATTATGTGGTAAGTTACTGGAGGCAGCGGCACCTTCCCTTTCTCTTGTATCATGAGACTCCTTATACTGATCTAGAATCTGCAGAAAATAAAGGGACCAAACTAAGAAATAAAACGGAGAGATAATCACTAGGAAACAAGACTTAAAGCAGTATGTTCTATTATCCTAGAGAACATTGCTTGATGAAATATGTGGAAAACAAAATACCCTATGAATGGCATATACGACATAGTCAGTGTGCTCCTCAAGTATGCGACCATCCATTGCAGAATGTTCACCTTCAAGATCCACCGCAAACCAGTCTAGTCTGTTACTGTACCGAGTAGGGAATTCATAATTTGCAGAATCCGTATCTGCACCTCCCCCAGGGAATAGAGAAGCTTCCTGGTAAAATGTGCGCTCAAATGGGCCCCCCTGAAAAGCTCTATCAGATTCTGCTGCCACAGACCTGACCTGTATGAACAACATATGAAACCTGGAGATAAGTTCCCAACAGAAGCAATGTATTTTATATTACTCAGGAGTTCCAGAAAAAGATGGCTCCATAACCACTGCCTAACATTTTAATTAAATATCGAATTATTTCATAATGGACCACTTAAGTCAAAATAAAGTTACTACAAATGAGATATATCTAGTTATCCAAATTTTAATCAAGAAACGGAGAATCCTTACCTGCTTGTAGCTACCAGCATTGCCTGGAATGAAAAGAACTGGAACTCCGCTAAGTTTACTGAGGTGTTCTTTAAAATCAATCTTCCTCCAGCCTTCATGGTAAAGATAGAGTCCATATCTTCCAGAAGTTGCATCGTCCGTCACAGAGATGGGAATGTAAGTAGGATACATGTAAGTCATAGTACAACCATTCTTTATAGGTTTTAGCAGACCAAACAGAGCCGAAATCCCAATCCATGCCGCTAAAATCACAACGCCAACTATCCTCAGCCTTGGTCGAATGCCTTGACTGTTCATAGGAAATCTTACATCCCACATTTCAACCTTGTATATGTACTTAGCAGCATGCCAAAAACCCCTGCACTTCCAAAAACCACTACCATATTAGGATTAAAGAAAAAGTTAATCAAAAATCAATCATGATAAAAACAGAGAACCAAACAAAGCATATAGCTACTAAAACGGGTATGCATAACTTTTTATAGTATCCAGTTTATTCCCACAAATGAAGAACTATAAACAGTAAAGTTGAGTCCATCTGTGAGAATATCCCAAAATAGTTAACAACCAAAAATTGAACAATAAACAGCTGAAACCAAAAGCAGTAGTAGCTTAGATCTCAAATCAGTACAGTTTTCTATGTGAAGTAAAATGAAGCAAATTACAGAAGAATATCTGAAACAATACAAATCGGGAAACAAAAGAGAAATCAACTCAAAATTAGCGCAGATAAATCTGGAAATTTGGAATCAAATGACGAAAAAAGAAAGAGCTTAAAATAGTAACAGTAGTATAGCAGAAGTGAAGAAAAGCAGTAGTAATAAATAACAAATGAAGCCATAAGGCGCAAAATGGGAACATTTATAGTTGGATCTCGCCATTAATGCGAAGCTATGAGCTTAATTTGGTAATATCGATGAGTTATATTAAGCAATTTTTTGCTCAGAATCCGTGAGGAATGATTCAGAGTCGCAGAGTCATTGATGACTGAGAACTAACCAGTGAAGAAGATGGCGAGAGATATCAGGGGATGTCCGGGGAATAACTGAACCGCCGGTTAAGATGGGATCTAAGCACGGTGCGACGGAGCTCAGGTTCTTCCCTCAAATCGAGGAGGGCGATTAAAACGGAGATGAATTCCTGCGCTAACCGGGTCCGGGTTCGGGTGCTTAATTATTGGTCGGGTTAAACTGTAACTTGTGGGCCGTATGTGTACTTTGGGCCCAATTTTATCAAATGCAGGAACACTTTATCAAACACAATTGTGTAATTTGTGTTAGATGCTGTATGACTTTTTGAAATCTCATGATATGGTTGAAAAATGAACTCGGTTACTGTGTTTTAGGGGAGTGCTTTATATTAAAATGAAAAATCCTTGTTATTCAATCATAAATTTTAAAAGATTTATTAAAATCTGATGTTATTAAACTTCTGATTTTATTTTAAATATATCACTGTTGTTTGAAGTATTTTATGTAGTGAATATTAAGAGATTTATTGTGATGTTAAGGTGTTTTAGTGAAGTTTATTAGTTAAAGATATAACAATAAAAATTTCTGTTTTTAGATGGGATTCTAGAGTGTTATGATTAAACTCATAATAATTCCCTAAATCATCCTAAATTATCCAAAAACTCATTGAAAATTAAATACTTCCAAATAATCTCAAACTCAAATCCTTGATTGAATGAATACATTGACTTTTAAGACTATAGAACTTAAAAATCAAAATGAATTCGGTTATTATAAAGTGTTATATGATTCAAAGATCAACTTGTTGGTCTGTGTTTGGTTCGGCTCGGTTTACCAAAAATCTGGACGTCCTTGATTATCAAGGCTTGATACGATGATACACAAAAGCAGGAACCTTAAGAGAAGAACGTATAATATATAGTTTAATAACATACGGGAAATACCCCGGAGACAACAATGGCTTTGAGAGTCGTGGTGACTCGACCCATCTCACACAAAAACACCTCGCTAGAAGTCTAAACTAACTCTACTCACAGAGAAAAACAACCCCTCAGCATCGCTTGCCTTCCAAGCTAAATACTGTGTGAGACAACAAAACCGGGTTAGCTTTCGGGTCCACCATTTTCTTTCCTTCCTGGAGTTTCCGGTGAACTCTAGTATGAGAACTCGTGGCCACGGAGGGAGATGTATTTCTTGACCCAGATGGCTATATCTTCTGCACAAGCCTGAGCTTGCGGAGTCCTAAGAAGCATGTCGAGCGTTGCAAACTCGTGAACCGCGTCTTTGTACTCTAGCACAGGAGCGTCTACGTTGACTTTCCTTAGCTCTTCTGAGTAAGCGATGGCTCGGTCTCTCATCCAGTCATGCTCTGCGACAATGGTCAGTGTCGGCGGCATGAACTTGAGCGGTGGGCCTCGGCCTGGAACGAGCGGGTTCGCTGCCGGGTGGTCCAAGCTGAATTCTTCTTCTGGTAAGAAAAGCTTCCACGCGAGAATGCACATGGGCTTGTCGTAGAAGTAGGAGTTTGCTTGTTTGATCTCGGACTGTGTGGGAGCGCTACCGATGAAGAACGGGTACATTAGGACTTGAGCCACAACCTTTACAGGGGCTAAATTTTGACCAGCTTCAATGGCTTTGCGGGATACATAGTCTGCTATGTTGGCACCACAGCTCACGCCAAGAAGCACACATCTGAAGTTTCAAATTTTGAAGAACTCAGTAAGATTGGTTTTCACCTGAATCACACAAAAGCAACGATCTACAGTATCTTATAAAACTATTAACATAAACTATTGCTCTGAATATTCTGCTGGGATCTTATATCTTTATCCGTGGAAGTTCTCTAAAAAACAAAAGGATCACACCTAGGAAGAAAAGTCCTTGGATCACGTGAAAGCAGTGATCATTTAAATCTGATAAAAGGTTTTGGTGTATATCAGAAAAAGAGAGCTTGCTAATCCAATTCCAAAAAGGTTCCCGGAATGGCGGAATCCAAAGGACGAATTTACATATCGAGCATGTACTAGGCTAAAGTGATCAATGAAGACCAATACAGAACCATATTCAATGCCAATGATTAAGAGATGATGCAGCAATAGAAATCCCGGAAGAAAGCAAGCTTCTTTGACAAATTTCAAGATATGAAAAGGATCTATAAAGACTATCGAGGTGAAGAATGAAGCTAAACTTAGCACCAATACCAAGAACCGATACTATATTTAATCAAACCCTTCCACAAGTAGATCATCAAGGATCAGAATGGACTTTGCATAGCATAAGAATTTGACATTTAAGGTTAGATTTTCAGCTAGAGGAACCTATGTAGATTTTCAAATTTTCATCATCCTTTCACGATGACAAAGATATATCTTTAAAACAAATTCTACACTCTCTCTCTCTCACTAGTTTCTTTCTCAGAGCTAAGTATACTATCTGAACAACAGTCAAATTTCCCTTAAAATTTCAAAATTAATGCAAATGGAAAGACATTGTTTACCTCGAGGGATCAGCATGAGTTGCGAGCCAAGGCTCAACCATGGATGCACCAAAAGCATCAACTATATGCTTATTCACTTCTGATTTCTTCACCTCTCCTCCAGGCCGCCGTGAATTTCCCATCGACTTATTACATTCAGCCAGATTCGCCTGCTTCCCCAGCCATTGCAACACCTTGAATCCGTCCTCACACCCCGCCGGGTACCGGTTCTCAGGCGCAAGCCGGTACCCGACGGCCAACACAATGACGTCGCAGTGCTTCGCCATCCTTCTGCAGAAGATATCATTGGCCACTGAGTCATTGCTTCCACTCACCCATCCACCACCGTGGAACTGCAGCATCACGGGGAGTTTTCTGAAGTGTCCAGCCGAAGACGACGCCGGTGCGTACCCTCTGTACACGTCGGAGGATCCCGAGCCGACATTCTCCGGGGAGGAGGACCCGCTGGTGTAACCGTGACTGTACCTTCTGGATTCTGACTTGTGAGACAACAACGAATTAGACGAGCCGTGGCTGTTTCTTCTTATGAGAAGATCCGATCCGGCAATGTGGTTGAGATTTCGAGCCTTACCGGAATGGTTACCGGCGGCGCTCGGTTCGAGCGGCGTGAGGGCGGATTCGGGAAGGAAAATCCGTACGGATAAGGAAGTTAACGGATCGATGTGGATGTCTTTCGTGGCGACGCCGTCGGTGAATAACGGATTCGGAGAAGCGACGGATTCCTCGGGTCGGGTCGTGACGCCGAACGGATCCGAGGAGGAGTCGTCACCGGCGGACTGAATCCGGTTCTGCAAACGGTGCTTCAAAAGGAACTTGAAGAAAACACTGTAGAGCTTCACACCCACGCTCGGCATTACCTTTTTCCGGCTCCGGAAAACTCGAATTTGGAAAGCCCCTTTTCTTTCACTTTACAGAGATTGGGGATCCATGGAACGGATAGAAGATGGTGAAGAGAGATTAAGGTGGAAATTGCATCGAATTAGGGTTTCTGGAGACTGAAGATTGCTTCAATCTGGAGCTTCGATTGAGGTGAAAGATGAGCGTAATAGAGACAAGAAGATTAGACAAACAAAATAAAAGCAAAGAAGCTTAGGTGGGAAGAGACAAGAGAGAGTGAGATTAATCAATTTTAACTTAAACCGATAATTTATTGATTTTTGGAGTTTTTATTTATTTATTTTCATTTCTATGTCGCCGCTACTCATTAATTTCAGGTTGTAAGAAATTCAATTATGTGGGCTTATTGATTGATAAGAGAGATATATCACATTTTGGACCATCGCATGCACACACTATTAGTTTTGACATTTGAGTAGTGAGCACTAAAGAACCAATTTGTATACTGTTAGTTGCAAAGTGATTTCTGAAATTGGAATTCTTTTATTCATTTTGAAGTCTTATTAAGGAAATCTCTTTCACACTTTTGTCACTGGATAAAAATTATAAAACTGTTAATATTTTTTTCTACATTTTGTAGCATAATCCCTAAAGGAAAAAAAAAATTTTGTTTGAAACACATTAATATGTAAGTAATTTATTTCAAGCTACTTTTGTTACGTTAATATATCATTTTATTGCTTTGGTTATATTTTGACGAATATGTTTTTAATCAAAATTGATGAAAACGGATTAAAGGTAACAAGTAAGAAAAACTATAATTTCATATGATAATTTTATTTTTAGAAGCACGAACGTGCGAGGACAAACATATATAAACCAAGTAATCCAAAGTGATTATGATTTATAAAATCAATTAAAAGTCCATGAGTTTTCTTGGCGCATATTTGCTTCTTCTTCGGGTGTGAAGTCGTTTTCAATGTTTAAAAATGCGCGAATCTCTTCTGAAGTTTTACCAGATATCATATCAGCGACTGTCTGAAAAGTAAGATTTAAAAGAGTTTTGATGTTTAGAAAATCGGCAGCCATAATAAGATGAAAGAGCGTCGACTGATCGATATCATTCACAAACTTAGCATCCCACTCCTTGAGCTCCGCTTCAGTCGAACCACCATCACCATTGGAGACAATGACGACATGTTTCTTGCAGTACTTGATCACCTTGGATAAGATATCACTGGTGATGTTGGTGAGAGGGATTCTGTTTTCCACGCAATTGTCTTCCATCATGTGAGCTATCACCTGCGACTGGAGAGCTACTCCTTCTTCAATTTCAAAGATTTTACCATCTGAACTTTTCAAAATAATCTTCTTCATTGACATTAATAGTTTCTTTGTGGTGAAAGTTAAGAAATGAGAATGTTAATAGTGAATGATACAAAATCATGAACCAAGTGCATCTCTTTTTATAAGTTTCTCAAGTTCAAAGATTAGGATTAATAAAAAGGTCATTCATTAATTAATCTAACTAGTCAATAGTAATTTATTATTTTCCATATGTGATCTAGATTCTTTAATAACAGTCTTTCTATAAGGAATGTTTTTTTCTTTGCTTTTTAGTTTGTATTCAACTGAGAAAGTGAATTACCAATTTCTTTGTCAAAACAAAAAGTGAGTTACCAATCTCTGTACACTAGTTTTTTTATTCAACAGGAAAGGTCAAAGAAAGTGACTTTTGGTCAGAATCTGGTTCAGGAAGCAACTCCTAATGGTTTGGAAAAAGATGATTCATTAGCTCAAGGTGGAGATTCTAAAGAAACTGAATCTAAAGAGAGCAATGAAGAATCTGGGATAAAAGAGCTTGAGGTGGAAGGCTTGGAAAAGGTTTCTAAGATATTGGGAATGGGGATCTTCGGAGATAGAGCTAAGGAAGAAGAAACTCTATCTAAGATTTATTCCAATGAAGAGAAAGAAGATTTTCCAAGTAAAGCAGTACCTGGACAAAAGCTTCAGGTTTGCTGCAAGTTTCCAAGCTTAAACTGAAGCAGGATTCAGCTCCAGGTAACTCCACTATCGACATCACACTCTCGCATGAAGAAGGAAGAAGAACATGAAAACAGGTCAGTTTTCGGAGATGTTCTTATGTCGATAGAGAAAAACAAGGTTGTTTAATGGGTTTAAGGAGTTACCTGTTGGAATCAGTTGTCATGGTGAAGAGACATTGATTCCAGGTGGAGCTGGTTGGGAGGAAAGATTCAAGAGAATACAAGTTAGTTTTCAGGAGAGTTCTTGAATCTCAGGAAATAAGGCGGGAGAGGTATAAAGGCAGAGGTAAAGGAGTTACCTAAAGTTACAGTAGCAGGAGAGAAGAGTTATTGTTCATCAAAGGCAGCTGAAAGGAGAAGATATCAAAGGGATCAGCAAAGAGTAATGAATAAATAACAAGAATAAGGTACCTATTCTAGTGTGAAGTTGAAGAAAGTGTTATTGGCTTCAGGTGGAGCTACTGTGAAAAGGAATGTGAAATTTAAAGTTATGATTTCTCAAAGTATCTGAGAAATTGGAAGAGACAAGGCGAGAAGATGACTCAAGTTAAAGAAGGTTACTTGGAGTCTTTAGAGAGTCTTGGAGAAAGCGAAGCAGATCGGTTGAATAACTGCAAGAAGAGAGTCTTAAAGTTCAAGAAGGGATTTCACAAGATTGCTGAAATTCAGAACAAAGAGACCAAAAGGAAGAGATGATATAGGTTAAAAGGGTTTACCTGTGTCATCGGGACTGTGGAAAAGCATAAGAGGGAAGCACCAGTGAAGACTGGAGAAAGGCGTGGTGAAGATGGGAGGTCACACCTGAATCACCATGGATGATAAGAGGAAGGTTGATGGTTACGATGTTGCATCGTGAAAGGAAGGAGAAGAATATGGGCCCAAGGTGGAGATTGTGAGATAATGGGCCCAATTCAAGCCCAAGTCAATATAGTCCAATTATGTGGTATTTTCTATTCTGTTTTTTGTTGGTTGTGTAACAAGAAAAAGGTAACAAAGGAAAAAGGCAACAAAGGAAAAAGGCAATGAAGGAAGGAAAGATTTCCTAAAGCTAAATGGAAATACAGAGACATCTTTGGCTATATAAGGAGGCATCCTCCTCTCATTCAGAATCATCCCAAAACACAAGAATCCCAAGCATCAGAGAGTAAGAGAAACAATAGAGAGAGAGAATAAAGAGAGAGAAAAAGAGAGTAGTCTTATTCAAGTCTTTTTCTTCTTGTATTCTTTTCTAGAGATTGTTTGTAACTCTTTGGTTAGTAATAAAGTTGTGGGAAGGATCTCACCCAAGACGGTCCCGGTTAGAGGCCGGTGATTCTCGGTTAATCAAATACCTTTGTATCTTTTACTTTTCTCAAACAAGAAGAAGGTTCATATCTAAGCAAAGGCAAAGAGTAAAAACCCTTACAATGTCATATGTCAATTAATGGAGGGCTTATACAACATGGAAGGTGAAGGAATCGACGGTTTTGGAAAATATGTGTGTTATGACTGCAACGATTAAGAATGTGAAGAGACTACTCTCTTTAAAAGCTTTGCCATATTAATGGAGGGCTGATACAACGTGGAAGGTGAAGCAATCAGACAGTTTTGGAAAACCTATGTGTATGGCTTCAATTCATATATATGATTCCTTTTAAATTTCTTCTTTTTTTAATTTTACATTAGTTTATGGCTTCGATTGATGATATGTGGTATCACAGTTGAGTTAGAAGAAATGGTATAGTTGCTGTGGAATTAACACACACCAAAAAAAGCAAAAAATTAAATTAAAAAAATTAAAAAAAAAAACGTGGAAAAAAAAAATGCTAAATCAAACTCTACAACATCCTCTTTTTCAAAACAACAGCTTTTTATATGTCAATTTTCAAAACTACACCTCTAGAATCTTAATACAGAAGAGGAGTCTGATGAATTCTACGAGCTCACCGCCGCTGATTATTTCCGCCTTGCGGCAACGAAGAAAGAAGGTAAGATGCTCTGTGGAATCTGATGAATTTGTATGGTTTCGTATACAATTTTGCTGATTGAATCCTACTGTTTTTTGTTATTGCTTGAATGGATTTCTTGCCTCTCTTGAGCTGCTAACTCAAAACTCCTATCATACTGTAAAGAAATCACATTTTTTGTTGTTTACTTCTTCTAACGTGTAAATTGCATTTACAAAAGATAAATCCTTGAAGACAAGAAAACTCCGGGAAGCAGAAGAAGCTGCTCGTCGAGCGAAGCTGACTAAGGTTCTTACTACTTTCTTCATCATTTTTGTTATGGTTTATGGTTGAAAGTAGTTTTATTTTATCTCACTGACCATTTTATGAATTGATACTATCTAGGCTGTAATGCGGGTTCGTTTTCCTGATAATCACACATTGGAGGCAACATTTCATCCCTCAGAAAAGATCCAATGCTTGATTGATCTTCTCAAAAGAGTCGTTGCCCATCCAGATACTTCTTTCTACTTGTGTATGTTTGCATTACTGTATTTCAAAGTTTACATATCTCAAGAGGGAAGAAACCTGACGGTGTTACTATGTTTTGCAGACACAACACCTCCCAAGAAGCAGATAAAAGATTTCTCGCAAGACTTCTACACCGCTGGGTTTATTCCTGGAGCAATTGTTTACTTTGCACACGATCAACCAAAAGGTTAGTTTGTGCCATTTACCTTCACACGAGACTATAGACTTCTATATTGCAATGAATTAGGGAGTGCGATCTTGTTTTAGGGACTGATAAGAAGTTTAGGATCATGCAAATACATAGGGAACAATGATCTTAGAAGGCTGGTGTGTAATGTTGAACCATAATTCAAAAACGAGCTTTACATAGTACATACTACTGAAGAAGAGTTTCCTGGGAAGAGAAATGAGTTCTTAACTTACATGTAAGAAAACTTAATGGTCTTTGCAGATGATGGTGCTAGTTCAACTCCTTATCTCAGTGAAGAGATCTTGTCACTGAAAGATTTAGAGGTGACGACCAAAGCAGAAGAACCGGTTGAGCCATCTTCAGAGCCTGACACGACCGACGCTGGTCCTGCACCGGTTGAACAAGAGCCTAAACCCGCGGAGAAGAAGAACGCAAAGCCTAAGTGGTTTAAAATGTGATTGAAAATCGCTAAACCCACAGGAGAAGAAAAATATTGCACTTTGAAATGAGACGGTTCCAGTGTGTTAGTGTCACAGTAGCAAATCTTAATTGTGTCGGTATTGGTTTAAAACGCTCGACTCATTTGGATTTTATAGGCCTAAACGTGATGTCCATCCATAATTGATAGCGTTTCTTCTTCTTCTTGTTCCAGTCTTGTGCCATGTCAGAGCATAGCCCAATCTTCTCTGCTTATGTAGATGGGTCTTACATAAAAATGAAAAAAAAAAAACTTGTTGGTTAGGCGAAATCTTAACTGTAAAAGTGAAACCTAAAAGTCGCATCTTATCTTGTGGACTATTCATCATATCCACAAGATATCTCAGCATATTCGTCATCAAACTCGTGAGGAGGGCGTGATAGATCATGGGATGCTGAAGCTCAGCCACTACAACTCTCGATCCCCCCAAATCATTACCCTTTCCATTAAATTAATATATCTTTATCCCTTTAGTGGTTTGGTTTTGCGTAATTAACTAATTATTATTCCTTCTTCTGCCGACGATTCTACTTTTTTGTCCATTATAATATAGTTACAGTCCATTTTTGAGTTCATAAAGTTATCAGTTTTTCTAAATATCTACAGCGTACGAACTATAGAGAGCTCATACTGTGACTCGACCATTACACAAACCAAAAAATTCTCCAAAACTGCTGAATTGTTTCTCTCGCTGGCAGCTAACGTCTTCCGTCGCAGGTTGAGATCGCTTCTCATCGCTCCGATCTATTTTGTTGTTTTTGATCGTTCGGATTGTAAATTTGAACCAAAAGCTTGTTCCGTGATCCGTTTGATTATTTTCCGAGTCTCGACGAAATCCGATACACGCAGTTTACTTATTATCATTTATTCGTTTTGATTTTCGCGGCTGTGTTAGTTTAAAATCATTACTCGAGGTTCGAATTGTGGATAATATCTTTCGTAAGTGTTTGGCTTCATGACTGATCAGTCGTAATTTTTTAGTAGAGAACAACGAGTCCAATTCAACTTGCAAAATCTAAAATCGTTCGAATTTTTGCAGGTTTGTGTGTTCCTCTGTTCTCTGTTCAAACGTGCTACGAAGGTTTAAACTTGCGGGAAGATGGATGCTGGGAAATGGCACGTTGAGAAGAGGTCTACTCTGAGGAACGATTCGTTTCTGAAAGAGTACGGTCAAGAATCTGAAACTGGGAGCCTCTCCATCATAGTTCTCGGTGCCTCTGGTGATCTCGCCAAGAAGAAGACTTTCCCTGCTCTTTTCAATCTGTTTCACCAGGTTTTTAACTCAACAAATTCTCACCAGGTTTATTACTCCAACGCCAACTGTTTTTTTGAAAGTTCATTTTTTTTTGTTACATGAGCGCAGGGGTTTCTTGATGAAGATGAAGTTCACATATTTGGATATGCAAGATCTAAGATTTCTGATAAGGACCTCAGAGATAAGATCCGTGGGTTAGATCATCCACCTTTCCGTTTTGTTTCAATAAAGTTCTTGATCTATTCTCTGAGTCAACAAAAGCTTATCTGATTCGATGTTGTCATGTAGATATCTTGTTGATGAGAAGAACGCATCTGAGAAAGCAGAAGCTTTGTCCAAGTTTCTACAGCTGGTTAGTCCATATTGATTAAACAACGATTGCATTTTCGTTTTTTTTTCTGTTTGTTACTGAAACACACAACTGTTGGCTTCAAATTTTATAGATTAAGTATGTGAGTGGCCCTTATGACTCTGAGGAGGGGTTCAAAAGATTAGACAAGGCAATCTCAGAGCACGAAGTCTCTAAAAAGAGCTCTGAAGGATCTTCAAGGAGATTGTTCTATCTTGCACTCCCACCATCTGTATACCCTCCTGTATGCAAGATGATCAAGGCATGGTGCACTAACAAATGTGAGTTTAATGTGTTAAATTGGCCAACGTCATTAGTTATATATAAAAGATCAACCTGTGTAAGTAACTCTCATTGAAATGGATAATCTTGCAGCTGATGTTGGTGGATGGACTCGGATCGTTGTTGAGAAGCCATTTGGAAAGGACCTGGAATCTGCAGAGCAACTGAGCTCCCAGATTGGAGAGCTGTTTGATGAATCACAGATTTATCGTATTGATCACTATCTGGGAAAGGAATTAGTCCAAAACATGGTAACACATATTGCTTCTAGTCAAAATAGTTTGTATATTTAGATTTTAGACAGACAAAGATGTCTTACCTATGCATCATTTGCAGTTGGTCCTCCGGTTTGCCAATCGGTTGTTCTTGCCACTATGGAACCGCGACAATATAGCAAACGTGCAGGTTAGAGCTTGATCTCTTAGCACAGAAATTTGCATAACACTGTTTAACGTTGAATCCACATAAAATCTCTGATGTCATTTTTGCAGATCGTTTTCAGGGAAGATTTTGGAACCGAAGGACGTGGAGGATATTTTGATGAATACGGGTAATAATTTCTCAGTTTTTTCCTTTGAATTATGATGTACGTGAAAGCAACCATATCTTTGCACTCTGATGACTTTCCACAATTTTGCATTTCAGAATCATTCGTGATATTATTCAAAACCACTTGCTTCAAGTTCTTTGCCTCGTTGCCATGGAGAAACCAATCTCTCTTAAACCCGAGCACATCCGGGATGAGAAAGTGAAGGTGATTACAGCTCTCTTGATTCATATCGCTTTAAAAATTTCTGTTCGATTAAGTCACATTTTCATTTCCAAATCTCTGTATTTTCAATCTGTTATTACCAAGTGACTGATTTTTGTAAGTGAATTTTCAGGTTCTTCAATCAGTGGTTCCTATAAAAGATGAAGAGGTGGTTCTTGGACAATACGAAGGGTATAGGGATGATCCAACTGTTCCAAATGACTCAAACACTCCAACGTTTGCCACAACTGTTCTTCGCATAAACAACGAAAGATGGGAAGGTACTGAGTCCCATTTCACTCTTCATCTTTCCACCTTCTAGGTCGAGTTTGGAAGATCGTTTAGAGGAGGATATAAATAGGGAGAAAAGAACAACGATTAGCAGTGGTTAGTGAATTGTGGATTGATTGATCTTTCAGGTGTTCCATTTATTCTGAAGGCAGGAAAGGCAATGAATTCAAAGAAGGCAGATATTCGCATTCAGTTTAAGGATGTTCCTGGTGATATATTCAAATGTATGTACCAAGACCAAATCAAACCTTTCTCAGTGATACCCCCAAAAAAAAAAATTGTTGGTATAAACTCTCATGCAATTTGCAACAGGTCAAAAGCAAGGGAGGAACGAGTTTGTTATACGCTTGCAACCTTCAGAGGCCATGTACATGAAGCTAACTGTAAGTGAATGAGGAACCAACCACTATTTACTACACTATCTTGTTCATAACTTACATACATGATGTAACTATATGAAAATATCTTAGTGTGACTAGAAAAGGAAACAGTTTTTAAGTGGTCAAACGTTTCTTACCCCAAAACTGCCATGTGTGATTCAATCAATCTGAACATTTTTGGCTTTGTTGCGCAGGTGAAGCAACCGGGTCTGGAGATGCAAACCGTGCAGAGTGAACTAGACCTATCGTACAAGCAACGGTACCAAGGTGTCGCTATTCCAGAGGCTTACGAGCGCCTAATTCTTGACACGTATGAATCTAAATTTTATAATAGGAACAATGGTTCTGTATATCAATCTCCATCCTATTAAATGACCATATTATGTATATCTCTGCAGAATCAAAGGCGACCAACAACATTTTGTTCGCAGAGACGAGTTGAAGGTAATTTACCTGAACGACTGATTAGTAACTTGACATCATTTCAAGAACAAAACTTAACTTGGTTTCAAACTTCCACAATATGATGTTGCCCATTTATCTTGATATTTTTTTGTCCATGTATATGTTTGTGATCAATGAAAAACAGGCAGCTTGGGAAATCTTCACTCCTCTGCTTCATAGGATCAGCAATGGAGAACTGAAATCGATACCATACAAACAAGGAAGCCGAGGCCCAACCGAAGCAGATCAGCTACTAACGAAAGCTGGTTACTTGCAGACCCATGGCTACATGTGGATCCCTCCTACATTGTAAATGCTATAAATTAACATGGAGATGATTGATGATGATGATGATGAGTACACACAAAATAAGAGCTTCTCTTTTTTTCTTGTTTCCTTGCTGAATAAAAATCTCATCATCAGTTTTGTAAGTGAATCTTATGTATTCTAGTGTTCTTCACTAGGACTTTGTTTTCCTCTTGTGTTCTTGGTTGTTGTCTTTTTTTTTCTACCTACAGTATATTGCAAAGCGGCTTTGTAGAAAAAAAAACTATTTTCAGTTAAGAGATCTTTAACTTTTTAATGGAGAATTGAATCTCAAGATTTTTTTTCATATCTTCTTACAAAAATTTATACGTATAGTTATGATTAAAAGTTATACATTTTGATAAGCTTTGGCCGTATATAGTATATACAGTACCTAGAATAATCTTTGTTTTTTTGTGTGTGCAAAAATAATGGTTGTGCATAATCTATGATGGTTAATGTAAAGGTAAATGGCTTAATACTTAATTACTCGGTTCATGTTATTGGTAAAGAACAAAACTGATGCCAAAATGAAAAGAATTGTAATTACTAGGTTTGATGTGTTAAGAAGTCCAAATAAATAGGATAGTTAGTAATAGTGCCTTCTGCTATGTTTTTAAAATGCATTTACTTGTTTTGGAAACTATACTAATTTTGAAATGAAAACTATATCTAAAAAAGAAAACTAGTATACAGAAACTGGTAACTCACTTTTATTTTGACCAAGAAATTGGTAATTCAATATCTCCTTTTTTTTTTTATAAAGTTGAATGCAAACTAAAAAGTAAGAAAAAACATTACATATAGAAAGACTGTTATCAAAGAATCTAGATCACATATGGAAAATAATAAATTACTTTTGACTAAGTTAGATTAATTAATGAATTGCCTTTTTAAGAAAATCTCGTTGGTTCAATAAAAATATTTAATGGAATACAGTATCTATAACAAACAAACAAAAAAAAAACTCATTTATTTTAGAAGTTATAGTTAGACACGCGCCAAATTCGCACCCTCCACAATGAAAAGCCCTAAGTCCCTTCATTGGAAACCATTCTTCTGATTTCCCGATTTAAACAACCTTCTCTCTCTCTCTCTGATTCGATCTTCTTCTTCTTCCGCTCAATCCTCTCTCTCTCTCTCCTATTTTTCTTTTCCGCTGATTTTGCGATCCCGTTCGTTAGATTATTCATCACGGTTCGTTATCATTCATTCATTCCCTCGCCGTTTTTTTGTTTGTTGGATCTATTTAGATTTTCGTCAAATTGATTGCTCTTTTACTCTCTTTTTCCCATTCCGTCCTCTCGAGAGATTCTTACTTCTCTAAATCTCCATCCCAGTTATTTAAGCTTAATCCTTTTGGTTCGTTTGATTTGGATCAGATGCGTCATTGAGCTCTGTAGAAATTCCCACTGGAAAGGAGAGTAGAAGTTTACTGTTTTGTGAAACAAGGAAGAGGAAGATGGAGATTAACTGCGACGAGCTTCTCGGAGGTTCATATTCCGATTGGGGTATGAGAAAAGCCGGCGATTACAAAGAAGTGGAATTGGGTGGATTTGGGGAAGACGATTTCCTCAATCGAATGTCGTTCTCCGGTTATCAGATTATCTACGAGACGGTGAATTGGGTTGCTAGTGGCGATGGCGCTTCGATGTGGCAGCAACAGATGGGTAACACTCTGTTCACCGATTTTGTGGGTTTTGGTGAAATCACTGGGAACAATGTGCTTAGTAGTTTGCCTGAGGATCCGTTTTGTATGAACATTAGATCGACTCTGAACACAATCTCAGATTGGTTTCATGAGAATCAGATGGATTTAGTATCAGAATCTCATGATGAGCCAATCGGTGTTGATCAGACCCTCTTCGAGAGCAATCCAATCAGCAGCGTCAAGATGAATGGTGTTGAGGGATTGGGGAAAGTGACTTTGCCTGAAGACCCGTTTTGTATGAAAGTTAGATCGACAATCTCGGATTGGTTTCATGAGAATCAGAGGGATTTGGTATCGAAGTCTCATGATGAAGCAATTGGTGTCGTCGAACAGCAAACAGGGAGCAGTGATCTTGATGATGATGGTGGTGGTGAACCTCATGTGGCGTTTGAGTTGGTTCTTCCGTATCTAGAGATGAGAGATGTGCTTGCGGTTGAAGGGGTTTGCAGGTCATTGCGTGACTCTGTTAGGAAAGAGCCTTTTTTCTGGAGCACCATTGACCTCAATGATTCCCCTCTTAAGTATAGAGTTACTGATGATTCTCTTCTGAAGTTGACGCTCCGTGCTCAAGGGAATCTTCAGTGTTTAAATCTGGGAGGCTGTGTAGGTATCACTGATAATGGCTTGATGCAAGTGCTTGCAAGCAATCCCCGTCTCACAAAGGTTAGGTTTTTAACGATATAAGTAGATTATCATGTCAGATATGTGGTTACTGGATAAATGTTTTGGGTGCAGATGTTTTTACTAACTTGTACAATTGACAAAGCCTACAAATCGTTAGATTGCAACAATTGAACCAATCTTGTTATTTGATTCTGATTGTCTGTGCAAGTGTTCTGTTTTCAATGTGTGTCAAGTCTCTGCATACTGAATCTATCTTTATTGTTCTTGGGTTTTCGATTCATAAAGTTTCTTTTTGTCCCTAACACGATGAACCTTTGAAATGTGTGTTTTGCAGCTGAGCGTATCGGGTTGTCATAGACTAAGCACAGCAGGAATGATGTCCATTTTCAGAGACTTAAAGTCCTCAGACCTTCTTGGATTGAAAAACTTAATCACTGGTGGGGCATTATACTTCACAAAGGAGCAATTTGAGGAGGTGAACTTGTTACTTGGAGCAGATGCTAATGCCGCTCCGAAATCCAGGAAGCAGAGATTCTATACATCTTGTAGATCAGAATTATCTTTGGATGATGATCGAGTTACTGATCTAGAGATATGCCCTTTGTGTGAGAAACCAAGTCTGGTATTTGATTGTGCAGCAGAGACATGTCCACTGAAGGATAATCCGTGTCCGAAATCATCGTGCAGAGCTTGCGTAGTCTGCATAGAACGTTGCCACGACTGTGGGAGTTGCTTGAATGACTGTGAACACAAGCCCTTCTGTTTTGCATTCAGCTGTATGGTCTGTTATAAGAAGAGGTCTAACCAGCTATAAGAGTTTCTTTCAAGTCAAAACCCAGGAAGACGCACGTGAATATCCAGAAGAAGAATTAAGAGTCTTGAAGTAGTATAATCAGAGTCGATGAGAAGAGCTGCAACAAAAACATGATAAGATTCAGAACTGAGAACGGGGGGTTTTGTTTTCTTCTGCTGCACCATGAACGATCTGAGGCAAACTAGATTCTGCACCGCTTTGAAGGAGGAGGCTCATAGAGAGACGAAGGAAAGACAAGAGCTTTATTTGAAAGTGAAAGCACCAGGATTCAAATGGGGAACATGAAGAACTTAGAGGAGGATAAGAGTAGGAAGATACCATTTCTTAGTGTCATTAGCTGATTGTACCGTGAAATGGAATGTGGTGACTGGTGATGATGTATTTGAGTGTGGAATTAAATTACATCGCGAATGTACCTGTTACTCAGAGTTAAATAAAGATTATATTCGAGAAATTAAATAGAAACGTAAAATTGAGTTTAGCGTAACTTCTTATTGATCAGTAGTGTACTGAGAACAAACAATAACAATATTATATGAACAACCAATAATAATATCTTTATGTCAACGCAATTTTACAAAATGGTTTCGTGGTGTAGTTGGTTATCACGTCAGTCTAACACACTGAAGGTCTCCGGTTCGAACCCGGGCGAAGCCAATTATTTTTTTTGATTTTGAAAAAAAATTTCCTCGAGCAATAATTCTTTTGGGGAGAGATTGATGGTCTCTTCAGCAATTGTGGCTAATTCTGCCAAAGTTACTCTCTCAACTTCCTCCTTGTGTTTTTTCTCAAGAATTTTCCAAATATCTGGTTAGCTTACGTTATCAGATGCATCTAAAATGGATATAACTATTTGACCAAAAATCTTGCCTGATCTCCAAGTAAAGAAGCGTGATTACTAAAGAACAAGACGACCGGATCTTGGATCATGTAATTGCCATATTATCAAAACACTTGCTATTTAGTATTTAACAAGACTTAGTTTAAAACATAAGAAAGAGGAGCTTAAGGTGAATCATAATAACATGTGCCATGTTTCGACCAGATAACATGTCCCTTGCTAGCTAAGAGCCTAAGATTTACACATGAAAGATGGAATTATTGAGTTTATTTCCGCAGAAGCAGTTGCTGTAAAACAAAAGTCACACAAAACCATTTGAAAGGAGAAAGAAAAATGTAGTAAATAATAGTCAGAACATAATTAACCTAAAAAAAGGCTCAATAGCAACTACAATTTCTCTTTTCACATTGTTCATGAGAAACAAAAGACCATCACATAATCAATTTCTCCCATCGTTCTTTTTGCCACTTAAAGCTCCTCTCCCTCACCTGCAAATACAACAAGGCCAAAAAAGTGTACTCAGATAAGTACCTAGAATCAACCTAGAAGATCAAGGTGAACTTAACTACCAAAACCAATACCAAAACCCATTACCAAACTTGGTTCAACCTAACCGAATGTACTGAAACTCATCACACAATTTAATTTCAGATACTGAATGCAATTCATCAGACTCTAAAGTCTGTAGGGTTTCCAGTCCAAAATCCATTTTCTTTCAGTATTCATAGTAGTAAAAGAGTTGAAAGAGCATACCAATGTTAGCTTAACGACCAGCGTTCAAAGAAAAGAGCATGCTTTGTCCACCAGGCAAGTAAGACACATTTGGAGACCTAGCCAGCGTAGCTGCAACCTCCCTCGAAGCCTCAATCCTCCTAAGCTCGATGAGTCCCATTCCCGCTTTAGCTGTCGCATCTGAAATCAACTGAGCAGCTTCACTCTCACCTTCAGCTCTGATAACAGCGGCTCTCCTCTCCTGATCAGCCTTCATCACCACAAACTTCGACCTCTCCGCTTCCTGCTGAGCAACTTGCTTCGCCTCCACTGCCTTCGAGAACTCCATACCGTACGATAAATGAGTGATTGCAACGTCGTCGAGCTCGATGTTGAAGTCCTTGGCACGCTTAATGAGAGAGTCACGCACAAGTGCTGACACTTGAGGACGCTCGGTGAGGAGCTGATCAGCATTGAATTGAGCCACCACTGCCTTCAAGACCTCGTTTCCAATTGAAGGAAGAACCTTCTCATCGTACTCTAGACCCAATGTTTGGAAAATCGTCGGAAGACGCGAAACCTTCACAGACGAATTATAAATGAATGAAGCTATCATAGTTAGATTGACTAAAAATCTTTTCACCATTTGACATTTCAGAACGATTCTCACACCACAAGCTTCTATAAAGGAGTAAAATTTATAGAAGAAATCAAAATTACGCATAAGAACCCTAAATAAAGAGAGCCTTTTTTTCAGAAATCCAGCTAAAGTCTTCGAGGGTTAGAGCTAAAATTCTCAACGAAATCAACATAATCTCGGGGATCTGGATGCTAAATCGACGATAGAGGAGGAGCGAAGAGCATACCTCGGGGCGAGAGAGGACACGGAGGGTGAGATTGACCATCTGGAGATCCTTGGTACCGGAGACGGAGGAGAAAGTGTGAGGCTTGGTGCGGATGTCGAAGATGTGAGGCTTCTGGAGCAACGGGATCAGGAAATGAGTCCCTTCGCCGACCGTCTGATCCAACACTCCCCTGAACCGATCGAAAAGCACGGCTCTCTCGCCACCATCGACGGTGTAGAGAGACGAGCTCACTGCCGTCGCCGCCGTTCCGAGACCGAACGCCACCTTCGCCAAATTCGTGAGGAACGAAACCGCTGCTTGTTGGCTTCCCATCTTTTCTCACCCCGATAAACCTTAGAACGAGAAGATTTGGATTTGAGAAAGAAGAAAGGGGTTTGTTAGGGTTTATGAGACGATTTTGGACGTGGAGGAGGGTTTTAGGGCCACAATATATTGTACGACCGACAATTATAAGATTTAGGCTTTTCTTAAGCCCATCATTTATTAGGCCCAGTCTAATCCTAAAAAATACTGTATTTGAGACGAAATAAAATATAGACATATAGAAAACAATATTCGAACTAACATAATCAAATTAATGATTTTAATGTAGGATAATTGTGATGATTTATGATTTTATTCTACAAGGTCAATATTGTTTCTTATAATTTTTTTTCTAACAAAATACAACTTTTCAACCGATTCATGGTAGAAAAAAAAAAGGTTTGTAAGAGATTGATAAACGGGTATATATGAAAATGCTAACAAAGTATTTATCAATTTATATAGATAGATAAATGGAGATGTCACACGGTAACCCAAGTACGTTATGGAAATGTCAAATGCATAAGTTTGAAAATGACTCGACAACAAATAATTTTTTTATCTTTTGTTTTGTTTTTGATTCAACAATTTTTAGTTTAGAAATCATCAAGCTCCCTAATTTAAGGTTTGGTATCGTTTTTTCAACACTTTGACTTGAGCCAAGTTTGTACTTGACAATATCATCCAAGTAAGTACGGCAAGGAGGCAAAATGCCAAATTTGATTACACACATTTTTTTGTCTTTTGTAAGGGAAAAAGACAATTAACTTTATATAGCTTATGTTTTTTTCATATAACCAAGTAAAATAATAAATATAATTTTTGACTAATAAAATACACACCCATTTGTTGATTTGAGGTTTGGTCCATTTGGATTGGTATTTATATGATGTACTTAGTTTTAACTAGAGCTTTTATTCGATTTGGTAACAAACAGAATAAGAAGAACAACGAAACTTCTTTTATGGTTTACAAAATCAGAAAACGTTTTATGCGTCACAAACGTATGTGTGTGGGAAAGTTATTTCTTCACACTTTCTTAAAAAACAAAGATCAAATACATTTAATATAAAAAATAATAATGTATTGATAAAAATAAAATTGTATGTGACTGTGTCAAATTCGGGTTATATATGGGCATCCAACCTAAAATCAATTGGCAATAGGTGGAGAGGCCCTAACCCTTTATATATTAGTTAATTATTTCTCCAACTTCCGATGTGGGACGACTTTCATCATTAACACCCTCCCTCACGCTCAGAGGTTATCATCTGAAGCGTGGGCAATTGTGGGAACAATATCCACAGGGTGGCCCAACATCGGGTGGCTCATCATTAACACCCCACCTCACAATCAGAGATCATCATCTGAAGCGTGGGCAATTGTGGGAACAACATCCACGGGGTGGCCCAGAATCGACTGCTCTGATACCATGTCAAATTAGGGTTAAACATGGGCATCCAACCTAAAACCAACTCGCAATAGGTGGAGAGGCCCTAACCCTTTATATATTAGTTAGTTATTTCTCCAACTTCCGATGTGGGACGACTTTCATCATTAACACCCTCCCTCACGCTCAGAGGTTATCATCTGAACCGTGGGCAATTGTGGGAATAACATCCACAGGGTGGCCCAACATCGGATGGCTCATCATTAACACCCTGTTAATGATGAAAGTCGTCCCAAATTGGAAGTTGGAAAAATAATTAACTAATATATAAAGGGTTAGGGCCTCTCCACCTATTGCCAATTGGTTTTAGGTTGGATGCCCATATATAACCCGAATTTGACATGATATCAGAGCAGTCGATTCTGGGCCACCCCGTGGATGTTGTTCCCACAATTACCCACGCTTCAGATGATGATCTCTGAGCGTGAGGTGGGGTGTTAATGATGAGCCACCCGATGTTGGGCCACCCCGTGGATGTTGTTCCCACAATTACCCACGCTTCAGAAGATGACCTCTGAGCGTGAGGGGGGTGTTAATGATGAAAGTCCCACATCGGAAGTTGGAGAAATAACTAACTAATATATAAAGGGTTAGGACCTCTCCACCTATTGCCAATTGGTTTTAGGTTGGATATCCATGTTTAACCCTAATTTGACACTATGTACAGGAACATACTCATTTTATTTTTTAACTATTCGCAAAACACTTTTTCCCCAGCTATTGTTCTCACTTTTTTTCCATAGTTATAGATTGACACGATTAGAATAGTCAACTAAACAGGAAAATGGATACGTTAAATAAAAAGATAAATGGTGAACGAAAAAAAATGCTTAATTTATTTTTCAGTTATTTGCAATTGACACCTTTTTTATCCTCTAACTAGGACCTGGGCATTTTACCCGGACCCGAAAGACCCGAACCGAACCCGACCCGAAAAAGATGGAACCGAACCGAACCGGAACCAAGACAAATACCCGATGGGTCCAAAAAATTTATACCCGAAAAACCGAACCCGAATCCGAACCGAACCGAGAACCGAATGGGTACCCGAAATATCCAAAATATAATTAGTTATTTTTTAGACTTATAATAGCTTATAATACTAAAAAATAACTAAAATTACAATTATAAATCTAATATAATAGTTATATTTAGAACAAAATAACCAAAATATTCGAAAAGTCCAAAAATATTTAGTAGAAGATGGATTATAACAAGATTTTATCGGTTATTTTGTAGGATTTTGGATATTCGGTTAAAAAAACCGATAAAAACCGACCCGAATCAGAACCGAATGAGATCCCAATAAGAACCAAAATTTGTATAAACCCGAACGGGTCCATAAAATTTAGCCCCGAACCGACCCGAACCCGACAGGAACCGAACCGAAACCGAACCGAAATTTTCCTAAACCCGAACGGGTCTAAAATTTAGCAACCCGAAAAGACCCGAACCCGAATAGAACCGACCCGAACCCGAACCGAAACCCAAACGCCCATGCCTACCTCTAACTATGCAATCTACATTTTTTTTCCCTCAACTATTTGCAATCGACTACTCAGCGAAATCTAGCTTATTATACCAGAATAACAAAATGTTAATTTGAGTCATACATTTCAGTTGCATTTCTGATTGTTGGCCGGTCAATTTCCACAGTGTCTTCGTTCGTACGTGCCGTTTGTACACTTCTATGAAATTTCCCACCCCCAAATATACTAATTGTTTTCACTTACACTTGTCAGGAGACCACAAGAACAAAAACAATGGATACTGATAAACGGTTTTAGATATGATTGTATTACTATATACATATCGGATAACATAGTTAGAAATCTTCTTGGATATATGATTCTGTAGACCCAAATACATGAAATATTGATATCTAAAAATAATTACATGTGAATCGATGGATACTGATTCAAAAAGATACGACCGGCCAAATCCATTAACATTCTAGCTATGTTTATGAATATAGTTCTTAGTATTTATCAAGGCATGCAGTCGTGACCAGAAAGAAAAAGCAAAAACAAGATCAGTAAAAATTCACAAAAGCTTTTTAAGTATAAACTAATTTCTATAAACTTTTATATTTGAATACTCGCACTCTGAACCTTAAAGCCAATTGCTTGGCCCGATCGATTAGAGATTAAAAGAAAAGTTGTTTAAACTATCTTTCTCAACTTAGTTATGAGCTTGAAAAAAACACAATAAAAGAAGACCTACAAGACTATTTTGTCCTTTAAGTAAGCATATGACTGCTTGATTTGACAGAATTGGACAGAATGCACACAGCAAGACAAAATAATTTTGTTTTATTTTCTACAAATAAAGAATTAATCTAAGTAAGAAATAACAGTAGCACTGGAAAATGGCGGAGTTTGGTGTATCCAAGATTCCCAAAAAGTAATTAACCAAAAGGAAAAGATTCCCTATTTCTTACTGATAACAAAAAAATTGCATTGGAGAATAGTGAAAATGGAGTATTTGGCTAGAATCACTTTCTGGTCGGTCAACTCCGCACATGGTGGTGAGATTGTGAGAAAACGCAGTTTTTTTCCCATGTTAATGTTGCATTGAGCTAATCACGTTATCGTCTCTATGATATTTATTAATTTGATTTACAGTTATGTAAATCTCTTTAGTCTATGATGTTTGATGTTTCCTTTTTTCTTCTATGTAATTTGTGTGTAACGACAGCTATACAAGACAGCTATATGTAATCGTGGTGTGAACTAACACATTCTAAGAATGGACCAAACCGATTCTTTCTTCATAAGGTGGATGCATGTACACAAATGAATTTAAAGCAATTTATCTGGTCTACGTACAAGCAAAGTGTATACAATTTTCACGAGTTCTTTTTTTTTTCCCCCAGGAAATTGCTATGCCAACATTTGTTAAATCATGAGTAATTTTAAAAATAATAGATTTATCGAGAGATACTAGTGCTATAGAAAAATTGCTTTCTACAGCTACGGAACTTTCATAAATAAATAAAATTGCTCTATGTTTCAAAAATGGAAAGAAATAAAATGAGAGCATGATTGGTAATTTTGGAGTGCTGCAGAGAGATATAGAGTTGTGGAGAGCAACCACAGCTCCCACCAATCATATATTGAACAGAAGCCAACTCATAAATATTCTCTCCGTGTAGTTTTGAAAGTCAGACAAATATACATCTCTCTCATCCTACTCACTAACATTCATCTATATATGTGTGTGTGTATAATTAAGGTTGAAACTTGTCAAGACCTTTTTATTGTGTCTCCCTTTCTCTCTCTCTGCCTCTTACTCTTTCTCTGCCACCATGGGAACTCAAGCTCCTGATGAAGATTCATACAATAAAGATGTTAGTCTCTCTCTTCTTGTCTCTAATTTTGTGATTAGCATGGGAGTTCTATTAAATTTACCCCTTGAAATATTAAAACCAACAAATTATTTCTTGAAATTTTTCAAAACAAAATAAAGAACGGGAGCTATGTTCCTAGCTAGGGCAAAACTAAAGTAATTGTTGTTTCGCTCTCCTTTTCTTCAGATTATCATCTTTAACTCCTCTATTTTATGCAATTCCTTAACTTAGTTTTGATTATATATATTCTCTGAAGAAAGTGCTAAGAAATCTACAAAATCGGTGTAATGTGAAAGAGAGAACGAAAAAAAATAAATTCTTATATAAAAAAGTCGTTCAATTGAAAATATTTATTTGCAACACAATTAAGACTGCATTTACTTTTACTACAAGTTAAAACCAAAGCTTGGACTTGTTTTTGTACTTATCTAAAGCTTCATGACTTATCCAACAAAGCTTTGGGAACTTCGATGACCCTTAATAAACTTTTATTACTAATTTCTGTCTTGCCCATAAGCAATATCTACTTGTTAGCCTCTTTAACTCATGTACACGGATCGGTCAACATATATAATATAACTAGAAAGAGAGAAAATAAAGTTGTGTTGATTTGATCAAATGAATAACAGATGGATGAAGAAAGAGCGAGACAAAAACAAATCGACGACTGGCTTCCCATAACGTCATCGAGAAATGCAAAGTGGTGGTACTCTGCTTTTCACAATGTCACGGCCATGGTCGGAGCTGGTGTTCTTAGCCTCCCTTACGCCATGGCTCAGCTCGGCTGGTACCACTTCTTCTTCTTCTTCCTTTTTTATCTTCGATTTGAACCTTTTAACAAATTTTCTCTTTTATAATCAACCCTGATGCAATGGTTCGAAAGCTAAGCTCACAACAACATCATAACTTGGATAACATGCAATACATTTAAACCGAACCGTTGAAGTACTAAATCAAATTTGAACTAAACCAAACCAAATCGAAAAGGATTTTGGCTATGTTTTATTTGAACTAAACTAACTAAACCAAAACCGAAATCAAGCAAAATCAAACTAAAATGGCACGTAAATGAAAGGTTCATGTGATAGATTTAAATGTTCTTCATCAAATGTAAATTAAAACCATGATAAATCTTCAATATCTCTAATTTCATATTCTAAGAGGAACCTTGAATCAAATGTCAAATATTAGATGGAATAAAACCAAAATCTACTCAAAAAGTCTTAGTCATAATTTTCTTGCTATTAATCGACCTTAAGGTAATTAAAACTATCGGTTTACAGGGGACCGGGTGTAGTAATCCTGATTTTGTCATGGATCATAACACTATACACGCTATGGCAAATGGTGGAGATGCACGAGATGGTCCCAGGGAAGCGTTTCGATCGCTACCACGAGCTTGGACAACACGCGTTTGGAGAGAAGCTCGGACTCTACATAGTCGTCCCGCAACAGCTGATCGTGGAAGTCGGCGTTTGCATCGTTTATATGGTCACAGGAGGCAAATCTCTCAAGAAATTTCATGAACTCGTCTGCGAGGATTGCAAATCAATCAAACTCACTTACTTCATCATGATCTTCGCATCCGTACACTTCGTCCTCTCTCATCTCCCTAACTTCAACTCCATCTCCGGCGTCTCTCTCGCTGCCGCCGTTATGTCTCTCAGGTAAACCATTTTTTTTTTTTCATCTAACAAAATAACCGAATCTAATTCCTTATTTTTTTCATCTTGGTCTATCTAGCTACTCCACAATCGCGTGTTCATCCTCACTAGCTAAAGGCGTTCAAGAAAACGTGGAATACGGTTACAAAGCGAAATCTACAGCAGGAACAGTATTCAACTTCTTCAGCGCGTTAGGTGAAGTAGCGTTTGCTTACGCGGGCCATAACGTTGTCCTAGAGATCCAAGCCACGATCCCTTCCACGCCTGAAAAGCCCTCGAAAGGACCTATGTGGAAAGGAGTCATCGTTGCGTACGTTGTCGTCGCATTATGTTATTTTCCGGTCGCACTTGTCGGTTATTGGGCGTTCGGAAACTCTGTTGACGACAACATTCTTGAAACACTCAAGAAACCGGCTTGGTTAATCGCGACCGCAAACATGTTTGTTGTGATCCACGTCATTGGTAGCTACCAGGTAAACTGTTTTTTTCCTGAACCGGTTTTGTATTTTAATTTTTGGTACAGATAAAAACCAGAGTTAGTAAACAGAAATTAACTCCTTTTTCAGATATATGCGATGCCGGTTTTCGATATGATGGAGACGTTATTGGTTAAGAAGATGAATTTCAAACCGAGTTGGATCCTCCGGTTTGTTGTCCGCAATTTCTACGTTGGTATGTATTAAATTAAGTGCATGTATAACTTCTTGATACATGCATGAGTAACAAACTTATGAGATTTGACTATGATTTTGCAGCCGCAACCATGTTCGTCGGTATGACGTTTCCGTTTTTCGGCGGCTTGTTGGCGTTTTTTGGTGGGTTTGCGTTTGCTCCAACAACATACTTCGTAAGCCTGCGATTACTTAAAAATGCTTTTCTTGTTTTTCTACAATTTGAAAATTCAAGAAATAAGTAACTAATTTTTTTCTTCTTCCTTTTGCAAAAGCTTCCTTGCGTAATGTGGCTTGCCATATACAAACCAAGAAGATACAGCTTGTCTTGGTGGAGCAACTGGGTAAGTACTAAAAACACAACACAGCATTTTCTTGCATTTGCGTTTGAGATCGTGTTTAGCTTTTTGCAGCTAGCGGTTGCGTTTCTTAAGAGATAAAATTGTTCTTTGTAAAAATTATTGGCGTTTTTTGTCTTTCAGATATGCATTGTATTTGGCCTTTGCTTGATGGTGCTATCGCCGATCGGGGGGCTGAGAACGATCATTATTCAAGCTAAAGAGTACAAGTTTTACTCGTAAATCACAACACAGAAGATTTGTATCATATGGTCTCTTAAACATATATATGTATATTTAGCCTTTAAAGCCTAAACTTTGTTTGTTTTTTGTATCATTTTTTTTACATAAGCTTAAAGTTTGTTACAAGTCAAAACTACATATATATAGTTTTTCTTAGAATGTCTGGATTTTGAGGTTTTGGGGCATGTGGCAAATGCCTTTTTGCTAAGTCATTAAGCACGGCTCTGCATATGCTGATAACACCAAAGAACACATTTTGTGTTGCATTTTTCGACATATGATTCATAAAAAAGTACCTACTTAGACGCTATGCCTCTTGGACGATTCATTTTAAACCGTCTCTGAACTCGAATAGATAAGTTTAGACCTGTAGGCTGGAGCAACATATATTATAAAAACCATGTCGTGTGTGGGAGCTAATTAATTAAATGACTATAAATTCACACTGTCTAGTAGGTTTGACATTTGTATGTTATGAGAGTCCGAGTCTTAATTTTTAGCTTACATTGTAAGCTATAAAGGGACAAGCATTTGATACATCTGTTGGATGCCATGAAGCCTTGCAATTTAGTGGATTTGTAAGGTTTTTTTATACACCTCCAAATATATATAATTTTTTTTACGAAAATTACGATGTTTGATTTTTGAAATTTTGGATCGTTCCCTGGAGTTACAAGAAAAGAGTTAAAATGGTATTTTCAAAAAATCGGGTGCATAGACCAAATAGCCACTTAACCAATTAGTTGGGCATGGGCATGTAGCTGATATTACCAACGATAACGTTTCGTGTTGCATTTTTCCAACATGTGATTCATAAAAAAGCTTTACCTACTTAGACGCTATTAAAAGTTAGAAGAGACCGAGTCTGAAGTTTCAACGTACGTTATCGTATCTATATTAAGATTCAAGAAACAAGCACTTGATACATCTGTTCTGTTGGATGCCATGAACTGATGAACACTTGCAATTTAGTGGATTTATTAAAGTTCGAGTTCATATTTTTCTCTATATTCACCTAGCTAGACTGATTGTATCGAGTTAATATTTGTAAGAGTTAGTAGATTTTATTAGTTTTTATCATGATAAAAACAAAATATACACACTATCTTGAGCCACCCACACTTTATTTTTTTAAATAAGTTGACATCTTCTTAACCACACAGACTAATAAAACTTTTTTTGATTTGCAGTTCTTAAATATCATTATATGGTGTTGACAAAGTCAAATCCATATCTTATATTGTTATGACAAACATTCTAATACCTCTCATCTAAACATGGCCGGCTCAATAGTTGTAACAGATCTTATATGTGTGTCTTTATTGATGTTTTAAATATTGTGTGAAGTCTAATTTATACAAAGTTGATTAGATCTTTAAACCTATAGCTTTAGGAAAAAAACATCGTAGACCCTGTACTAATGCACACCGAGTCACCGAGAACTGGTTTAGTGTTTTAGTTTAAACGGAAGTACGGAACCATAGATAGTGCATTAGGTACTGATTATATTGGCGTATAGCTCCAAATCCGCGAATCTGATCGATTTGGATAATACTATTTTACGCTCAGTTTATAAAACAAAAAAAGTCGAATATTGAAAAACTAAAAATAATATTATTTAACCTTTTTGGCAATTTTCGAATATCTTTCCTGAAAAAACAGAGCCCATAAATTCCAAATCCATAAAATACTAACGGTAGCGGCGATGACAATGACGACGGTCCACGACATCCAAACCCATCTTGGTATGACGTCACCCGCGCCTCCACTGACGTAAAACCACGTCATCTTAACGATATACAGCGGCGCCAGAACGCACCTGCAGACGCTGTACGACGCGTAAAATGGCAGCGTCACGAAACGGTGCAGTCTAACCGCCACAGGCGCGTCCGGACCACGCGCAGCCGCGAGTGTCCACGAGTTCTGGCACGCGCTGGTTGCCTCGGCGATGACGAGGAGCGCGAGGAGCGCGCATGCGCCGTGAGCGACGAGGTAGCGGCAGGTGAGGAAGACGAAGAGCACGGCGGCGTGGTGGGCGGCGAAGAGCGCGTCTCCGCCGGCGGGTGATGGAAACGCGGCGAGGTGGAGGAGATCGGCGAAGAAATAAGCGGAGCTGAAATCGAGAACGACGTTTTGGGATTGGGTGTTGCGGGAGGCGAATCCGCGGTTAGGATCGGAGATAATAACGTAGTTGGCGAGAAAAACGGCGGAGACGCCGTGGAGGAGGGAGATTAAGCAGCTGGAGGCTAAGGGACGAGACTCTGGGCTCCATCTCCGGAAAACGAACAAGTAACCGAGAAGGTAGACGAAGACGAAGATTAAGAAGAAGAATGGTAGATCTTTGAAGCTATTCGTAATTATCTCCATCACTAAAATCGCAAATATCTTGAAGCTTTTGAAGTCTATAGGCATGACTCCATATATATATATATGTAGAGAGAGAAGAGGACGATAGAGATGGTTGAGGTCTGATTAGAGAAACGAGGTTAAGGGTTGGTGAGAAACATCTAAAAGCGACGACGTTTCCGAAGATTTCCAATTCTAATCAGGTTTATGAATGGTGTCATTCACGTTTCCTATTTAAATTTGAAATATGTTGACACTTTCCTTTAAAATATTGTACTAGTACATATCTCCCAATACAATTCTATTTGTGTTTTTGTTTTCGTTTTTGGTTTGATAACTACTGAATCACACCATATCTATTATGGTCGCTATTCAACTTTGGTTGCGACACAAAAACCAAACAAAGAAAGTTTGATTTTTTAATTGTCGTGTGTTAATGTCATTCAAATGCAAGCATCGATTGTTAGTTGCTGTCTAAATCGGAAAGAGATGAAAAATATAAATTTAGTACAGAGAATCCTTATCAAGAACAAATGTAAAGATAGATTCTTACACAAACAATTGTCTTTGACTTTTTTTTTTTTTTGCTTTTTTTTTAATATCATATACTAAGGACTCCTCATGAAGTCTCGTGGCAAAAAGCTTTTAAGCGTTTGCTTCGTGTTTTTACATATTCAGACAGACACCACACGGACTTGAGTGATCCATTCCAAAACTCATACAAGAACGAGCCAGAGATTGGACCTTTTCTTAAAGGACTAAAACCTTCTTTTTTGCTTGCGTCTCTGTGTGAGTTACATGTATCTGCCCTGGCTATTGTTTTTTATACATATTATCGATATACACTTTTTTTTTTCAATCGATTTCACCTTCTTCAACGTCAGTGGCTAGGTTTGGAACAGCGGGAGCCTCTGCCTCTTCTTCATCGTCGTCTTGTTTCATGAACAATCCTAGTTGCTCGAGAGGGTTTGGAACAGCGGGAGCCTCTGCTTCTTCTTCATCTTCGTCTTGTTTCATGTACAGTCCTAGTTGCTCAAGAGGGTTACCTTCTCTGAGGTTGAAACTTCCAAGTGCGTCTAAAGGTCTCTCCGGGCTGGTTTCATCGGCCGAGCTTGGTAACTGCTCAGGTACACTCGAACTCAGCATCTCTAGGTCCTCGAGAAACCGTGAGTTCTCGTTGATCTCTACAGTTTTCTCCATCTGCAGATATAAAGACGGGTCCATCATGTGAATCCAAGAAAGAAACGACATTTAAGGTACTTTGGTGGAACATTAAAACCATCAGACCATTATACACATGTTTCTCTTCATCAAGTGCTTTTAAAGTTTGTGAATACTTCAAATCATGCAAGTCATGTGTGTTTTGCTATTTACCTTTAATAAAGCTTGGCGAGCGGCTTCTCTTTCAACTTCTCTCTTCCTCTTAGACTCGGCAGCAGCTTCTGCAGCGGCCTCTGCTTCAGCTTGGCGACGAGCATCTTCAGCTGCCTCCGCTTCAGCTTGTAGCCGTGCTCTCTCTGACAACAAAAATTGATGGTTTTCAGTTAGAAAACATAAAACTCAAAACTTGGTCTTCTAAGAAGGATCTGGAGATATAACAAATTGGGTTGCTGGGTAAATAAACAACCTTTCTTCTTCTGCAATTCGAGTTCTTCTCTTTCCTTGCGCAGCCTTTCCGGGTCTCCCTTGATACTGTTCTGTTCTCATGCAAGATCAAATTTAAGCCATATTAATTCCCAGGATCAATAGAAATGCTTCACGGAAACTGTATAGAGATAGGCTAAAGTCTTTGGCCAGCAGCTTAATACAGTTCTACAGCACTTAAAAGTTTAATGAAGATTTGCTAAATTTAAGATCAGTGCATACCTGTGGAAGTGTTTTCTCACGGGCTTTTAGAATGATATCTGCAAACCGGTTCTTCAACAGTGCAGCTCTATAGCGCTTCTCAGACGTAGCCGGAGTCTCTAATATATTTCCTGAAGCATTAAAACTGTTAGATACTCACTTTGTTGGCTCAAATAGAGAAACTCTTCTTTCTCTGCATCTCACCATCATGTTGACCATCTGATTCATCAGAACTTGGCTTTTGCTGAGAACAAATATCCATCTGATCTAGTGCACCAGCACCAGCAGATTCTGTAACGAATACACCAGAGAGACGAACTGTAAATATGTATCCAGAAAAAATCTTTAACAGTAATTTACTAATTTTGCATACAGCCACGATCACGAGCACCTATAATTCCCTACTATGGCCATTGGCCAACAATAGTTGTTCCAGGATAGAAAATGAACTAAAAACCCTCAAGCTTATAAATTCAAAAGACTTTAAAGTACTCACGACTTCTTTCAAGAGGATCACCATTTCTAGTATCTTCATCTCTCTGCGCCTCGGAATTTGCAGTTTCAGGCATCTGGAAAGTTATCAACTGCGTGGTTTAGATTCATAAATAAAAATTACATGCCTCGAGAAGCTGACGTTATAGACTATACCTTGGAAGAATCCTCTTGTATCGTGGGCTTAGCGTCATCAGATTGATCTTCAGAGCTATGAGACTCAGAATCTGAAAAGCAACACCCAAATCAGTAACACACATAATCTGTTACGGAGACAGATTCTACGGAGACCCACTAAACCCCCTATTCCATGAAAAAAAAGAGAGATTCTAGTACGGTAGTACCAAGATTATCAACTTAGTTATAGATGTTTATGTTTATTCTAATGTTCTTCAACAATACGAGAAACAGGCCGTATGGTAATCTAATAAACATATGAAATTTGATTGACAGGAAAGATATTTGGATAACAAATAAACGTATGGTAAACAAAAACGATAAAAATATAATGATATTGACATAGGAGGGAGGCAATCATATGAAGGAGTCAGCGATATATTATAACATCCATAAAGAGCCTATAACAAGAAAATCATAAGAAGGAGTTCAGGAATTGCAACTAACCACTGGAGCTCCCTGAGATAGGAGGTTCATTCCCACCGACATACTCATCAGCCAATATATTCCCTAGAAAGGACACAGAAGCAGAGCAAAAGTAAGAAAATTGGCGACCACTGACCAGTATAAACCCAGAACATAGTTTGCAAACAGAACCAGGGTTTCACCTCGTAGCAGAGAAGAATTGCTCGGTCCTGATCCATTAAGAAGCTACAACAAAAGTAATTCGCTTCTTATCAGTTAAATTGTCTGTAAAAGTTTACCCCAGCCGCAGGTGAGATAATGATTACCTCTATTTCGCATGGTTCAACATTCGACTGCTTTGCTTCTTTATCTTGGACATAATCATCTAGAAGTTTCTGAAGAGTCAGCAGTACTTCATCGCTGAGCACATCAATGTCTATCTCGATTTCGTCTTCGGCAATTTCTCCTCCATTCGAGCTGTGTTTCTTCAAAAAGTCAGTAATCTGTGCAGGAATCTCGTCCAACAGTGATTCCAGCTGTCTGCCCAGTCTATGCCTCTCCTCTGCTGTCATAAGTGGCTTCACCGGTTCTGGAGCACTCTCTCTAACGGGTGAAGTCATCTTTCTCTTCTTCGACGGAGGGACAGACATAGCAGCTTTCCTTTCGTCATTGGGTTCCATTGTTGTTGCAGGCAAAGTTTGCATGCTACACGCTGGTAACTTCTTCTCAATAGTTTTCCAGCGCGCTTCAAATAATTTACAAAGGATATCCCCCATGACGTGAACATCATGTCCTGGAGGGTTATAAGTCATTGCGTTGGTGAACGTAAGCCTCACATCAGCAGCAAACTCATGTGGGCTCGAGTACAAACCAGAAGCTAAGTTCTTCTTCACTGTCCCCAAATCCATGGGATGTTTGATGATTGTGGGGTAGTCAGGTATGTTTAGTTTCACTATATCAACTGGGGTCTGAAACACCCAAGAATGCGGATGGGACCAGAGCTTTTTCAGCAGCGTATCACATTGCTTCATGAGTGTGATGTTGGGAGGAGCACTAGCCATAGACTCTTTTGAAGACTCAAACTTCCCCGAGGAGCCACGGTTCCATCCACGAGAAGTAGTCCCAGTCTGATGCCGAACGTTCTTCCCCGGTCCCATTGCAAAATCAGATGGCTTCTTCAAGTTGCTGACTCGAGACGATAGCTTTTGCGCAGTGCTAAAACCCATCCTATCACTAGCGGACGACACGTAAGCAGGGTTCATTCTCTGCAACTCGGCGTTCTTAAGAACTATCTTCGTCTGCTCCAGCTCCAGTTTGAGCTGATGGATCAAATCTTTCCTCTCAGATAGTGACATGTTATACAAGGAAAAGACTTGTCTCTGGACACCGTAAGGATCTTCTTCATAAGAGTTCAAAGTCATACACTTTCGTGCAGGAGTGCTTGAATTCTCAGATGCGGTGACCTCAGTATCTATCTGCGCGGAGCTTCCAGAGCCCTCTGATTCATCAGGCGCATCAAAAGCATTCCGATAATACCCTCCTGGGAACGCAGCACTCTCAACCATTGCTTTGGCAATAATTTAATCCCCACTGGCTTCTAAAATTCACAATTCACCATTTACAAGAGACCTCCTGCATCACATAATCTATTCCCTTAATTAACAGAAACTAACCACAGAGACGTTCCTCTTCCCATTTCAAAAGACAAGAGATTTGCAACATTTTTTTCGCAAAATTTTCACAGGGGGCAAGAAACTTGTCATGACACAAGAACCCAGATCTAATCAATGTGAAATAAGAATGGCTAAAACACACATAATCACGAGAAAGCCCTCAAATTTCTCTAAAATGCGCTAAAATATGATTCCCTTGGCAAACCAATTTTCATTTTATCAATTTTCGGAGTCCAAAACTCGAGCCCTAGCTTGATGCCAATTCAAACGAGAACCCTGTTTTCAACTAATCATTCGAATTGGTAAAACGAAACCCACAACCAAAAAAGATTGAATTTTACCTTTTGCATCTCCTGCAGCTGAATTAGCACAGGTCTCGAATGCAAAATTTCAACCTCCTCCGAGGAAATTAGCTTCGAATCAGACGAAGACGGAGCTTGAAAATACCAATTTCAGATGCGAGCTCGTCAGGAGAGAAGCAGTATATCGGAGAAATTTCAGAAACGTTAAATTTACCGGAACCCTAGAATAAATATCGCCCCCAATTTCGGAATCCCCAAAGAACCGTGAACAATCCACACAACACGCACAGAACAGAGACGATTGAGCAACCGAACCTTGGAATCTCGAAACAAATCTGAATTCTCGAGACGAAATCGTGAGCAGAAACCCTTTGGAATTATAAATATCAGAGCTTTCGCGTGATAAAAGCTGGAGACAAAAACGAAGTCGGAGACTCAGAGAAACAGAGATAGAAAGAGGAAATGAGTTTCTCTCACTTTTTTTTTTTTAAATTATAAAACAAAGGTAACACCGACAAAAGCCTGCCTCCAAATTCTGATCTGACGGACCATATTGATTGAGGAACAAGCCGCCAGATCCATATCCAACGGTCGAGATTATCTTGTCTCCGCCAAGTTAACGACCAAATTAACGTGCGTTTCCTTTACGTGTCTTTCGTGGCAATATTTTAACGGTAGAAAAATAGCGTCACGAGCCTGTGACGTTTATTGGACAGTGAATCGTTGACTTTTCAATAATACAACTTGTGTTGTGTTATGATGTTATCTGACTTTGGTCATGTGAGACTGTGAGTTTGCGTGTAGATTAATTAAATACTGTCCTTCTCTAGAAGCCACTGGTGAGTTCACTAAGCTGGAAGAAAAACGGATAAGACTTTTTTCTTTAAATTTTAAAACGACATGGTTTTTTTATCTGAGAACAAGTAAACGATATGTATGTCTCCTTGAGACTTTGATCCCTCAGCTATCGCAAAATTTTGCCAGTGTAGTGTAATTTCAGATGTAAGTTATATTTAAAGTTTTTTTTTTTTTTTTTTTAAATACCATTAAAGTTTTTACGTAGTGGAAAGTTATTGTATGTTTATTACTTTATTTTAATGCGAGAAATTCGTAAACTATAAAAGTTGTAAATGGATGTAGCTTCAAAGTATACTCACAAGACATGCGAGTGAGGATGGTTGGGCGGAAAACAAAACAAATTTAGGGGCTAAGCCCGTTTTTACTCAGTTACAAATAGGCCCAACTTAATATATATAAACTTGATTTCAGGTTGATTTATTGTATGGTCCGACTAGAGCCTAACCATGATGTGGACTCAGTATTTGATGATTTATACAATGGACGCATACGTTCATTTACATACAGAACAATAGTACTTATTCTTAACCATGATGTGGGCACGTTGACATTCATACATTTACAATGAAGAGATCATGAAACGGAAAAGGGTATGGCGGCACCATCTTTATCATTTCAAGAACGTTAGACAGACAATCAAGTGTTACTATCTTTACTAATTTTATTAAATTTTACCAAAACAAGTGTAGTGACACTATCACTAAACAAAGCAGTTTTATGGGTTTATCAGGCTATCTTTGAAAATTGTATTCCACTTTGGCTAAAACCAAAGAAACTGTTTGAGCAAAAGAAGTTAAAAAGGAAGAGCATCACATTGTCCATAGATTCTAGTATAGTAGTATATGTTTAGCGTATCTATGGTGATGGGAACGTCAAGATTTGGTCCAACCAAGTGTGCTGGGCCAATAAGAGGCCTCCATCTATTATACCACTACTGAAAGCGATAGTACACGTGGAGCCTCTCCACGCCAATAGAACCCTACTTCAACCACACAAACAGTAGTACAGTAGTACGAGTTAATCATTAATCGATATACTTTCAGCATGTTAAGATACCATTTCTGATTCGTCTATACTCTCTACAGATGTTATGTTATCATTAGTTTTAGTCTGGTTTATATCCACTTTTGATCCTCATCGTATAGTTTAATAAGCTTTTTATTCTTCGTTAGTTCAACGAGTATCCTTTGGTTGAAAGTTCAAAAAGAACATTCTTTAAATTCACGAGTTTGAATACCGCAAAATAAAATAATAAAAACTTGAATGTATCAAAATATAAGAGTGGCTTCAAAACAAACAGCGGACATGTGAAATGCTCTGATTCGTTTTCTCTACTACCGAAAATTCCATCGCACTAGCTATTCCAACACATGCGAACACAAAAAGACTTGACATTAACGTACGGCCAGATTTAAAGCTCACTGGGACACGTGAACGACCGAACCAATCAACGGATCCTAGATAAAGATGACGTCAGCTTTGTCGGAAAGGAAATCGAAGGGGAGAAATGTGGAGACGCTGATTGGTTCTCTCTATCTTTCTCTTATCAAATGCCAAGTGTATGATTGATCTCTATGTGAGTGTTACAACTTTATATTATTCTCCCTCCCTCATTAGAACTTTTGGCTTTTTCCTTTTTTGTTTATTGTTTTCTTTGTCAACCTTTTTGTCAACCAATGAGGCTTCTCCACATGCAGGAATAAGCAGATCCCACGAAGATATTTGCTTTAGCTATATAAGTCCTTTTTAGCGATTACTTTGTCCAATTTATAAGTACCATATACATAGTTAAAATACCGTTCAAGTAGGTTTGACACCTTTGAATAGCACTATACAGAATACATTAGTATACAGCAGTATGAATGAAGCCTAAATTGTAGATTTTCCTTTAATAATATATGATCACATATACCTTTGTTCGACACATATAACTGATATGAATGCATATTAAATTAAGGAGCTGCAAGAAGGTTAATCAACAAGATGATAATAATTATATGTCGTTAAGAAACATACTTATATTTTAAAGTTAAAGAGCAAAGCCGCGAGCCTATATTCTTTTAATTTTTTTGGTAAATGTGTATTATAAGACTTGTGATTCGTAAAAAAAAAAAAAAAGTATTATGAGACTTGTGAGTCTTCTAATAGTGAAGAGACAAGTGCATTTAGAGTTTAGAGCATGATTTTTGTAAACAACATTTAGTGCCTTGTATATACAGATTTATACAAGTGTACATGAGGGTTTGTGTATGTGTGTAATGTGGGGAATCCAAAAGCTTAGTTTGCAGAATTTAATACCGAGTATGACACTCACTAGGGTCCCCATATAGTTCATGTGTTTTTGTCTCTTAACCAAATATATATTCGTACAGCTATACCAGATATGAGTTTATCAGGCTTAAGCTCACATTGTTAACAATATGCTTTAAAACTTATGATACCCAATACTTTCTTGAAGTTTTTTCACAACTTTAAAATTACGAGTGCGTATCTTATAACACACAAATCTCTTATGCGTTTTCAGACATGTCGATCAAAAATAAAAATAGAAGCCAAAATTGGTACGAAACCATACAATGGCATCTTTTTATTTAATATTTGACCATATGACATTATTACGAAATGTTCTATATATTTCCCACCTTCTCCACAACATCTCAACATTATCATCACTTGTTTCCTTCTTCAACCTTCTTAATTAATATAACTCTCACAAGTCCAAACAAAGTCGCTAAAGTGACTAAAATTGAGTGATTAGCTAAATAGCTTAATCTTATAATTCTTACCCTTTTGTTTCAGGCAGCAATCACCATCAAAGCCAGAGAGTCAGAGCAGCTGTTGTGTCTAGCCTCCATGCAAAGCCACCAAACTCCAATTTCCATACATCACACGGCACCGTTTTGGTGTATTTTGTATCCTGCCACGTGTATTGCATCCTCACCCTACACGTGAAAGCTCGATAGTTACAATACATCGCCACTGTAGACTCCTCCGCCACCAACCACACCACAACATCCGGCGACGACGATGACCCCTCACCGGAAACGGTTCTCCGGTAAGCTTCGTTAACCCACACCACGCGGTTCGAGACATCCGATACGAAAGCCGGACACGTGTCTTTACCTAGATTGTCCACCATCTCAACGTCGGTACACTTCACAGCATGGGAACTCGTACTACCGTCACATACGCCTGTGACGGCCTCCACCGTCACCCACGTCTCGACCTCCGGCGTGACGCCGCCGTTAAACATGGCCCACGTGTTGGTTTCTAGTGTTTTATCTCCGGTTATTGTTTCCATCGTCGGATCGAGGCTATCCTGATCCAACGGCATGTATTCACCGGAGAGATCGGATTTTTCCGGCAAGAGTTGCAGCGTCACGACTCCAGTTTGGTTCTGCTCGTCAGAGAAGTCAGATCTGGTCTTCCCTCGACACGTGGTTTGATTATTCTTCGAAGCCCTAACGTACTTCCGTTTGGTTCTTTTGCTCATACCGTATGATCTGCTGCTGTTATTGTTATCTCCTGCGGCGCATGGCTGCCCAGACGTCGGTTTTGGAGCGATCGGTCGGTACCGGAGCATTATAGTGTCAACGGAAACCTTTTCCTGCGCCTGATCGGCGTATCTTAGCGTTCCCAACCAGTCATCTTGATCCATTATCTGTCTCTCTCTCTCTTCTCAAACACTCTCACTCTTTCTCTCTCTCTGTCTCAATTGTCTTTCTGTGCGTCTCTCTCCGGTGAGTCGAAAAGATTATCATTCGGGGAAAATGAGGAGGAATGGTCATTCGCCACGTGGCTTTAGGGTTAGCGTAAGATACAGTTAAATCATTGGATAGTTTCTGTGCATCTCCTAATAGGGAGACTCCTGTATCATATTTTACACCATTTTTCTGTCTCTTCTTTTTTTTTGTTCTTAATCATATTTTTTCCTGTACGGTCCAACACATCTACTATTAAATTTTGACGGGAACGCAGACACACACGTTGATTGGTTGTATAGAAGCAATGTGAATATAATCAATATATGCATACACATATGTCCATATGGTAAATCTAATTTATGGTATGGTTGTTATCCAAGGCCCCTCCTCATTGTTCTTGTCCTTTTACCTGAGATTTGTATATATTATATTAATGCGTGGGGTCCTATTGAAAGCTGTTTTACCTCATTTGAAGACTCTGATTGGTCCACGAAATCTCCTACCAATCAAATTGCATTATGTGTCCTCGATTTCTCAGTTGAAAAAGCTGTTATGTCATGACTCATCGCACATTTGAATATATATATTTACATTTTATGCTTTTGTATATATTCATACTTACATATATATACATGCATGCCTACATGTGTTAGTAAACGTAATAGGAAATGTTAATGACAACGATCTTTGCAGACACAACAGTTGTAGAAGACAGAACAGTTGTAACATTAAATAATATAGTGCCTGCCTTACATTGAACAATATTTTGTGTTTTTTACTTTAACAATCCCGATATGTAAGAAAAAAAGTTCATATATAATAAACGAAAGTACTTTGGGTGAATGAACATTAGTGTGCCCTTGTTGGTTGAATTTTTTTTTTTTTTTCAAAAGCATAATATATATATTAAGAACGCTGTCACGTTATAGGATCATCCCAAAATAATTGATAATCATATGACAATACAACAACGTACGTGCCTTTAACTTGTTCACATATACAAGTACGACGATTTAACATTTTCTCCATCAATGAAGGTTTGTAGCTTCTTTTAGTTAGTTTTTGGAGTGTTTGACTAGGATATTATAGTTTGTGTAAGAATTATCAGCTGATCATTATCAATCTAAAGATACTTAATCCGAAATTTCTTGATAAGAATTACCAAAAATCTAAACTTTCTTGATACATTCTCAGGTTACTTTTGTATACATGCGTTTGGTAATAATAATTTGGGCTCATACAGTTTGACGTTGGCCCATAGGCCCAAATTAGTGAAAATAGTCGTGTGTCTAGCAGCCGCTGTGTCATCGTGGAACTCCCATTTTCTCTCCTTTCTCTTTTACTTCTTCGTTTCTCTCCTCAGTTCCAAACTGTTGTTATCCCTCGATTGTCTCCGTCGCCGATCTCGTCGCTTCATTTCCCGGTGAGATTCTCTCTATCGGTAAATTCCGTATTCGAATCCTTCGATGTTCTCTGACATTTGATTGATAGCTCATAACTATATATATATAGATATATATATATATATATATAGATATTCGTCGGATCTGTTTGTAGACTCGGATTTCTAGGGCTTGTTTCGCTTTTGTTTATTCGAATATGTTTAGTGCAATCGCATTATCACCGTTTCGTTGATTCAATTTCTTTTGTTCTTCAGCGAGTTGATTTGGTACAAGCGTTAATCAAATGGTTGGAGGAGGCATTATCCAGCAAATTCTTAGGAGGAAGCTTCACTCCCAATCAGTTGTGAGTTTTTTTCACCTCCTAGTTTTCGTTTTCCATAAATGCTATTTCGATTTGTGCGATTTCAGCTGGGGATTTAGTTTTTGCTTGTTTGGGTTCGGTGAGCAAGGCAATGATTTAAATGATTCGTCTTCCTTTGAAAAAAACGATTTTTTACCATGAAAATGTCTATTGATTTGTGTTTAGCGTCTGCTTCAATTTGTATGATGATTTGCAGAAATCTTTTGACAGTGAATTTTATGAGCATTTCACTGATTTAGCTTGCAGCGAATGTTTCTCTTAGCATTGGTTTTGTGTTATCTTGTAGGCTGCTCCGGTACTGTCGTGGTTTTCTTCGAAGAAAGCTCATGAGGACGCTGCGTCTTCTGGTGTAAGAGCACTTGCCCTCTTGGGTGCTGGTGTTACTGGACTGTTCAGTTTCTCTACAGTAGCATCTGCTGACGAGGCCGAACACGGATTGGAGTGTCCAGACTACCCTTGGCCTCATGATGGCATTCTCAGCTCATACGACCATGCTTCGTAAGTGTTTATCTACATATTGCCTTCTCTTCGTAAGATTCGTGCTGTATTAACTTATGGAGGTTTGATGTTGTATGTGAAGGATCCGTCGTGGGCATCAAGTGTATCAGCAAGTGTGTGCGTCTTGCCATTCGATGTCCCTGATCTCGTACCGAGATTTGGTTGGTGTTGCCTACACAGAGGAAGAGGCAAAGGCAATGGCAGCTGAAATCGAGGTTGTGGATGGACCTAATGATGAGGGTGAGATGTTCACCCGTCCTGGTAAGCTCAGTGACAGGTTGCCTCAACCATACTCGAATGAATCAGCTGCAAGGTTTGCTAACGGTGGAGCTTACCCTCCTGATCTAAGTCTTATCACTAAGGTCTGCTGCTTTTTTTACTTAAAACTGAATATCTGTAGCAAATTTTTGTTCGTTGGTTTCTAAATGTTCTGAATTTTCTGCCTGACAGGCTCGTCACAACGGTCAAAATTACGTCTTTGCTCTTCTGACGGGTTACCGTGACCCTCCTGCTGGAATTTCGGTAATTTCGATCTCATTTACTAAATCTTTTTGTCTTCGAATTTGAATAGCTAGTTGTGAAAGAAAAACCCGTGATAATGTTACACAGATTAGAGAGGGGTTACACTACAATCCTTATTTCCCTGGGGGAGCAATTGCTATGCCGAAAATGCTCAATGATGAAGCTGTTGAGTATGAAGATGGTGTCCCCGCCACTGAGGCTCAGGTTAGGTTTCCTCCGTTTAACATACCAGGAACATGGACAGCCTTGGTCGTCGTCATGGTATTAACTTAATACTTTTTCAATTCCGGTGCAGATGGGTAAAGATGTTGTATCATTCTTGTCTTGGGCAGCTGAACCAGAAATGGAAGAGAGGAAATTGGTAGGTTCATCTTCCTCTTTTCTCCTGTGCTTATTGCATTTCTGTTAATGCGGCAAAGTTTCAGTCAAAGTTACTAGATTTATCTGCCACTAATACATTAACAACATGTAGATATACTGCTAATACGGTTTGACATTATGCTAAGACACTTAAAACTCAGCTTCTAGATTGATAAAGCTCACATTTTACGCGGCGTTATCACGGTTAATGTTTGTTTTTACTAATTGCAGATGGGATTCAAATGGATATTCCTACTGTCTCTCGCTCTGCTCCAAGCAGCGTACTACAGGAGACTGAGATGGTCGGTTCTCAAGTCCCGCAAGCTGGTTCTCGACGTGGTGAACTAAAGTGCCGCCGCTTTAGTAAGCTTTTGCAGTTGTGGCCACCAACAGTCGTTTTTATTCAACAATGGATGTTAAAGAGGAGAGCCTTTTCTCTGGGTAATAAGTCGTATCTTCCATTTTTTTATGTGTCATAAAAGTCTTTTGATGGGACAAGTTCTCACTTGAAGGTGGTGGAAAGACCTCATCTTTCCAATATTTTTCTTTTCCGTTGATTACCATTAGAGAGCTTATGAGGATAATAACGAAAAAAAAATATTCTGCCTCATAATCAAACATGATTTTGAGATTTTTTTATACAATTTGTTTTGTTTCTTCTCCCATACCGGTCCAGTTCATCTGACCGGTTTGTTTCAATAAAGAACAAATTTGTACGCAATTTCCTTGGCATACTTTGCTTCTTTCCACTTGGGTTATGTTATCTGTCTTTGATGCTACATATTATTACTCTTTGTCAGAAGGGAGAATTATAACAGCAGAAGCTTAATACCAAATGTAACATAGGTTTCCATGTATATTACAAACAACTCTAAAACCCCAAATATAAATGTATAAAGATATTGTATAAAATATATCTACCATAATACAAAACATATGTTATCTTGTTCATAATCTATGGTTAAAACAAACAACTCTACAACCATACTATAAGTAACTTCGGTAGAAGAAAAGTATTGTGGTCTCTCTTATACTATTCAAAAACACGTGTCTAAGATTGTATGGATTTTACTAGTCAGAAAGAAAGTTCGTATTATGTACCCGCCAATAATAATTTATTATAAACTTTTTTTTTTTCTTGCTAAAACAGTGTTTTATACTTCAAAGGTTGGCAACTTAGCTTTTGTAACTTATGCTACGAACAATATGTGGCGAAAAGAAGAGGAAAAGTTACATCATCGGAAGGACATTAGCGTGCGTGGAAAATTATAAAGCCTTTAGTGTTTCAAGTCGTCCTTTTTCCAACAACGGTCAAAACATGCTTACTGGTTTCACTATCCTTTTCAGTGAAACTTCCACTTTGTGAGATTATATAATAAACACATCAGTTGTGCAAATTAAGACCAAATTAACTCAGAAGAATCATTCACATTCTCAGGGTTTAGAGAGAAAGAAAGTGAGAAAGATGGCATCTTCGAACACGATGGCCGGAGGCGATGGTCCGAACAGCTACAGCCAGCATTCAACGTATCAAGTTAATTAACTTCTTTTTTCTCCTTAAAAAAATAAACAAAATCTTGCAATTGCTATCTACTTCGGAACATTTTTATCGATATTGAAGAAGGAATTGAACATGTTCGATGTTTTTTTTTATTCGTGAAAATTCAACATTTCTGGTTGTAAGTTTTTCTAGATTTGACCAAGAAAATTAATATGGAAATACATTTTATAGATTTTTTTTTGATAAAGAGTTAATTTTATAGATCATATTAGGCCTGGGCGTTCGGGTTTCGGTTCGGGTTCGGGTCGGTTCTATTCGGGTTCGGGTCTTTTCGGGTTGCTAAATTTTAGACCCGTTCGGGTTTAGGAAAATTTCGGTTCGGTTTCGGTTCGGTTCCTGTCGGGTTCGGGTCGGTTCGGGGCTAAATTTTATGGACCCGTTCGGGTTTATACAAATTTTGGTTCTTATTGGGATCTCATTCGGTTCTGATTCGGGTCGGTTTTTATCGGTTTTTTTAACCGAATATCCAAAATCCTACAAAATAACCGATAAAATCTTGTTATAATCCATCTTCTACTAAATATTTTTGGACTTTTCGAATATTTTGGTTATTTTGTTCTAAATATAACTATTATATTAGATTTATAATTGTAATTTTAGTTATTTTTAGTATTATAAGCTATTATAAGTCTAAAAAATAACTAATATTTTGGATATATAATTATATTTTGGATATTTCGGGTACCCATTCGGTTCTCGGTTCGGTTCGGGTTCGGGTTCGGTTTTTCGGGTATAAATTTTTTGGACCCATCGGGTATTTGTCTTGGTTCCGGTTCGGTTCGGTTCCATCTTTTTCGGGTCGGGTTCGGTTCGGGTCTTTCGGGTCCGGGTAAAATGCCCAGGCCTAGATCATATGCATGTGAAAGACATATTAGTCATAAGAAAGCCCTATTCCCTAGTCTCTCTTGCAAATCTCGTAATCATCTTGTTCTATATGGTATCAGAGCAATCTTTCCTAGAAACTAATGTCTTATTTGAAGGCCTTGAATATTTATCTGATAAACATAATGTCTACTCATTGTGGAATTGATTATTGTAGAGAGCGTTGCTTGAAGTTGCGAAAGAAAAGATCAATGAAGCCATCTCCACCGAACTCGACATCAACTCGGCTTCCAATCGCTTTAACATAGCGGATTTTGGTTGTTCCACTGGACCTAACACTTTCCTCGCAGTACAAAACATAATAGATGCCGTGGAAGAAAAATATCGTAAACAACCTCAACAAATCCCGGACGATAACACTGAGTTTCATGTTTTCTTTAACGATCACTCCAACAACGATTTCAACACCCTTTTCAAAACACTCCCTCCGATCAAAAAGTACTCTGTTGCTGGAGTACCGGGCTCTTTCTTCGGCCGTGTTCTTCCTCGAGACAGTCTCCATGTTGGTCACTGTTCTTACTCACTTCACTGGTTGTCCCAAGTCCCCAAAGGGATCGCGGATCGAAGCTCTCCCGCGTGGAACAAGGACATTTATTGCACTGGATTCTCGAAAGAGGTCGCGGAAGCGTACCTTGATCAGTTCAAGATAGACTTTGGAAGTTTCTTGGAAGCAAGAGGAGAAGAATTTGTGTCCGGGGGTTTGCTATTTCTTCTTGGATCATGTTTGCCGGATGGAGTTAAAATGTCCGAAACAATGAAAGGGATGCTTTTCGATTGCATGGGAAGTTGCCTCCATGACGTAGCTAAAGAGGTAAAAAAAAAAAAAAAAAACATTGTTGGTCAAATCCGTCACTAGTGATATTTTCTTGACGTGATGGTGATTGCATACACATCTTTCAGATTTTTGGGTAATTCTCCAAAATAGTTCATTTTTAAATTTGTATTTCAAAGATAGACTGATAAGTATTTTTTTTCCAGTAACTACAGAAAATTCAACATAAAAATGTTTTCACAAAATAATTTGGTCTATTATTGGAAAAAAAAACACATAAGTATACTTTTCGTCTCTTCGAATATATACACTTTTTAAGTCAACTTTAAGATATTTCTCTAGATTTTTTTATGACACTTTTTGAGCCATATCTTTGCTTAGGGATTAATCGACCAAGAAGAGCTGGACAAATTCAATTTCCCGATTTATCCAGCACACGTAGAGGAATTCAAGAGAGTCATCGAAGACAATGGATGTTTCACAATAAAAGCGTTTGAGAGAATTAGTCATGAAAATGAAGAATATCCTTTGGACCCGAAGTTCTTGGCTACATCATACAAAGTTACGTTTGGAGGGGTTCTTGAATCGAGGTTTGGTAAAGATGCAATGGAGAAGACAATGCAGCTTATTGAGGAGAAGTGTTCAGAGATACTTCCACAACTTGCGAATGCCAAATCAGGAATGCAATATTTCATTATGCTCCAAAAGAATTGATTCCTAAGATACCACAAAAGAAAAAATAATAACGAAAAATTTGGTCGTGTTAAAGAAATAATGCATTGTTGTCTTTGTTTGTTTCTAGATTTTCATGCAGTTTGATTTCTCTTTGATTATAGTACGATATAAAAGTAATAATAATCGGCAAAATTACAGAACAGTAAACTGAAAAACTTTTACAAATTTTTCTCCAATTATTCTCCTTCGTAATAAATATCATCTAATGAACTCCAATTTTGTAACCTATCAATGTAACTATAGTACCATTACGACCTTCCTTTTTGCCTTTCCGATCAAACTCTCACCGGCTTTTGCAGAACAGCCGAGAGATACACTTGAGCATCAGCTTTCTCTCCGATAACCCATTTCAGCTTCTTATACCCAAACCTCTCTATCAAACGAGTAAGCTCTTTCTTCTTCTCCTCGCTTGCACAGAAGAAGTTATCCAGCCAGAACAACCCACCGGGCTTCAACACCCGATCAAGATCGAACATCAAGAACTCCAGCTTCTCAGCTTTACCTTCAACATCCAATCCGCTAGAGCCATGGATGAGATCCAACACATTGTCATGGAAAGGAAACCTATGATCCAAACTCAAGAACATCGGAAAAACCCCTCTCGCGGCTACGAATTCGCTAAACGGACCACCGTTGTTCAACGTGTTAGTGATCACCGTCACGTTCTTCTCCGCCATTCTCGCCGCGAACGTCCCTGATCCGCCGCTAATATCGAACCCTATCCGAATCTTCCCACTTCCCAAAGCCAACACATCGTCAATCAAGAAATCGTTCTTCCCCTTAACCTTCACAAACCTATCTTTCTCGCTACCTAAATCGAAGCAACCGACACAATCCCGGCTAAGTTTCTTACCTTTCAAGCAATCGAAGCTCTTGCAGCCGAGGCCACTCCAGTTAACACTCTTGTTACTAACGGATCTCCACAGCGAATCAGGATATCGACTCAGATCTTGCTTCGGCACCGTTTTCGCCAAGCACCGCCGTCGAGGCAACGGCTCGCATGCACGGAGGATCAGCTTTTGGCCGAGGCTCCAATCGTCGGGGCATTTGTCGAACGCTTTGTACGACATGTACTGAGAAAGCAAATCCGACGATTTTTCACACGTGTGACCGACGGATGATACCATCTCGGTGATCCCGGTGCGCGAGTCTTTGCCGAGCGGAAGCTGATGGCGCTGGAGGAATAGCTTGAGCTCGGGGACGATGTTTGGCCGAGAGAGATCGATTGATTCGTAGCCGAGGATCTGTTTCTCCATCTGAGCGAGCTTCTGTTGAGACGAATCGATCTCTCGGAGGATGAGAGAGAGGTGTTGAGAGACGAGTGAGATGTTGCTGGAATGGTGGATCGGCGAGTTGGTTTGGGAATGGGAGGAGAAGGCGTATAGTGCGAAGAGGTTGGTTGTGACGACGGAGAAGAGCATAAGGAGGTTGACGGCGGAGGAGCAAACGGTTGTTCGACGGAATCTGGCGGTTCCATCGCCGATCTTCAGCGACACAGATCCCATTTATAGCAGCTTTTTGAAAGTGAGAGAGTGTGAAAGAGAGAGAAGAGCTCAAGTTTAGATCACACTATAACTTGCATCTTCGTCGTTGCATCTGTGATTGGATCTGCACAAAGAAATTCCAGATTCGTCTTTCAAAAATTCACATTAACGAAATGGAGGAAGAAATAAAGTTTTAGTAGTACTCCGATTTCAATCAATCAGATCTATCACAAATCAACTTGAGAAATTGCGATGAACACAACAAAAATTAAAATCGATGACTGAGAAAATTTGATGAAGCTAAGACTAAGAGTTAAAAACAGAGAGCATACCGTGATTTCAGCAGAAGAGACTTTAGTGGACTTTTCACACTTCCCGGAGCTGAGATCGTCGTTACTCAAAAGAGTGAAAAAGTATCGCCGACAAGATGACTAGAGTCAACACGTGACTATGATTCTCTTTTCATGGGCCTTTATCTTGGGCTCGGCCCATATTATCAAAACTTTATTTAGATTTGTTTTATAATTAAAAAAATTCGAAACAAGGTTCGGGAAAACCACCGGCGCACATCTTTTCCCGGTAAACAGAGATACTCCGCCGGCGTTAAAGAATCGAAAACCTCAAAGCTCTCTCAATAAGATGGAACTGAGATGTCTCTTTCACTGGGTTTTTCATAAACACGAATGGCGAATAAACCTGATCATAATCTCCATCACAACCACCACCATCAATCTTCGAGGAGATTGATGCTTGTATTGTATTTCACGAGTGTTCTCGGGATAGGATTCGTCGCGGCTTTCCTTTCTCTGTCTTCTACTAATTTCTCTTTCTCCACCGTTTCTTCGATCAGGCTACCGCCGGAGATTCAGATTCCGAACATCGATTCCCGGATTGTTCAAAAGGTACATTTCAATCGATTGATTGTGTGTAATTTTGCTTTCCAGTTGAAAACGATGAATTTCTCTCTTGGATTCTCACTGTTTTCCTCACTTTCAGAGAAGCAAACAATCGAATGGTACAAAAGATCATGTCCGATTCTTATCGGCAACATTTGCCGATTTACCGGCGCCGGAATTACAATGGGAGCAAATGCCGTCCGCTCCAGTTCCTCGACTTGACGGATACTCCGTACAAATCAAAAACCTTCTCTACGTCTTCTCCGGTTACGCCAGTCTCGACTATGTAAGCACTCAATTTAAAAAATTCCTCGAAAATGTGTTAATAATTAGATTGATGATCGCTTTTTGCTTGTGCCATTTGATTATCCTCAGGTCCATTCTCATGTAGATGTGTTCAATTTCACAGACAATAAATGGTGCGAGAGATTCGACACTCCTAAAGAGATGGCGAATTCTCACCTCGGGATCGTGACGGACGGACGATACGTGTACGTGGTTTCAGGGCAGTATGGTCCTCAATGCAGAGGACCAACTTCTCGTTCCTTTGTCTTAGACTCAACCACAAAGACTTGGCTCCACTTTCCTTCACTTCCAGCTCCAAGGCAAGCTCTTTACTTATACTTGCTTCACATTTACTTGAAATCTATTATGTAAAAGCTCTATTATGATTGGTGATGCAGGTATGCTCCTGCGACTCAGATATGGAGAGGGAGGCTTCATGTGATGGGAGGAAGCAAAGAGAATCGCAACGCGGTTGCTTATGACCATTGGAGCATTGCTGTAAAAGACGGAAAAGCTCTCGACGAATGGCGGGAAGAGGTTCCAATCCCTCGAGGTGGACCACACAGGTTTTTTGATTCGTCTTTATTCACTTGACTGTTTTTGAGTCTTCCTGTGGTCGCTGACGTCGTGGTTTGTAGGGCTTGTGTAGTTGCTAACGATAAGCTGCTAGTGATCGGCGGTCAAGAAGGTGACTTCATGGCTAAACCTAACTCATCCATCTTCAAATGCTCACGTAGACGCGAGGTTCGTCCTTTTTCTCCTCCAAACCAAGAAAACTGAAATGTTCTTCTATAGATCCTTGATGCTTGGTTGCATTTCAGATCTTTAACGGTGAGGTGTACATGATGGAGGAGGAGGAGGAGAAGTGGAAAATGTTGCCACCGATGCCAAAGAACAATTCACACATTGAATCGGCGTGGATCATCGTCAACAACTCCATCGTTATCGTCGGTGGAACCACGGATTGGCATCCGGTGACCAAAAGACTTGTTCTTGTTGGAGAGATTTTCCGATTTCAAATAGACACTTTGGTCAGTCTTTTTTATACTTATCTTAACTATTTATTTGTTCCCTCTCTGTGTTAACTCTATATGTAAAAACATTTCTCAGACATGGTCGGTGATCGGACGGTTGCCGTATCGTGTGAAAACAGCGATGGCCGGATTCTGGAATGGTTACTTGTACTTCACGTCAGGGCAACGAGATAGAGGACCAGACAATCCACAGCCCGGTAAAGTTATTGGAGATATGTGGAGAACTAAGTTGATGTTTTGATACTAAATTGTTGTGTTTACTTGTGATTTTTCTTCATTGGAAAGTTAAAATTCAAAGTTCCACATATTCTGCAATAATCCATAACAGATAAATAACCATAAACCTCTGCTTCTTACAAACGTGATTTTTTTTGTTATTTGAAAATGCTTAAAACTAGAAATAAACCCACAGACTTAAAAGGATAACTGGAACCATCGTCCTTGCAAGTGTTAGGTTTGCAAGCAGATCAGGAACTTGGAGTGGGTCGGCTTTAGCGTTGTTGAGCAACTTCATCTGTAAAACCCTGAGGTTTCGTCCCATCCAAACAGAGGTTTTACCGCCACGTCTTATCAGAAGCCCGTAGGTCAATACAGTTGGGAAAGAAAAATGATGCGTCGATGAGTATCCACTGTAGTTGAGGTTTTGCTTCAAGTCTCGAACCGCAGCCAAGATTTGTGGAATGTCTTCGGACTTTATGGCCTTTTCTACACGTGTCACTCTTCCACTGATCTCTTTGATCATCACCTGGTGATCGGTGACACATTTTTGAGCATCAGATCTAGCTGAGGACGCACTCCAGTTCCTAGTGAACGATTCGCTTTCAGTTTCTTTGTTCTTCTTTTCATCTTCAACACCTCCAACAAACGATCTCAAGCTACTGCAGCGATATAAACATGTAGCGGTCCTTCTCGTACAAATCTGAATTTGCACATGTGTCAGACAATCTTAATTAGGTTTGCCAAAACGTTTACGTGACCTTGAAATAATAAAGAGTAAAAGAAACCAGGCGATCTACAATCCTAAATCTCTATTGTGTGTGTGTGTGTGTGTGTCTTATTTAACGATAATGAAATTGAATTGATTATGATCTCTGTGTAAAATACCTTAGAGGAGGAGTGTATGATACCACGCAGCATGTTTTCCCTATTTCGTCTCCAAAATTGCAATACTGTAATCCCTCAGAATTAGAAGATCTCTAGGGTTTATTGTTTCTGGAGATTTCTTAACACAACGTTTTGGTTTATATTCCACGTAAACGTATTGGGCCTAAATTGCATTCTTTTTTTTTTTTTTGAACTTAATCCAAAGGTTTAGGCTCAATTTTAAAATAAAAAGGTTTTTTTTTTTTTTTAAATTATTTATTAGCAAACTAAGGAACCTATCTTTCATTTCACCTTTTGATCATTTTTTTTTTCTGTACATTTGTTTTTGGGAAATTGAAGTATATGACAATATTTGGTGGTATAATTAACTCACTAGCAATAGCGAAGGCATGGCTAGAATATGCCTTGTATTTTCTGACTTATTCCCAACTAGTATTATCCCGTGCTATATGCACGTAAATAAAAAATTTACTATTAGAATTTATAATAGTAAATAAAAAATTTCCTTCAAAATGAATATACATGTTAGAAAGTAACAAAGTCTGAATACAGAAAATGTGAAAACTATTGAGGCGGATACAATTTAGAAGAGTAGAAAACTAAATCATGGGGAATATACATAGCTAAAGCATGAGCTACTTCATTATTAATTCTCTTCGTGTATTGAAAATTACAAACAATGAATTTCTTCTTCCATATCTTCTTCCATTGCTGAAGATTGCTGCATTGCCATCAAGAGGAGAATTTGGTGGAACCAAGTGTTGTGGAACCCCATGTATGTGGCGAAGAGTCACAATTTTGGACAATCCATTCTGAAGTAGATTGAAAGGTAGTATGATCAAACCCAACATCAAAATTGCACTTTGCAAAACCCACACAAGGACACTGCTACGACAAAACCTGTGGAGCATAATGAGATCTAATCAACACAGTTTAATACTTTAATGTTATGTATTAAACATATGCTTAGAAGTTAGAATTCACTCACACACACGAAAATGCTTCTACTTTTCACTTCCAAATGCCAAAAAAAAAAATCGATTGCATCAGAGAAACTGAAATCAAATATCAAAAGAGTTATGCATATTGCATAAAAAATCATGGAACTTGAAATTAAATTCAAAATAGAACCTGGAATGAAGTAGAAGAAAACCCAGAAAATCGAGAAGCTTCATCTTGTAGCAGTTGCAGCAGTACCTGTAATTAATTTCAGACAAACAATCCTAATTACATTCAAACGAATAATCCCATATCTGCAATTGATAAAAATAACCTGAAAATAAAAACTTAAAATCTGATTTAAGAAAATACACATAAATCGAATATATAAGGATTACCTGTTTGAGAATGCTAGATCTAACTTCCCTTTGCAGATTTCATATGAATAATATGATATGGAGTGGAGAAGTTAGATTTTGAAATCGTGGTCGACAGAGAAAGGAAAAAACCCAAAATATAGAGATGTGAGATACCTGATTAAAGAAGAAGAGACTTGATTCATGGATTTGGTCCGAACAAATTTTCAAAAGAGGAAGATGAATTTCGAGATTTAGAAAAATAAAACACAAAAGTTGAAGATGAATCCATTTAGGCGGTTTTTGTATCTGCAGAGTAATAGTGGATTTCAAAGATCGTGATGTAGCGGTTTAGGAGATCGTGGTATTTGGAAAAGAAAATGAATTATCATGAAAAAAAAATAAAAAATGGAAAATAAACAAAACTGAAAAAGCAACGAATAAAACAAAAATTAAGAAACAGTAACATCCGTTTTTTCTCTCTTCTCTCTCCTGCGATGGAGAAGACGATTCAGTTTTGGTTTCTCAACCATCTACTTTATCTCCTCTTTTCTTCGAGGATGATTCCAATCAACGCTGGAGTGAATCAAATTTTCGATGCTATCTACCCAGCGGCTATCTCCGTTGTACCAATCGTGGCCCACAACGATGAAAAGTTTCTCCCGAGGGTTTGCATTTTCTGCAATCAATCCATAAATCTCTGGTATTATGAAAAACGGATTACAACCAATCCTTCCTTCACTCAAGCGTTTGAAAGGGTGACTATCCCCTCTCAATTTCAGAAATTTTCTTTGCTTGATGAAGGATGGATTTCCCGTTGTTGTGATTCAGTTTCTGTTGGTTCAAGTTTACTTTTTTCTAGTGATTTGTTGGTGTCTTTGATGTATTTATATCAAATTATAACTACATTGCTGTGGAAACAAACTCCATGGAAACCACCATGGAGAAGACAACAAATCGGAGTTGAAGATGCATCCTCTATGTTGTATGGCGATGTATTTAGAATCGTTGAAAATTGGCAGTCTCAAATTCTATTTCTATTTCTATCGATAGAATCAGTAGATTGGGTTCTTTATGGAAGAATATTTTTAGATCTAATTTGGGAATTGGCCAATGTTATACAACATAAGGATTTGGTGATAGCCAAAGATAAAGATCGCATAATTTTAAATGCGAATGTGAAGAAAGAAGATTACAGAGTGTGCTCTGTAAACAGGCAATTGTTGTGTACAGCCATTGCCGTCATGTACTTTTTCTTTCCTTTTCTGTTTTTTAGTAATTTATTTACGTGTAATTTTATTATTTTCTGCATCTTTTATGTAACCGTAAATTTTATTTTATAAATAAAGTCAGATGTTAAAAAAAAAAAAAACAAAATTAAAAAATTAAATAAAACAAAATTTGAAAGGACACGTGTCAGATGGATAGACCATTAGGTGACTTCTGTTTTATTAGTATTAGATTTGAAAGGACACGTGTCAGATGGATAGACCATTAGGTAACTACTGTTTTATTAGTATTAGATCTAGTCCTTTCATCCGACAATTTAATTTTTTTTTTGAAAATTAGGTTACTTTTTTCGTAAATGGGTTTCTCTCTCAGACTCTCACTCTTTTGAAAACTAAAAATCCAGCCACCAACTAAACTTTTTCAGATCCGCCGCTCGGTCCTTCTCGTCACCGTCAAGGAAGTGTTTCTTCTCCTTCATCATTTCTTCTTTCCGCTCTTTGCGTCGTCCTCTGGTGGCTCTCTTTCCGGCGGCGTTGCTTCTTCAGCTTTTTAGTCTTTGTTTGGATTCGGTGGTGTCGTTCTCCGGCGTTCCTGCGTGGTGGCTTGACTCGAGGAGGAGTGTGGCATCATGGTGAGGTTTCCGGTGTTCTCTCCGCCTCAACTTTCGTTTGCCCGGCGGCTTTCGGCGGAGGTCTTCGGTGGCGGTGTGGTTCCGAGTAGATCTACGGGTGTGCGTCTTGGATTCCTCGAGGATGGATCTCCGGCGCCAGCGCTTCAGATCTGCGGCTTCCTCTTCAGATTTGCGGCTCCCTCGTTCAACTTAGTTCTTGAATAGTCATTTTTTAATTGAGTTTAAGGAAGTGAATGAGTCTAAACTTTTGTAGAAAGAAAGTGATGCAGTTTACCATAAAACGAAATCTGTAATGGAAATCTTGAAGAATTTCCACGAGTTCTATAATTCAATGTTCATCGAATAATCAATTATTTAAATTGATTTGATTTTTCCTCTATTAATTGATTATTATGATGATTGATTATTGGTTCTTGTCCATTTTCTTTCTGGGTGTGATTGTAGTGCAAAGGCTACAAATGAATTTGAGTATAGTATAATAAGAAGATTCTCAAATTGCATATTTAAGTGTAGAATTGTTGACTTTGAGAAGGTAACATCGGGCAAATCTCTTGAATGCAATTACACAAATGTGTTTTAATTATGTTTGACCTTTGCAAATTACGAAAAGAGCATGTTTCATATTATTTGAGTTTATAAACTATACTATCCTTCTTATTATGGACTCACCAGTTATACTATTTTCATGTTTGGTTCTTACTTTACGCAATATATGTGATCCAATTATGAAGATGGCTGGGTAGAAAGACAACGAGAATTAGGGTGAGGAATAATGGAGGGAAATTTCCCGCTTATTTCAGGGAGAAAAGAGGAAGTAAAGTTTTCTCTTTGCTAGTTACTTAATTATGTGTATAGCATGACTATATGGTGGAGTTTTCTTCCCAATGTTGTTATCTACCAAATTAACCCTTTGTTTTTCAAAGTTTTTTTGTTTCTTTTTTGTTTTCTTTACACTTCAAACCCTTTATTTTGTGATTTTAGCATCATTCATGATTTGTAAGGATAATAAAAATTCAACACAGATGGAGCATTAGATAAAATTTAATAAAAGATTTATATATACACAGATGTTTTCTTCTTTCTACATCATATCGTTCTCAAGAAACACATGGAGATACCGGAGGACGAGGGATCGAATCCATCCAAAGTGAAGGCACAAATTGCGGAGAGTAAAACAAGCCTCTTTCCAAGGACTCCATAGGAGCACTTCTGAAAGTTAGGTCCATATAGCTTTTACAGTTTCTTAAGCTAATTACAATGCAACCATAACAATCTTTTTCTGATTCTTTATGGAGCCTAAAGCTTTGTTTCCGCAAGTTAATCGATACCAAACAACTTTTCTTTACGCTCCATAGATAGACAAGATCGGTACCAAAGGGATGCATTACCATTGGAATACAACCAAGTCCATGATCAAAATATTCTAGATCAATTTCCCATGAAAGTTGCCAATATCCCCCTGACTCGATTGAATAGTAGTCCTTCTTCAGCCTCCAAACCTTCATCTTGCTTTTAGAAACCATGTTGATGTACAAGTGCAAGCTCTCCTAGGCCAATGGTATATATTAAAGAGACCTAAACTCAAATGTAGACGGAGGGTTTTTTACATTATCAATAAATTTATAATTAAGGGGTTTTTATCGATGCATTTTTAATTGAGGGGTTTTATTACTTCTTTTTAGTCTTTGTTAGATTCTGCTATCATTCTTTTTTTTTTTTTTTTAAAATCTTTGCTTTTAGCAAGATCTCACTCCCATTGTAAACTTCGTGCCACATGATCAATAAGTTTGAAATTTCATCAAAATATAAAATAAAACTTAAAGATTCTACGTACAAACAAACCATTAGTCCAATAAGCCAATTTTGTACTTATCGTTTGGTTTTCTTTATTCGCAGTTACTTTATATATTCGTTTTCTTCATATCTATCGTCCACAACAAACACATGGAGGAAATGGAGGACGAGGGATCGAATCCATCCAAGGTGAAGGCACAAACTGCGGTGAGTGAAACAGGCCTTTTTCCAAAGACTCATCAAGAGCACATCTGAAAGTTTTATCCATAAAGCTTGTACACTTTTCTAAGTTACTAACGATGCATCCATAACAATCTCTTTCTGATTCCTTATGGAGCGTAGAGCTTTGTTTCCGCAAGTTAATCGATACCAAACCACTTTTCTCTAGGCTCCATAGATAGACAAGATCAGTATCAAAGGGATGCATTGCCATTGGAATAGAACCAAGTCCATGATCAACATGTTCTAGATCAATTTCCCATGAAAGTCGCCAATAATTTACAAGTCAATTGCTACAATGCCTCCAGCATCACCAAAATAATCATCTTCTACAAAGTCGCCAATAATTTACAAGTCAATTGCTACAAGGTCGGATTTTAACACATTCACGTGACAAAGGATTTACAACATAATACATGTGATCTAGAGTTAGTACTAAAAGCAATCCACTATCAGTAGTTTTGATGATAAAGGATGCGATCTCAATTCCTGAATCCAAGAAAGGAGGGGACATGTAAGAACCCAATGATCGCGGAAGCCCCATCTCTCGCATCCATAAAAGGCTATAAGTTCGTCTCTAGGAGTATTGTAATTGTAACAGAACTTTTGTAAAAGCGACCAAGAACATGATGATTTTTGGTGGATGGACACAAAGACGTTGCGGAAAACCACAGATTCTACTAGTGATTTCCATCTTTTGCATACCAACTTGAATATGGTAATGTTTTTTATGGTAAATTTTGCTAGTATTTCTGTTAATATCGCCTCCGAAAGATTATCGATGAAAATTTTGTTAATTTCCATTGGAGTGGAGATGTTGCTTTTTAGTCTCAAATTATTTATCTTTTTTTCATATGTTATATACTTCCTTCTCCGTTCCTTATTAATAAATTTTCTGAGATTTTCACACATATTAAGAAAAAGTTCAAGTTTAATCAAAAGTGTATTTTTTTTTCTAAATGGAACAACTTTTAAAAAGTTTAAACCAATAGAAATCCAAAAACATAACTATTGACATAAATCTGAATCTTTTTGTTTTAATCAATAAAAAGTGTCTTGAAAACTTACAAATTTTATCTTTAAGAACCACCAGAAAAATGCTAGAGAATTATTTAATAAGAAACGGAGGGACTATATATCATCAAAATAAAATAAAAAATCATCAAAGTTATTATATCTATATATACATATATATTAACATATTTTAATGAAAAATATCTACTAATATCTCCTTTTGTTGTTTACTATTTTTGGCACAATATTTCCTTCTGTATGTATTTTTAAGTTTTTTTTTGAGATACAATCTTCTAACAATCATATTGGGTATATGTAAAATTAATTTTAAAGAAAAATAGGAGAAAATCATGTACCATTTATTAATAATAAATTATAAATCATCATGAATTTTTGTATAAGATCTGAGAACTGTTAACAAAACACTTGTGTCTCTATGTGTAGTTATTTTAATATAGTAAAACTGAAACTCCAATGGATATTGTTAATTAAAATAAATCTATTGACTACACTCTAACTTAGTATAATATTTTTTTCATCTATATTTATGATTTTAAACTAAAATTTTTAACTCCCATTCTAAAATTATAAATTAAATTAAAAAAAAATGTCTTCTTATTTTTATCAGAATATATAGAAAATGTCAACAAATTTTTCCAATCAAATTTTGGTACATCATATATATACATACATGCATACACATGTACAAAATATGCTTGGAATGACTTAGTTAAATTTATTTAATTGGTTTAATGATATTTATAGGTCAATACCTTTTAATAGAGTTTTTTTAATCAGTTTTTTTTAATATTATTTGTTCTTTTCCTATTAGTTTATCTTTCATTACTAGTGCTACAAGATTATTTGCCAATTCAGTTGGAAAGGTGTAAAAGTAATACATGCATGCATATACAATATATATATATACACGTTTGTGCTGTAATGAAATGAAAACAAGGCAATCCTTGCAACCAAACTTGTTAACATCAAAATCAACCTAGTGGAAGCAAGTCTAATGGAAAAGGACAAGAACATCAACAATGATTTTCCATTGGCAGAAATACTAGTGAGATTGCCTATAAGAAGCATTGCGAAATCCAAGTCGGTGTGCAAAAGATGGAAACTGTTAATAGAATCTCCCGTTTTTCGCAGTCTATTTGTGTCTCTACACAAAAGTTCGTCATGTTCATGGTCGCTCCTAACCAACGACTGCTTCCTGTGGTATCGCATTCGCAGTCCTGTGGAATGTATAGCCTCGTATGGATGCAAGAGATGGGGGCTTCCACGACCTCTAAGCTCTTATATCTGGTCTCCTCCAGTCCTGGATTCGAAATTCGAGATCGAGTCATTACAGATTAGGGCTTCCGCTAGCGGGTTACTTCTGATCCAAGTCCTAGACAACATGTATTATGTTGGGAATCCAGTGTTGAGTAAATGGGTTAAAATCCGTCCTTGCACAACTCTTTCATTAGAAAATTATTACTACGCCAATATGCGCGGTCTTGTCACACGTGAAGAAAATGGTGTCGTTTTGGGGTACAAGGTGGTTCAAGGGTATACAAGCGTTCAAGGAAGATCATTGCCTAGCTTTCAAGAAGGAGCAACAAGGCTTAGCTTTCAAGTATATTCTTCTGAGACAGGGAAATGGACATGCGAGCACGTTGAATGCGGTTGTCCCTTAACTTGGTCAACTTCTGGTATCGATTATCCCATTAGTTTAAACGGAAGGCTTTACTGGGTCGATCCTGGACTTATTGACGGTGTGTATCCAGGAGGCATGGTGGTCCTTGATTTTTACAATGGAGGAGCCAAACAGTTTCATTATATATCACTTCCAGGGAGAAAAATGAGTATTCTTGAAACCTATCATTGGTCTACGCGGAGAGCATGCAGTACCTCAGGAGGATTTATCGTGTATATTGATGCGATTCCTATAAACCAAGATCATAGGCTAAAGATTTGGAAGCTTAATGATTTGTTGATATGGGAACGTTCATGGGAAATCAATTTAGAAAATGTGGAGTTTGGTATCGATTCTCTACCATTGGCCATGCATCCGTTTGATACGCATATTCTCTATTTGAAGAGCCGTGAGAAAAAGTGTTTAATGTCGATTGATTTGCGGACGCAAAATTCTACGCTCCATGAAGATTCGGAATATCAAAGTTACGACGAGCGCTGCGTAAAAGAAAATACATTTGATGATTTATTCTTGTTTCAGCAGTATGTGCCTTCACCTTGGATGGATGATGTCCCACGACCGCCTCCATGTGATCACTGTGGACGACCCTAGGAATTTGTTTTTGGATATTTAGTGAAGAACATTCATAAGCAAATCTCTTGAAGTGAAGGTTTTCTAGGAAACAAGGGATTGTAATCTTCGAACTGTTCGATTCCCTGAGGCTATATATCGTGTTTAACAAGAAAACTGTAAACATTGGAATTGATTATGAATTATGATGTGGTTCGAGAGAGATTACAATGTGGATCTATGAAGACACTCTATTTGATATCTGAAACACCAAACTAACTGTTTTTCACCGTTTGTTCCGCCCATTTTGAGAAGAATGTATGTATGAGAGTAATTTAATTATGGAGCTATATAGTATTTATCCCCAAAAAATGCAGTTATATATATAGTTGCTTGCTGTAAGGTGTTTTCACCAATATCAATCATTATTTTCTCAGTTGAAAAAAAAATATATATAGTTGTTGAGAGTTGGTTTGTTAAGTTTTATAGAATTATATTTACCAATTTTTAACAAGTGTGTTCTTGTATATTATTTATTTACGTCTCATCTTAATTTCCGATGAGAGATGTAGTCATGTATTAAGTATTAACACACTCGTTTGAGATGATGACAACTCTTCCAGCTCATCTCGAAGCAAATCCCGCTCTAGGTTCGAAAATAGACCTTGTTTTGGGGGTACTCACACGTCGTGATCAAATTCGGGTTTGGATCATATGCTAAGTTTGATAGGTTTTCAATTCAATACTAATTAGTAATTAATGAATTAGTTTCTGTCTCTTATATACTACTTAGATCTCATTTCAATTGTCTATGTGAGATTTCTAGTACTATGAAAGTGTATTTAATCAGCTCATTAACATTTTTACTAAAATTTAAATATGTGTCTTTGGATAACTTTTTAACAAATGAATAAATTATTTTTTAAATCAAATAAACGGCTAGTAAAAAAATGTATCAATTTTGTGAGATCATTTTGTTCATTATTGTCAGTGGTATGAATCATCCGCAAGTTCATGCTCTGATGTAAACTACTTAAGAAAGAATAAGGACAAAAATTAAGATAAAGACTTCAAATTGTTATCGTGGCCGGTCCACGAGAACGACATGTTCTATTTTTTTCAGAACGCGTACCTCTCGCGTCTCGGTTTGTAGCCTGACTGTTAATTTACCGATAACTATCAAATCATATACATTTAACCACTTCGGTATACCACTAATGCGCATGTCTTCATCTACCACGGCATGTCTAACAATTACTAACATGTGTAAATTTTCCCAATTAAATCAAAAAGTTAATTTTCCGATTGGTTGTCGGCTTTGAAGGATAAGAGTTTACGAATCTGAGTTTGTTTAGCTAAACAAAATTAGATACCTTTAAAAATTGTGAACCATTTGGAGTGGGCATCAAACATCACGCATGAGTCATGACACACCTTCCACTTTTACTGTTTCTCTATTTTGTTTGAATTCTTCCTTGGATCCTTGTGGATTGTCTTGATTCTTGAACTGATAAACGCATTGCCCATGCCATCATTTCTTCGCAGAAGATTCCATTTGTAATTGTTTTTAGATTTTGATATTTTCGAAACTTTTGTTTTATTGTTCTTTTAAAAAAAATATATATATATAGTTTCCGAACCCATAATATCTTACTGTCTATTTGTACTATGGTTTTATGATTCGACTTAAAAAAAATGTGTGTAACAAATCACGTCCTAGTAGTTAAGCTATAAAATTAATTGCATCCTAGTTTTACGATCAACTATCATAAACTTCTACGTTATTTTGTTTTACCGATAAAATCTCTTAAACTATTCCACATTAATTAACCTCGACCTAAACCTTATTCAAAAGAATTAATAGACACACAACAATTCACCGTAGTGGTAGAAACAAATATTGTAGATTATATAGTTACAATGGTGCATGATAATAATCATAATATAGTAACACATCAATATTCTTGGAATATTTATTGCAATATAAGTACAAACTTGTCACAGACAATTAAAAAAATATAAAGTTTTGAAATTTTGATGTTTAGTGGGAGTAAAAAGTTAAGAAATCCATATAGATGACCACTCCTAAGAAAAATATTAGTATTATATATTGCGTTTTTTTGTATTACTCATTACTCATTAGGAATTTAGGATCACTCCATTTTGCTATGGTCACGGAAAGAGAAATCTGATGACCATATATTAATATTGGATTCATAAGCATCATAAATGCATTATCAAAATAAAATTCAATAATGCGATTTTGATTAACGTGATTGTCGAAAAAACAAAACAAAAGTTGGCGTATGCATCAATCAGTCCATGTATTGTCAAATTCGTCGGTAATTAGATTTGATACAAAATTTGGCATCTAGTGATCCTACAAACTTCAACCATTACCCAAATCCAAAACCTAGATAGTAACCTCAATCATATAATAGTAATCCAAAAAGAAATAGACTACACGTATTTTTTTCTTGGACTATTTTTTTATATACGTTTTTCTATTCATTTTTAAAGATTAATTCATAAAAATCGAAATGTTAATTAGAGCGACTACTATACTAATGCTTGGACCACTCAGTTAAAAACAATAAGAACACTATCCCATAAATTAAAGGAAGGGGATCATCCATTTACCAGATCACTAGATGGAATACTTAATAATATTTTGGGTCTTTAGGTTGGTGTTTAAAACGTTTAAATATTTTGATATTAGTTCAGTTTCAAAATCTGTGAAATATTCATATACTCTAGAGCATAGTTTGATATCTTTTTCGGTATGATAGTTTGATATCTTATCAGAAGAGTCTGGTTATAAAAAAAAGAAACTGTAAACTAAACTAACCTCTTCAAATATGACGTTGATATATTGTCAGCCTAATTAAAAAGATACAAAAAAAACATCAGTTTTATCCCCACCGTGGCACCGTCCACCGGTATAACTATCGAGTCTCATTCACAACTTTTTATAAAAAAATCTATGAAATAGAAATTAACCATAAAACCATATAAAATAAAATAACCATATCATATGAGCCGTTACATATCCGATAGATATATCCTAAAGAGGCAATATGTCCTTTTGGAGCTTAAAAAAATGTACTAGAAGTAAGTCGTGAGTCATGTGACTAACCTTTCGAAATCTTGACTAATCACTAACAATAAAAGGAAAAGTTTAACTAAATCGTAAATAGTCACGAGTGGTTTATCTTCCAGCCATAATTGTTGCTACATCTACTTATTTGTTCCCCTTTTTTTGTCAAAGACTATAAAAATTTTCGATTACCTAATCATGCCAACAAATGTTTGATTACTAGTAGAAAACGCAGCTGACTTAATAAGAAATAAGAAAATCCTGTCACTATATACGCAGTCTGGATCAAACATTATCTTAGCCTTTCAAGAAATAACTAAATCATCACATTTTCAGCAATTCAATAATTAAATACTATATATTTCAACATACATAAGTTAATTTTACAATCGATGAAAATAAATGTTCGGTGGTTATCTTAGACTGGTACTTCGTTGGACCTTTTTTTCCCTGCACATCAACCTTCCAACGTAGAAACGCCTCGCCAAAAGCAAGGAAATTTTCAGAAATTTAAATTAATTCAATCATTTGTTTTATAAAATTTGATTGTAAGTGGCATAACAAAAATAACGTAAGTAAAACAGTTTTTTAACGAAATGTCTATCTTTGTTGGTTAAACTTGGTTGAAAACATATCTTTAATCGTTAATACAATTCAGTTGGTGTTTAATTTCAGACTTACACGACCTTAAGAAACTGACTTTAGTCTCCCCTCGATTTACCTCTAACTAGCTGTGAGATTTTTTATCATAGACAGTGATGTATGTTCTAAACCTTTCATTTGTATACTACTAAGCGAGGAGAGATTCGAACTCTGCACCTTAAACCAACATAACAGCACACATAACCAACTAAGCTATAGGAGACTTTGTTAAAATATGGCCGATTAAATTCTTATTTAGAAACAGGGCCACAAGCACCTACTTGCCCTACTTGCTCCCAGAGACGGCTCTCTACTAAGTTCTAACTATAATATTATCTTAACATACGAATCCAAAGTATACAATCAGGAGAATTTCAAACATATCCAAATATATTCTAACATCAACTATCGAACCTAACTACCATAATAGCTAAAGACATTTTTCAAAGTACACTTTTCATCGCTTACTTTATTTAACAGTAAAAAACTACAAATACAAATCTCAGTCAAATTAAAAGAAAACACGGAACATATTTTTTAGACAAGCAGTCAAACCAATCTTACCTACTTTAACTAACCAGATCATGCCAGTTTGTAAATAAAATCTGGTAATATAAATCATGAATTGTTTTGTTTTGCAAGGGCCTAATGTCAATACTGTAATCACTTAATCAGCGGATTAACATTAAGTGCCACGTGACACCAGAAAGTCACGCAGGGGTCCCACCATGATATTCACACGACAAAGACGTGGAGTCCCTAGAACGACACCGTTTATCTCAGCACGGAAACTGAGTGGGCACCGTGTTCGTAGGCCCCACCCCGCCTTCTCCGACGAAACATTAGAAAGAAAATAGAAGAATATTAAGACTGTCTCTCTTCCCATATTTATTTTTCACCATTTAATAACAACAAAACAGTTCATAATATCTCAACTCAAAAATTCGCTCTCTCTCTCGCTCTCTCTCTCGCTCTCAAATCAAAAAAGTTTTGGACTTTCTGAAGTTTTTTAATTATTTAAAAACCGATGCCAGTGAATGGGTTCGTCTTCGTCGTCGCTTAATAAGTCTCCGTTTAGAACAACAGACAGTATGGTAACACAAGAATCTCCCTCGAAAGATAATTCAGCTCCGATCATGACTGTAAAGCCGGGGAAAAACGACGGCGTTTCGATCATATCTAAGTCGCTGCGATCGTCTCCTTCTGCTAAGAACTTCGGTATTTTAAAACTTTCTTCTAATCAAGAGAGATCATCATCTCTGTGTTTGATCTCCAGATTTATTTATTTTTCAGTTATTTTTTAATAAATGATTAGTTCATGATGATATTCGATCTGACTGGGGATGTGGGGTTTCTCAGATTTTATATATATATACAAAAAATAATAACTCTGCTTATAACTGATTTACGTTCTTTTTATTCAATTCTCAGAATCGCCAAGAAAGAGTACAACTTCGATTCCGACGAATTCTCCGGCGAACAATTATCATCAAACCTCTGTCAAATCTCGGTGGTCGTTTTCGTCGTCTAAGAAAAGCTTCGGTATTTATTCCAATTTTTTTTTCTCTTTTCGAATAAATTACTGTTATGGGTTTTTCAGTATCTCAGCTTTTTGAATGATTGGTCTTTTTCTGATATTCAATTTAGTTATTGTCCGATCAAAGTACATAGTTTCTTACTGCATAAACGTTCATAATAGTAGCATCTGGAGGTTCCGTGACCGGGAAAATAGTATCTGAAATGATTCATATCTTAAAAAAAAAAAATCTTCCATTAATGGTTTTTCGTAATCAATTTGATTTTCTTCCTGTCAACATAGAGATAGACATTTAGGTTTATTTCGTTCTTATCTGATACGATCAGATATCTAATTTGATTTCTTCCATTAATAGATTTTTATGATAAAAAACAAAGACTTTCCCCTGATAACAAAGATTTTTTCTCACAACAGGAAAAAGTAGTTAAATAAGACAAAGAGAGTGAAAAGAGAGCTATTTTAGTGAATTATGATTTTTAAAAAGCTGTCTACTCTAACTGTAACCCAGATCTGAAAAACTGGGTAAAAAGCATGGACACTCTTGATCTGGGTTCCATTGATTTTCACGCTTTAATTTTAAGCGTTTTTGGAATAAAATCAAATATTTTTACCCGGGAACTTCAGAGAATTTTAAGTAGATTCCATTGTTTTAAATTTCAAATTTAATCTCTTTTTAGGCTTTGCTTTGTACTTTCCTCAGTTTTAATATCCTCTGTTTTGGCCGACCAAACAAAAAAAACTCTGTTTTGAGGTGTAGTCTTATATAGTGATACTTGTGTGTTTTGATCTAATTCCATCATGATAATGACGGAATCAAAAGGTTTAAATTATACTTATTCGATAATGTATATCATTCTTGTTCTAAAATTTTGAAATGTATGTTATAATTTGTTGCACAGGAAGCAAAGATGAAACCTTTTTCGATTCGCAGCCATGGCTACAATCCGACTCTGACGATGACTTCCACAGCGTTACTGGCGGTAAAATCTTCGACCTTTTGTTAGTTTTTCTACTACTCAAGCGTCAGGATCTTGATTTTTGTAATTCACTGTAAACAGAATTTACTCCGTCGCGTGGAACCACTCCAAAGACAAGTTTCTCAGACAGGTCTCCACGTGTCCACGACCTTATATTCCAAGAGATGAAGCCTGCTCGAGGCTCGTCTTCTCCACTGCCTCCAAAGCCGAGGAGGAAGAAGCTTGGTGAGCTTTTCAGAGACAGTATTAGAGAAGAAAGAGAAGAGAGCGGTTCGTCGTCGACTGTTAGCACTCCTTATCTCTCCGGTGCTAACTCCGGCGAATTCAACAATCCGGCCATTGAAGAGAAGAAGAAGTCTAACTGGCAGCATCATCGTTGTCTTCCTGGTTTCTCTTCTTGTGGTGGAAGTTTCATGGAGAGGAGGAAGAAGATGAGCTCTGAAACGGCGGTTGTTGCTGCTGTGAAATGAGATGTAGAGAGTAATCTTTTGTATATGAAAGAATGAGAAAGAGATCTCAGAGTAAAAAGCTCTGATGAATTTTACATGTTGTGATGAGAAGATGATGTACAAAAAAAATGAGATGCTTTTGTGTTCATGATATTATGGCTTTTGGATCTTTGGCTTATGAAGTTTGAAGAATCTTACAATGGTTCATTGTTGCTAGCTTTAACATAAGATCGTATGATATAATATGTTTGTGACAACATGAACAATGAAACAAATTAAAGAGTCAAAAGTATAAAGTTTCTCTAGTAAGTAACAAACAAAAAAATCTTGCTTGTGAAGGCTTTTTGTCTTCTTAACTTATTCGGCAATTCTGATGCAAACATTCTACTTGAACAAACATAAAAATAATAACATGATATAAAACAGACCATAATACTAATTTAAAGATTTGACAACTACCAAAGATGTTAGCTTCGATTCAACTCCAAGCCTGTTTTGTTTCTTTTCTTCCTAACTTTTATTTCTTAAGCAACCAATCTTCATGCATTCATCTATATATACACTAGCTAGCAGCAGCTTAATTTTGAATATCTCGAAACAGGATTCACTTCACTAAAACCAATGAAAATGCAAGGAGTTATAGTTATTCTTGTTTTCTCCGGTTTATTCGCGGTTCAGACTACGTTAGCAGCACAACATATGATCGGTGGGAGTCAAGGCTGGGAAGAATCCGTTGACTTTAACTCTTGGACTGCCGATAAATCTTTCAAAGTCGGCGACCAATTGGGTACGTAGTTTTTCTCTCTAAAATCAAAATTTTAAACCGACCGGTTTAATGCTAACCAAACCCATTTGTTCCTTGCAGTTTTTAAGTATTCAGCATTACACAGCGTTGTGGAGCTGGGAAGCGAAACGGCATACAAGAGTTGTGACCTGGGAACACCGGTTAATTCCTTGAGCTCCGGAAACGACGTCGTCAAGCTGTCCAAAACCGGTACTCGTTACTTCGCATGTGGGACCGCTGGGCATTGCGAACAAGGCATGAAGGTCAAAGTCAACGTTGTCTCTTCCGACTCCACAACCGTTTCCTCTCCGGGTTCGGATTCAGGCTCCGACTCGGATACGGATACGAAATCCAGTCATGGATTACGTGCTTCCATTGGATATGTTTTGGCTGTTGGATCGTTGGTTGTTGGTCTTATATGGGCTTTCTGAGAGTTTAGACTTTTGTAAAGGCATCGAGGAAATATATTCGGAGGGGAGAGAATAAATAAATTTTTGGAATTATCACTTCGTATTTGTTGGTATGTGCTATGTTGTTGTATTTCAGATTTTGCATTTTTCTGAGTTTATCATATGTATCCTTATTTTCAGTTAATTCGGTTTCTCACCCTCTTGTCCACTTGATTGGTCCGCTTGGAATATTCTTTATTATATGCCTTCTCATACCCTCATTTTGTTAAGATTTTATTTTGTTTTCTTAATATTTTGTTCACAATTTAGCGGATAGTACAGAAACACACAATTTGGTATTTTCGTACAATTTTTTGAATGCTGCCAAAAAGTACAATTTTATTGTTTTTCTTCTCTATAACATTTTACTAATTTAATCCAAACAACGAAGATGGAAGTCTCCGTCAAGTCTAATATAAAAATAAAACAGTTGGAATGTTTAAATTAAGTAATTTTCGTTCAAGTTTCGCTCAAAAATATTTTAAAAAGACGGAGGGAGGCAGACAAGTGGGTTGCTTATTGCGCAGAAATCGTCGTCACTGATCACTACAGATCATTTTTTTCCCTAAATCGTCGACGCTTTCTTCTCCGGAGACCTAATCGGAATCGCTATCTCTTCGCTCGCCAGTAATCAAATGCCGGAAGACTCTACGTCGATTGACTATGTCATGGAGAAGGCATCGGGGCCTCACTTCTCCGGTCTTCGCCTCGACGGCCTTCTTTCTTCTCCGTCGAAATCCTCCAGCTCGTCTCCTTCTTTCTTCCGTACAGGTGTTTCATGTTTTTCGCCTATCTCCGATCCCGCCGCGCCTAATCAGCCCTTCGTCATCGGTGATTTTCGATTATCCTTTTTCCGCTCCCGCGCTTTAATCCGTGCTTATTCAATTGTTCGAACTCTATCGAATTCCGATCATCGAGTATTATCTCTTAATTTCTTCAAATTGGCGCTTCTACTGCATTTTCTTGGGTTTATCTTAGGGTTTTAGATATCCGAAATTTCCGGTAGCATTTGTGCATCCAAGATAATTCAGATATCTTGATCATATCAGACTATCAGTTTCTAGGGTTTAATCTTGATTTTCGCCGTTATTGACCTTGTGAAATTCTGTAGGGGTTACTGGTGGTACCGCTTCTGGGAAGACCACAGTATGTGACATGATAATCCAGCAACTTCATGATCATCGCATTGTTCTAGTTAACCAGGTTAGTTTCTGTAGCCGTCCCTGTTCTCAGTTCTTATGTATCGCTCGCTAGCTAGGAAAATACGATGTACTGTTTTTATGTGATTCCCCTCTATTTGCGGTACTTAGACTCTGATGCTGTTTTGTTGATTAGGATTCCTTTTACCGTGGTCTGACATCTGAAGAACTGAAGAATGTGCAAGAATACAATTTCGATCATCCTGGTAGATTCTACTTACTGGTTTCTCCTTGAATTTCTCTCTGATTGTTCTTTTGTTTTGGGATCACTGATATTTAGCTCAGGGCATATTGATAATTTTTCAAGATCTGTTCAATTTTTCTTCGTATTCTCCAGATGCCTTTGACACTGAGCAGCTTTTGCATTGCATCGATACACTCAAGAGTGGGCAGCCCTATCAAATTCCCATTTACGACTTCAAGACCCATCAACGTAAAACGGATGCCTTTCGCCAGGTGCATACTCTTCTCTGGTAGACTTTTATATGGCTGAGGCTATTGTCTAAGATGTTAGTGAGAATTGTCATTTGTTAAATTAATCAGAGGGCACGTTTGTCAGGTCAATGCTTGTGATGTCATAATTTTGGAAGGGATTCTAGTTTTTCATGACTCACGAGTTCGGGATCTGATGCATATGAAGATCTTCGTTGACACAGGTCATCACCACTATCTCTAAATGATATTTTTTTTTGTGATGGAAGTTGTCCAGTTACTGTTCAGTAGCTGATACCCTTGGTGGATTTACTCACTTACGCCATTTTATCACTTGTTGACCACTAAAGACACAATGAATACCTTTGAAGCTATATAGTTAGCCAATTTTTAATCTATTTGGAATGTTTGTAATCCTCATCGAAGTTAAAAGTCCTCATCTTAGCTATTACTTGGTTCCAGATGCTGATGTGAGGCTTGCTCGCAGAATCAGGCGTGATACGGTTGAGAGGGGTAGGGATATTGATTCTGTGCTTGAACAGGTTAGTCTTTATTTCAGGGTTTGATGCGAATATTCTCAGCAAGATTCACTTATCTAAGTAAATCTGGTCTCTTGAATGATACTCTTTGTACTGTTCTTCTATAGAATAGTGTCATCTCCTGAGCTTCCTTTATTTTTCAACTGTTCTTGTTTTGAGGTTGTTATGTTCGTTTGCAGTATGCAAAGTTTGTGAAGCCTGCCTTTGATGACTTTGTGCTCCCCTCAAAGAAGTATGCCGATGTGATCATTCCCCGAGGAGGTGACAATCACGTTGCAGTTGATTTGATTGTGCAACATATCCACACAAAACTTGGGCTACATGATCTCTGCAAAATCTACCCGAATGTTTTTCTTATCCAATCAACATTTCAGGTATCCTTTTTCCAGCTGCTTGATTCAGATAGTAAGGTTTTAAAGCAAATTTCTCACTCTTAAGATCATAATTGCAGATAAGAGGCATGCACACACTTATTCGAGAGAAGGACATATCAAAACATGATTTTGTGTTTTACTCAGATCGCCTCATTCGTTTGGTATTCTTTTAACTCGTGTCTTCCTTTTCAACGCAACTCAGCCTTTAAGACTTGTTATTTCAATTGTTGGTGGCTTTATTTCAGGTCGTGGAGCATGGGCTTGGTCATTTGCCATTCACAGAGAAACAAGTAGTTACTCCAACAGGTATAAGTAGAGAATGGCTTGAGCTGTAAATATTTTTATTTATTTAAGATGGTAGGGGTGTCTGAAAATCTGGACCAACTAGTTCCTGAGATCCTTTAAACTTCTCTGTCGTATGGATCTAGAAAGGTTTTTTGTGCCTTGTGGAAATTAAAGTGAAAACGACATGACTATAATTTCTCTACTTTCCCAAACCAGGGGCTGTGTATAGCGGTGTTGATTTCTGCAAGAAACTTTGTGGGGTCTCGATCATTCGAAGGTGAGCGTTGAAAGGTATTACGTGTTTTAATGTTGTTGATAGATGGAGACTGGAGCTGTTTAATATTCCAATTTGTTTCCATGTTCAAAACACGGGATACAAGAAACATGTGCAACATTGAAAGCATACATGACATGGTTTGTTTTTCATTCTTTTCTCTTGCCTAAAAGTTTATGTTTTGTATGCTTCATTAGTGGTGAAAGCATGGAAAACGCATTACGTGCTTGTTGCAAAGGGATTAAGATAGGGAAGATTCTCATCCATCGTGTCGGCGACAATGGAATGCAGGTTTGTTTGTGTTTCGTCTGTTTTACTCCTCTAACAGCTTACAAAGATCTTACTCTAAAAGTTTCTTCTTGCGTATTAATCAGCTTATTTATGAGAAGCTTCCAAGTGATATTTCTGAGCGCCATGTCCTGCTTCTAGATCCTGTTTTAGGCACAGGTAATATGACTTTCTTCTTTTTCTTTCTTCTTCTGGTTTTGAAGTGTATATGCTCTTATATCGTTAAATTGGATTTGTTGAAGGTAACTCTGCAAGTCAGGCGATAGAACTACTCATACAGAAAGGAGTTCCTGAATCCCACATTATATTCCTCAATCTCATCTCGGTGAGTATTACTAAATCAACCAATAGATACTTTTATCACATAACTTTTTTGTTCTCTCTCTCTGACGGTCATAACTCGCAACCCGATTCCGCATCCTACAGGCTCCAGAAGGAATCCATTGCGTCTGCAAACGGTTTCCATCGTTGAAGATCGTGACGTCGGAGATAGATCAGTGCCTGAACGAAGACTTCCGGGTGATACCAGGCTTGGGTGAGTTTGGTGATCGCTACTTTGGCACTGACGAGTAAAAAGTACTTACGACTTCCTAGTCGAAACAACTGAACTGACCCAACAACTCTGCTTCTGTTTGGAAATCCGGCGTTAATGAATGTTGTATCACTTTGTGTATTGCGACCATGTTATTAAAACGTGAACCACGGGAAGGGACAAGGTGTTCTTGTTTTTGTTTTTTTCTGTGTAGAAAGCTTCTTGCTTACTTGAAGTTGAAAAATGAAAAACAAATCATTGCTGTTTCTTGGTATTGTGCATAGTTTAATTTCGATTAATAGATTGCGGACCATTGAACACCATTTTTTTTTTTTGTAATGGCACTCCGATTGAACACTTTTCTTAGTACTCGTGATTTAAAATTTCTGAAATTACTCAAATTATCTGAACCCATGTCGTACCTGACGCAATGACGGTCACTGTCTCACTGATCTTAAATACTTGACTGATTTATCCGAATCAACCGGTTTAAGGATTGTATCGGGTCGGGTCTCTTTAATTTGGTATTGATACGGACCGGGCAGAGATACTTATCCATTCCCGCCACGGAGTAAACTTTTGCCGGCGACAGTGAAGCAGCGATGCATTCGTCGAGCCTTTTCTCGTTCGGCGCTCGTTATCCAATCATTACCTGCCGCGTGTCACCTCCTACCTTGGCCCCCGTCGCTTCTCTCCCTCTTCCGTCCACCTCCTCCGACTCGCTAGCTTGCTCCCTCCAGTGCCCCCATTTCCAATCGTACGCTCCTCTAGCCGATAATGACTCTTCATCTCTTACTTTGCTGTGAGAATTTGGTTCGATGTGAGCTTCGATTTCATGTATCTGGAATTTTCAGGTGCTCAGGTTGCACGCAGGAGTTGAATCTCCATCGTCCGGCTGTCGTCGAAGAAGCTTCTGACTTCTTCAAGCGTTACGGCGTCGAAGATTTCACTTTCGATAGTTGCAGACTGGTGAATTCACTTCTTCTTCCTATTTTCTGATTTCTCATTTTTAGGTCTTTGGTCTCTGGTGATAAAAATTTTGGCTTCTTGTGGCAGTGGGGTTGGAGGTGCCGGGCAAAATTGGCCGTTCGTGGCTCATCTGATAATGCATTGATCGGATTATACCAAGAGGGAACTCACACCGTTGTAGATATTCCAGATTGTAAAGGTAATTTTTATTACGCTGGAAATAATTTCCTTACATAGATTTGTTAAATTGTCATGATGGTTTTTGATAAGGTTAAGTTCCCAATTTTGCAGCTCACCATCCTAATATTAATGCTGCCATCGAGTTACTGAGAGAAGGTACTAGTCCTTATGATGTATTTATGGTGATTCAAAGATGGAGATTGTTTGTATTTTTCCCATTTGATGGGGTTTTGCTATGCTTTAAAGGTATTAAGGTGTTCGATGTGTTGCCATTTGATGAGGATCAGGGCACTGGGGACTTACGATATGTTCAGGTGATTAATAATGGAGTTACATTTGAGTACATGGGGCTATTTTTGCACTTCAATTTAGTGATGGTGTTTTTCTTCAGATGGCTGTTACGACACACAGTACATCACTTCGTGCCCCAGATAGATACAAAAATGGTTGGGCATTTTTTTTTTTTTTTAGTTTCTTTGCATTGATCTGGTGGAATGAGATTGAAAGGAGAGGTGCTGAGTTTTTTAATATCTTGGTTTCAGGGAAAGTGCAGGTGTCCTTGGTTTGGAATTCAAGAAATGAGAAATCTTATAATGCAGATAAGCTGCAAGCATTGTCCAGCGTGAGTTTTTTCGAAAGTCGTGACTTATTTTGTTTTGTTTCACTCTTTTTTTTTCTGCAAGTATCACTTTATATGTCTCTTATTTGCAGTTCTTGTGGAGAAAGGGTGGACCTAATAACGAGTTTCACCTGATACATTCTGTCTGGGCCAACTTTCAGACATCAACCAACAATGTGAGTCAAAAGAAATTGATTTTCTTATGCTTAAGCCAAAGATTCAGGAAATCTTTAGTGTTAGGCTTTTGACTTTGTTTTCTGCTGTGGACTTCAAGATCTTCTGCCTAAACATGCTCTTTTGTATTTCGAGTTGCTTAACATAAGACTTAACTATTCTGTGTGTTTTAGATTATATTTGGAAACAGGTGGAGGCATCTTTTAGGTGAGAGAGATTTCTGGGAACACGTTGGAGGAATTGACATATCCTTGGATCCTTCCAGTTTTGGTCAGGCAAATACACGGGTAAGCACTAAGCATATAGAATAAGCTTTATCAGCAGCACATTTGATATGTTAATACGAAGTGAATTTCCGTGTCAGATGTTGTATGATTTGATCTGCTAATATTTCAATTGCTTGTGCCAGGCTTTTGATAGCTTGCTTTGGAAACTGCATAAGTATGTTCCTGGTGGATCATCTGTTGCTGATCTATACGCAGGAGCAGGAGTGATTGGATTATCGTTAGCTACATCAAGGAAATGCAGGCAAGAACAGAATTTGTTTACATCTGTCCTTCATCTAAGAAGACTGTCTGTATGTTCATCTGTCCTAACTTTATACTTTAACCTGATTTCAGTTCTGTCAAATGCATTGAGGTTAACAAAGAAGCTAGGCTGTCTTTTGAGAAAACTGTCCAGCGGTTGCCGAATTCGTTGAATTGCAGCATCACTTGGCACCATGCAGATGCTTCAGTTGTCAGTAGTCTTTGCTAAAATAAAAATTTCGAATTTGATTTTGTTTTTCAACATTTTAATGGTGTGGTTTTGAAATTCTGCAGAACCCTCTTTCGTGGATTATAGGATCAGATGTAGTCGTCGTGGATCCTCCTAGGAGAGGCCTTGATGCTTCACTCCGTCAGATGTTGGAGTCAGTCCCTTCCATTGAGAAAAGAATGAGATCTTCATCACAGAGGTTGTTAAAATTTCCTCTGAATAAAGTTTTGAAATTTGCTTCCACTATCGAAATTCAAAAGCTAATATCTTTATATGTCTGTTGATTTTCTCTAATTACAGTTCAAACTCGAATGCGAAAGAGGAGAAGAGGCCGTGGATTTTAAGAGCAAGAGAACTCTCAGTTCATGCTGGCAACAAGCAGGCCCCTGAGGAGAATAATACTCTGCCTCAAAAACTCATTTACATAAGCTGTGGTTGGGAAAGCTTTAAGGAGGTACAAAAGGCCAAAAACACTGATATGATCTCACCTCTAATACTAACAAACAGCCAATAAGTCACTCTAACTCTTAAACGATTTCTTAGGATTGCAAGTCATTATTATCTAGCAGAGCATGGGAACTGGAAAAAGCCCATGGATTTAACTTCTTTCCTGGAACTGACAGGTATGAGTGAGTTTCATAAAAACGGTTATTTCCATTTATACTGAAGAAAGTATCATTCAGTGCTTATGTTATACCATTGGTGTTTTCAGCATTGAAGTTTTGGCCGTATTCAAGAGAAGGGTTGTGATGAAGAAAAAGAAGAAATCTGGAATAAAAAAAGTGGGAATAAAGAAAGTGCGTGCCAAGTAGAATCACAAAGGGCTCTTATTAGTTAATGTATGTAACTCTGTAACACTTCTTCAGTAGTCTAGGAGACCATCGAGTGGATGAGAAAACATTTTTGCTCTGTTCTTTTTTCATAAGAAGATAAACATATGGTTCTTCTGATCGTACTGTGATTTTACAAGTGTCAAATGAGACCTGTGCAATATTTATCTTATCAACATCTGTTGGGTATGAAGAAAGAGTGCAAAACTGGACAGAAAAACATCTTCAAGAATGGGAAGAAAACAACATGACTGCAAGCCATTTTATACAAGCACAGGTAAACAGAGTATTTAGCTGTTCATTGTGCTTTTCCACCTTTGGATTTTTCCAAGTGAGGAAAAGCTTGTAGAATGTTGTATGCCCTTAGATCCTGCCTTGTTAAGATCCCTACCACAGGACACATCTGCAAACGATTTGATTAGCGAGAAAGTTAGTGTCATTAGATAGGAAGTAAAAAGAGAGTCAAGAGCATATCATAAACTCACTCCTGAGGCTTGAGTCTTGGGAACAATAAGCAAATGCCTGAGTCCCACTTGCCGGAACAGCACCAAAGCCTTGGCCACAGACATGTTCTCCATGACTGTGTAAGGTGTTGTGTTGGTAAGAGGATGAAGATCAACATACATTTCCATTTCAGAGCTTGAGATGGCCACGTCGTCAAAGTTGTCCTCTCTCTCAGCCAATTCATCCCATGGGAACTTCTCCCTGACCTCCCACTCCTCTGTTCTTCTCTTCTCCGTCAAGAACCATCTCTTCTTCAGAACTTTCACCAGGTGCGCTCTCAGGATCAGCCCGTGGAGCTCTGTTGCACCACTTGCTACACCCACTTGAGGTACTACTTCTGCTTCATCTAACACAGGGAATGCGTTATGCGTCGTGTTCCTTAACACTTCAACTATTTTAGCAACTTTTTCTACTCCTTGCAGGGTTACAACCGGAGGCTTAGCAACACCAAGCTCGCCAACGGAGAGGTTCCTCATCCACGGCTCTGGATTTGCTTCTAAGAAAGGTAAGCCCTTAAGATGCAATATGATGTCATAGATACTCGGGTTGAAACTGTCTCCCACAGTTTTGGCAATCAGAAGCACAATCATAGTAATGGGAAGCAGAAGAAGGTTGTTTGTGAGTTCAAGAAATATAACACAGAGTGAAACAGTCATTCTCATGGAACCAGCCATGAGTGAAGCTGCACCAAGAACAGCAAAAAGCCCCTGGTCAATGCTAGTGTATGATCCCATCGCAGCGCCAAGCATTCGACCATACGCAGAGCCCATTAGTATGATGGGGAGGAAGAGACCGGACGGTGTCGCAATACCAAACGTGATTAGCCCCAAGATACAGTAGAGCACAAAGAATATCCAAAGAGAAAACATGCTAAACTCGTTTGGAGTGTTGGAAGAGAAGATGTTTCTGACAGCATCATCGTTGGTGGTGAGAAGCAGAGTAGCAAGATCACTGTAGTAACCTTTTGGGCAATGGAACTGTTTGAAGTTGCCTGATCTTCCATTTGTAGGACATCTCTCTTCTATTGAAGGGTCACAAGGCTTGCATTTTGCCAAGAAAGGAAGACCGTAGAGGCAAACCGATGTGAAGAGAGACACTGAAAGACTCAGAAGCACCTTGTGGATCTTTCCCTTCCTGAACAGATGACCAAACAAAGGTAAGAAAAGTAACTGAAACACTTAACAGATTCTCTTACTATGTTAAACTTACGCGTTGATCAGATTGTAAAGCCTGAGGACTTTATGAAGAAGGTGATTGTAGAGGCTTCCAAGAATGCCACCGATGACACCAATCAAAGTGATAGGGATTATATCAGTGACATGGTAAGTATAAGTTACATGACTCACATCAAACATGATAAGCCCTCCTGATCCAAACAAACCACACTTCCCTGAGTTGCATATCTCTATGAACTCTCTTAGCACCACCACAACAACCGCTGCGCTGAAGAAAGTCCTCCATAACAAGGCACTTCTCCACCAAGTGGCCACTTCCTCAAGAGCGAAAAGCACGCCTCCAACAGGTGACCTGAAGGCTGCACAGACTCCAGCTGCTGAGCCACATGTGATCAGATCCCTGCGGTCTCTATCGTTGTTGAAGTAACGAAGCCACCTCCACTTGATCCGGTGGTTGTCTGGTCCACCTTGTCCAAGCAAGGAAGCTATGCAGCTTCCAATGTGAACCAGAGGACCTTCTTTGCCTAGATCAAGTCCAGCTGCAACCGCTCCAATGCTTCCAACGATCTGTCAAACATCAAACTCTGTCAAAGTGCTTCCCTGATAATCTTTTGAAATCTCTTGTTCAGAAACAAACCTTAACGATCATAGTGGTAGCACCAAACATGTTGGGAGTATCAACACCATTAAGATAAGCTTTGATCTCAGGGATTCCTGGACCAGCAGCCGTGGGAGCAAAGCAAACACAGAGCACAGAAGCAACCAACGTCAGCCCCAAATTCGCTCCAGCAAACAACATCAGACCTGTAACATATCTGTTTACCAATCACAAGACTTCATCATCCATCATACCCTAAAGATAAGGGTAACAACAAGATTTTGAATTCATTAGATAATTTTTTTGTTTTTGGATTTGGTTGATTACCTTCCTTGGTCGAGGAAGTGACCAACGGCTAGAAGCTTGTAGCCAGCGATGTTTTCGACGGCTAAGTTGATGAGAGTGGCGATCAGACCAGTGAAGAGACCGATAAGACAAGCAAATGTCCATTTCAAGAATATGTATTGAAGCACTTGTGCCTGTGATCTTTTTCTCCAATCATGCTTAAACAGATCGTTCTCGTTTATTCTGTTAATGTTTCATTAAAACAAAAATTAAACTAAGACCCTGAAAATCAAAAATATTCAGAGAAGTAAGAGGAAGAAGACATACTCATAGTCCAAGCTCTCGATGTGAGAAACCTTGGTACCGACCAAAGCAAGAGGGATTGAAGAAAGTGTTCGGTTTGCCTTAACCAGAGGTTGGTTCAGTGTGTTGCTCTCTGGGTCTCCTTCTTCTTCTTCTTCTCCATTTGGATTACTATTATTACCAATCTGGTTATAAAGTTCTTCTTCCATGCCTCTCTGTTTCTCCCTATCAGATAAAGAAGAAAACTGGCTTTTGGTCGGAACCTCTGCAACAGAACTGTTTTAAGGTTCTTGAAGAGCTTTCTCTGTTAAGAAAGCACTTCTTGGTGGGTTTTTGTTAGTTTTAATTAATTTTTTTTTCATGCAAATTGGTTCTCCGGCTTGTCTTTTCTTTTTAGTTTATACATGTCTACATATACGTACATGTAGATGCATATGCTATTAATTAATTGTTTTTGAGGGGCAGCAGATAGAAATATGTAATCCATACATATGCTACACTACAAGATGAGAGACAATGATTGGTCTATATAATATGTGTACAATCAATAACAAAGAACTGTAATCAAATTGTGACTTTGTACGTATAACGTAGGGATAAGATTGCTCGACTTGTGGTCTAGTTTATACATCCATATTTGTGATTCTTTTTCTTTTGTCAACCATATTTGTGATTCTTACGTACATTTTTAAATCAGTATAAAAGTCATGGAAAAAAAAAAATTAGAACGTACCAAAATTTAGGAAAAATCAGATAGCTTTGTTTTCATAATTAATATGGAACTTATAAAATGATAACCTTAGTTAAAGACTATAATTTATTGTAAGCTTTGTATCCAATCGGTTTAATTAGTTTGTTTTAGTTGAAGACTAACCATCGAAAGACTATTGTAATTAAAGCTCCAACTCAGCCATTACATACGACAGATCAGCATTACTTTCCAACCTATCATATGCGTTTGTGTAACAGTTCAAATTGCGTCAAATATTCTCATGATACTAACGTCACACACAATGACACATACTCGATACTCCAACTCTTGAAGTGATCAAACAGACGCTTTTATATTACTTTGCTCTATAAAACCCGCAAGTGCACTATTCGACAAATATATTCGCCTTATAAAATATTAGTCGAACTTCGATCCGCCGTATCACTTTCGGTTAACACCAAACAATATATACTTCTAATTTTTTTGTCTGAAATAAAGTCATTCACATAAATAGAAAAAATATTATATTGTGTCGTGGTAAAAGACTCGAACCAAATTTATTTAATACAATTATTATGGGCTTTCAGTAAATAAACATGTTTTGACATTTCATCATCTGTTACTAATTAAAAAATGTATGTGCAAACTATGACCACAAGATTTGTTCGCGCAAGAAGCCAACATGTACATGTGGTTTATCACAAGAAGAGTGTAGCTAACGGCGATCTTGCCTTTCTGGGCCCATTTAGAATGCTTGTATTATCGAAAACCAGAGTGATTCACTTGGCCGTTTCTTATGTCCGACAAGTGTCCCCTCGTGGCTCACCTCTCCCCTTTATTTATGGAAAGGAGTTATTAGCATATTTGTCTTCCTTCCAATCAATTTCCTCCGCCGCATGATCCAATGGTTGTGATAAGGAATTTGAGAGCAGCCATCACATTATTTAACATTTTTATATTCACCAGTCTAATTTTCTCTGTATAATATTGTTAATTTGTAGAAGGTTTTGGAAGTTGACAAAAAGTCTAAATCCCGTAATTATGTAGCACTAAAGACATTTTTAAATGAGATGACAATTTATTCAATGAATTATCTTAGTTTTAAATGATACTTGTATTTTGGGTGATGGAAAAAACAGACATTGTGTTTCGTGTTATTGTTGGGAGGGCCACCTCAATAGTAGAGAAAATGGGTGTATATATATAATTTTTGTTTTTATCAAAGACATAAAATGTAGCTCGCTTTCAAGAAGATCTTTAAAAATAAAGTTACGTTGAGTATTATGGACCTATTAGTATACAATATTTTTCAAAAAAAGTATTGAAAATTTCGTGTACAAAATGTTTTGATAAGATTATTATCATGTGGGGATGAGACTAATACGACATTATTGAACTATGTCGACTCTGCGCTGACAGATGAGTAGACTACTTCACGTTTCTATTCCGACCCGGAATTCCCTGCAAATCCTTGACTCATGTGCGCGTTAGCAAATTTAGGTTTATCATTGTTTGATATTAGCATCTGGCCATACTGGTGTTTTCAGAGTTTGACATTTCCATATAACACAAGAAATATGCAAATCATGAACGGGCAACGTTGGAAAACAATATAAAAAGATTTTAGTCAGATCTTCATATATATTCCCTCCGTTTCATAATAAGTGTTGTTTTGACAAAATGAATGTGGACTATTTATTGATATATTTTGATGTGTTTTGAATGTAAGTAAAGAGTCAAAATGACACTTATTATGAAACGGAGAAAGTATTAATTAACATGCATAAATCCTTGTAGAATATATGTTTTGGCAGAAAACACCTAACGTTGAATCATCCATTTTCAATTCATGTCGTTGTCGTAACAAAAATTATTATCTACGGAGAGCATCCCTTATTATGGAAAAAAAAAATATCCAAACATAAATGTAAACACAAAAACCAATAAATGTTTTGTATAGTATTACCTATAGATTATTGCGAGCAGGATCACTAAGGGCCTGATTGGTTCTCCCGCTACCACCCGCAAACGCAGCGTTTGCGGTTCGTAGCGGTTTTCGGCGGTTTATAACAATCACGACAACCGCTTTGAATCGCTCTATACCACTCTGTACCGCTCTATATCGCTGAAAATCAAAAGCTCCTTTCCGCAAGCGTTTGCGGTTGCGGGCGGTTGCGGGTGGATAATTAAAAAAAAAAAAAAAACACAAACTTATATAAAATCCGAAAATAAATAATAATATTTATTAAAAAATAAGATTTGGATAATAAAATCACAATATAAATAAAAAATTAGTACTTTTAGTCAATATTCATTAAAATCATATAATACTTATATATTTATAAGTTCTACAAATCAAAATTCTCTTCATAAATATTCTTTTCATACTAATACATATATATCTAATAAATAAAATTGTAAAATAAATTTAATTTTCACATTAAATATATATTTTGAAAATAAAATCACATTTTTATTTAAATTATAGAAATTAAAAATAGACGTAAGTATTATACACATATTATTCTTTATAAAAAAATATTTTTAATTATGTTGAACCATAAATTTAAAATTTTCATTATAATATAGTTTTGATATTTTTATAATTATATAATGTGTTTATATTATTAATTTATTGTTTAACCGCTATTGCATCCGCAAGTGAACCAGTCATAAGTATCCCGCAAACGCATCCATTTTCAATTGTTATGCCAGTCGTACAAACCGCTTAATAACGCTACTAATCACAACCGCCCGCTTCCGCAAACTCCCGCACCCGCAACCGCAACCGCAGCGGTTAAACCAGTCAGACCCTAACTATGATACTAATACATATCAAACTAAAAAAAAATCAATAATTCCATGAAAAGAGTTGACAACTTGTTAATCTAGTTGTATATAAAAGATTCCGCAACCTTCACGTCAAGTTTCACACGGTATCCAGTTTGAGCATAAACAAACAAAAAGGTCCAACATCAACAACATTTTCCAAATGCTTCGAAATAAATAATACCAATGTTACTTTCTATGATGTCAATCTCTATTAAAAACGTTAGCTACATTTAGAATATGTTTTTTGCTCTTTTTGTACCAATCATCTTAGCATTGTTAGAACAACTGCTTTTACGCTTTATGTTTGCACGATTTTGAATTTGTGTGTTGCACTTAATTTGCAATTAACTAAACTTACAATTATATATAAGTGTTACTAAAATATAGATATACTGTATATTTTCAATTTTCAATTGCCAATATATAAAATATTATATTTTAACTTTTGGGAATGATGTTCCAAAGACATACTTATATGCCTTTGTGGTTGTTTGCTAATTAAAACAATCATAATGATGTTATGTAAGGTGCTGATTGGTTCACCCGCTGCTACCCACAAACGCTGCGTTTGTGGGTAGTAGCGGTTATTGGCGTTTGACAACAATCACCACAAACGCTTTATACCGCTTTAAACCGCTCAAGATCCCTCAACAACCCTCAAAATCAAAAGCTCCTTCCGCAGCGTTTGCGGTTGCGGGCGGTTGCGGGTGGATAATTAAAAAAAAAAAAAAAACACAAACTTATATAAAATCCGAAAATAAATAATAATTTTATTAAAAAATAAGATTTGGATAATAAAATCACAATATAAATAAAAAAATTAGTACTTTTAGTCAATATTCATTAAAATCATATCATACTTATATATTTATAAGTTCTACAAATCAAAATTCTCTTGATAAATATTCTTTTCATACTAATACATATATATCTAATAAATAAAATTGTAATATAAATTTAATTTTCACATTAAATATATATTTTGAAAATAAAATCACATTTTTTATTTAAATTATAGAAATTAAAAATAGACGTAAGTATTATACACATATTATTCTTTATAAAAAATTATTTTTAATTATGTTGAACCATAAATTTAAAATTTTCATTATAATATAGTTTTGATATTTTTATAATTATATAATGTGTTTATATTATTAATTTATTGTTTAACCGCTATTGCATCCGCAAGTGAACCAGTCATAAGTATCCCGCAAACGCATCCATTTTCAATTGTTATGCCAGTCGTACAAACCGCTTAATAACGCTACTAATCACAACCGCCCGCTTCCGCAAACTCCCGCACCCGCAACCGCAACCGCAGCGGTTAAACCAAATCAAAGATTGCTGACGCGTGAACTCTTGTCTAATTGGCTTCTTACCAAATCAAAGGATTAATTAGTGAAACATCATAATGCTTTGATTAAAATATTTCGTTTAAGTGCTAAGTGATTGGTTGATTCCACCCACTGGCTACAGATTCCTATCAGTCACTTACTTTCTCTGCAAGTTGAAATTTTATATAAGAGAATATTATTAAGTGAAAGAACACGTAATCATTAATTTAACATCCCCTCATTTTGATTCGTCGATAAAAAAGTTGAAAACATGGAGAATCTTATCATCCAGTGTAAGATTCAATCATGATTCAATCAAATAATGTCCCTCTTGAGCTTTAACCTCCCAGGTATTTGAAACCTAATTTTGCCGAATTTTCAGAATTTTTGTTGCTGTGATATTTACTACACGATTCTTAATGAGTAAACACAAAGTTAGTGTAAGAATTTTACTGAATATTATTACATTTGTTTAAAAAGGTATATTTTCCCTAAAAATCAAACTGTGTTCAGAATGGAAAGTATGAATTATAATACATGCTTTAATATTGTTTCAAAGAAAAATACCTAAAGGTTTGATTTGCTATCATCATCACTGAGTAGGAACATGCACAAGAGTATTCACCCAAAACTGAGGAGGAGTTTAACCGAAATGACTTAGGTTAGAGTTCTTAGAGAGTTTTAGTACGAAGAGCAGCTTTTTTTATCTGTTCCTCCAGAATTCAGTTTTTCTATTTTTGTAAACATTGTGGCTCATGATGATGATGATCAAACACTTTTTGAATATCATTGTGAACTTTTCTTTCTGCAAGTAAAAGAAATGATTGCACCAGACTCACCATTTCATGTTGTGAGAATTAAAACTCACACTTCGCCTCTCCTAGATATCAGTTTATGTTCGGGAAATCAACAAACATGCAGCTGTAGAGTTGTTTAAGATTCATTAAACACAGCAAAAACATCTTGTACACTGAATCAGGAAACCAATCTCTCTGCAACAGTAACATTATCAAAACGGAGAGTGCGAAACCTATGCCTGAAAATGCATCACCTAAAGCTAAAAGATGTATCATTGAACCAGATAAACAATTGCATCAATGATTCATTGTGGAGAATCTCGAGCAAATTCAATGGATTCTAGTCAATATAAACATTGAAAGACAAATATATAGATGTCTTAACATTAATAAGAACTCATTACCAGAGGCAAGTTATATGCAGTAAACGCATTTGAACTTACAATGCACCGAAAAACACGAAATTCATAAGTAAACAGAAAAAGGCCTGAGATTTATTTACTGAAATCGTGTTTCAAGAAGGTACATCTCCACCAGGCATCTCCCAGTTGTCTTCTTCTTCATCCTTTTTCTTACTCTTGGTTGCTGCTGCTGCTTCTTCTCTTGTTTCTTGAGTAAACCTTGCTTGAGGACGCCTGTAACAACCAACCAAGAAAAAAGACAAATCACACACAAATTCAATACCATCTCTGCTATTTCAATCCTTCAAAGCTAAGAGACAGTGAAGGAGCTCAAAAACTGTGTATTTCAAATCTTCACAGGCTATTAGAATTAGTCAATTATCAACACACAATCTGTTTTCACAGTATGAATCAATCACTGGAAAGAAGTTCTAAGGGGAAAATTCCAGAGCAAAGTGAAGCGAAACCTTTTCTTATTACGCTTAGCGGCATCGCGAGTCCTCCGCTTCTTCTCGTCCTGTTTGTTCTCGAAGTATCTCCTTCGCTTGCATTCCTGGATAACTCCAGTTCTCATCACTTCCCTTCTAAACCGATTCACGAGCCTCTCCTCTGACTCGTTATCCTCGACGAACACCTGCACGTTGTAGCCTGAGCTGAAGAAGAGCGTGTTCGAGTACGCAAGCGACGGGCATATCACGGAGGAGAGCTCAGAGGAAAGCGAAGGGGTAGAAGAAGGCTCATCGACCGCCATTGATTCGATTGCGAGATCATTCCTCCGCCTGTGGGAAACCGTCGGAGAGGGAAGAGTGATGTTGGGAGGCGGAGTGGCTTTCGGCTGGGATTTGAATGGAGAAATGAAGGAGATGAAGCTCGTGAGTGAGAACGAAGCCGCCATTAACGCTTCTCTGGGAGTGAAGAAGAAATTGGAGAAGATTGAATTGTGGATAAGAATCCAATTCCCCCCAATTTCTAGGTCAGTGGATAAAACCCGGTTGCACATACGGCTTCGGGTAATCAAAACCGGGTGTGAAACATTTGGGCTATATTGGTTATTCTAAGGCCCATTAACTGGATTCTCGTTTTGTTCGTTTTTCAAGTTATACTTACGTGTAGAACGTAGTTGAAGACTTTTGTCGTATATCTTCAAATAAAATATTTGAGTGTCTGCTACAATCTGAAATAAAATATTTTACCCATGGGAAGCGATAATGGTGGTGACTGTCTACGTGAACTTCATCTTTATTAAATCAAAAGGAATTGTATTCTTTCAAAATATATTATTATGAAGGTGAAATAAAGCTACTTTTGGTCTACTAATATTATAACTCTACATGATTAAAAATTCAGATTTGATACGAGTAACGAAGTCTTTACATTGGCCGAGTCGGCAGTTGTCGATCTCCCATGAATCTCACATAAAATTATCTATACTTTTTTCTTAGCTAATCTATGATATAAATGTGGAAATTCGTATATCGACATACTTTTTATAATTTAGTTTTATGGTCTCTCCATGCCTGCGTTTTATAATTATCACAATTGATTGTGACTACGAAATCATAGTCCAATATGTCCTTGCCGGTGCTATATATAGTTTGTCGACACCTCACAAGGCGCTTAAACATAAGGTTCGTTTATATGAACAAAACTTAGTTTTTCGAGTTGCTTGATTGATATTATCAACTGAGTGACGAAATTACAAATTAGATAAAATAATTTAGTACTGTTTACCAAGATTGAATAAAATGTTACTAGAATAACACAATTTGTTGTCGAGCCTCCACCGAGTACGACTTGTGGCATTTGGGTTTGGGGTTATACCTTACTTTTTTACAAATATTTTCTCTAGTGGACTAGCTTTAAAAATTAGTTATATGATGATGGCGACTTCCTATTGTCATTATCCAAATTTTCATATTAAATTGTGTATGTATGAGGATTCAGGAAATCATGTTTTATGTAAAATAATCCATAGTACATATGTCCTTTGATAATCGTTCACGATTTGGGATTATATAGGACCACCATTTTATAGCGTCTTAATCTAAAAAAATTAGGTTGTCTAAAAACATAGTTGATCAAATACATTAATTGCTTTTTGGTTTAGAATAAATATTTATATCCGGGTACGATTAAGCAATCCAACTACGTAAAGTGTAAACAAACAGAAAGACTAACTCAATGATAATATACCAGTGTGAACGTACTATATATACTACTAACCTTGCTAAATTCTGAAATGAGATGTGATCGAACCGTTTTAGTCATGTAACACACCTTTCATGTATTTAAAATTTAAAACCGTTTATTACCTCTCTTATCCTAACAGAGATAATTTTAGTTCAAAATTATTTTGTGATCTTTTTTTTTTTTTGGTTTTAGTATTTTGTGATCTTGCATAATATAAGAATACAAATTATTGTTCTTTTCGACATGCACGTAGCAGAATTTTTTGGTAAACTCTTTTATAAACAACTAACCGTACGTAACCTAGATATTCATTTCCATTATAACAACTTTAGAATAATAGGTCTATACAATACGAATATGATCAACCAATATCGCGCTTCATTTCTATTACTATGTTTTCGTATATTCTTTTTTCTAGTTTTTTTGTCAACTTAGATATTTTATAGTTTAAATCAATTTCGGTTTGATTCATCGAACCAATAAGAAACATAGCAAAAGGTGTAAGATTAATTTATTGCTTAATAGTTTTGGATATCATGGTGTATTGGTGTATTAAATAGTAACTGGAGGTTGAAAACTGAAAAGGTTTAAGAAAAACCTTCTCCACTTAAATAGTGGAGAGCCAACACATAAGACGTGACATACGGATTAATCTATTGATTAGGTAAAGTTATTTAATGTTTAAAGTATTGAAAACGAAAAAAATGTTAGTGACTTCTTTTTTTGTACAAGTGACACCGTAAGACATTTAAAATTGCTTAATTCCAAAGGATAAACGGTGGTGAACTTGGTGGTATTATTTAAAATGATGTTTCAGTTAATTCTAAATTACTAATCTTAACATATAAATAGAAGGATAATAGCACTAAAATGACCAAGGTAAATTAGGTGAAGGATAGGTGAATGACTCTATAATTTTTTTCAGAGAAATAAATCTTAAATGTTTTTATGTTGGTAAATAAAAGAGGATCAGTCATTTACTTGATTAAATCTCATAATATGGTTATCTACCTAGATGACTATAAATATAAACACAAATATACTTATACACACAAACTTGTAAAAAGAGTGAGTGCAGAATATTCCAGTCTATATGCTAACTAATTTAATATGTTTTCACGAATGAAAGCTTTTAAAATTAGACAAATTGTTTCTTTTCTACGCATATTCTCAGTCGCCCTTTCTCTCCCTCCCAGTCAGACACACACACACTTAACGATATAATAATTTCATTTATACATTTGGCTTTTTTTTACCGCCGATTCTTCAAGAAATTTCGAATATGGTTTTGTCGTTGCTCGCTCACTGAAGCAAAAAACAATAATAAGTCACTGCCTTTATTATTCATTTATTCCAATATAGAAAAGTAACTTCTTTATGGCGAATTCTAATTTAAGCTGAACTTCCCCTGCAACTGAGGGTGGATACCTTTCTCTTCGCAAAAAAGTTATGATATTATAAATCTTTATATTAAATTTCCCTTTTGGTATTTTATATTTAATATCCATCGTCATCTCTTTTTGTATTTTCTTTGATTTTTTAATTTCTTATTTACAGATGAAGAAAAGGGAGAGGGAGAGGAAGCAGAAGAATAAGAAAGAGAATAGAGAAAAGAGAAGAAAGAAGAGAGGGCTTTTAAAATCAAAATTTTTAGGGTTTGTCTTCCCCTGTAAGTCTCTTTGACTTTTGACCAAATTTTTCTTCAGGTATATATTATAGGGATGTACATACGCATATACACCCCCACTCTTGTATCTACATGTTCAATTTGTATTGGTTCTTCAGTAATAATAGCTAATATCTGTAAGTGTTTTTCACTTGTAGACTGTTGGCTAACAAGGGTTTGCGATTTCAATCCCTAATTATATTCACTGTTTTGGTTTAATCAAATCTGTTTAATTGATTATCTGTTTAATTGCTTGTTATAACTCGGATTAACTTAAATAAATTGCTTTTTTCTAATTTTGTTTCTGGTAGTAGTCTTCTGAGTTGGATTCGATTTTGATATTCTAGTCTTGAGTCAATTACTTAGAAATCAAATTTGCTCGATTTGAGTAGTTCAAGATTTGAATCTTTTCTTGTTTTGTTTTATTTTTTGTTTTTTTTTTTTGCTGTTAAAAAAAAGAAAGTTGTTTTCATACAGAAATATTGAAACCTGTAAACTGCTTTTACAGTTGACTCTGTATCTGGTTGCGTCTGTATTAGGTTCTACAGTCAGATTATCTCTGTTTGATTCAGATTTTGTTCTTTTGTTTAAAATTTGTAGAGAGGGAATGTCAAGAACGCAGTAGAAGAAATGTTGATGCTAGGAGAAGATCACAATGGTCGAATTCGAGCAAGCTCGAGCATGCCTAGGACGAAGAAGCTTCGGATCCATGGCTGTTCCAAGATTCCGGATCTAAACGCCGAGCCTTGTTTGGACTGGGAAGAAGAAGAAGAAGAAGAAAGAGAGGCGACTCAAGCTTTGAGTTTACCTCAGGATGCAGATTATGTACTAAACGTTCCTCAGCTCGTCCCCGAGCTAGAGGTCGAGATACTCGCACGCGTGCCGCGTTTCGAGTACTGGAAACTTCTGTTTATCAACAAGCCCTTCTCGCGTTTGCTAAAGAGCGGTGAGATCTTCAAGGTGAGGCGAGAACGCAGGCTTGTTGAGCCGTCTGTCTTTATGCTGTCGATCGGCGACACGCGGTGGACCATGTTCGATAAGGACTTTGAGAATTTCCATAAGCTACCGGAGCTTCCTTCCGATAGTTGCTTCTTGCAAAGAGATAAAGAATCGCTCTGCGCCGGAACACATTTGATCGTCATTGGGAAAGAAGACGAGGGCATTGCACTGTGGCGGTACGAGCTTGAGACGAGCAAGTGGTTCAAAGGTCCTGCGATGATCACGCCGCGGATCTTGTTCGCTTCAGCTACGTGTGGCACCGTTGTGTTTGTAGCCGGAGGGATGAAGATCGACGAGAACGGAACTGTGGAAGTCGTGAATAGAGCGGAGAAGTACGATTCGGAGACCAAAACGTGGACGCTGCTCCGTGGAATGCACAAGAGGAGGAAATTCTGTTCGGGGTGTTACTTGAGCGGCAAGTTTTACGTTCTAGGTGGTAGGGATGAGAACGAGCAAAACCTAACTTGCGGAGAACGTTACGACGAGGGGACAGACAGTTGGGAGATAATACCAGACATTCTCAAAGACATGTCTTTCTCGTCATCTCCACCGCTCATCGCGGTGGTTGGTGATGATCTTTACTCTCTGGAGACATCGGCGAACGACCTCAGAGTTTACAATGCAAACGCAAGAGCTTGGAAGAAGCTTGGAGATGTGCCTGTGAGAGCTAAGTCCAGTGGAGGATGGGGAGTTGCGTTTAAGTCGCTTGGAGACAGATTGCTGGTGATTGGAGCATCTGCCGGACCTTCTCGGGCTGAGACGATGTCGGTTTACACGTGTCGTCCGCCGGCTGATGGTAAGGAGGAGCTGCGTTGGGAGGAGTCTAAGCGCTGCTGTGACGTTGAGCTCAACCATTTTATCTTGAACTGTTGTGTGATGATTGCTTAAGGGTCTTCTCTAGAGCAAAAGTCAAAACTGGGGTAACTTTTTGGTTTCTTTTTTTGCGTGTTTGAATAAAAAAAGGTTGTTGCGTTCCCAGACGCTGAAACTTGGCCGCTCTTGTGTGTTTCGGTAAACGCTGGTGATCCTCGTTTTGTGATATAGCTTAAGCATTTGTGTGAAAGATAACAAACGTTTGTGTGCTAAATAACAATCTTGTTGAATCTGAATAATTTGAAATGGAAACAGCTGAGTTTTATTATGATTAGAATCCTTTTTGATACGAGATCAGAGTCTAATCAGAAAGAAAAAAAATGAAGTGAACTTTGCTTCTTCCGAGAGGGAAAAAAATGTCTAGTCAAAATTTGTTACAATTGACAGTTTCATTTTTATCATGGGAGACTCACAACCAAGTGCAAAGATCGAATTTTGTGGTTGTTTTGTCATCACCCATTTTTTCAGTTTGTGTAAATAATGATATTGATGAACCGGGCTTTTGTGAAAACTATGTAGGCCCATTTAACATTTCGTATCTACGGAAACTACACGCTGTTTCCTATGTACGCTATTACACTGCAGGACGTTTACGCGTCAAGGTAGTCACTAATGAGAGTACACAGCATTTGATTTGGGGACGAAAACAGGAAGACAAAGTGTCGATGATAATGGCGGGAAAGCGTTCGTCGCCGTTTTCTTCTCCGCTGCTAAAGCCACCACCGCTTCTGGCTGTGAAGGTGGAAGGAGATACGGAGGCGTTGGGCTGGAGGAAGGAAGTAGACGAGAACTTGAAGCGCCTTCAATCGCTGCTTTTCGGTGCCGACCGATTCCTGGAGAAATCCGATTTCTCCTCCGCTCAGATCCTTGGGCTTCGCCTTCTAGGTTTCCTCGATTCTCGCGCTATCACCGACGAAGATCGCGCTTTCATCGGTCCCATCCGCCGAGAAGTTGCCTCTAAGGTCGATTTAGCTTTGGAAGGCCTCGTTTCAGATTCGGACCGGTACCTGAGCCTTTTCCCTTTTAGCCTATTTAATTCGAATTGTTTTGAGCTTAGTCGAGTCTTCTGAGTGGCTTGGAAGGTTGGGTATTTGAAAATGTGTTGCTCTTTATCTGTAAATTTAAGAGGATTCATTTGCTCGTTTGTGCTGAAATTAGAACTGTGAATGGAATTGAAAAATCAGGTAACGTTGAAATTGAAAATAATGAGTGGATGCTACTCGTGTTCTCCAATCTTTGGACTTCGTTCACTAGCTTTTAGCTGAAATCAAAAGTTCTTCTGAAGCTCAGTTATCGTCAATATTGGTTACACTTAGAAGTTTTTGGACTACCCTTTCATGGTGTGTTTCTTGCTGTATCCAGGAAAGCGTTTGAACTTGCAAAAACAGCTCCAGGCCCTATATTTGGCAGCAAAGGCAACTTTGATGTGGAAAAGATTAAGCAGTCAAAACACTTTCATTTTGATATCAGTCAGTCTAACGGAAAGGGTGTTAAAGAGATGGTAATGCTCTTCATTTCTTGAATGATCGTAGTACTGGTGATGAGTTTGGAAACACAGCCATGTTATCTCTACTTGCTTCCTGTTTCTACTGTGCTTTCTTTAAGAATTTACTACGATGCTTTATCTAAGGATCACCTACTAATTACTGATTATACATAGATGTTTTTTTGCTTCAACATAGATGATTTCTTGTTTCAGGAAGAACGACTGGATACGCATAAGTTGATTCCCAAAGCACCAAAGTCAATGGTGCAAGCCAGACTGACATCATTGTATGGAAACAACATGGGTAAACCAGATAATCTGCGCAAAACTTCCGTGAACAATCAAGAAGGTGCCTCGGATGACTGTGTTGTTGTGGAGAGAAGTCATGGGTTTGGTTTTGGTACAAAGCGAGCTCATCCAGAAACCAGCAGCCTCGCAAATGATGGGGAAACAAAGGCAGATGGAGCTGCTAGTGGATTTGTAACCGCCAAAACAAAACTGGTAGAAGGATCTTTCATTATTCCTTCTTTTAGAGTCTTCCAATTTTCATTCATCTCTATTTTGCGGAGCTTAATCTTCAAACTGTGCTTTGTTACCTTTTGCCTGTATGGATGTTTCTGATTCTGGTTTAGTGTGTCAGCATCTCAACTTTGCTGATCATAATCTGTTGAACTGTGCTCTGTGTCAATTTGCATATGTTTGACTACTATCTCTCTTGCTTTAGGAAATGGACGTAAGACAAAAACGAGGATCAGCCGGGTCACCAAATTCGTCTCTACAGGGTGAAAAAAATGCGTTAGCTAGGGGCTACGGCTCAAGTTCGGGCTTACGACGTGGATACCGTGGTAATTTCGTTCCTCCCGTTAAATCCAACGGGAATAATGCTGGAAATACGACATCTCGTATTGGTGGAAAGACTGACGATGCACTAGATGACTCAACTAGAACATGGTAACTTGTGTAACTCCTTAAATTTATGTTGTAGTACATGCATGCCAAAAGGACTTGAAGATTAATTACATACGTTAAATTATTATTGGCTGCTTGTTCATGGTGCTAATCTACTGAGGTGTGGCGTTTAGATGAAAAAAGGGCTATCAATTGAGATTATGTAGTGTATAAGCATTTCTTGTACTATCAAGCTTATGTGCTTATATGAAGTTAGGATCTTGTTCTTGCTTAGAATCCTAATTGACAGAAGCTCCTAAACAATCAGTAGCCTTCTATGTCTCTAAGCATGAAAATATTAATATCAATTCTGAGATAACCTGCATGTCTATTTATTTATTATCTTACTCTAGTTTGGAGTTGCTCTGTGGCCCTGATGGTGAGCTTCCCGAGAAGTTGAGAAACTTAGAACCTCGTCTTATAGAGCATGTCAGCAACGAAATTATGGATCGAGACCCCAACGTCCGCTGGGATGATATTGGTAAATACATGTCTCGCTTCAATGTGTATTATTATCCCACTTGCATCTGTAGTTTCTCATCTTGAGTCATATTGTTGTGCAGCTGGTCTGGAGCATGCTAAAAAATGTGTAACTGAGATGGTCATTTGGCCATTGTTACGTCCTGACATTTTCAAAGGTTGTCGTTCACCTGGAAAAGGACTTCTTCTATTTGGCCCACCTGTAGGTACCCTTGTCTATTCGGTATTGAAGATGAGATAACACTGTCCATGTTTCTTACTTCTGTAACTACTGCATCCCAGGGAACTGGTAAAACAATGATTGGAAAAGCTATAGCTGGAGAAGCAAAAGCAACTTTTTTCTATATTTCAGCTAGTTCATTGACAAGCAAGTGGGTTAGTTCCACATCCTTGCTTCCTTTCACGCGGACATTCATGAATTTAGGACTGTGAGTTTGTTCCACCGCAAGTTTAACATTCAAACGAGTGTACATGCAGATTGGTGAAGGTGAAAAGCTAGTGAGGGCCCTCTTTGGAGTTGCAAGTTGCCGCCAGCCTGCAGTGATATTTGTAGATGAAATTGATTCTCTACTATCCCAGGTTTGTTCTAAAACTCTTCAAATTAGAAATGTTGAGCCCCTATCAATGTAGAAAATGGCCTGGAAAGAAACACAGGGTGGTTCATCAAAAAGACTATTTGTGGCATGTTTAGCATCTTTGATTTCCCTAATGCAACATTCTGCTAAAAGAAAACAAACTTTCACCCTTTGCTGCAGCGTAAGTCAGATGGTGAACATGAATCGAGTAGAAGGCTCAAGACACAATTCCTTATTGAAATGGAAGGTTTCGACAGTGGCAGCGAGCAAATTCTCCTAATAGGTAAAATTAATTTGAATACTCAGGTTTGTGTTTTGTAGGTTTTATGAAAGTTCAATTTTATGTTGTTAATTGTTTTATCTTTGGTCAGGAGCTACAAATAGACCCCAAGAGCTTGATGAAGCAGCAAGAAGACGACTTACCAAGAGACTTTACATTCCTCTTCCTTCATCTGGTGAGGAATGATATATACACTTCTTCACGCCATTCTCTCGTGCTGTTCGAAAATACCGTCCTCACATAGTTCTGCTTTTGAATTGAAGAAGCAAGAGCATGGATCATAAAGAATCTTCTACAGAAAGATGGCTTGTTTACACTGTCGGAAGATGACATGAACACCATATGCAACCTAACTGAAGGTAAAATTTATCATATGAACTCAGAATTGTTGGGAAATTATGGAGTTCTGATCTTAAAAGTCTTTTAAGACCACAACCCAAAAATGCAAATACACATTTTTTCATCACAACCAAGCTAGCTTTATTTCAATTTTGTCACTGCAGGGTACTCGGGATCGGACATGAAGAACCTAGTGAAAGATGCAACAATGGGTCCACTAAGGGAGGCTCTCAAACGAGGCATAGATATAACAAACCTGACGAAAGATGACATGGGTTTTGTCACTCTTCAGGTAAACAAAAAAATGAAGATATCATTTAAACAGTTTGTTATTTAACTCTGTGAATTCACGTGTAGCAAAAAGAAACCATTTTGTTTCCGTCTCTGTTTCATCAATTTGGTGATGATGCAGGACTTTAAAGACGCATTGCAAGAAGTAAGGCCTTCGGTTTCTCAGAGCGAACTCGGAATCTATGACAACTGGAACAATCAGTTTGGTAGTTTAAGCCTCTAAGATTAAGACTGGTGAGTTATACAATACAATCTTTCTATATATTTTCTTTTTGAGCTAAGGCCCTTTTGTTTTCTGGAATATACTATACATATGCGGTATATATATCTGACATCCACAGTTATAAGATAATACAACAATTGCACTATACAAATACAGTACCTGTTTAGACCTAAAACTCCAGTCTCTTTTCTTCTTCTTTGCTCCTATACTGTTCCTGTCTAAGATTAAACAGAAACCTTCAACGACCCACTAAATTGAAAACTCAACATTTGAATAGAAGGATGCTTTGAAATGTTTCTATCAAACTTACCTATACATGTATGCTTTCCAAAATATTCTACAACACCACTAGACATTCGGCGCCGTGCTTATGCGTTTTGCTCGTTTCAGGAGACCTCTGTACTCAAGACTCCTGGACCATTCATCAATCTCACGTGCACGCAGAACCGGCAATGGATGCGACAGTTGACTCGTCTGAGCATTTCTGTAAACAAAGAAAGTAAGTAAACAATCAAGAAGCGAATCAGAAGGAATATTTAGAGACACATTTTTGTATAATTTAAGTCTCACCTTATGTACCACCCCAAGGGGCTTGAAGAAGCTTTGTCATATGAACGTGCTTGTTCTAGAAATGCATCAACATTTAGCTGATCAGCGATTGATGGGCATCCTCCAGCTAATTTCATCAGAACGGACACAACAACCTCTTGGAAGCGCCACGAGAGAGATTATATAATAAGAAGAGAGAAACACCACTAAGTATCTTCCGTCTAACTTGAAAGCATTCTGTTTTAGAAGTTTCTTCGATGATTTTTAGAATTGGTACCTTTGGATCTTGGGCCACGAGAAGTGCAGCACGGTCACAAGTCAGCTCTGCTGAACGAAGCCAACGTAGTAACTGTTCTTCCAAGGTTCGAGCAATCATTTGCCCAAAAGCTGCAAACAACAGAATTCAACTTAGCAACAATAACATTCGTGTCAAAGTCTCACGCCTTCTGCAAACTGAATTTCTTACTTTCAGTAACAAATTTTATGAATGAAAGTCAATAAATTTGTCAGACAGACAGAACAGAAAATACAAGCCTTGGCAACTGCAGTTGAGTGTGTCACCTACCAGGAACTGTATAAGCACCAAGAGTAAGAATATTTGCAAATGTAAGCCACACGCCGTGATCACACTTGAGATGGCCTAGTTCATGAGCCAAAACAGCCTAGTTTTGAGGTAAAAAAGGGTCAGATTTTGGTACAATAAGCTGATAAAGTTCTGATTGGCCAATCATAGTATCTATGGTTAGGTTCAATCGTGTGGTTCCCAATAAAAAAACATAGAACTTGTAATGCAGAAAAGAGTAGGAACCTGTAGCTCTTGGCGAGTCAGAAGCTCGATCAAGCTGGTATGGACAACAATAAACGGCTTCTTACCACTTATTGCCAGTGTATATGCGTTTGGAACAGGGCTTTGACGGACGTAGAGGTCCGGAGCTTCTATGTTCAAGATCTCAGCGGCCTCGACCAACAAACCGTGAAGATCAGAGAGCTGAAACAACAAATACAACAAACAATATGTCTCATTTCTGCTGGTAGGGGAAAGATAATCTCCACAAGACATCGTTTGAAAACAATAACCTGATTCTTGGAGACAAGAACAGAAGTCCCAATGTTCTCAAGAAGCATGATCTGTTCCGTCATTGACCCTACAACAGTCGATAAATCAAATTTCTCATCATAAACAACAAGAGCTACTAAATTCTGAAAAATTCACCTAAAAGAGCTTTCCCGAATTCGTTCAACCCCGGAATTGCTCTTAGTAACAAAGTGTTCTGTAGCAAAAAAAAAAACATTACAGTCAATTCAAGCTACGAATCAAACTTTGGAATTCCATCAAGCAGCCTTATCAGATCATTTCTTAGCCAATCAGAAAATTGAATGAAACGGAGGAATCGAACTCCAAGGTTCCAATTCCGATCACTCAGATGATAAAAAATGTAAGTACTCAAAGTAGTGTGTATACAGACCTGCTTATCCAGAGGATGCCGGAAATCATCCGCGTCGAGATCTTTGAACAAGAGAGGAGGCACAGCTCTGCAAATCGGAACCCTAACCCTCAATCTTCCCACCCTATCCGAACGGAATCCGATGGAGCTCAGTGAACGACGACCAGAACTGAAACCCTTTGTTCGTCTGTATCCGAAACAACGTGACAATTCGGCACTCTGTTGGTAACAGAGAAACGAGACCGGAGCTAAAACTGAAACAGCCATGAGAGTGAGAGAGCTCGAGGAGGAGCGACGGAGCTGCGTTGGTTAGCGATCGGCTATCTATTTTATGCCGGTGAAGAAGATGATATTAATATCGGAGACGAAAAACGTATGCCGTCCACAACCGAAGTTTAATGGTTGAGCATTTGACGCGCCTTCATTTTTCCGTTGACCGTTAGTTTCTTCTCCGAACGGCTTCGATTAATGGGCTTTCACTTCTGGGCCCATTTAACTAAACAGCACGTAGTTTGTTATCCACTGGCACGTAGTGTGATCTCGTCGTCTGCTTTCGATAAAATTTGGATTTTGCTGGAGATTTCTGGAAAAAAATCCTCCATCATAATTGATTCTTTGTTCTTGATCGATCGATCGATTCTATAAACATGTATGTATAATTATAATCATATTAGCTTATTTGGAATCATTAATTATCCAATCTGAATCTTCAATTCCCTTTTGTGATTTCTCGCTTTTTTTCTGATCAGGAAACACTCAGCGAATCGGTCTCCGTCACCTGATGAAGATGCGGCGGATGATTTCGAGAAGGAAGAGCTCACGCTTCGAGAAGTCATCAACATCAAGGTTTCCGATTTTTCTCACCTTTGTTTGAGCTCAATTTACTACTGTTGTGGACTTTTATTGAAAGTTTTCGAAATTTTATTCGTTTAGTTGGCGGAGAGCGGAGAGAAGGAGACTCTGATGGAGCTCGTGAGAGATAGATTGGTGGAGTGTGGTTGGAAAGATGAGATGCGAATTGCTTGCAGGTTTCTTCATCTATTATTTTCTTGCTATCAACCTAAATTCGCATTCTTTTGATTCAGATCAATCTTTAAAGTTGGTTAGTCGTTTCTGGTGACTCATTAGTGGGTTGCAGCTTCTAAAATTTATCAAAACGCTGCAAAGAAATGTCAAAAATCTCGAAATCTTGCTATAAGATATCACTTGTGACTGGTTTTGTTTGAAGCTTTTAAGAGTTTTGAAATTGGGTGTTTTTTGTTGTTGGTGTTGTAAAGCAAAAGGAATTAACTTTTTTTATATTTGTTCTGTGGACAGAGTTGAATTTAACAAGTGAACCACCTTTGTTTGAGAAGTTGGTTTTTAGCTTCTGACATTGTGCAAGTTCTCTTTTTTACTGCAGGGAGCATGTAAAGAAGAAGGGAAGAAAAGATGTTACAGTCGATGAACTGATCCGAGTGATCACTCCAAAAGGCAGAGGTAAAGATAACGAACCCTTTTAAGATTAAACAGAAACCACAACTATAGTTTCTATATCATCAATCAATCTCACTAGAAGCGTGATGTTTAGTAAGCCTGACTTTGTTACTAATGCAGCTTCAGTACCAGATTCTGTGAAGGAAGAGCTGTTGAACAGAATTCAAAACTTCATTGTATCAGCTGCTCCTTGATGGTCTCTGACAATTTACTACGAAGATGGTGATTATGTCTCTATAGTGGACCCAGCCAACACTAACCAGGGAGAAACCATAGAGTTGTATCATCTTTGCTCTCGTAGAATTAGCTTTGTTACTTTAGTTCCATCTTTGTACCAAATGAAACATTGCCAAATCCTCAAGAAAATGTTGTCTCAATAATGGCCTTTTGATCAAACATGGTACAAACCATAGACGATGTAAAGATTAATGAAAGTTACTGTGCAGGATAATAGCAATTTAAAAGTTAAACTTGTCATTCATGACGTTTTTTCCCTTACACAAGCAAAACACAAACATAAGCTCACATATATATTTCTTTTTGGCTCTGTTAAGTCTCTCTTTCTCTCTATGTATTCTTCTACATAAAATCTTTGTTTCAAAAAGAGTTATCTCAAATCTCTCACAAACATAGACAAACTCACACATTAGACACAAACAAGAGCGAGAGTGGTCGCTTATTCGGCAGAGCCTCTTCACCATTTTTGCTTGCCTTAAGAAACACACACTCCTTCTCCCTCTCTTCCTTAGTAAACATACATTTGAATTCGACTCTTAACTAAATCCCAAAAGCTTACGCTCTTATGGTAATTCATATACTGATATATTTATATAGATAGATTTCAGACCAAAACCCCTCTCCCCTTGGCAACGTGGTGTTGCATAGGTTGATCGGCTTATGCAGAACCAGCTTGTTCGCAGAGGTCTAGCAGATCCAACGTCTGCAACAAAACCATCATCGTTAACACATCATCTTAACTAAAGTACCTACTAAAATCCAAAAACTCCAAATCCATGGGTATGGTCACGAACCTCGGGAACAGAGAGCTCAAGGCGGAATTTGGGACCATCGTAGTGGTGAAGAACAGGACGGAAGGAATCCTCTTCCAACGCTTTGCAGATTTTCCTAACTCTGATCCTTACCTGTTGTTATTTTAGAGAAAGAAGTAGAATTGGTACAAGATATCAAAACGAAGACTATAAAGGATAAAAATATCATTGTGATAGTAAGTTTTACCTGAGCCGGGAATCTTGACTCTCCTTTGCACTTTTTGTCTTCCCAAGCAGTTGCATCAATATTTGTACCTCCAAAAGTCGTTGCCTGAAACCAGGAAATGGTAGGTCAAAACCATTGTTGTTATGATATGAGATAACACAAGGAAGCAAGAGAACAAACCTCAAAGATACCATGGAGCTGGTGAGTGGTGTAGTTGTACAGAAACAGAGGCAATCCAGGTGTTATCGCTCGAACAGAGTCTCTGTATCTTGGAGGTAAACCTGACAAAGTTTATAAAGATTGCATGAGGGATTGAGCAAAGCAAAAATCATCTACTTGCAGTCTGAACTGTGAAAGCTATTGGAAATTACCAAAGAGGTGACGTTTCAAGTCTTCCTGCATGGTATCGTTGTTGCAAACAAAGATGTAACCGCCAAGAACTTCGTTCCTCGGAAGCGTCTCCGATGCAGGCAATGTTTTAAATCTCTTGTCAACAGCCAAATTCATATTCGCATTATCATTGTTGTTGCTGTGTTTGTTGTTGCTCAGCTCCTTGTTCGCAACAATATTGCCACTGTACTTGTTAACTTTCTGGTTCCCTGCACTTTTGAAATCATTCTTCTGGAAAACGGTGTTCATGTTCATGTTCATGTTGTAAACATTGCTCTGCATCGAACTTTTCCCCATGCCTCCTTCTCCATATTTGCCATCCAAATTCAACATGTTGAAGTTAAGGTTGTTGTTCTCCTGGAAGCTAAACTTGTCGTTTGGCCTGAACTCAGTGTAGCCTTTGGAGAGATCAAGGTTGTTCATCCTTTCCCCTTTGGTTCTCGTTTGCTCGGCCAGCTTCGTCGCAACTGTGGACCATTTGTGATCCTCTGATGCTCTTGACTGACCTCTGAGCTCGTCACCCAACTGCCAGAAGCTGTCCATAGCTCAAAATCTACCAAAAGCAACACAAATCACATAAATTGTTACTTTACTGCTGACAAGTTAACAAAGAATGAAAACAGAAACCACAAGGAAGAATATTTCAACTGCAAAACGCTGGTTTTAGTCAACACAATACCATAATTTCTTTCACAATTACCATTTATGTTCAAATCCATATCACCAGCTCTCGAAATAGCTTCGAAACGGAAAGTCAGAAGATTGGATAAACACTGAAGTTTTTCAATCTTCATTTCGATCAATTTAAAGGTAAATATTATCAAATCGAAGCTGATGAAATATAAACACAACCCAAACCCTAGCCATTCAATTCATTTTAAAAACTCCCAAATTCATCATCAAAAGTTTCATAGAACGATAAAACTAAGCTCGTGGACCTGGACTAAGAAAAACGAAAGCTCTAAATTGATCGGAAGGTTTAATTAGACGCAGAGATTTTTGGAGGGGAATCTTAACGGATAAGCATCAAAAATCGAAAAACTAGATTTAGGGATTGTACAGAAAGGTAAACATAGAAATCGAGAGAGAGAAAGAGAGAGAGAGAGAAAACGGACCTTTTGCTTCGCTTCCTCGAAATCCGCCGGACGTGAGGATGAGAAACCGAAGAAGGAAACACGTCAGAGAGAATGAGAGAAGAAATGGTCCTGAATGGTGGATCTGTAGATTTATCAGACTTACTCTCCCAAATAGACCCTCCTTTTCACCGTTATTTACGTTATGTTGCCACTGCCGTATAAACCACGCGTCAGTGCTTCAGTAGCTTTCAAGTTTGAAATTTTTGATCGAGTTTCCACGACAGCTGACTGATTCTCCACCGTCCGATTCAGTTGACAAAATTTTAAAAAATATCTAGAGAAGTATACAAACAAAATTTTATATTTTTATTTAGTTTGTTTTACTCAGCATAATTAGATATTTTGTGAAAGTTTCTTGGTCCACTAGTTGCTAGTGTTTATACTTTAAACACAGTTCAAAAGCTTAATTATAAGAAAACGCGAATATTTATATTTTAATATAGAAAAACTTACTAAATATCCAAAATAAGCTTTAAATTACACGATCCAAATCCATGTATACGGCGTTTAAGTCAGTATCCACATTAACGGCGTTCGACTCATTATCTTTCAATAATGATGAGACAATATAAACTTAACTTGTGTATATGTTCATCTCCAACCTCATTTGTTTATGTTGTATCTTGTTTTTTTTTTTTTTTTGCTAAAGGGTAAATATTGTATCTTGTTTTGCTATGTATTAAATTTACTCTACCCTCATTAACCTAGCAACGTTGCTGAACTTAATAGCTAAAAACAGTGTTTTTGTGTGGTTAGTAAAGTCTTATAATTTGATTTAGACTGTTAGCGAGCTTTCCATGAAATGTAAACGGTGGAAAATGAATAGTTTCTAGATACTTGAACTACGAAATGCACGTGCCTCCAAAGTAAGCTGACAAAAGTCACGAAATGCGAAAAAGTATAACCAAAAAATGGCATATGCGAAAATAACGTAGAATGATACCAATTACAAATGTGTATGAGCCCACATGCTATAGTATTTACTAACCAAGTTTGATTATTTTGGCAATATATCACGATAAATATTACTTTAAAAAAACCATGGGTCACATGTGATAATCATTATTACTATATATTAAATCAGTCACTTTTTTTCATCGACAAGCTTTGATTAATTTTAAAGACTAGATAAATTCAGAAACGAAATCCACACAAATTATGAAATGTCTAGATCGAGAGATATAAACAATGTAGATGGATCAGGATTATGGAATGATGGAACTCAATCTTAGCAACTACGAGTAGCCAACGGAGTAATCAATCATTAGACCACTATACATAGTTGGCTAACAATCATTAATCTTTGAATATATACAGTGCGTGACAATTTGTTCGCATTATAAAAATAAGTACAATCTAGTTTTCAAACTTTTGGAGTCTCTACATGCGTTTGTGTTTAAACTATCAACAGTTTGATTCAGCAGACTTAAAGGAAAAGAAAAGGGAACATCTCAATCTTGTTTCATGTGATGCTCTACCTTTCTGCAAAGCCCATTATCTTCTTATAATATAGTTTAATACAACTATCGTTTCCTCTCTGTGATTTTCCATGTGGCAGGTGAGATTAGTGACATTGCAAGCTCACAAAGCTGTTGAACCAACGTTTTTGTTCATCACGTATGATTTTATTATTATTATTCCATAAACTGTTTCATCGAAATAAAAACATTTTGAAGATAGTTGCAAATTTAAGAGAGAATTTAGTGTTTTACTAGTACTAAATATCACGATGCGTCAGAAAGTAGAAACTAGTCCAAGTTCGTATGATCGTGTATCTGGTGAAAACCAGCGAACAGTCTCACAACACATAGACGAAACGGCAAGCAGTTAAGACACTGGGCTTTACAATCAAATACAATTACTATAACTAAACTCATAAGCCCATTATTAGCCCATTTAGAAGGAGACACGTCGCGCCGCTTTCTGATTTTCCTCTGTTTTCCCCACAGTCGAGACTCAAGAGAGAGACAGTGAGTGTTTTGTACGGAAGAAGAAGAATTGAGAAGCCATGGATACGGATGCTGAATTCGATAGGCTGATTTTGTTCGAACAAATTCGCAAAGCCGCCGAAGCGACATACATCAAAAACCCTTTAGATGCCGATGTTAGTTTTCTCTTAGATTCATGATTTTGTTCAGATTTGTTTTCACTCGTAATTGCTTTCTCTGGATTTTATCTGTTTGTTTTGATAAAATAACTAGACAGACTTTTGATTGACTCCTCCTTTGTTTGATCTCTGCTTCTGATTCAATGGCGGAAATTTAAGTGATTATTTTTATTTTCAGAACTTGACGAGATGGGGAGGAGCTTTGCTGGAGGTAGCTCAGTTTCATAACCCCTCAGATTCAAAGCAGCTTATTCAAGGTGCTTTAATTATCTCCCTCTTCAGTCTCTTTGCTCCCAAATGTTTACATGTATATGCAAAATTTCGTTAATTTATAATCACTTTTAGAAATTTGTTTGAAAAGCTTGAACTCGTAATCATAAATTCTTAGCCCTTAATTCAATTTGGATCTCACGATTCTTCACACTTTAAGCTTAACAGAATTCGGTTTCAGTAGAGTGCCAAATCCAACAATGATGTCAACTAGTTTATGGAGTTTATGAATCTGGTTATGATTAAGAATCTGTTCTGATGTTAGGGATTGATTAAAGTTTGTAATTTTTTTGTTTGAGTAGATGCCATCACAAAGCTGGAAGAGGCGTTGTTGATAGACCCAAAGAAACATGATGCGCAATGGTGCATGGGGAATGCATACACTGCAACAGCGTTTTTGATTCCGGATGAGACTGAAGCAAAATACAACTTTGACTTAGCTACTCAGTTCTTTCAGCAAGCTGTGGATGAGGTTCTCTTCGTTTCCCATTCGGAATCATTGTTGACACTGATTAGGCCTTTTGGTGGTGTTTTTTGTTTTGAATATTTGATATGAAAAATGTATTTTTTTTTGTCTTTGCAGCAACCGGATAATGAACTCTACCAGAAATCACTTGAAATGACGTCCAAGGTACTTTTCTATTAGATCAAATCATAGAAGTTCAAGAAGTTATCATATTTTTTCATATGAATGGAGTATTGCAGCTGAACTATGCATTTTGCCTCTAAACCCAATTTAAAAGTTTTGTTCTTTATTCGAAAATTCTTCTCTTTTCTGCTGTACACAGGCTCCGCTATTGCACACACAGGTTCATCAACATGGGTTTGGCTCACAGCCATTGGGTGACGATGGACCATCAGCAGCGCCAAGCTCAATGGTTCGCACTTTTTATGTTCATTCTCGTCTCATTATTTGATGAATGCACTCAATGGTTTGAATCTCATTTACATGTTTTTCTTGTCTTTTCCAAACAGGGAGGGAAGGGTAAGAAGAAAAGTAGTGATCTGAAGTATGATGTAATGGGATGGGTGATTCTAGCCATTGGCCTTGTTGCTTGGGTAGGTTTCGCCAAAGCTAATGCGCCTGTTACTACTCCTCGATAAGGAGCATTTGATTCACTCGAATAGAAGATTTTGTTGGAGTTTTTCAATTTTAAGGTTTGAAGTTTTAACATTTGTTTTTGGAATATTCAAAGTTTTTGAATTTTGTGACATTTTATCAATGTTTAATCATCTTCAATCGGCAATGGTTAGTTTGAATAGTTTTATTTCTTAACATCTAAATTGTGAATTCCAAATTTCTGACTCCAAGACTAACATCCTAGTAAAAAGTAAGAACAAAAGTAAAGTACAAAGACACGATTGCGGATTAAGTAACATAACAAGATGTCTAAATGCCATTATAAAAACAAAGAGAAATTAAAAGACACCTTTGAGATAAAGCATGAAAATAAAAAACAAGATGATTGCTGCAACCACAAACACGGGAGCTTGTTCTTCGGCGTTATGTCGTATTTGTTCAGCGTTGTTGTTTAGGATCATAAACCCCACTAATACTAAGCATATTAATATAATCCATCCCTGGCCTATGCCATTAGTTTGATCTGTCTGATAATTATATTTCCCTCTTATATTTTTTGACGAAGATCCGCGACTAAAAGTGCCCATTAGCTTCCACAATCCAGCTGCACCAACCAGAACGCCAAACACAACTATTGCCATTCTTTGTGTGTGTTTTGATGATTTTTCTTGTGTGCTTATGAAGAGATACTGACCGAGCTATAAGTTTTTCAATACCAAAAGGGATACATTATTGTCTATTTATAATTGTTATTTTTTCCTTTCTTTGATTAAGGAAATTGAAACAAGGAAAAGGAAACTGGGATACATTAGTGATAAACGGTTCTCCAGACTGTTATTATACATATTTTCATGTGGGTTTCTAAATGTAATTGAACTTAACCAATGTATGAGGACACAATCTGTGAAGATTATATGATAAATCTTGTTATTTTAAGTGTTTAACACTTTATATATGCTACATATTGTAAGAGTCTTAGACACACTAGATAATGAAATCCCACTAATTTATTTGCAAATTTATCCCTTGTGTTATTTCTTCGAAAAGAAGTCCATTGGGCTTAATAATGGGCTTTTATTATCATACGCACATTTAAATGGAATTACATAATAATCAGGTAGAGTCAAAGTTGTGAACCGTTATAAATTGATTGGGCTAAAAAACGTGAATCACACGAAGGAGCGTGTGACTCACAACCGAACACGCGAACCACATACGTTCGCGACATTTCACCATATAACCCGCCAAAGAGTCGCCACAGATTGTCGTTTTTGCCCCTTAGATTTGGCTCGCGAATTTATCGAATGTTGCCGCCAACTTTATCTTTTCCCTCGCTTTATTACATTTCTCGGACCAAAATTTCAGCGAATATTCACGATAATACCCTTCATCTTCCTCAGCAAGCTCTTCGAAATAGGAAAATTTGAAACGTTTTCACGCTTCGCTCCTTGTTTTTCCCTCTTCTGTTCAAACATTTAAAACCTTCCAAAACCCTTTTCCTCTCCAGTATAAATATCCACCCCTAGATCCAATAATTCCTCAGATTACCAATCAATCACATCTTCAATCTCTCAAATAATCTCTCAATCTCTTCGGTTAATTTCTCGAAAAGATGCCTTCCATGGCCGAAGAACCTCTTCTCACCCCAACCCCAGACAGATTCTGTATGTTCCCAATTCACTACCCACAGATCTGGGAAATGTACAAGAAAGCCGAGGCATCGTTTTGGACCGCCGAAGAAGTAGATCTATCGCAAGACGGCCGGGACTGGGAGAATCTGAACGACGGCGAGCGACACTTCATCAAACACGTCCTCGCCTTCTTCGCCGCCTCAGACGGAATCGTTCTAGAGAATCTCGCTTCCCGATTCATGTCCGATGTCCAGGTCTCGGAGGCGCGTGCCTTCTACGGCTTCCAGATCGCGATCGAGAACATCCACTCGGAGATGTACAGTCTCCTCCTCGACACCTACATCAAGGACAACAAGGAGAGAGACCATCTCTTCCGCGCAATCGAGACCATCCCTTGCGTCGCGAAGAAAGCCCAGTGGGCCATGAAGTGGATCGACGGATCTCAGACTTTCGCCGAGCGAATCATCGCGTTCGCCTGCGTCGAAGGTATCTTCTTCTCCGGCAGTTTCTGCTCGATTTTCTGGCTTAAGAAGCGCGGCCTCATGCCGGGTTTAACCTTCTCGAACGAGTTGATCTCCCGAGACGAAGGCCTTCACTGCGATTTCGCGTGCCTGCTCTACACTCTCCTGAGGACGAAGCTGACGGAGGAGCGCGTGAAGGCGATAGTCTGCGACGCCGTCGAGATCGAGAGGGAGTTTGTGTGCGACGCGCTTCCGTGCGCGTTGGTGGGGATGAACCGTGACCTGATGAGTCAGTACATTGAGTTTGTGGCGGATAGGCTTTTGGGTGCGCTTGGGTACGGGAAGGTGTACGGTGTGTCGAATCCGTTTGATTGGATGGAGTTAATCTCGCTTCAGGGGAAAACAAACTTTTTCGAGAAGAGAGTTGGCGATTACCAGAAGGCTTCCGTTATGTCCAGCGTTAGCGGTAACGGCGCGTTTGATAACCATGTCTTCTCTCTCGACGAGGATTTCTAGATTTTTAATATGACTATTACTTTGTTACCCTTGTATTATTCCGTGCATTACCTTTTTAATATTAATGATAAATTACTAGCTTTATCTACACTTTCTCCAGATTTTAGTGCTTGAATCGATGAATATTTGCGTAATTAAATCGATGATAATGGAGTTTGCAAAGAAATCGAAATAATCTTAAACAAAAAAAAAGATCTAAATAATCTAACATTTCTGTCAATGGAAAGAAATGATATGGCATAAACAGATTAAAAAATGAAATGAAAGGGCACTTTCGTCATTCTGGTATTATCATTGTCATTCGACTTTTGGTAGAGCGTTTGTGACTTTCTCTGGCTCCGAAGTGTTTATGGCAATGGCGTCGCTGCAAAGCTCAGGGATGTTGACGAAAGAGCAGATGGTTTATCTCTTTGACCAATTCGATTACTTGACCTCGCAATCTGGTAATTGTGCTTTCTCTACAATGATTTTTTGAATCTATTTATCCACTGGATTCATTAGAATTGGAATTTATTGATCTCTCAGATGTGAAGAAAAGACTCTTCGACGCCGTGGAGGACAAACAGGTGAATTTCTGCATCGTAAAACTATGCATTTATGATTGATTGATTGATTGACTGATCAAGTAAATGTCGTTTTCAAAATGGTTGACGTCCAAGTACAGGAAGCTGTAGCGGTTACAACTGCAATTCAAGAAGAGATATTCTTGGAGATGGGAATTGGTAAACATCTCTTTACCTTGTACTGGTTATTTTGTTTTACAACTGCCGGTTGTTTCTCAATGAAAAATGTATCGAAAAAGCAGAGCCAGGATTTGGTATTGGGTGCTTGGGAAAGCTGAACTCTGCATATGAAAACGATAAAGACTTGATGATTGGTTTCTACAAGTTCCTCGCTAAGTAATTAAGCTCGCTCTCTTCTTCTTCTTCTTCTTATGAAGTTGGATTATAGAGGAGGGCTAATAAACTCTTATTAGGGAGGAGATGGCATGTGAAGAAGCTGAGCTTGGAGCTGATGGATTTGAACTTAAAATGAAAGCACAGCAAGAACTACAAGACCGGGTATTGTCAGTTTTGCTTTGGCATAGTTACGATAACTCCATTTGAAGTTCAATGCTTATATATTCAAATGTGCTTAAATGCAGCAACTGGAGATGTTGAAGTATATGCGTAAATTTCCATTGGATGACCAATCTGCTATCCTTAAGAAGGTAAATAAAAAAAACCGTCTTTACATTTTCTTGTCGATACCATGAAGATAGATGAGCACAAAAGACTTGTTATTGGTTCGTTTTACTTACCGGAAAATGTGAATTAGGCTTGAGTCTAGTGAGGACTGGTTGATATAACCAAAGGATCTACTGAAAGATCAATAGATCCTTAAAGTGGTTTAACGAAACACATTGAGGAATTTTCTTTTCCCTATTGGATCTTAAATGGAACAGATTCAGAAGCAACTAGAAAGTGCGGATTTTGAGCCTGAGGCATCGCTGCTGTCAGGAGAGGAAATGGCTGAAGCTGGAAGAAGAAGAGTTTCACCTGTTTTTGGGAGCAGATAGCTTCTCATTTCTCACAGACCACTCCAGCTTGTAAACTGTGTCCCTTTCTCTTTTCATTTCATATACTAAACTCTTTAGACGCAAATGCAAAGAAACAATTTTCTTGATTTTTTTTCATTTTACATTTAAATACACGCTTCACCATCAAGAACAACGTATGTTAAGGCTTGTACACAAATGTTGGTAGCTCGTATATGGTTGATCATCTTGGTGCAGAGAAGACAGGTGGTTTGTGATGTGGTCACTTTGAGAGAAAACATAGAAGAGAGAAATGTTTTTAATACGTTATTTAAAATAAGAGTTTAATTTATAAGAGACATCAAAGTTGATATGGCCGAGTTGGTCTAAGGCGCCAGATTAAGGTTCTGGTCCGAAAGGGCGTGGGTTCAAATCCCACTGTCAACACTTTACTTTTTTTGGGGGGGTTCTTCTGTGTCTCGTTCTTTTCTTGCTCAATTACTCTAACCCTTATTCCCTTAACTTTCCATAACCAGAAGAAATTAAACAAAAAGTAGCTATGTTTCGAAAATTTGGATTAGATTTGACTTTTTCCATGGGAGGTAACGAGCAAAGGCAACTATTATGACGTAGTAAGGTGGAGAACACAACCAGTTAAACAACTCGATAAACAATCCATATATAATAATAAGTCCATCAATTTGTGATATTTTTGGGTGATCTATTAGTTAACCATTTCTAGATTTAAGTGAATCGTTAAGAGTGCTAAGAGTATACAAAGTTCGCGTATATAAATGTTAAAAACGCGGGTTTCAAGAGACTCGAAAGAACAAAATCGGTTTGAACAGCATTGTATCTTATAACTTGGACCATCCTCGTTCCGGCAGACACTCGTAGTGGTTTAGCCCTTATGCTGTTATAAAACAAAAACAAAAACAAAAAATAAGAGTTTAAGGTTAAGGGCTTGAGCTGTTGGATTTTGCTTGGAATACAAGAAAGAGAGGAGAAGCTTGAGGAAGAAGCAACCAAACAAGAAGAAAAGGAAATAAGCTATTTGAGTAGTGAGGAATAGGAGAATATCCATTCCTGTTTGTAATCCTTATAGAATTAGGAGAAGCTAATATCTATATAAAGAGGTCTATGGAGAGGTGTTCCATAAGACTCAAGAAAGAGAGAGTTTCTAAATCAATAAAGAAGAGAATGTTCCCCATGGAGAGATCAATATCATCATCAGCTGATGCGAGGGGCAAAAATGAGGTCAACGCCGATGATCAGATCAGCAAACTCTCCAACGACCTATTGCTTAAGATATTGTCGACACTGTCCATGGAAGAGATTGTGAGGACAAGTGTTCTATCAAAGCGATGGGTGGATGTGTGGAAGGAGACGTCTAGCCTTTTCTTAGACATGCGAAGGCTCCCCAAAGTCACAAGTCCTCCGTCCAATGTTACTCTTGATGCTAAATCTGTGACTAAGGTTATAAAGGACCACCGTGGCCATTTGGAAAGTTGCACAATCTGCCACAACTCACGGCAATGTGAAGACGGGGTGGTGGAGAATTGGATTCAATTATTGATTCATCAGAAACACATCAAGCAGCTCAGTCTTGAAAGTTATTTGGAACCAGCGAGAAAACCAACAAGAATCACACTTAACCTGCCTCCAGAGTCACTTTCCCATCCAAACCTGAAATCACTCTCGCTAGGTTCCTACGCCTTTAACGCTCCACATGCATTCAACAACTGTAGGAATCTAAAGCGGCTCAAACTCGATGGCATTCTCGCTGAGGTTGAAGTCTTTAATGAAATCCTTGCGTCTTGCTCTTCTCTCGAAGCTCTTACACTAGATATCACTTCCTTCGAAGGAAGTGGTTTTTTGGAGATTGGGAACCCCAAATTACAGTTCTTGGACCTATCTTGTTCAAAGATTGATGGGGTTGAAGTGTCTACACACAGTCTGGATATCCTCTCCATTAGAAGTCTCTCGTGTGCGTTTGAGAACTTCATCATCGCAAACCCTAGATTTCAACAGTTTAGTAGAAACTTTTGGGCTACAGGACATTGCTATCCTCACACCATCTATGACATAACCTGCTCCCATCAGGAGAAGAAAAGCATTGGGCATGAACTCATGACAAGCGGATCCGGATATCTTATGCAAAGTGGTGCATCCCTGTCGGTGAGTGTAAATATGACAAACACAAAAGAGGTTGAGATGCTCAAAGAAGTCTTTGCTGCATGGCCTAACCCATTGGCAGAAATTGAGATCGTGTTCAAGAACAACAAACTTCCTATGGAAGAAGGTGAGTCTTCCATTGGAAGGACACGTAAGAAGTTTTGGGAGAATACAAGACAGCTTGCCAACGCTGGTTTACATGCATATCGTGTATGGCTAGTTAACTTAAGTGGTTCACAGGAAGAGTTTGAGTTAGCCTCGCATTTGATAACACAAGGGATGGTGTTCAGACATATGATGATAATTCCACTATCGTCGTGTTCTCCAAGTAAGAAGCTTGAGATAGAAACGGTAGTGGCGAAGCTAAAGAAACTTCCTAAACGCCACAAAGAACTTGATATCGAAATATGGTAATGATATTTGGGTTGAAGTTAACCAATAGACCGAGAAAACCCTTTTGAATCTGGTTTGTTGTTTAGAGTTTATGTGGATACACGATTGTAGTGAAGCCCTGGAAACATATTTTCAGGTGTCTTTTCATCTCTCTCTAATTAATCTTATACTTCTTCTAGTAGATCTGTAGATGTGACAGTTTTTTTCCCCCTATTTCAAAATGTTATTAAAAAAAGGCAAATGGAAAACATGATAAAAACATCTCTAAAACGAAGTCTTTCTCACACCCAATACTTTTCCTATATATATATATATAGTGAATTCAAACATTAAAAAGATGTATAGTCGAGTTTTTATAAATGGTGTTTAACAGCCTCGTCCTTTAAGCTGTTGAAACTGAAATCCGCACTGATTAAATAAATGTATTGGTAATCAACAATTAGCCTCGATTAATCGTCATCATGATCACGGTCGGAACCACTAGCATCCTCGCTACGTACGTGGCCTTCGAGACCTTGAAGCAGGTACAACATTAAGCCATCCTCAAGAGCTCTTACCAGACAGTCGTTCCTCACTAATTCATTGGTGTTATAAATATTCCAAAATAATTCTCAAATAGCGAATATATAAATGGCTTAAATAATTGATCGTAAAGTAAATCTTAAAATGAGTGGACCGACGACCACTTTGTAAGTTGTTTCCTTTGATACAAAGCAAATCCCACGTGACATCACATTCCAAAAACAAAATGTGAAAATCCCTTTGAATGCCACACACAAAGCAAATTTCTTCTTTTTGTTGACACCACTTTTAATCCTTCCATGTCACAAAATTTTGTCCTTTCCTCCCAAAGCACTCTTTCTTCCGACATTAACCAATGGACCACTCTATTCTTTAGAAAAAAAGAACCCCTAATCTTCTATTCTTCTTCCATTATCTTCCCATCATACATTATTCCCCCTCATATAAAATACCCACACTTGTGCAGTTGTGCGTTTGCATTCGATCAAACTACATATCTTATAATTCTACATAAGAAGAGAGAGGAGAAGATCCATATATAAAGATGTCTGATTGGGGGCCAGTTTTTGTCGCGGTAACGCTCTTCGTGTTGCTAACTCCGGGACTGCTGATTCAAGTTCCGGGAAGAAACCGAGTTGTTGAGTTTGGAACATTTCAGACTAGTGGTGTTTCGGTTATTGTTCATACTCTCATTTACTTCACTCTTGTTTGTATCCTCTTGCTTGCTCTCCAAATTCACATGTACATCGCCTGATTTAATAAAATTATCAGTCTCTCCATTTTTTGTAAACATTTTGTAGTCACTTTTTCTTTTACTTGAATTGTGTGTAATTCAATGTTTTGTTTGTTATAGGAAACGCAACAAAGAGGTTCCGTAACTACCATGTGTATGTATAAATGTTTGAATTATCTGCAAGTACATGAAAATTGTTGACACTCTGAATATATTGATCAGATGGGTCAAATATGTACGTATGTGTGAAAATTACGTCGAAAATCTATGTGAACATGAGTAAATTATAGCGGATAACAATATAAACAAAGTTAATGGGTTAACGAAAGTAAACATTTTATAGTTAGAATGTACGGTTCTTTTGAAAACGAATGCACTTGTATAACATTGATATATATATAAAAAAAATCATATTTTATTATAATATTTCTTTATATATTATAAAATTTAGACAATGGTTTAGTTCTTATGGCTTAGTTGCAACCAATGCATCAAACACCTGTTTAGGCTACCATGGAGCTCAAACTAACTTCACGGTTTCTTTCATTAGTTGAAGCTGACCCAACTAAAACCAAACAACTCAGATTTTTGGTCCTTGATATCCTAAGCCGTCTTGATTTGTGTTCGCACCAAAATCCTTAGAGTCGGCATCAAAATCTTTCCTGCTACATACATATATTATCTTCCCTACTTTCTCTTTTGGCAATATCAAAGACCAATCTGAGTAAAAAAAAATAATAATTATTGAGATATGTAGAGGTTAATAGGCCATAAGGCCTTAATCTCTAAGAGAGTGTGCAAGCTAAGTCCCACATCGGAAGTGGGAAGGGACCTTAAGCGATATATAAGAGACTGAGGCCACTCCACCTATTGCCATTTGGTTTTAGGTTGGATGCCAAGGAAACTTAACATGGTATCAGAGCTTGACCCGCACACTCTCTCGACCCCGCCCAGAAAGGGCCCGACCCCCCGACCCTAGGATTTGATGGTCTGCGAGATTAATGGTTAAAAGGACCATTATCTCGAGGAAGGGTATTGAGATATGTAGAGGTTAATAGGCCATAAGGCCTTAATCTCTAAGAGAGTGTGCAAGCTAAGTCCCACATCGGAAGTGGGAAGGGACCTTAAGCGATATATAAGAGACTGAGGCCACTCCACCTATTGCCATTTGGTTTTAGGTTGGATGCCAAGGAAACTTAACAATAATAATAAAAAATCAGAGACCAATCTTTACCAAACAATGATAAGAAACATCCTGTTTTTTTTTTCCTCACAAAAAGAAACACCATGCTAGTGTCATCTAACGCTACAAAACACAAAACAAAGATAACTAAAATGACTAATCGAAGAGGAAATTAAGTAGATCTTCTAAGAGAATCCATCCATTATGAGCCAACTCCAAAGGTTTTGTGCTGTAATTTAATCAACGTCAAAGTGACTGAGGACCCCTTTTCTGAAAATAAGTCGTAAAAACAAAACAAAAAAATATATCCATTGTTGGGAAGAAGACCACACAATATATTGTAAAGTACAGAAGATGCAAAACGATATATATCATGAAAATTAACTTGAAGGCGAGCTCTAATTGGCTCTTTTGATTTCATTTCTTTCGTCTCCAAGTGCACCAATCGAAATAAGTGACCGTGGGACAAATTACAGCCCAAAGAAAAAAAGGTAAATTAGATATTATTGGAAAAACTAACATGCGATTAGGAAGCGGGACCTAGATCTGAAGCGTGCCTTTTTGCATCAATATTAGCTCGCTTCAACTACTATCTAATTGTTTGAGCGTGCTCTTGACTCTTGTCCCAATTAAGACTGAGAACAATCTCTTGTACGTATAGCCACTATCAGTGATTGGCTAGTTTGCTTTTTGTTCCTCACATGCAACCAGAGTTACGTACAGACTTCTTGTGTAGATTTTAAAATTAAGAAACATTATCGGTTCTCATGTGAGAATTAATAACCGGAGTTCAACTTGAAAGGCACGTAGAGAAAACTTACGGGAGTGAGGCAATTCACGCTTATCGATTTGGTATTTGTTCCCTTCTTTATCCTGATTCACTGTATCAAAGCAAGCATAACATGAAGACAAAGAGTAATAATCTGCCTCACTAAAACCGCTATGGAAAGAGAACAAAACATGATATTCCACAAAATTGTTGTTCGTATAAATTCTAACAACTTATGGAGATGTACGGTTCTTATGAAAACGGATGCAATTGTATAACATTGATATATATATATATATATATATATATATCAAATAAATTCATACTTTATTATAATATTTCTCTATATATTATAAAATTTAGACAATGGTTTAGGCTTTTATAATTTAGTTGTGTTTAAATCCATATTCATGGTAGTACAAGTTGTTGTGTTTAAATCCATACTCCATAGTAGTACAAGCCATGAAGATTTATCATATGTATTTGAAAAGTATATCCCACCAATTTTAGCAATCCATATACGTAGTTGACCACATCGAGGAAAAAATGTTTGCCCCGCTTTGTATACTTGAACGTCATAGCAAAACTCCATGTTAGGACCTTGTCTCAAAAGACATTTCCATTTTGTTATATCGAATACTTCGTCATGAAATCTAATAATAAAAGTACTGTTGAAGTTTCACTTTTGTACATGTAGATCATCAGTTCTAGAACGACAATGATATTCGAGAACACGACTAGGACCAAGGTTGTTTTGAATTACTACTTGATTTTTATTACAAGTTTTGCTAAACTCAAAATATGTAGTAGTAACCAACACAAAAAATATGAAATGTTTCATTTTTTATGATCTAAAATAACTATTGGACTAATAAGATCTCATCATGTAGTATTTATATTTTTTAGATCCAAAAATGAGTGTTGACTAAACAATATATGGTAAAACATAAACTAAATATTTTTATGGTATTAACTAAACATTTTTATGGTAATAAGAACATAAACTAAATATTTTTATGGTATTAACTAAATAATTTATTGGAGTAATTAGAACGTTAAAATGTTTAGTCAACACTCATTTGAATTAGTTTATGTTTATACCATAAAAATGGTATTAATTAATTTTTTTGATGTTTTTTAGCTTATTAAAATGTTAGTCAACACTCAAACTCTATATTCTCCAACTCCTTAATCCAGATAACAACGAAGCCTCTGAATACTCCCGCTATCTATACCTCTTGGATCTTGCAGCTATCTCAACCGCAACAATCCCGCTCTTGCCTTCAGCAACTCTTACGGAACCCGGTTGACTAACTGGAGCCTACGGGCATAAATCTTATTGAAAATTACTTCTTCATTTATCTATGTGAACGTGAATTTAGTAAACAATATTTTATAGTTAGAAAAAACTACGGAGATGTACGCTTCTTTTGAAAACAAATGCACTTTTATAAGTATAACATTGAAATATATATATATATATATATATATCAACAAATTCAGATTTTATTATAATATTTTTCTATATATTATAAAAGTTAGACAATGGTTTAGCTCTTATGGCTTAGTTGTGTTTTTTGAACCTATAATCCATGATAGTACGGGCCATGGAGATTTATCAAATGTATTTGAAAAGTATATCGCATCACTTTTAGCAACCCATACACGTAGTTGACCACATCGAGGAATAAATCTTGGTCCCGTTTTGTATACTTCAACGTCATAAGAAAACTCCATATTAGGACCTTGTCTCAAAATACACGCCCATACTGTTGAACTGAATACATCGTCATGGAATCTACTGGTAAATGAAT